TAAGGAAAAGTAAAAAGCCATTATCATATATCAAAAATCTTAAGGAGCTTTATTATTTTACAATTTAAGTAATAAGAATTCATTTTTTTGATACTGTACAGTCTTGGTGTTAAGAAATACTCAACAAAATTTATGTTTGAGATTTTTTCATCATAATATGAAAACTTTGTTATTGTATTGATTGGATTCAATGAAACCCTTTATATAGATGGGTCCCAATCGCTAATGTACTACACAAAAATTTTAATTTTTGTTCATTTAAGCTTCTTTAAACTTACCAAGCTAAGAATTGCGCTTTTTTTGTAAAAAAAAAAATAAACCTAGATTTCCCCAATTTTCAGTGTTGATTTTGAGAATATTTATTATATCCATATTTTTCAAAAGTTTATTTATCGAAAAAGGTACTAGTTTTCTTGTCTGGTTAATTAGATGCTTTATAGAATTTTTTTGTTTCTAAATGTATCCATCAACAAAAATTCGATTAACCTCTTGCATTATTTCATAGACTTTTTTCATAGCATTAACTTGGCTCTAAAATATCATAAATTTTTTAATCTTTTGCTATTATGCTAGGTACAATCACTATGTTCCAAATACAAATTAATTATGAAGGATCAGATGTTAAGGGGTCTTTTGAAAAACTCATAAGAAGTTATTATTAAAATTCATATTAGAAGTTTATTATTTCAATAATGTCAATTCCTTAGGATTATCCCCATTCTGAAGATACAAACTGCTATTAACGCATTTTACAAATTAATTAAGAATAAAGTATTCATCTCCAAACATAATTTGATATTTATTGTGGTACTTAATGATTAAACTTATTATAATTTATAATAATTATTAAAAAAGTGCAAGAATTTCTGCTAAAATCAGAATATTAAAAAAATGTCTAATTTTAGAGAATATATGTAATAATTAAATTTCTGTTATGATGTATTATCAACACTTTAATTAAAAATTTAATCATCATGAATATTTTTATTGTATTAAAATATGAATGATATTTATTCCTTTCCTGTGGAAGAATAACTGAAATATATCGAAGGTAAAATGGACATGTTTTTAGAATGAGGATAACCTTATAAATGCGAATTTTTTCATCCGGGATATACTTGCGAAACTCAACTACTTCATATGTAAATCTCTTAATAAAATAAGGTTGCCACTCTTATTTGCTAAAAATGCTAAAGTCTATCTTCCTGTCCATTTGTTGCCTTTCCTTATTTACAAACGAAAAGCCTTTTTAAAAAAGTATAATTTTCATTATTAAAAATAAGTCCAATTAGTACAACAGCAAGGTCGTTGTTGTCATATTTAAAAAGTGTTCTATTTTTGACTTTAATGGTTTAATCAATGAGATATAATTGGTGTAAATAAGTTAGATTTCGTAATACTGTTGATCCATCAATTCCATTAATCGGAGGGTTTATAGGAGCTTTTTCTTTGCTTTTAGAATCAAGAACTAGGTATATATTATTTAATAAGTTGGAAGAGCTTAAGAAATTATGTTAAGTATAGTACCTCGATATTGTGAAACAATTTTTAACCTATTAAAAAGGAAAGGATGGATAAAAGAGATACCAAAAGGAGATGTTTTAGTTTTTGCAATAATATTGGCTATAATTCATTATTATTATTAACATGAAGTAAAGGATGGATGTTTATAATAATTAGCAAAAAGCTTTAAAAACAACATATAGAGGAGTGTTTGCAAAATTTTGGGGAAAGAATTGATTGTATTGGTAATAAAAATATTAATGAAAGTCATTTAAAAAGTAAAATTAAATTAAATCTTTAATTCATGTCTATAAAATTACATTCACCATCTGGTTAAGGAAGAACTCATAAAATATTGGTAGCAGCAAAGTTGGCTAATTTCCAATTAGAATTTGTTGATACATAATTAAATGAGAAGAATTACAAAGTTTTCTAAGATAAGTTTCCATTCGGAAAGGTGCCAGTCTTAGAGACATAAGAAGGCAATCTTTTCGAAAGCAATGCTATTCTTAGATATATAGCAAGACACTCTGAAGGATTATATGGGTATGGTTTATATTTAAAGTTTAGAAAAACCCCTTATTAATAGGGTTTGGTTGATTAATGGTTAGATGTAACAGTAAACGAACTAGAAAGTGATGTTGTAGCAGCTACAATATAAGTTTAAGGTTAGATTCAAGGAATTCCTACTTTATATAAAAAATCTTTAACATAAATTAATCATACATTAAATATAGTGAATAATTAATTAGAGAAATCTAAATATATTTCAGGAGAATCATTAACAGTTGCAGATATTGCATTAGCATAAGTTGTTACAATTGTTTTCACATTATTGTTAGGAGAAGTAGAAAGAAATTAATATTAACATTTATTAAAATGGTTAAATGAAATTAATTAAATACCTGAATGGAGAGCAGTAATTAAAAATAAAAATATTTTTAGGAATTTGGTAGACCAAGATTTGCAAAGAATGCATTTACTTTATCTGAAGTAACTGAGGAAAAGAAGGAAAAGAAAGAGAAATAAAAAGAATAACCAAAATAAAAGGAATAATAGGAATAACCTAAATAGTAGAAAGAATAACCTAAATAGTAGAAAGAATAACCTAAATAATAGAAAGAACAACCTAAATAATAGAAAGAATAACCTAAATAATAGAAAGAATAACCTAAATAATAACCAAAATAAGAGGAAGAAGATGATGCTCCAAAAAAGAAGGAATAAAATCCTCTTGATTTGTTGCCACCTTCAACTTTCAATATTGATGATTATAAGAGAATATTCTTTGCAGAAAAAGATATCAATAAAAATATTAATACTCTCTTTTCCACAATAGATTTGAATGGTTGGTCTTTATGGTTTGTTAGATATAATAAAGCAGAAAATGAAGGTAAATAAATGCTTCTTACAAATAATTTGATGAAAGGATTTATTAATTAAAGATTAGATCAAAATTTTAGAAAATATGCATTTGCAATTCACGGTGTGTATGGTGATGAACCAAATCTTTAAACAAGAGGAGCTTGGATTTGGAGAGGAACTGAAGTGCCAAAAGAATGGGTATCTATAATTATAAAATTGCTATTAGAAAGAGCATATAGCCTATGATTATCATGAATTTGTCAAAGTTGATATTAATAATGAAGCTTAAAAATAATTGTTTACTGACTATTGGGTTAAATAAGAGGAAGATGTTTCAGAAGTTGAAGGATTAAAAGCCAGAAGTTTATTGTATTTCAGATGAGATATATATTAAATATAAGAATAAATTGCAAATCAATCAGTTAATATGAGTTTTACAATAGATTCACGTATACCAGGCAAGGTATCTAAATTGTGATTAGAAAATGATTTAAGAATTCTTTCAATATTTGTATGACACTATTAAATAGTATAAACTCCAAGTGATGATGATGTCTTATACTCTGTATATTGTTAATCAGTTGAATCTGCACATTCACTTATAGTAATATCGAATTACTCTGAACCCTATTGGGAACTATCATCAACTAAAGATGAAATGATATCAACAGACGATCCATCTTCTTATAGTTTCATTTTCTTTTATTGCAATAACTACAAGTATATATAATATATAAACTAACATATTAATATCTTTCTATGCAACTTTAAGGGTTCTTCTCTTAAAATCTAGAAGTGATTTAATTCCATACTCCTTTATATATTTTAAAAGCTGCCCAAAGCATCTTATCATCCATAGCATTCCAAACATTCTAATATTAAGTTTAGGCCTATTTCTGAATTTACTCTCTTTTTTANAGTAATTAAAAATAAAAATATTTTTAGGAATTTGGTAGACCAAGATTTGCAAAGAATGCATTTACTTTATCTGAAGTAACTGAGGAAAAGAAGGAAAAGAAAGAGAAATAAAAAGAATAACCAAAATAAAAGGAATAATAGGAATAACCTAAATAGTAGAAAGAATAACCTAAATAGTAGAAAGAATAACCTAAATAATAGAAAGAACAACCTAAATAATAGAAAGAATAACCTAAATAATAGAAAGAATAACCTAAATAATAACCAAAATAAGAGGAAGAAGATGATGCTCCAAAAAAGAAGGAATAAAATCCTCTTGATTTGTTGCCACCTTCAACTTTCAATATTGATGATTATAAGAGAATATTCTTTGCAGAAAAAGATATCAATAAAAATATTAATACTCTCTTTTCCACAATAGATTTGAATGGTTGGTCTTTATGGTTTGTTAGATATAATAAAGCAGAAAATGAAGGTAAATAAATGCTTCTTACAAATAATTTGATGAAAGGATTTATTAATTAAAGATTAGATCAAAATTTTAGAAAATATGCATTTGCAATTCACGGTGTGTATGGTGATGAACCAAATCTTTAAACAAGAGGAGCTTGGATTTGGAGAGGAACTGAAGTGCCAAAAGAATGGGTATCTATAATTATAAAATTGCTATTAGAAAGAGCATATAGCCTATGATTATCATGAATTTGTCAAAGTTGATATTAATAATGAAGCTTAAAAATAATTGTTTACTGACTATTGGGTTAAATAAGAGGAAGATGTTTCAGAAGTTGAAGGATTAAAAGCCAGAAGTTTATTGTATTTCAGATGAGATATATATTAAATATAAGAATAAATTGCAAATCAATCAGTTAATATGAGTTTTACAATAGATTCACGTATACCAGGCAAGGTATCTAAATTGTGATTAGAAAATGATTTAAGAATTCTTTCAATATTTGTATGACACTATTAAATAGTATAAACTCCAAGTGATGATGATGTCTTATACTCTGTATATTGTTAATCAGTTGAATCTGCACATTCACTTATAGTAATATCGAATTACTCTGAACCCTATTGGGAACTATCATCAACTAAAGATGAAATGATATCAACAGACGATCCATCTTCTTATAGTTTCATTTTCTTTTATTGCAATAACTACAAGTATATATAATATATAAACTAACATATTAATATCTTTCTATGCAACTTTAAGGGTTCTTCTCTTAAAATCTAGAAGTGATTTAATTCCATACTCCTTTATATATTTTAAAAGCTGCCCAAAGCATCTTATCATCCATAGCATTCCAAACATTCTAATATTAAGTTTAGGCCTATTTCTGAATTTACTCTCTTTTTTATTATTATTATTATTATTATAGCAATGACAATTGATTCGGCTATTTAATCAAAGCCTGTTGAAATTGTTATAAATGCATAGATTCACTAGATGATTCTTCATTATAATCAAAATGTGGATTATATCTTCGAGGTATTTCTCTATGCTTTTTTTTTGGTTTATTTAACTTTTAGTTTTAATTCTCCATATCAGAATAATCAGCCAAAGCATCCAATCTATCCATTGTTTCTACTTTCTTTAAAATAATTATGAATAATTAAATCTTACTTATTTTAGAATCTTCCATCTAGCTTAACATTGTTTTGAATCCTTAGTTGGTACTTCCTCTTATATTTTACACCATTAATTTCCATATTTTCTAATAGCTTTTAAAAGTAATTCATCTTCAACTTCTTTCCATTTCTTTCGAGTAGGAATTTATTTGTTTTTTTATCGACCATCATTTTTTTGACAAAAATCTAAAAAATCATTTATCATTAATAATGTTCCAGTTCATTGTTCATTTTGAATAATTTATTAGCAAATTTATATAATGATTATTTTTTATATTATATACAATATATTTCATATAATTATATGATCTAAAAACCTTCTTTAGAGGATTTATTAAAATAAAAATGGAGTGATAAATATGAAAAATAAAGAGCATTATTTAGATCCACTTTGAAATTCATTCATACTAAATCAATCTAGCCATTCAAAGGTTATTTTAATTTACAATTAGTAATTATCTTCTATTCAATTAGAGATTGAAAATAAAGTACCAACACAAATTAGAGATCCTGAAACAGAATTGATTGGAGAATTTAATGAAAATGATATTAACTTTCTTAATGTAGAATCAGGTGAAATCCTTTTTCGAGTAGATTTCTCTAATGGTCAAATTGTAGATGATGATAATAATGTAAATGAAAACAATGACAATCCAATATTAATTAATACTGCACCAATTTGTTCATATCATTCAATACTTGTTCCATTTTTAAATTCTAAATTTCAATAACTTTTAAGTGGATTTATTGCTGAAAGTGTTTTTATCCTCTTTAAGATTTCAACTTCACCACATCTTCGAATTGGATATAATAGGTATAATGTTTAGTAATTAATTTTATTTAGTAAATTAGCTAATTGTTCTATAAATCATTTACATTTACATCTTATTTATGTTGATCAAATTTTTGAAAACAATAAATTCCCTATAGAAGAATTTCCAATCAAACCCATAGCTAATATTCATAATACAACTCTTGGTGAAGTTGAAAATTATCCTATAAGAACTTTAGTAGTGACTGGTGAAAATATCATTGAATTGTTATCTTCAACTATTGATACTCTTTTAGCTCATGAAATACCTCATAATATAATGTTTGTTAATCCATAAATGGCATACATTTTCCCAAGAGTACTAATGTAATATTATTATAGAAAAATCAATTTGAATTTATTCATGAACATGGAATGAAACCAGCATATGCAGAACTTAGTGGTTTAATGATTTGTAGGACTAAAAAGTATTACGAAGAATTAACACTCAAAGAAATTGAAATCAGATTATCTGAACTAACCCATCCCCTTTTTGATAATGTAGTATAAGAATTGATCATGTTATCATCTGAATGATATTGTTATAAAAGTATTAAAAATAACACAAATAACGCTTAAGCTTAATTATTATTGTAATTATTATACTAATAAAATATTCTTATTATTTTTGTTATTTTTATCTTTTTGCATCTTACCTTTCAGATCTCACAACTAAACATAAAATCACTCTTTACTTATTAAAGAAGAACAAAAAATTTTTTAACCATTAATAAAAAATAAATTTAAAATGAATCTCAAATGCATTTAAGTAAATATTTATCAAGTAAAACGATATGATCAAATAAAGCAACTAAAGACTAACTATTATATAAGCAATAAATTGATTTTCTTTTATTATTTATACATTATACCAAATGACATAACATCACAATTATTAATTATATAAAATAGCTCTGATTATTTATTAATATTATGAAAATGGATGGATCTGATAATGCTGAGTACCTAAACAATTAAATGATAATTCTTTAAGAGACAACTAGTAAAAAAGAAAGAAATCTACAAAGAAAAGCGAAAAAGATACATGTTCTAAACACTTAAAAAAAAACAGAGAGTTTAAAAAGAAATCTCAATTTAGACTCGACAGATACTACATCTATAAAATAAAAAGTTATTAAAAAAAGAAATAAAATCTGTGAAAATAATAAATAAAGAAAGTCATGGAGTGTTAAAGAAGATCAACAATTAAAGCTTGCTTTGGAATTATATGGAACAAATTGGATTCAAATAGCAACCACAATGGGGAATCGCAATCCATCTTAATGTGCTTAGAGATGGAAAAGAATAAAACCATAAGATGTATTAAATAAGAATAAATTATAGTAAAAAAAAAGAAAACACTTCAATATTGAAGAGGACCAACTTATATTGGATTTAGTTAAGAAATATAGGAGAAATTGGAGTAAAATTGCCAAATTTCTACCTGAAAAAACGAGTAAATAAATTAGAGAGAGATTTATTAATAAACTTAATCCTTAAATCATATTCAAACCGTTTACTGATGAAGAAGATCAAATCATAATCAATGCTTATAAGGAAATAGGTTCAAAGTGGACTAAAATTTAAGGCCTTTTAGTTGGTAGACCTGTAAATATTATTATCTTAATTATAAGGAAAATATGATCAAAAATCGATTTTACTCTTATTTGAGATAGAAATTTTTGAATATTCAAAACCCTTATTATACAATCCACTAAAAAAAAGTTATAAAGAATAAAAATTAGCAATCTTAAAATAACCAATTGTAAGATATGACTGAAGAAAAGTAATTCATATAATCTGAATTCTAAAAAGAAAATTAAGGAACTTAAAATTAATGTAATAATAATAATGAAATCTAAACTTAAGAGGCCTTTTAAACAAATCAACATTTTTAAACTCCTTGTCAAATATTTAATGGAAATTTCACTTGTAATAAATATCAATTTAATTAGATCCTTAATATTAATATTATTAAACTCCTGTTGCTCTATTTTATACTTAGTAATATGGTTTTCCAATAAACATTCCATTATTGAAATAAAACCAATTCAATAGTTCGAATATTGATTATTAACAACCGATTTTTGGATAAAACGTGACGCATTAAATCGTTTTTTTGTCAAATTCTTGATAGAAAATAATTGTATTTTTTATAAGGTCAGTAATATATATATAAATTTATCAACTATATTTATTTGAACGCTTTACTATACGTTATAAAATATCAGCTAAATTACTTAGCTCTGATACATATCTAAAAATTATAAATATTTTTACCCTTTAGAGATTTATCCGATTTCTTGTGTAGACAATAATGAAAAATGAGATGTCATTCTTACAATTTCTGTTAATGGAATTTTTTCCATAAATCGATTAGAAAGTTAAGGAGAATGATTTCTTTAAAATGAATTTGATTTTTAAACATTAAATGTATCATTAAAAGAGAAGGTTTACTTCTTTGATTCAAATAAATTCACCTTAGGAATTTAATTAGGTAAAATATTAGGAGAAGTATTATCAAAAAGTCCTTTTTAAACTTCATTAACATATTTATAAAATAGAGGTTTATCTCCTTAAGGTGATACTCTATTCGAAATAGCTTTATTTTATAATTTCAATTAAACATCAAGTCTATTATCCCAATTTTTAAATCTTTCTAATTTTTCCTTAGATTTTTAAGGGGAATCTTTAAAGCCTGAACCGAAAGTTTTATTTTATAAAAAAGGTTTAGGAAATGAAGTAAAGGAATTGTCATAGAAATCATTAGCAGATGATTTTTGAAATAATTAATCAATTTTATTATTTCTGTTTTTAGATTATGGTCTATTATTATCAAAGATTTCATCATAATTGAGTCCACCAAGAATTCTTGACTTTTTGGGTGATTTTTTATTGACCTTTTATTCTTCTCTAAGAAATATAGAATTATGTATTACAAAACAATCCTTTCTGCTTTCGTCCAGGAAGCAAATAATTAAGGTGATTTCTCTTATTAAGAAGTAAAAGGTTCTCTAGATGATACATTGTTACGAAGATCTTTTCTAAAGTCAGCCAATTATTTAGAATTCAATTAAGTAGTACTTTAAAAGGTTGCAAATCCAGATGAATTATTAGACTTTTCAAATCTTGCTTGTTTTTATGGTGAAAACAATGATGGTTAACGCATAAGTATAACAGATAAAAATTATTAATAAAATTATTGAAAATAATAAAAATCATTTTACAAAAAAATAATCAATAGTTAATTGTTTTTGTCTAATAAGATTTAGATATACATAAAATCAATTTAATTGAAGAGTTCTTTGTATATTTGAGAATCAATCCTAATAACTTACTTATTTTTTTATATAACATATTATTTTCTTATTCATAATTTTTTTCATACCTTTGTTATGTATTATGTTTATTTTTTGTCTGTAAATTTCATATTTACAAAGAAAAATTAAGAATTGAGAAATTAAAATAAAATATCTCAAATATTACTAATAAAATATTGTTATTAAATTCTTAAGGTTTAATCCTCTATATTAAAATTTGTCTGTTTGAATTATGAATCATTTAGTAAATTGAAATATAAAATATTAAATATAAATACAAAAGAAATTAGATGTTTAATATATAAATGATAATAAGAAAGGAATTTGGTTTATCATATCAATGCTTAATGCTTTTGAAATGTATGAACTCTATTTTCTTTAACGTTGTATTTAACGCTTAAAAGTTTATAATAAATAAATAAAGTCATTGAATATAGTTATCATAATCAACATATTAATATTGTCCTGTTTTATGGCACATGTTTTATAATTTTTAATCCATCCTATCACTTTGAAATTAGATATCATCACAATCTTATTGTAAGGAGACTATCCATTGATCAAATTGATTATTTTAGTCTCTTTAATCATGGATGAGCTGGAATAAGTTCTTATAGAAATATAAATAAAGATTACAGATTTCAACTTATTAACATTGACTGTCATTTCATATTCAGTATTAAGTATGTCTCTTTATTATGCATGTTCAAGATTGTTTAGACTCAATTTCATATCTTGGATGCTTTAACGAAGTCTATTTCTAATTTCCTTTGTAGATTGAATAATTTCCTCTATTTAAATTATTTAATTATACTCTGATAATTCTAATATGGTCATTTGCACTTTAAGCCATTAAAATAAAGGCAATTGAATCTTCACATAAGGAATGAGGTTATCTTGCTGTAGTTGAATCTAAGATTGAATCTATTAGACTAGATTCATGCATTCTTAAAGTGACAGATCCCGAATGTTTCATTTTCTTATTCATTATATTGAGATGAAATAAATTTATATATTATAAAGATTATTATTTTAATTTGCATTTAGAAAATTGCTGATTTTTTAATTTTAGCATCATTAAATAAATAATATTATGAGATAAGATAATCATTTTAGGTAATATAAAAAAGAGAAGAAAAAATAGAGAATCTAAAAATGATATAATAGAAATTAAATAAAGGATAGAAAAGAAATTAAAAGAATCAAAATTATTAATAAAAAGAGATAACTAAAAAATTTATAGTCATTATACAGTTAAATCAGATAAGAAAGATATATTAAAATTAAATTAAGAGTAAATGTAGTAACTTTAAACAATTCATACAAGGTTTTTATAATTGAATTAAGATTAGAGATTTTGACAAATTTTATAACTATTATGAGAGATAAACATTTTTTAATATTTTTAATTTTTAATTTGTTAATAATTTTGAGATTTTTATATAAAATACTATATCAGTTTTATTGATTTTTTGAATAAGATAAATTATGAATGTTGTTAATAATTAGACAGATTTATCAAATGATGAAGTATTTGTGTTAAATTTGAAATTTGGAAGGTTTTGGAAGGGAATGACTAGAAAAAAAGAAAAAATGTTGAAATGAATAAAAATTACTTTATTAGACAAATATTTTAGTTTAAAATTTCTTATAAAAAAATGATAAATTAATGTTAATACTTTTGATAAAATAAAATCTTATAAGAAAGTTTCATTTAAAAATCCTGTAGAAAGAAGGTAAATAAAGAAAGAATGAATATTCTAATAAAAAAAACAAAAATAATATATTTAATTTAATTTCAATCTTATTCGATTGACTTTCTTTCTTAATTTAACTAGTTTTACTAAGTATTCAGAAATTGATTCTTAAATTACTATAAAATGATTAGAATGATTACATCTAAATAACCAGGTGGAAATTTTATATTAATATTGAGATCTGTAATAGTTTCTCCATTTTGTTGAGCTTCAACAATCATTTTCTAAAGTAATAATGGGATATAAGATTACAGCAAATTTTTCTCTATCTGTTTTATTACCTCCATCATGTTTTAATTTAATATGGAGATTCAAAGAAACATCACTACCATACTGTTTATTGCATTTTTCATAAGGACATACAAAACTTTTCTCAATTTCTTAAGAGGTCCTTCTATTTTTCTTTTTATGACGATAACTTAAAGCTATATGTAATTCTTATTATAATTTCTTAAAAATATGACTTAGGTTTACATCAATGTCTCCTATTAATTCATGTAATTTTTAATTTTAAGAATGTAATTCATTAACTTTTTTAATTGCCATTTCATTTAGAATGTAATATCTCCAAAATTCTTTATAATAGTTAACATCACTATTATACTCTAAATTTGAATTAGATTATTATGAATACCCTAATTCTAATCTTTATTTAGCAATAGTTATTCAGTCGATTAGTCATCGAGTTATGATCTTATTTCTTGTAACTATTTTAATTTTCGATTTAATTCATCATCAACAATATTCCAATCCCTTGACTTATTCATTAACTGTAATATATATATTAATAATTAAATCAAATGTTAACAATTTATTATAGATTGATTTCACTTTACCTTATACTCAATACAAGTACCAAAAAGTTTATCAAACAATATAAATTGGGAACCATAATTACCATTATTTTCACTATGATGCAATCCATGATGAATTGAATTTGTTGCAAAAGGTAAATAATTATACAATTCCCAAGGAAAAACATATCCACAATGTTGATGTATAGCTTTTGATAAGTGTAATCCAACATAAATTAATATTGTTATACAATGTATTTAATCACCTAATAAATAAGGGCCAGAGAATATTGGTATAATATTGCTAGAAATAAACTCGATTGGATGAGCATATTCAGTAGCAATCGCAACTAATTTTAATTCTATAAATATACTTGAAACATTATATTAATGATGAATTTTATGAATTTTTGGATATAATTATGGTAAATGCAAAATTCTATGACTCCAATAAAATATCAAATCTTCACTAAGATGACAAATTATAACATGCTTCATTATTTCATAATAACTTGGAAAACTCTATTTATCCATTCTACATTCAAATGCAGGTATTATACTGACTAATAGAGCAGCTAGTGATTAATTTATAATTATTGATTTTAAAGTTTTTATTTTCATTTTTTTCCATTCTTCTTTATTTTTTTCCCAAGGCCAAGGTTTCTAAAATCTTATTCAATTTATTACCTACACAAGTTTAAATTATTCAAAGAATGGATGATTCACTGAATAAAATATCTAATAATATGCACAAACCACAACTTAAATTACATTCTGAGTGACTACCATTACTACTATAAAAAATAGTTTTTCTTAATTATAGATTATTTATTACTATTCTGTATTTCTTATGGCCAAATATATTCCAAGAACTTTGTAAAATAGATCAGATAAATTAGATAACCTGTTATTCCTATTAATTTATAAATCATTATTGTTGATAATTTATATTATCTGTTCTAATCAATTTTATTAAAAATTTTAATATTCAATCCTCATTATTAAAAGAAATTTAAGTTAGAATAAATTATTAATTTTGTTTTGAAGTGATCCATAAATATACATTAAATAAATGTTATAATTAATAATAATTTATACACGTTTATGATTAAATTAGCGTTTTTAATACTAGCACTAGTTTAAACTTAAGACATAGAAGAAGAAGAGTAATTTAATTATTTAACATAAGATTATCTAAAAAAATTGGGGCTTGTTGGATGAAAACTATTAAGGATATTAATAATGAAAAAGATAATATGGCCAAAATTATTAGAAGTGTAGAAAATGCTAACAAGACATTGATCTTTCATAAAATATAAATGTCTATGATATTGTAATGTGAATCATTGATTGATATCAACAATGCAGTAAATAAAATATTAAGTTATTTTAGAACTATTTAAATCTTAGTTATAAGGATGTTGTGAAGGATTTTGATTATAATTAGTTTATTGGAATACAATTTCAATTAACTAAAGAAGAAGAAACATTATTGAGAATTATAAAAAAAATGGAGAAGGATTTGGGAGAATTAGATAAATAAAATAAAATAAAATAATAATACACAAAGACTTAAGAGATCGAAAAAGATTGGCAAAATGCTTACAATACTAACTAAAGTGATTAAACTTTACTAACAAAACCAAATTACTTCCATTATGCTTTCTTTTTAATTTTATTCATTGCAATTTTTGGAGGAGGTTTTTGGAGTATAAAAATGATTTAAGGAATGAAGGAAGATTCACTTAAAAATTAAAGCAAAGCAAAATGATATTATTAATCTTAATTATTTTAATTAATAATTTTCTGAATAATTTCAGCAAAACAAATTTTCAATCATTTCTGTATTCTTTAATATTATTTAAATCTAACCTTTTCAAATGTAGTTTACTTTTTTATTCCATTGCACTTAACTCTTCGCCTTTACAAGTAAAGAATTATCAGTTATTCCCTATCATAAATTTGAATTTAAATGTGGTCATTTAACAATATTATAAAATCATCCTCCTTATTATAAAAAATTATTTATTATACTCAGCAAAATGTCAATTTTTTGGAAGTATTTATTTAATTTGATTATTTGAGCATTTAAATTCTCTTAGGATTAAAATAGGAATATTTATTTTTCATATACATCCATCATATATTATATGATAATTGTATATAAATTGTTATCAATTAAACGAAGAGTTACTTGAAATTAATAATTTTTTAATTTAGAATAATATATATGATGAAATTTAACATAAAATAAAAATAGATAATTATAAGTAAATAAGATTGATAAATTGTTTAGATAATAATAGAATTATTAGAAATGGTTTCAAAATTAATATATATTTTTGACATCATACTTTTTTTTCAGGAGAAACAGGTTATGATTTTCTTTATGAATGATTCTTTTATGTCTATTGATGCTAAATATTCTTAAGTTCTATGTCATAATGATATCCTTCAAATAAGGCTAATTAATAAATTCATAAAAAATACATTAAACAGTGTCTCTTCTCAAGAGAGTTTAATTTTCTAATAGTTATTCATCATTTAATTGGGTTTCTTCAGAAATTTGATTTTAGAAATCGAAATTATCATCAACTGCCTTTAATTAAGTAGATTTAATACCCCAGGTACATAAAGAGCTTAAATTTTCTTTTTTAATAAATCATCCCAAGGATAACCTTTCAACCATGGATGATGTAAGATTTCTTCTATTCCATTGCTACCTAATCTTCTTTCTGGTTTTCTTAAAATTAACTAGAGTAATATTATAATGATATTTACCTAATTTACAAAATCAAGTGAATTCTCACTCCAACCAAAAGGTAATTCTTCTTTTTTTACTTAAACTTATTTGGCTAATATTTATTCTCTGATATCTTATCTAGTTCTTCCATTATAAGGTCTTCTTCCCAACATTAATTCATATGTAATTACTCCTAAAGCATAATAATCAGCCACAACAGAATGATCCATTCTACACATTACTTCTGGAGCCATATAACCAGGAGTACCTGATGTATCTCCAGCATTATTTCCTTTATTCATTCTAGCTATTCCTAAATCTGTCAATCTCATATATCCATCTTCATCTAGTACTAAATTTTCTGGCTTTAAATCTCTGTGTATTATACCATTTTAATGTAAATATGTTAAAGCCAATAAAATACAAGCTACGAAAAATCCTATAATTATTCTTATTTAATATACTTGTTTATGGTTCACTAAATTTTCTCATTTTACCTAGATGAAATCTTAAATCTCCTCCAGTTAATAGATCTATAATTAAAAATAGATTTTCTCTATCTTAAAATGCATACCACATATTAACTAAAAAAGGGTGATGTAAGTGTTCTAAAAGATACTTTTCATTTAAAACTGAATTAACACTTCTTTTTTAGATAACTTTAGCTTTAGACATTTCTTTTAAGGCAAATAATTTTTTATTTTTTTTCATTTCTACTCTCCAAACTCTTCCGAAACCTCCTTTTCCTATAACATATAGAAATTTAAAATGTAATCTACCAACCTACTCATCTATTTTTAAACCGAGAACTTAAGTTTTTTCTGAGATTTCACCAGTAGATTTTCTTCTAATTTCACTTGATTTCGAATCATTTTAATTAATTTTACTTTTCGAGATAGAATCATTTGGAGTGATTTTGCTCTTTGTAGAATTTTCATGATTATTAGGAGAATTAGGAGCTGATTCAACTAATCCTGAATTAATAATCTAATTTATAATAAAATAATAAGATACAGCTGAGAATTTGGGACCTTGTTAATTAAGTTTTAATTTGAAAGATGTTTAGGTATTACTAAGTACATGACTTTTTGATTCAATTCTTTTTGGAATGACTTTAGATTTAACATTGTAACTGTTTTCATACAACTATGAATTACTTAAGTTTCCTTTTTGATAATAGTTATTTAAAAAATTTTCCATGTTATGATAAAATTATGGCTTTTTGTTTTGTTCTTTAGGAGCCTATCTAGATTAAGGACGAGAGTCTTATAATTATTATAAGTGGCTTTGTAATTACTTTTGTAAGAACATCTATTGCATTTAATATTGTTTCTCACGGTTAGGAGATTAATGAGCAGAAACAGAACTTGTTACTTTAATTTCTCTTCTACTATCTTATTCACAAGCTTGATTTTTAGTTGCTACTTTAACTTTTAATAGAGGAGAAGCATTAATCACTACTCTTTTCTTCATACAGATAGTGCAATTCTTTTAATTGCAAGAACATTGAGATATATCAACTTTTTTATCCCAATTCCCAGATTATTTTCTATTTGGTTGTATTTTATTAACAGGCTCCCCTTTAAATTTGATTTTACTATTGAGCTATTGCTTAATCAACAAATCTCTTAAGTTTTTTGCTGTTGATTGACTCATTTCGTTAATTATTTTTATTTAGTGAATAATATATATAATTCCAAATAAAAAATACACATATATACATATAATCATAAACACCCGACTCTCTTAAACTTGTATCTAAACCGTATTTATATATTTTTGTAGATATAATATATTTTCAATAATTATATAATCATGATTAATAATTAATAATGAAAAAATTTCTTAAATATCTGAAAACATCTACTATAGAATAATAAGAGCCTATTACTTAGAATCAGTCAGATTAAGAACATTTTCTAGTTTTAGTTGGTGATTTAATTAAATATTAAAATGAACCAACAAATCCTTCTAAAATCATCCCCATCATTAGATAAATCATTTTATATGCAATTAAAGGAGACAATGAATTACATAAATAATTATTCGAGTAGTTTATGGAAATTGATATTCTGAATAGACTCTATGATATATTGTAAAGAAGATTATGTCATCCTTCTTTAATCTAAGAAGTATTTCAATAGACAATATATTTATAGATTTTTGAATAGATAAGTTCATTATTAATAAATGTGAAGGAGATCACGAATAAGAACTATATTTTATCACATTCTAGTATTTCAAATATGGTTTTATGGAAGTAATCTTTTGAACAATATTAACCAAATGTTGAGATTGTAGAAACATATATCAGCTTTTTGAATTTGTTAGCAGTTAAATTAGATGACATTACAACAATGTTTTTTATTAATCTCAAATATCCATAGTTTCCACTTTTATGGAATGCTATTAGATTCTATAATCATCCTGAATTGATGGTAAGAAATAAAAGTAGATCAATTGTTTTGCATATTCTTAATAGTAATATACTTATTTCTATTTACTTTTAGTCAAAAACCAAAACATTATGGCTTATACTAGTAGTTTTCCATTTTTACAATATTATTTTAATCTTGGAAATCATGTATTAATTACTATTAAATAAATTAATGTGATTGTTGAAAAAATTAAATGGAGATTTGAAGGATAATAACAAGAACAATTAGCAGCCCTTTCTGAAGAATTGAAAGAATAATTACAATATATTCATGATCTCTTTATCAATAATTAATATTTGTAATAATTGATATTAGATTATGCAATCTAGAGACCAGTAATTCAATTAAGTTAAGTTATCAAATTTGGTTATGTAAATTATAATCATAATTCAAATAGCAACATTTTCATATTGCTGTTGCTCTTTAAGCCTTCTTATTATTCTTACAATATTTTAGGACCAATAATAAAATTATACAATACATCTACTATGTCTTTCTATCTCAAGACAAATCTAAAATTATGATATCTGAAGATATTTGGGGATATTCGAATTCATATGATAATGACTAAAATTTCATTAAAAAGTTATGTCTATAAATTTATCAAACTTTACAGCCTATTGATTTATAGGATTTAAAACATGAAAATTTAGATATTAAACTCAGTCTCTAATCATTAAGGCAAGTTGACTAAATTATTCTTTAGTAAACTGTTGAAACAGATATAAAAATTTAAGAAGCTTAACTTTTAAGTATTATTAATTAACATTGTTCAAATAAGGAAGTACTAATTTATGTACTACTTTTTATTAAGGAATTAGCAAATGCTGAAATCATCTAATCATATTATTAAAATGTAATTATTGATTCTACTCTAGATGCTTAAACTTGTATTTGAATAAGATTAACAATTAGTAGTTGCTATTTTATCATTAGATATCCTTTATGAATTTAAATAAAAATTAGATATTAATACTTATGTCATCTAACTATACAATTAAATCCTTGCAGAATTTATTTAAATTATTAAAACATCATAATTATTTTTAGATCAATTAATTGATACATTTAAGAAGTAAAAAAAATATGTTATTTTAGGAAAATTATTCCAATCAATAAAGAATTTATTATTGATCAATAAATCAATGTTCATCATGAAAAATATGCGATTCTTTTTGATCCCTATAGTTCATTAGCTAAGATTTAGAAACTTGAATATTGTATTATACTTCTTCAGGATAAAATTTTTAATGATTTACCTAAGATCAATGAATAATATCCTGAGTTAACAAAACTTTAAGTTCCTTTTTACTAAATAGGTGATAAACCTAATTGTAACAAAATGGCATGTTAATATAGTGAGACTGGACATTTCTATAATATGGAAACTTAGTACTGTTAAATTTATACTGTAGTTATATTTTAGATGTTGATAACTTTTTACATATTGTATAATTGGATGAAAATGGAGTGATTGTAGATGTGATATGCTCTAAATTATGGCAATTATTATAGGTTTATGGAATAGAAAGAGTATAAGTTCTACAATTTACTTACTTTGATTTTTCAAAAGTATAAAAATTGTTAATAATTTAAATAGTTTTATTTGAGACTCTAAAATTTTGATGATGTGAAATATGTAGATTCTCTAGCATCTTAGTAGCAACAAAAATTTGGAGATTGGTTTAAAGAGCTTCTTATTTAGAAATTGGAGAAAGTTAAATAGAAAATAATAGTAAATTAATGATTGATTTTATTAACTAAGTTGATATTATTAAAATAAAATTATTAAATTAAAAATAGAATGATTGATACTTAATATTACTATTTTATGATAGGTAAATAAATCATTGCTGTTGTTTTAGCTTTTATTTAACTAAGCATTCTTTCAACACAAATTCGAATTCATTGAATGAAACTGATCCATCTTTATTATGATCAAAAAAACTAAAAATGGATTTACATTCTTCATCAGTGACAGAAGAATCAATACGTTTTAACAATTTACCAAGTTCAATAACATCGAGTTCATGATTTGCTGATTTATCATACTTGAAATAAAAATGATAATATTTACCTTATTAAATAAATCTAAGAGGTTAATATTGTATTTAACAATTGATATTTTCAACTTTTCAATAACGATTCTAGCTCTATCATCAAGTGATCCTGCTTATATATCTTATTAAGGTTTAAGAAGGATACTGACTTTCTTTTTTGTTCTACTAACTTCTGAAGCAGTCATTCTACACTAAATTAGGTATTATAGAAAGATTATTACATCATTTTCTTCAAGCCACTTTTTAAATTCATTAAATTCAATTAAATTATTGCCATCATCATCAAATTTATTAAAAATATATTCAATTTCTTCTCTTGTTAAATTTTTATCAACTCTTTATAAGAACTTTCCTAATTCATTAACATTCAAAGCTTTATCTTTAGTCATATCTAATTCAGCAAATAATTCTCCAATATCCAATTATTCTTTAATAATCATTTATCTAATATCATTAATGAGATAAGTAGCTTTATCTTCTAAAATACTAACATTCTTAATAAAATCTGTAAAATGTCCTTTAAAGAGTGGATGTCTATATATTTCATCCCATGATAATCTATCTTTTTCTTCAGCTTATAAACATCCAATTAAGAATTCTTAAGCATCTTTTGAAATTTAAGGTCCTTTAAATTAGAGAGGTTAATTTCTAATATTTTTAAGTAATTCTTATGGTGATCTAGCAGTCCAAGGTGCTAAAAGATATGATTAATGAATTAAATACTTTTGCCAAATAATGCTTCATAAAAAATAAATGCAATACTCCATATATCTGTTTTAGAAGTATATTTTTTGTTATCCAAAATTTAAGGAGACATATATAATGGAGTACCTACTAATGATGCTAACATATCCTTTTTAAAATTATCAACACATTTAGCAAATCCAAAATCTGCTAATTTGAATGTCTAAATAATGTATATAAGAATACTGCTTTATCGATAAGAATATTGGCAGGTTTAAGATCTCTGTGAATAATTCCATTTTTAATTAATTAGATGAATCCATTTAAAATATCAATCATAAATTTGACAGCATCTTTTTCAGGCATAGTTTTTTTTTATGATACATAACTAAGTTATAAGTATGAGTATTGATACTTTTCTATTAATTTATCAAGATCTCCACTATCACAAAATTCTTAGATTATATAATAATTGTTATTAGTTTCCATTACATCTAAAAGTTACACAATATTGGGACTCTTCAATTTTTACATAACTTTGATTTCTGAAATCAAGCCTTCTCTTAAATAATCATCACTATAACATATGTCTCAAATATTTATACGCATTAATCACAGATTTATTCAATACTTTTATGGCTACTTTGATTCCTGTCTTCTCCTCTCTACCTCTATACACTTAAGCATACGAACCTTCTCCGATAAGATCTTTTGGATTGAAGAGATATTTATCGATTCTTTTCTCCCCCATTAAATAAATTTAAATTCAATCATCTTCATCATAATCATCATCAGATTATTATCTTCGAACTCTTTTTGATTTTCTTCCACCTGCTTTCTTTTCTACTTTCTCATACTCATCATTCCCTTTACGTTTCTTCACTACTTCATCACTTTAATCATCTTATTGTAAACCTTTCTTCTTCTTTTTACTCTCCTCTAAATCTGGTAATTTTTAAGCATAATCTTTCATGAAATCATATTAAGACTCTTATAAAACTATCTTTCTTTTATTTAATTAATTTTTTACAATAAACCAGGTGTTGCTTTGTTTAATTTTTTGTCTTTTAATGTCTCCTTACATTTTGTAAGAATGTCTTATAAAAATAATTCAAGTGATTTTGCTTTTGCATAATACTACAAATAATACTTAATACATAAGGAACTACATTATTGATCTTTCCAACCTCTTAATTTTCTTAAACTATTTTCTTTACTTTTGAAACTGGGAATTTTAATTGATTCTTTTTTAATTGTTAATCTTATTATGTGTCCATTTTATTTTTTATAATATAAAAATTTATCCATAAATGATTATATTAATATTTATAAATATTTTATATGACAGATTTTTTTTACATCCAAGTTCCTGCTGATGTAAGAGTCTTGTAATTGTCTGGAACTTCTCTAAATAAGAATCAATTAGATTAAGTTTATAAATGTACCAACCTTCTCAAATTAGATTTATCCAATTGTAATCTAATTTGCTTTCCAAATCTTAAGAAATTAATTAATTTAAGAATTCTATACTTACATTAGAATCATATAACATCACTTTAAGTAGAACCAATTTTAGGATGTAATCAATTAAATTATCTCACATTGTTTTTAAATCCAGTTTCAGCATAGTGTTCTCTTAGAAGATAAGTTATAACATATATCAAAACACTTTGGGCATTTGATTTTAATGCAATAACAGATGAAGAAAAATATAAAGAATTAAGTTTAAAATAATCAACAGAAAAAAGTAGACTTCCTTGGCCCATTATAGGTACTCCAAAAGAATTCAAAGATTCATCATAGATTATTTTATTACTTTGGTAAGAATTAGATGTAATCAGAAAGATTTGGCAAAAATGTTCTATCATTTTAACTATTCAAAGGTATATCAAAAGTTTTCTAACTAGAAGAAAATTTAAGAATATAGTTCTAAAATAAATGAAAATATAGTATATTAATCTTAATATTTAGAGCTTTAGTAAAATAAGCAATCAAACATTGGATTACCTATACAAAAAATAAAAGAGATCTTAATTATCTATTAGGTAATTAATATAGCACTTAATTCGAAAAAGTTAAAGTTATGGTTCAAAATTATAGATAAAGAAAAGGAAAAACTATTAAGGAATTAAAAAGTGCAAGAATTATTTATAGATCATTTAAATCTTTTTATTAGAATCAAAAACTTTAACTAGAATCTATTGGTAATTTATAGAATCTCTATTTCTATAAAGAATAATTAAATTTATTCAAATAAATTCTAAATAGATTATTTAATAAACCAGAAATAAGAGCCATCATTGAATAGACACCTCTTTTGTAAGAAGATTTCTTAAAACCCAATAAAATTTATGATTCTAATGTTTTTACTTATAGATTGCCTAATTAATTTAATTTAATTAATAATCCCATTTATTTTAAAAGTATGCTTACATATCCTGCCTCTTTGGCTAAAATAAGTTGTTGCTTATAGGCACTAAAATTAAGTATTATTAAAAAATGGACATCAATAACTAAATTTTCATAGGATGTTCATACCTATTCATACTTATAAAAATATGATGAATTGATGCCTGCTAGAAAACCATACTTTATTATGTATAAATTACCAAAATAGGATAAAATTAAATTTAAAAAGAGTCTAAAACAAATTGATAAATTTTAATAAAGAGAATATAGATAATTGTATGTCATTAATTTAAGTAAAGAACTTCTTCCTTTGGTAATTAAATGCATAATCTTACACAATAAGAATCATCCATCTTAAATTTTTATAACAATATTTGAAAAATAATTGAAAGAAGCAGTAGCTGCTCTCAAGATATAAAGATAATTTAGAGCTTATTAAGATGTAAAGAAGAATGGAAAAACTTTATATGAAATAATTAATATCTTAGTAAAAGAAAGATCTCTGTTAATTTTATAGAAATGGTTTAAGGATTTGAAAATGAATCATAGAACTATTTTTTTTAAGATGATTTCTTATAGACTTAAATAAATCACACAAAATGTTTTATATCTTAATTACTCAATTTATATACAATTAAGTAAGTGTAATTCAAGACTATAGTTTATCGAATAAAAAGCTATGTTACATTTGATTAATTATAAATTTACAGCATCTCTTGAATGGCTTCCAAAAAAAAATATCATTCCAATTTGGCTAAGGAAATAAATAACTCAGTAAGAGGAAGATTTTTAAGAAGAATATGCTATCTTAAAAAATTGTGATATATATCATTTATTACATTTTGAAACTCAATGTGAAATTAAGAATTTATTTAACTAAATGTGGATTCAATTTACATTTCCTTAAAATGATTAATTAAAATTAAGATTATTGTTTTTAGCTTTATATACATATTCTTTTAAATACTAATGTTTTGTATAATTGTATTAAGAAAATGAATTGTTAGAACAAAATTAAAAAATAAAGTAAAATGATGAAATATTGATAAAAACATATCAATTATAATTATTTACATATAGTGTAGAAAATTGTGAAATTCCAAGTAAACCTTCAATATGGCTATCAACTTAGATATCTGATAAAATAAATAATGAAGTAGAAGTGAGATTTTATAAAAATGGTATAGATTAGAAAAGTAAAAAGAAAAAAAACATTTCTAAATTACCAGGATGTGAACAAATTACATCATATCTTTATTTCAGTCAAATAAAACACTAAGAGAATTAAATTACTTTTTCTTAAATTAAATAAAACTGTCCTACTGCATCTACAAATATCAGAACAATTACTTAAATAGATAAACCAAAAACTGCTCTATAAACCTATATATTTTAATAAGATAGTTTCGAGTAGGAACAAAACCCGATAGAAAGATAGTAATAAAGATTAAAATTAGTTACGATTTCCACTCGTTAAAATTTAAGAGCAAAGTCTGTTATGAATAGAAAATAAACACAGCAGATTGAATTACCAACATTTTTATAATCATAAAGTTTTAATCTAAGTAATAGTGTTGTAAGATAATAAAATTAACCAGATATGTCTAAATAAATGTAATATTGGGAAGATAGAGAAAATTAATAAAGATAATAAATAAAAAAATAAAATTTTGATAAAAGATAGGCAAAATTGTAAATCCATAATGATAGATCTTTTTATCAAGATTTTAGTATTGGATAGAATCTTATTAGTAGATAAGGTGATAGACATTTACATAGATTATATTAAAAGAAATAGTAGGAGATATCATAACAACATGTATAATAAATCAAAGAACATTCAAACAATATTAAAGAGATTTAAGCGATGAATAACAAAATGAAATTGTAAGCAATTAAAGAGGCTAATACTTAATATAAGGCTTCTTTAGAAAAGCCAGAGTAATAACAAAGATTTATCTAAAAGAACTAAACAAAAAAAGTAGGAATAGCAAATAAGTATATCCATTCTGTTTTACCTGAAGAGATATTTCCAATTAAAATTGAGTTTGAAAATATATGATATAATTTAATTCATAAAGAAATGGGTTGTTAATGTTGTAAGGATGAAGAGAGTGTTAAAGATAGAAAATAAAGTGAATTACCAGATAATTGGAATCCTAACAGAATTGACATTATCAATAGCAAAACTAAAGTCAAAGTTGTATATTCTTAAGCAGATTCTTCAAAAATTGATGGAAACATTTTTGCTGTAAGTACAAAAGGATTATCCCCTTTATTTTCTAATTAAATAATAAACTTTGTGTAAGATTGTCTAAAGGAAAATGATGGAGCATTTGAATATGGAAATTGTTATTAAATTTCCATCAAAGAAAAGAAATTATTTCTTGTATGCATTCCTATGTGGAGGGGTGGTTAATTTAATGAAAAGAAACTTATTGAGACAGCTTTTGAGAAGTTATCGAAATAAGTAAAGGAATCATCTATAAAATAAATTGTTATTGATGAAGTGGGTGTAAGATATTTTGGATATCCAAGATAAGTAAATTTATGATAATATTTATAGATAATTATATCAAGTTTGATACATTCATTTAAAAAGTTTATTTAAGAAGAGACATATTTAGAATAAATCATATATACTTCAAATGATAGAGCAACTATAGCTATGATTGAAACTTAACTCAAACAGACTCATCCTGATCTATTTAAAGAAGATGATAAACTAGATATCAAAGCAATCGGAAAAAAGAATGCTAATGATGTTACTTCAGATTTAGAATAACCTTTATTAGCAGAATGATTATTAAATAAAATTCATTATATATTTATCATATATAATCTAATATTTATGATTGTATATATATATTTACAGGGAACAAAGAAAAGAATGTATATTTGAGCCAATATTTTTATCATAAATTTTATTTATATATATATTTTCTTGTAGATTAAATTATGTAGAATAATAGAATTGAGGAGGGAATGATAAAAATTAGATCTAAAGAATATAAATTTTTTGTTTATGATTTTTCGTAAAAGTAATAATAAATTGTTAAACCCTAGTTATATTAAAAGGAAACAATAACAATCACAATCAAAGATAACTGTTAAAGGAATAAAAATTAGTTGTGTTAGCGAACCTTATTTTTGATTTTTCGACATAATCTTAATAAGGTAAAAATGATTTTAAATTTATAGCTGAATGAATATAAATTTTAGAGGTTAATGAATTTTGAATATATAGACATAAAATGATAAAATGATTGATATTGACATTCGAAAACATGATGTAAAGGTTGTTAAGTTTTTTAAAAGTCAAATAAATAGGTTTGTATTTAGTAAAATTGAGATGCTATTATTAAGGGAAGTATGAGATCTAGTTTAAATGTAATGAAATTTAAATAATAATGAATAAAAATTAGTAAATTAAGTGTGAATAAGAGATTCGTATAATATATGGTTTGATGAAAAATGAAAAAGAACTAAGTATAATGATTAAAAGAATTTGGGTATTTGAAGTGAGAAGGAAGATTATAGAGAAATGTTAGAAGTGGAAATAGTTTGAGTTGATTTGTGAATGAATATATGAATAATTTGGTTGATGGTTAATAGATGAAAGGTTGAAAAAAATAACGAAATTTTTCAACAATTTCAATAATGTTCATTAATAATTATAATAATGAGAGTATCTGTATGTTTGGTATAGTGTTGCAAATATCAAATTGAGTTGATAGAGAGTTTTGAGATAAAGATTTGAGAAAGAAGGGTGTATTAAGAATGACTGAACACTTATGATAAGAATATATTGATGGGTGGAAAAGAGTAGTGGTAATTAGTTTTTGAAGGTGTTTGGAGTATTTTGAGTTTGATTTGTAATGTTTTTGGTTTTCCTTGGGATAGTATCTTTCTATATATTCAAGTTTCTTTAATTATTAATCGATTGGGCACCCAAGAAAATGAAATCAAGACCAAGACAGATCGATCCAACAAAACCAGTCCTGATCTCTAATAGTCTAGAAGCATTCACTAATGCAGAAGGACAAGAAGCAGATATAAAAAACACTGAATAAATCATCACACCAGATCAACTCTTAAAAGAAAAGTAAATTGCATATTTTCATCCAATTACTTATAAGGAGCAAGTAGAACATTTTCATGCCACTTGATTGTGGTTTGAAACAACTTGATCCTTACCACCCGCCATATTTATTTTTATATTATACTCATTATTATTTAGGCCTAAATAATTTGAAGAGCCCACATTAAAATCACAACTTCCTACCAAATGTCGTGAAGATTACATCTCTTATAAGGCACCTGTATATCCAGATAGTCAAGCTTATGAATTAACCGAAGAGGATATTCATTTCCTTTCTACAATTAATGAAAAACTAAACATTCCTGTTCATATTGAAGATTTTGAGTAATATTTATCACTTCTTGATTAAAAGAGTGGAAAGGATGTAGAAATAGACTTTATAGAGTTCATTAAACTCAAACTACCTTTACCAAAGACTATTAATATATAAATATAATCTATTTAGGAATAATTATATGCCTACTTTAAAAAATAGAGATAGCATTTTTCTCGTCCCTTAACTAGATACCTTATGCATCCATATTATGAAGATAATAATCCTCATTTAGCCTTTCGTCCTAGAACTTAACCTATGGATAGAACTATGAAATTGAGAAGAGGCAATCCATAAAATACTAGAGGTGTTTTAGAAATGGAAAATTTAGGATAAAAAATTGTTATGTTAAAAAAAGATCTACTTATGGTTTCTAATTTAATTGATTAAAGTTTATAAAGAGAAAAGGCTATGGAAATTGATAGGAGATTTACATTTTGTAAATTTATCAAAGAATTCTTTGATCAATCTAAAAGAGAAAAAGATAATAATTCAGAAATTAAATTATGGACTAAAGACTGCTTTGTTAGAGATTGCTCTGAAAAATGTACAATTAATATAGTCGAAAAAGCTGAAGAAATGTTTGATCATATAAATAAAGAAATCTTATAATGGAAAGAATTAAATGAAATATAAAAAAGAGAAAAATAAAAAAAAGAAGATTAAATTAATAGATATGAAAAATAAATAGATGATTTGATTGCAGAAAAATTAAAATATGAAGAAAAACCTATTATTTAACCTCCTCCTATTCCTTAACCTACTTTTGTTCCTCCACCTATTCCTGTACCTCATCCAGAACCTCCTGATGAAAAAATGGAAAGTGTGGCAAGATTCTTGGCTACTTTATATTTAGAAGCTAGAAAATATTAATTAACATTTGATTAAGTCTTATCAGATTCATTTCCTATTTACAAAATACAAAATTAATAGTAGCCAGTCAATTCTAAAAGTGTCCTACCTTTTTCATTGATGCAAATTGAAGGAAATGATTTAATATATAAAGTCAGAAAAGATAGTTCTTTGGAAAAAAAAGATAAACCTTATTGGGAAAGTTATACTGATCCATCCCTATCTAATACATTATATTATTAGAATGAGTATTTTAAAGAAAAAGTCAATGATATTATGGAAATGGCAGATATGGATTAAATGGTCTATGCTTAAGGTTTAGATGATGATAAATAAGATGAAGATGATAAAATGTTCAAAAAGAAAGTTAAAGGAAGTACCACCAGATTGACTGGGTCAAATGGAGCATAAATAAAATGATTAATAACTATTTTAGTATGTAAAATATTTAATATTTAATATTCAAATTAAAGGTTTCTTTGATGTATTTTGATTGATTTACTTATTTCTATTACTCACTTGGTTAATATGTTTAAAATATACTATCAGGTTATTAATTATACTTTCTCTCTAATAGATTATAATAAAATCTTCGATTTTGCTATTATTAAATATACATTGAATGAATTCCATTATCAAATGGATTTCTTCCAATTTTCCTAAAAGATTGTTAATTATTTTCACTATTTTCAAAAGGATTCCAAGAGGTATTAGATGAAACATTTATTGATTAACTTTTTTTATAATCTTATAATTATTATAATTATAATTACTACTGTTGTTATTGTTATTACTAGTATTGTTTTTGTTATTATTATTATTATTATTGTTGTTGTTATTATTATTATTATGATTATTATAATTATTATAATAATAATTATTATTATTATTATAATAATAATTATTATTATTCAAAATAATTTGAAACACTTTATTAAAATCAGATTAATTTTGGTTTTTAAATCTGATTATTGTAATTACTTTCTTAATATTTAAATAGTCTAATAAAACTATTCTTATTATTATTAAATTTAAGTCATTGATTATGGTTAATTTTAATTTTATTCAGAAAATTTAGAATCTTTTTCCAAAGCTGGATATTCAGAATTATCTTGAAGCTCTCCGGCAAATTAAGCTGAAACTCTATTAATTTCTTCAAATAGATCAATAGATCAGAATCTGGATAATGTGTAAGAGTTTCCCCTAATAATGGCTATTTAATTTGATTTTAATTATAAAATCATTAATTTCCTAAGGTAGATTGTAGATTCAATAATTTTCTAGTTTTGTTTAAATAATTATTTCCTTATTCTTAATGACATTCTTGAAAGCGTTTACTCTCTTATGAAGAAACTTCATGTAAAATATTGAGATTATGTTTTCCATTTTACAAATGTTTTGAATATTAGTTATAGCCTTTTCTAATTTTCTTTCATTCTATTTTAATTAATAATTTATTTAATCTGGTTATCTTTTTAAAACCTTTGCTATTTTATATGTTCTTTAATTTCAATTTATAATGATCATAAATTAATCTATTCTCCTAATATCTTCCAATAATAATTTATTTTATCTATAATATCAAACTATGGTTTAAATTCAAGTTTAATCTAATAAGTAGGTTACCTTTTTTCCATGTAATTCAGATATGTCTTGAAATATATTTTGATAAAATTAGTGGCAATTAATTTATTAGATCCTATTCATGTTCAAATATTTTAGTAACAATCATAGCAAATTGATTATCGATTATCTTTTATTTGTAGTTCTGTATTTTAGCTATTCAAAAATACATGAATGAAATTAATTGATTGTAATAAATGTTCTTTCAGCCATTAAAAAATATTTTTAAATTCATAAGCTTCACTCTTCTTCTTCTCTTCCAATTATGCATTCTTAGTTATTAAATGAACCACAAAATTCTTTCCACTATCTTTAAATCTAAATATGATACCTTTTTTGTATAACCTTGTCACAGCACTACTCATTTAATAATTTATATTGTATGTTTATGAATGTACATTGTAATAAAATCAATAGAAGAAACCAAGGATTTTACCTCCTATATGTCTTTATCTAGCCTCTTCATGAGTAAGAATTCCAACATTTGTAGTTAATACAACACAACCAAATTATCTAGCTGGTAATATGTTATTAGCCCATCTCTCAAACTCGCCTAAAGTCACATCATAACGAGGTGAAATCACTCCACATTTATTTATGCGTCCTCAAATATATAATATACTATACCCAATAATTCGACTACAATCTTTCCACTTCTGTGATCATCGACAATTTCAAACTCTCCAATATATCCATGTCTTTACATCACTTGCAAAAATTTCACAACTAATTTTGATGTTGGTCTTATTAAAACTTATTTTCTTCCTTGTCTTATTAAATTTAACTATTTATAATACCTTTCAGCATTAACAATTGAACGAAGGCAATCATTAAGAACATTCATCTTAACCATTTTAAATTAAAGATTTAAAATATATTAATATTTTATATATTAATTCCTACTTCTCCCATTTTCTTAATTAGATTACTTGTATTCAAAGCAATAAACCTCTATATTTTTCATATTAAATAATTAGAATTTTTATTTGATAAATTTTTTATCCTCTCATTTTTCATTTATTAATTCTAGACATTATTTATTTAAATAAAGTGATCTTAATTTTCAACTATTAGGTTATCATATTTAAAAGCTTCATTGTATGCCTTTCTTTAAACTTTCTCTATTTAACAGAATTAAATCAAAAATATCACATTAATTCATTCCAATTTACTTTAAAATCTAAAATTAAAATAAATCTAATTATTTTAAAAGAACATAATTTTAAAAACTTTTATAAATAACTTAATTCTCAAAGTTTCTTTGAAATTCAAACAATAATTTAGTTATATTTTAGAATAAGAAGATAAAATTATTCTTTTATTTAATTTCAAATACTTAAAATTGGAACTAAAAATGCTTGATTATTTGTTGATTTGAGAAAATGAAAGCTTTTTATTTTTAAATTTAAAATAATTTTGGAGAAAAAAAGTTTTTTAAATTAAACACAAAAAACTAAAATATATATAAAATAATCCTTGAATTAAAGAAAGAACGAAAAAGATTTTTTTACGAAAAATCTTACTTTTAACCCTTAATTTCAGGAATTAATTGAATGATTATGAGTTAGAGAATAAAATATTTTCATTATTATATAATTATTATAATTATTTTTATTCTAAAATTAGAACTTTTATTATTTAAATTCTCAATTATGCAAGTTGTTATTTTACAAAATGAAACCAAATGTTCCTTATTACATGATTATTTAAAGCAAATTTATTCACCAACACTCAGTAATCAATTAATTCATAGTGAAAATTATTTAAAATAGGAATTAAACGATTTTGAAAAGTGAAAAAAAATTTATTCTAATTTTAGATTATTGGAAGAAAGCGAGTAATTAGAAGAAATCATATTGGAACAAAAGACAGCAACACAAAAGATTGTTAAACAACTAAATGACAAGATTCAATCAGAAGAGGTTGTATATAGTTCTATAAATAGGATAAATTCAAAAAAGTAGAGACTTATAAAAAAGGAAAAAAAGATGAATTAACTGCTATATAAAAAGCATTAGACTAAACTTCCAGTGCAATGAAAGAATCTTGTTCAAAGGTATTGAAGGATCTGAAATTATAGATTGATAGTAAAGAGTTAAACAAGATTACACAGCTTCCTTAAGGAATGGATTAATTTTTTGGAAATTTATTTTCTATAGTTTACAATGAAGATTAAAGTAAATTTAATTGGATCTAATTCAAGAAAAAAGTGTAAGAATTATTATTTAATTAATAGTTTTGATGAAGATAAAGGAAGTGATTTTTAGAGTAGATTAGCTAACTTTTAATTTAAAGGAGTGAGCTAAGAAAAAGAAAGTTTGTTACAGTAGATGAAAGCTGATCCATAATTCTAAAAAGTTTTTTAAGATCCAAAATACACTAGAGCATTTTTAGATATTGCTGATTGGGTTTTAAAACATAATTTATTTAAGATTTCTTTTGTTGTTTCAGGTTTAGAGTCCCAAAGAAAAAAGGATCTTGTTTTTTAAGAATTTAATAGGATTGACAAAGAGTTTAGTACAAGAAAAGTTGAACTTGAAAGTTATTAAAAAACTTATGTAATTTTAAATAGTGATATTAGCAATTTTGGATTTAATAATTAATTTATTAAGAGAACTAATAAGGTTTATTAAACAGAATTAAACCAAATATTAAATAGATAGATTTGGATATTATGAGAAGCAAAGAAAATTTGAATAAGCATATTGATTAATTTCTTAATGGAGTAAATAAAATAAATGATTTATTTCAAACAAATATTTGAGGTTTAAAATTAGATATCTTTAATAAAAATAAAATTCAATTTGAATATCTCAATTTCAGGTTTTATGTGAATTTCTGGATAGCTCTGTTTAAGATATAATTCTTATTCTTTTTGGCGTATGTAGAGGTTTTCTTTAAGATAATTTCATTGGAGTTCTATGATTCTGTAAAATTAATTTTGATTATATACAATGAGATGTTATGTGGTAAAATGTTATCCTTTTAGGATTTCAGTTTAAGAGGAATCATTTTTATATTTATTGATTTAATGATTGTATTTATATGGATTTTCGCTTTCAAATATTCTTTCTGACATTAACATTTGAATTTGATGTTTTTACTAAGCATCTTTCTAAAGAACTGGAAATTCTCTTTAATTTTCAGAAACTAAATAATCTATTAATTTGCATTCTTATTAAACAAATTAATTTTAATCAGCACTAAGCTATTTACTCTTTCTTCTCATTGAACGTGTTGTTTGTTCAGTTTCAGATTTATAATATTGTGATGTACTTAATTTTCGAATTCGATTCTAAGTAATTATAATACAAATTTACTTGACGTAATTCAATTTATTCTTTTTCTTACAATCTTTTTAAAATAGCAATTTATTGGTGATCATTTGATTTTTTAGCTTATTTAATAAATGCAGCTTCTTAATCTTCTTCATCATCATCTTTTAGTTCAATCACTCTATTGTAACAGATATCTTCTAAAGATAATAGATTTTTGCATTATTTAACCTTTTGTTACGTATTCAATTAGTTAGAGTTTATTTTTTATATAAGTTCTTCTCTCAATACGCAATAATTCATATATTAGATCATATTTGGAAAACTCAGAGGAATGAAACTTAATTCGTCTAGTTTACCTTTTTTTTCTGAAGACTCCTTTATTTTTCTCATTAATTCAGCAAACACTGTAAATTAATAATTAATTCTTACTTTACAATGCTTCCTAATTTTGTAAGGCTTGTTTGAAGTCATTCCAATTAAGTTTGTCTGAGATAAATGATGTGTTTACCATCTTCATCTTAATCGATTCTTTTGAAAAACTCTTTAAGTTTATTCTTGGTTATATTTATGCCATATCGTTTAAACATATCGTAAAGTTCTTACCTATCTAGGAATTCTTAAAATAAAATAATATGAAACTTGATTTATCTCTATCAATTGATTTGAAAACAGCTTTCATCATTATTTGTTCTTTGAGTTCCTTATCATTTAAGATATATTTGTCTCTCACTTAATTCTTAAATCGATTTTTCAACCAATTAACTGTTTCAAAGGATTTTAGCTTTTTGGAGACATTCTTATCCATTTGAAAAAATAATATAAATTTGAGTTAAAATTTAAAAAAAATTCAATTAATCATGCCTGGAATCCTTAAACATTTGATTCCTCATTCATTTAGAATGATATTAGTTTCTACTATATTAAATATCTTCTTAAAAGATATAAAATAGCAGTCAACATCAAGAACATCAAACCAAACACTATGTACATATATATGGGATCCTCATTATTATTCTTTGATTGAGGAAAAGGGAGTTCATCAGGTTTTTCATGAGGTTATTCTCCTTTTGAATTAATAGTGGAGGAATTTGTATTAGTATTAATATTTTAAACAGAAGTGACAAAGAATTTTTCAAAAGCACTAATAAGTTCAGCAGCTTCTAAAGGAGACAACTTTGAATATTGTTCTTAAACTGTTAAATTTTCATTTTTGGCATTATAAAAAAAATTTGCCACTGCCATTTCTTCTTTACTAACATTAACATGTTACCAAGTTAAAGGGGAAATATATTCGGTATTATTGATATTTTTCTAATTTTGATCCAAGATGTATGTTTGATTGGAGATTTCTTCAATTAAAGTTGTGGAATTGTAGTTGGTAGGATCATCAGAATCAATCATTGAATTAATGTTTTGAATGACATACTGTAAGATTATGCTTTTATCATCCTATAAATTGATAGATTAGGTAATACATCAGTTTAATTTTGCCATAGTTGAAGATATTGTTAGGTTTCTTGCAATTCTTCTTGATCTTATGGAATAATTGATTGTAATTATTAATTATCGATAATGTTTAGGATAGAATTGTTATTGGATTATTGTGTTGTCTAATTAAGTATATTTTCTGTGTTAACCCATAGTTCTAAAGCAAAATTAGCATTCTATTATGCTTATTATTAGGTTAGATTAAGAGATTTTTATAGATCAAGGAATTTGGTTAGATAATAGATTTGTTTGAGTTTGATAGGATCATCAAACTATGTAAAATTAAATTATGTAGTTGTTTGTTTTGCTAATGAAATGAATGTAAGAATTAGAATTTGAAGCATAATATTGTAATTTAATAAATAAATATATTATAATATAAAACATTGAATAAAATGAATAATAATTCAAATTTAATGGACCCCGGTGATAGGATATTTTGGATATTCAAATGTGAATGATAACTGGCGAAATTCAAATAATTTTTTTAGAGAGTTTTCATCACACAACACTTTAAAAATGAGAGAAGTCATATCTATTCACGTAGGATAAGGAGGTATTTAAGTTGGTAATGCCTGTTGGGAATTGTTCTGTCTTGAACATGGAATTCAACCAGATGGTTAAATGCCATCAGATAAGACAATCGGAGGAGGAGATGATGCCTTCAACACCTTTTTCTCAGAAACAGGTGCAGGAAAGCACGTTCCAAGAGCTGTCTTTTTGGATTTGGAACCAACAGTTATTGATGAAGTCAGAACAGGAACATATAGATAATTATTCCATCCAGAATAATTGATCTCAGGAAAGGAAGATGCTGCAAATAACTTTGCTAGAGGTCACTATACAATTGGTAAAGAAATTGTTGATTTGTGTTTGGACAGAATCAGAAAGTTAGCTGATAACTGTACAGGTCTCTAAGGATTTTTGGTATTCCACTCAGTCGGAGGAGGAACAGGATCAGGATTAGGATCACTTTTATTAGAAAGATTATCAGTTGATTATGGTAAGAAATCTAAATTAGGTTTCACAATCTATCCATCACCATAAGTATCAACAGCAGTTGTTGAACCATATAACTCTATCTTATCAACACATTCATTGTTGGAACACACTGATGTTTGTGTTATGTTAGATAATGAAGCCATCTATGACATTTGCAGAAGAAACTTAGATATTGAAAGACCAACATATACAAACTTAAATAGATTGATTGCTTAAGTCATTTCTTCATTGACAGCTTCATTGAGATTCGATGGTGCTTTGAATGTTGATATCACTGAATTCTAAACCAATTTAGTGCCATATCCAAGAATCCACTTTATGCTTTGCTCATATGCTCCAATCATCTCAGCTGAAAAAGCATATCATGAATAATTATCAGTTGCTGAAATCACAAACTCAGCCTTTGAACCAGCCAATATGATGGCTAAATGTGATCCAAGACATGGTAAATACATGGCTTGCTCTATGCTTTACAGAGGTGATGTCGTACCCAAGGATGTCAATGCTGCTATTGCCACCATTAAAACAAAGAGAACAATCTAATTCGTTGATTGGTGCCCAACTGGATTCAAAGTAGGAATCAACTATCAACCACCAACAGTCGTACCAGGAGGTGATTTGGCTAAAGTTATGAGAGCTGTTTGTATGATCTCCAACTCAACTGCCATTGCTGAAGTTTTCTCCAGACTTGATCACAAATTCGATCTTATGTATGCCAAGAGAGCATTTGTCCACTGGTATGTCGGTGAAGGTATGGAAGAAGGAGAATTCTCTGAAGCCAGAGAAGATCTTGCCGCCTTAGAAAAGGATTATGAAGAAGTTGGTATTGAAACCGCTGAAGGAGAAGGTGAAGAAGGAGAAGCATGATAAATCAATATATATACAAATCAAATATTAAAACATTTCATATTATCATACTTTATTAAAAAGAGGAGAAATAATTTAATTACTTTATGTATAAGCAGGAATCTAATTTGCCAATACTGCTAAGGAATTGGTCTATCTTGAAAAAGCAATTGAATCTGATTTTCTAGTACAAGCATTTAAAATTTGCAATTTCAGAATCTAAAATAAAACTAATGTTCTCAGAGCTGCATTTTTTGAAGATGATTCACTCTCTATCGATTCTATTAATAAAGGACCTCGTCTTTAACAAAAATCTTATTAGTTTATCATCGAATAATAGTAAGGTGTAAGGTATCATTGTGGGGAATTGTAAAAATAGAATCGGATGTTGGAAATATCACTAGGAAATTATTTGAATCTCTAGATGCTGGTCCGGCAATTATAATTTTTTAATCAATGACAGGAGAATATTTGAGCGCTTTCACTTTTAAATTATTAGAAATGTTGAATGAAGAAACTACAAAAACTACAAAGTTGACTGTGTGAATATTTCCTTCTTCGAAACTTTCGTAATTAGATCAATCTATTGTTGAATCATATAATAATTTGCTTACATTACCAACAATAGCAAAAATTTCTGATTTTAATATACTTTTAATAATGTTTTCTTAAATCAAGTATGGGAGTAACTTAATAATGGTATCGAATCTTATGAAAAACCATAATAAGAAAATAATGGATGGATTTCTTCAAACTAGTAAAAGGTAAAATTAATAAAATAATTAAAATGATTAGAACTTAAATAAATTAAGAGTTCATGATAATTAAGATGAATAATGAAGTAATAAATAGTTTATAATCATTATCTATATAAATAAAAATATATTTGTAATCAAAGCTAACTTTTCTGATTTTCAATCTCTAGATGAAATTCTAAAGGCAATTTTTACAACATTTTTGAAAAATGATTTTTTTTCAAAGGTTGATTTGGTTATGAATACAATTTCTCTCTTGGGTTCCTTTATCTACTTTAATCTGAGGTTATTTGTAACTATTCTTTTTTATCCTCATTTAAATTAATTTATTTTCCAAAACTCATGTTATATTAATTTAGCAAATCACATCTTTAAATTTCGTTTTAGATTGTCTATTTTTCTATTTTCTACTCTAAAATTGGTTCTGATGGTTTAATTAAAGGCAATCGAATCTCATTTTCTATTTTATTTCTTGCATCAGCTGATTTTGGAATGTATTAAAATTTTTACTATGATTTAGGTGATTGAATTTTTTTTATCTTTTCAGACCCGTTATTAACTCCTAATAGTTTATTTATAAGTTATTGCTTTGATTTATTTTCTTAAATTAATTCTTCATTTTTTCTTTACAAATATTCGATCATTTCATTTTATTCTCTTGGAGAAAGAATTCTCGAATTCCCATTTTTCTAATTATCCTAATCATTCATATCATTTTGTTAGGTTGTTTAAAAGTTCTTAGGACTTCTATAAGATTGAACGCTCTCTTATACCTTATGAAACAATTTCTTTATTATATTGAATTATAGTACTTAATCATCAATTATCACAAGCAAGTTTTTAACCTTAAGTGAGTTTTTTTGCATTCCATCAACATGATGAGAATATTATCGGCTTTCTTTTTGAGGCAATTAACATTTAGCCCCTAATTTATTTTTTGTTGCACTTAACATTTCCATAATGTTGAAGTTATTATGCACATATCCTTTATCGAAATTTTTTTGAGTGCCTTTCATCAACTTAATAAATCTTTGTTAAATTAATTATTAATTGAATCCAAAGCAGACTTTTTATAATGTATAAATTTAAACACCCTTACTGATAACTATTAACTATAATTAATTTATGAACAGAAATTTTCATTTTCTAATTACAAACTATTGAATCAAATTGAATTCATGATGCCAAAATTTCAAAAACAAAATTTAAAAGAAATAAGAATTTTTTATAATAAGTAACTATCGCAAGCTTTTAAGAAAAATAAAATAAATCCAATATCATTTCTGATATAAAACATTTTATTATAATAGCATTTTATAGTCTGAAATTAGGTAAGAATAAATTGAATTTTATATATTCATTTTTTTATTATTATGTTGTATTCTTAAAATTTTTGACTAAATTAATAACTCTAAACGATATGATTTCAATAAAGTAATAATTATTAGAGTATTTCTTGTGAATCGATATTCTGATAGATACGATGCTAGATGCTTTTTTTCTCTCTTAATTACTGTATTCGATACTATTTTGTAAGTGCATTATAATATTATAAGAAGATTCTTCTTGAATATATATTTATATTTATTAATATTTCCAAATTTTTATTTTTTACTCATTAGAGTATAAAATTATAAATATGCAGTTTGAAATATAATTTATACATGATAGGTACTTTAGCAAATAAATGAAAAAAATTTAAGATTTTAAAATCTATAAAATAATAAAATTAGTATATAATTATTTAGTTCAATCTATTTTTTTTAATTGATTATAAAAGTAAATTAATTGAAGAAGGAAATTTAATGCTATAAATAAAAGTAATCTAAGGGATAGCTATTAATGAGAATAAAAATTAGAACAAAAATCTCATAATAAATTTCTGTAATAGTTAATTAATTTTATAAAATTGAGACAATAACAGCTATTTGAACATTAGCGATATCATGCAAAAATCGATAAGAAAAGTATAAATTAGAAAATTATGAGATGCACAAAAATTAGTCATTCATAATTCTTATGATAAGGTGGCTTTTAGAGTATTATAGATACTAATTCAAAATTATGGAGTTCTATTAAAACCTGTTCAAATAATGAGAAGAAAATTACTAAAGACAACAGATTAAAATATATAAGAGGTGAAGAAATCTTCTGAGTCATAAGGCAAACGAATAAGAATTTTAAATTTATTTAAAACTCTCGAGAATGATTATAATACTCTATCCGCTTAAAATCAGCAATTGACTTTTGAAAATAAAATAAAGGCAATTATATATTTTTATATAAGAGTTGGATTTAGAAATGTCATAGGATCGATCTTATAAAGACTTATATAACAAAAATCACAGAATTTCTAGATCTATATAAAAGCATTACAATTGATTATATTTTTACTTAATTTTTTTTATTTTATATTTCCAAACTAATAATTTATAAAGATTAAAATTAAAATATTAGTTATTTATATGGATGTTTATTCATTTTTATAAATATTGTTCATATCTTTCAATGTTTCTCTTAAGAACTTCTTCAAGTGGACCCATTAGTCTCTTGAAAGAATTAAAATCACAATACAGGAGGGTCACATTTGTCTAAAATATATAGTTATAATACTTTAGCAATAACGGTGGCTTATCTAGGACTATTTTTTAATAAAGCTAATTCTCCAAAATAATCACCAGGTTTGTAATCATAAACTTTATCATTTGTTTTTTTTGAAAAAGCTTCTAGTTCACCTTCAATAATTAAATAGATACGATCCCCAATTTCTCCCTAAAATAATATATAATAATTAAACCTCTGTAATAATGGTATGTCCAGCTTAATGTTTTTCTTCTCTTAGAACGTCACATAATTGAACTCTTTCATAATTGTCCATAGATTAGAGTAATTCAATTTTATTTAAGATTTCTTCCATTTATTCTCTTTTTTTTATGGCTGAAAATTTGACAATATTATTAAATGTTTCTCTATCAAGGGCAAATGTTGTAACATTTTCAATTGCTTTGATGGTAGCAGCTCTAGGAGCATTATATAATAGTGCTAATTCACCAAAAGATTCACCAGGGATGTATGTCTTCAGTAACTTTTCTTCTTCTAATCCTGCAAATCTTTTATAACATTCTAAACGACCTTCATCAATTACATATAATTCATTTCCGTCTTCTCCTTACTTTATTACAAAATCTCCAACCCTTTAATTAATTTATTATTATTACTAAAACTTTTTCTCATCCATAGCTCCTAATACTATATTTAAATCTTTTTCATCTAATGCTTAAAACATAAAAGAATTAAGGATTCTTTTCTTGATTCTTTCTATTTAACCTTCTGATTTTTATATAAATCTTGGTATGAAATCCTCTTTTTTGTTATATTCTCCATAAACTTCAGCTGATACTGCTGATCTTGTTTATTGTTTTTTATTCTGTTTAATTTCCAAAACTACTTCTTCTTCTTCTTCCTCTTCTTCACTTAAATCATGATTTATTATTTTTAAAACTTATGATCCTCTTTCTATATTATATTAATCTGCATATTTACACTATTTTTATAACCAATTGATAGACCATTCATAAACATCATCTGGCATCTCTATTACTATACGAGCAATCAATTGATCAAATACAGGCTTCACTTTTGAGGTTATATAATCTTGGATAATTGTTTTTTTTTACCTCATAAATTTTATTTATTAATTACTATTTCTTGCAGTATCTAAAAATTATGATATTTTTCTTAAACAAATATTCAAAATGTAAAATTAGTTGAAATTTTATATATATAATCACGAAAATAATCAGTACTGCTACATCAGTATCAGGAACTTAAAAATTAATCTTCTTCTTAATCAAAATGATCTTATTCTAATTTATGAACCAAAAATCCTTCAATCTATCTTTTTATTGTTTTAAGATCTATTTTTGTGTGCAATTCAAAATTAAAAAGATCATCATAATCTTATTCTAAAAATGTTTTTGTTTCTTAACTAACATGTACAAATCCTTTCACTCCATTTGATNACGTCACATAATTGAACTCTTTCATAATTGTCCATAGATTAGAGTAATTCAATTTTATTTAAGATTTCTTCCATTTATTCTCTTTTTTTTATGGCTGAAAATTTGACAATATTATTAAATGTTTCTCTATCAAGGGCAAATGTTGTAACATTTTCAATTGCTTTGATGGTAGCAGCTCTAGGAGCATTATATAATAGTGCTAATTCACCAAAAGATTCACCAGGGATGTATGTCTTCAGTAACTTTTCTTCTTCTAATCCTGCAAATCTTTTATAACATTCTAAACGACCTTCATCAATTACATATAATTCATTTCCGTCTTCTCCTTACTTTATTACAAAATCTCCAACCCTTTAATTAATTTATTATTATTACTAAAACTTTTTCTCATCCATAGCTCCTAATACTATATTTAAATCTTTTTCATCTAATGCTTAAAACATAAAAGAATTAAGGATTCTTTTCTTGATTCTTTCTATTTAACCTTCTGATTTTTATATAAATCTTGGTATGAAATCCTCTTTTTTGTTATATTCTCCATAAACTTCAGCTGATACTGCTGATCTTGTTTATTGTTTTTTATTCTGTTTAATTTCCAAAACTACTTCTTCTTCTTCTTCCTCTTCTTCACTTAAATCATGATTTATTATTTTTAAAACTTATGATCCTCTTTCTATATTATATTAATCTGCATATTTACACTATTTTTATAACCAATTGATAGACCATTCATAAACATCATCTGGCATCTCTATTACTATACGAGCAATCAATTGATCAAATACAGGCTTCACTTTTGAGGTTATATAATCTTGGATAATTGTTTTTTTTTACCTCATAAATTTTATTTATTAATTACTATTTCTTGCAGTATCTAAAAATTATGATATTTTTCTTAAACAAATATTCAAAATGTAAAATTAGTTGAAATTTTATATATATAATCACGAAAATAATCAGTACTGCTACATCAGTATCAGGAACTTAAAAATTAATCTTCTTCTTAATCAAAATGATCTTATTCTAATTTATGAACCAAAAATCCTTCAATCTATCTTTTTATTGTTTTAAGATCTATTTTTGTGTGCAATTCAAAATTAAAAAGATCATCATAATCTTATTCTAAAAATGTTTTTGTTTCTTAACTAACATGTACAAATCCTTTCACTCCATTTGATTCCATTTTATTAGCAATTAAAACATCTGGTCCATAAATATCATATCTAACAATATCTGTTCCCATTACTCCTCCAAAAACTGATCCAGTATGTATTCCTATTCGCATATTAAGACCATCAAAATTTATTTATTTTCTCACTTAACCAATTATTTTTATCATCTCAAATCCTAAATCTACTATGTTTTTTGCTTCTTAATGAGGATTCCTATTATTATAATCTATCATTCCTATTGCAACATAACAATCACCTATTGTGTATAATTTATAAACATTTAATTCACAACATTTTCGATCGAATTCCACAAATAGGTTCTTTAACATTACTAATACTTCTTCTGGTTTAACCTTACTTGAATATTCAGTAAATCCAGCTATATCAGCAAATAAAATTGTTAACTTATCTAATTTATCACAAATTCCTATGTTATTAATTTTATCATCCAAAAATTTATTTAAAATATGTTTTGGTAATAAATATTACAGCAACTATGATTCTTTTTATTATTGAGTTTTAAAAATATTTTTTTAATTAAAACATCCTACCTATTATTATTCTATATGTAATATCAATGTCAGATTATACATTGAACTTATAAATAAAAAAAATATGCTTATCAATTAAGTTCCATCTATAATAATGATAATTATTGAATAGAGAAAGGTGAAAAAACAAAATACCACTTTTAACCAAAAACTAAGAATTTAAACACTGCAAATTATGCATTGTATGAAAATAACCTCATACACATGAACATTTTTTAATTCATCATTATCTTCTAAAACTATAACCATACCAGCCAATAGAACTTAAAAAAATAATAAAGCTTTTATTAGAATCTTCCATTTATCAAAATATGGTTTTCTATTAATTAAAAATTGTATCAAATTTAAAATACAACAAAACCATTGTAGTACGTTAATACCAATATTATAATCATTGTAGAATTATATCTAACAAAATTGCTTTATAATATAATATAAGGTATACAATCTTAAATTGTAAATTGTTTGATTCTTAGATTGAACTTTAACAAATTCCATATATTAATCATAACTTATAAACTGATTCATTTGTTTTTTGTAATATGAAATATCTAATAATTATAAAAATGATGTTTCTTTAATTAAATTATTTTCTAAGGTGTACTCATTCTTAAGTAAAATCACATTCTCTAGTTAATTATATAAAATACCAATAATTATTCATAATCTATCATTTCATCTATTTCTGGTTCATAATTTTCTAATTGAAATCTATTTTAAAGCATAGTAACCAATCTCTTTAATGTACTTGGTTATTATAAGGATTATAATTATTTTTATTCAGAACCTGATTTAGATAATAATAATTAAAGTGATTATTCTGATTTTTCATCCAAAGATTAATATATGGCTGGATCAGTTGGTTTGATACCAAAAACATTATGAGTACCATTTTCTTAAATGGATACTCTTTTTTGATTCATAGTATCAATGTATGTTAAAATAGTTTATCTTTTTTTTAAGTTTTTTTTTAATATTTCTGGATTCTTTCTAACAACATAATTGCTTCTCGCATCTCTACTTTACAAATCTTGTTCATACAATACAGAATGAGTATTTTCTCTATTTTAAATTTTACATTTGAATATATAAGTAGGTCGAATACCTAAACCTTTCATTTCTACATTTCTAATCTCAAATTCAATATTTTCATTTTTTATTTAATCAAATGCTTATTCTGATAATGTTATTGTATCTTCTAATCCAGTAGAACATACTCTACTTGTAGTATTTACAGTATCTCCAATTAAAGAGAATTAAGGTTTATGATAACCTATAACTCCACTAATAGCTCCTCCATAATGTATTCCTATTTTACCTACTAATTATTATCCTTGTGTTCCCCATCTATATAATATATTTCTACTCTTACTATTTTGATCTAATATAATTCATCATTTATTCTGCTAAATTTAATGCTCTCTATACTGGATCAACTTGAGACAAATATGTTAATTCTTATTCACATGCTTTCAATCCAGCTGATGCCAAATATGTTTTACCTACTGTTTCTATCTTTTAAACTCCATATATTTAACAATATTTATCAAAAGTTCTAAAAATATCATCCAAAAATGGGATTATTTTATCTTTCTCCTCTATAACCATTTAATCAAAATTGCAAATGTCACAAAAAACAATTGCTACTAATCCTTAGTTTTAATGAATGTTATACTAATCAGCTAAATCTTAATTAAGTTTTAATACTTTCATTTAATCTATCTCTTATAAATTTTGGCAACAAAATTCCTAGAATATCATTTATTTTATTATTTTATTCTATAAAGTTTAATTTATTTTAGGCCTAATCTTCTTCTAATTAAATATACTATGTTAAATTAATATTTTTACATAACTCTTTACAAAATATTGTGATGCAGAAAATATAACTATAAATTACAAAATTTATATGATAAAAGAAACATTTTATTCATTCTCAACAACATACCAAATTATGTAACCAATAATTGTTATTAAAGTTGAGCCCAAATAAATTCTATAATCATAAATAGGATGAAATTTAATTGATAATTAATAAGCAATAAAATATTGCATAACTAAAGTTTAACCAATATAATCTTAATTATTTTAAGCAAACAAAATCGAAACTGTTGCTGCTGTTACAATAACAAATTTTGCATATTCTAAATATTGCTATCTGTTTGTTGGTATTTGAATAAAAGTAAACACAATAAACAATATTACTTGAAGTCCAAAAATTATCAAATAATCAACTAAATAGTAATTGTTTTAATCTTGATAAAAATACATAATTAGTAAAAAAGTATTATGATAAAATATTAATTAAAGGAATTAGACATTTTGTTTTTATTTCCATTTTAAAATAGTTTATGCCTTTTAAAATATTTATTAAGTCCATTATCCAAATCTACTTTGATAGTTTGGTTCATTAAGTAATACTAAGAATATAAATTTATATAATTACATTTTTGAATACTCAAATCAACTTGTTCTATATTATCAAAGAGATCATTAACTTTATTTTACAAAAAAGTTACACTCTTTTTTTTTGTTAAAGGAGCACTAATTAGATGAATATAATTTAAATATGATAAAAATTCTTCCTCTTTTGTAGGTAGATTATTCAAATTGTAACTTTATAAATAATCAGATAAAATATTTGTTATTAGCAAAAATGATACAGCTAAAATAATTGAAAATACTTCCTAAGTACTTATTTGAGTTTACTATTCATCATCATCTTTTGAAGAATCTGTTAGAGTATATATATAAAAGATAAGTGGGAAAACACAAGTGGCCATTATTTTTTCCTTGAGTCTAAAATTTATGATCATATAGAACCAATCACTTATACTAATTGACATGAAAATATAGTAATAAAATTCTTGATTTTAGATGTCATAGAAAAATAAACATGAAATAAGTATTCCTTACATAATACTCTTAATTATTATTATAATCTATATTTCTGTTTCAGATTTATATTTAGAATATTTTTAAAGCAAAAGAGATTAATCCTTATTATATTACAATTTCTTTGAATCTTCAAGAAATGAAAAATGTTAAATACTAAACAAAAAGAGTTCGTAAATATAAAAATAGAATATGATTTCAGTCAAATAATCCTATTAATCTAAGGTATTCCATGTATATAGAATTGAAGCAAAAGTAAAATAAGACATAAATGTAATTGTTTTATATAAAGTTTGCTATTATAATGATTTAAACAATATTCTTAATAAAGGGCTTTGAAAAAATAATAATCTATCTAACTCTTTGAAACCTTAAATAATAACATCTGTATTTGAATTAATTTACAATTCATTAAAATAACATTTTTCATAAATTAATCTTTATCTTAGAGATTAACTCAATTTTTTAAAGAAATTATTTTTGTCTACTTTGTTAAATTTTTGATTTTTAAATAAGCTAAATGATTACAATTATAACATTTAGAGTTAACATCCATTAATACATCTTAGTAAACTTTAATTTTCACAAATAAGATTTATAGTTTTTTAAGAAATACACCATATTTCTTGTACAATATTAAGAGAATCTTAAGTTGCTTAATATAAAAATAAAACTTTAGTAAAATTTAACAATAATTTTAAATGATTTTTAAAATAAACATTATCCATGATTTATTAACATGTTTGATTATTCAAAATTATAATAACTTTTTTAGTTCTAGATTTTTCTATAATTTGATCTGTTTAATTTGGTTTTGAAAAACTAAAATTAGATATTTTGATAAATTGACTACTATTAATACTAGCATGTGTAAATTAATTTGAAAACTCTTCCAAACATTATTTAAAATATGCTCTTAAATCTTCTTCATTTTATTAATTAAAATTGAAAATTAAATCATTTTATTATAACAATTCAGATTAATATAAAATAGAGGTTGCTGAAATTTCTGAATTTTAAGTGTAGATAAATAATTAATAATCTGATTTTCTAATATTTTTCATAAATTCTTAACAATCTTATTTTAACTCATAACTCAAACCAAATATAATATTTAATTTAAATAACTGTTCCATAAGAGTATATAATTGATTTTCTGATATATTACTCTCTGCAGATGATAAATATAAATTTGCTTCATTTTAACTTAAAAAACAATAATAATAGTAAATGTAATGTAAAGAATCTGATTAATGTTTCAATACTTTATCTTCAATACTTTCATTTTTCCTGACATTAGCTTCTCTTAAAAATAAAATAAATTGCTAATCAGCTTCTTAAGATAAATCATCCATTTCAAATAACATATATAATCTTTAATTTTGAATATGTAATTTTGTATTAACTAATTTAAATGAATAAAGTTCTTTTTTTATTTATAAAATATAATTCTATTATTATCTATTAATAAAATTAATAAATTACTAAACATTATTAACGCAGATAAATTCATATCCCATAATTTTAGCCATATTAACCTACTTTTAATCAAGTAAACCAAGAAATTTATTTTTAACTTTTTATTCTTTTTTTTCAGTGATCAACAATTTCGAGAATGCTAAATGATTTAAAGCTAATTATAAAAATAATGGATTTAGATCATTTTTTGAATTATTCTGAATCATAGAAGTGTATAAAGTATTTTCATTAATTAAATATTTATCTTATTTTAATTAATCTTTTGATGATTAATAGATTTTTGAACTTTTTTATTGATTTGATTATCTTTAAGCTGTGAGATGATCTCCAATTTCTTAATTTTCAAATAAATTTTTATCATGTTAAATTTATTCTTAAAGAATTAGTTGTGCTTAGTTTGTATTCAAATCATCCTTATAATCTTATTAATAATAATGTATAAACCTACCTTCAACTGATTTTGGTAATTAATTTACTATACATTCTCTTTAACTGAATAAAATTTCTGAATTAGAACTCTACATATCATAATTTAAGACTTAAGAGTTTAACTAATTTTTATTTAATTATTCTAAAAATAATAATTATTAATTTTACCTGTATCTTTATTATATAAACCTCTTTCTGCTGTTGCTAAAAATTCTAAAAACTTTTGCTCTTCAAAATCACAATATTAACTATTATATATTATTCGTTTTAATTTAAAAGATTATTCTATAAATGCTTCTACACTGATGGTTAGATATTGCTTTTCTAAATATTTGTCTACATGACAGGACATAATTTATTTTTAATCAATAGTTCCTATTATTTTTAGTTAAAATAAACTGCAAATATTATAATAAATCTTAAAAAAATGAGGAACCATCAATATTAAATAAATGCAATTATCTATAATAATTTATGTTATTGATCTTAGTTCATATAAGTATTCATTTTAATTAAACGCAATTATTTATATCTAAAATATAAGTATAAAGCAATACAATCATGATTAAACAAATTACAAAATAGAATCCAAAATATTAATTATTCTCAAATCTTAATTTTCCTTATAATTTTGAATAACAAAGACAACTTTTCCCAACCTTTACAACAATTCCTAAAATCCAAGGAGTAGCTAATAATTTTTCTTAACAAAAAATAAAATTTTCAAAACCAAGCATTTTAGATTATGGATCTTTCTTTAATTAAAAAAAACCTTTGATTTAAGAATTTTATTCATGAAATACTATATTACCAGTCAATGATTTTTTAAATTAAGCTAAGGTTTATGAATCAGCTATAATTTTATAAAAATTTTACATCTATTCTAAACTACTGGTTTTCTAACAGTGGATTAAGAATAATCACACAATTATTATTAAACAGAAAAATTTTCATCATTGCAATGTAATACAATAATATCACAAGGAGCTATTTAATTTCTTTATAATAAAATGACATCCCCTATTTTGATTTCTTCAGCAATTTAAGATTTAATTAAATTCATTTTATCCTTTTCCATTTTTTTTAATTTCTCATTTAATGGTATTTTAGTTGTAGTTTAAACCAAATCTTTTGGAAATATACTAGGAACCTTTTTCTTAAATTGAATAATCAATGGATGAGTTTCCATGATTTAAATTTATTATAATTTTAGAGCCATATCTTTATATATCAATGGACTCATTTAATTATATTTTTTAGCGTTTTCTGATGCTTTTAAGTTTTTGTTACTTTGTTGTTACTTGTATTGGATTGACTGAAATGGTATTGAATCATTAGCTAAAATGAATATGAAATATTAATTACAAACAATAGATCTAGAAATTCCTTTCTTTTAACTTTAAGCAAATTCAACTTTTTTATTTTATGAATTCTTGTCATTTTAAGACTTGCTTTTTTATTTTTGATTACTTTCACTCTAATCCTATTGATCTAATCTTTCTTTAATTTTAGATATGATTTCTTTATTTACAATACATTCATCCCATTACTTAATAATTTTTGCCTCCTACTCTTTTAACATTTAATCCATCTTTCTTAAATTTAAACAATTATGCAAATCAATAAACCATTATTATAAAACAAGAGGAATTACCACAAAATACAATGGCTCAGAAGAAAATGCTTATAATATCAGAAGTAAAAAGTAAAAGATGTTTTCCTTAATAACTCTCAAAGGAAGAATAAAATAAAAATTTGTTCTCAAAATTTTATTTTCATTTTCTAAAAATCCATCAGCTGAAACTGTTTCTCCATTTCTAAATTGAATCTTATTAACTATTTAGATAGTACTTGATATGTGGTTTTTCTTATTTCATTATTATGCCTGTAATTCAGGAATAATTATTTCATTTTTAATTTATAACAGAATGTCAATCAATTAAGAACTTAGTTTTGATTTCAAATCTCAAGTCAATTTTTATACTGATCCTTAATCATCCACTTATTCTAATTTTGCAGAGTAATGGTAAGAGAAAATATCAAATCTATAACAAAATATATAAGAAATGTAACAATAGAAAGAAGATGTCAAAAATACATTATTTTAAGCATAATCAAGAATTAAAAATAAGAAGTCTTATATAGATGAACCAAAAATGTAATAAATTGAAACTAGGACCTTAGAAACTAATTAACCTATTCAAAATACATCAATAAATCATCTACTAAATGAATCAAGTTAAATTTAAGAATTTTAAACTCCCATCATTAACATTAATTAATAACCTATTGCAACATTTCTAATGGATATAAGATTAAATGATATCTATTTACAAAATTTTATAGACTTAGGCATTTATGATAATGTAAGTCTTTTAAAAACTTTACCTCAATAAAATAAATGCTAATTTTTATTAAACAAGTATGGAATTGATAGATTAGGTTATTAACGAAGAATCTTAGCTAAATTAGATGAAGGTATATTTGAATTAGATTATCTTTTAGAAATGGGATTATTTTCAAAAAAAGGATTATTGTTAAATATTGAATACTGTTAGGAATAAATTCCAAATATGGAAGAATGGTTAAAATCTATTAATCAATCAAAATATTATCCTAATTTTTAATTAGCTGGGTATGATAACTTTGCTTATTTAATATATCAGGAGCAAAGTCAATATAAATTAACAATTTAAGATTTTAAAGATTAATTTTATATAGAAAGTGAATAAGATAGATAATTGTTGATTGCACACATTATTATCAGTAATATTAAATTATTTATTTATTAGTATGTGATAAAATGATGAATTGTGATCTATGGAGTGTTTAAGGTGTAAAAAACTAGTAATAGTAATCAGATTTTAATTTAATATAATGTACTCTGCCTTCTAATTAATGTTTAATCTTTTGAAATTAAATATTTTAATTAAACTTATACTCATTTAAAATAATCATATCTTTGTAATATTTTTAATATTTCTGAATTTTCATATATTTAACTTAAATCATTAACAGTTTTTCCATTTCTTGTTGTTACATTTAATTTTGCTCCAAATTTGAGTAACAATTTAAGCATTTATACATTTTACTTTTTGATAGCAATGTGAATAGGATATAATCCTTTCTAAATTAATGATATTATTATTACTTCATCAGATGAATTAATTAAAGAATGATTAAAAGATTTATCTTAAAATAATTAGATTAAACCATTAAGATCACATTTCTAGATTAAATTGAAGAATGTTTTCTATTCTTATGTCAAATCTATTGTTTTGTATCTTTCTACTAATTATTCTATATTTGCTTTTGATTCTATCAATCTAGAAGACATATATTCTGTAACATCTTCTATTTCCATGCTTTAGATAGATGGTTATTTGCAATATAATGGATTCAAAATACTGGATTATCGTTTAAAAGATTTGGTTTTTTTTGCAATTCTTTTCTATGGCTCCATTTTTTAGAGCATCTAAAGATATGGTTAAGTAGTTTAGCTTTTTTTAGTAAGATCACTTATTGATGGATCCACTAAATATGTTCCATTAAACATTCTTGAAACATTCATTTTAGTTTTTAGACATTATTTTCTATTAGTTTTAAAAATTATACAATTATTCTTCAACTTGGCCAAAATTCAATTCATTTGAATTTAATTTATTTTCTGACATTTCATTTTAATACTAATTCTTAGGAATTTGATGAGTTTTAATCTTTTAATTACAAAATTTATTATACTTTTGATAATATTAATTAAGCTTATTCTTATTCGATCCTACTTGATGAAGGTTAAGAATAGAAATCATTAAGAATTGAGAGATCTGAATTCTTTAATCTACTCATTTTCACCAAATTCAATTATACTATTCTTTAATCTATAACTCCTGATTTTAAATAGTTTTGTAATGCTTATTTGCTTATTTTATACATGATATTTTCACTAAAATGAAATTTATTCTTATTTTCAGAATCAATAGTTGTGTTAATTTATGTTTTAACACTTTTACTAGTTAATCTTGGTAAAGAATACATTTCTGAGATATTAAATAATAATTATTTTTTATTAGAATATATAACACAAAATACTTTGAGCATTTTAGTTATATTGAATAATGAATTAATAAAATGAATGTAATAGCTTATTGTTTAGTAATAAATAATAAAAAACAATAATTGATAATAATATAATAAATCTCGGTATAAAATTAATATAATAAGAATGGGTGCAACATGTTCAAATATGAAAAACTAAAATGTATTTAACATAATGGAACTGCCTTATAAGTATATAATTAAAAGAGATGTAGTATTCATGTAATGGCATATATATGGTCTGATAATGGACATAATTTATTTGATTATGAAAGTGATTCGCTAGTAAAAAAATCAATAGATTTTGATTTTTAAGGTATTTTGTATAAATATATAAGGAAGAGTGGTTCAGTTAGACAGGGATATATTGGCTTTAACAAAAAATGTATGATTATTAAGAAATTATATATAAAGGAAGTAGTAAGGAATTAAAGAGAAATCTTCGAATTTCGTAGTAATTAGAAATCTATAGAGCTATATAATTCTAAGATTGAAAATGCATTTTGGAAAGTCATTCGACCAATATAGGCATCAGATTTACCTACAATGGACCGTCAGAAACTAATGACTAATACAACAATAAAATTAGGAAGAGTTAAATTAACAGTTCTTGATTATAGTTTTGCTTATGAATATGATGATGGAGGAGTACCAGATGAATTCGAAGAAAAAAATAAGTTAAATGATAGTGGATGTGTAGAAGGATAAGTTCAATGTAGATTTTGTTTAAGTAAATTGGCAACATTTGAGAATCCTTTTATTAGTCCATGTAAATGTATTGGTTCCATTAAATTTATACATTTAAAATGTTTATAAAGTTGGATAAATAGTTAATTAAAAACTAAAGCATAAAATGGAGTTACTTTATATTATTGGAAAAGTATGAAATGTGAATTATGTAAAACAATGTATAAAAGTAATTATTAATATTTCAATGTTAGCATCATTTAAATTTAAATCAATTCAATATAATATATGTGATATAAATAAACCAAAGGAACCTTATTTGTTATTATAAATAAATCATAGTGATAAAAATAAAGAGTAAGGGTTATATGTAATTGATATAAAAACAAGAGATACTATTAAGATTGGTAGAACATAAGATTGTGATATTAAATTACATGATATATCTGTTTCTAGACATCATGCTAGTATATTAGTTAATCATTAAGAATAATCATTTTATATAGAAGATAATTGTTCAAAATTTGGAACTCTAGTTTTAGCATAAGATGAAGATTTGTAAATTCATTTGAATTCTCAAAAAAGAGTAGCTTTATAGATAGGCAGGATTGTTATTGTTGTTACTATAGAAAAAAAAATAAATAAAAAAAGGTATGTATTTGTATTTATAAATTTTAAGAATTAATAAATATAGAGTTCCCGCATAATTTGAAGTTTTTAGATAAATTAAATAACATGAAGATGAGGAAGATGTATAATCACCAGAATAATAATAATAATCAGATGTTGAAGATATTTTAATAAATGATCCTACTTTTGATAAGGATTAAGATATGAGTAAATTTAAAAACATGAACTTTTTAACTGGGAGTATTATTTAAAGAGAGTATTAGTGATTTTATATTTTATATTGATAATGTTTTCAAATCTTCTTCTATTATTTTTTTCAAAGCAATTTTTTTTTTGGCTTTTTTTGATAAATATAAAAGTTTAACCACAATTTTAAGTGCCATCTATATATTTAGACTAGTTAATGCAAATTTGATATCCATTTCAGTGACATCAACATATTGAATATATTCATTTTATAAAGGTTATTTACCAAAATCAGTCAACCAATCATCTAAAATAATTTAATCTATTTTATATCTTTTTTCAGGATTTTTTTCTAACATTCCTTAAAGCAATTTAAGAATTGATGGATGAAATCCTGTTGGTTAAGGATAGGGAGGACTTTTAAATAATAATAGTTTAGTTTACTTGTCTTCTAAAATTTATTATCTTAATTCTAGAGATTTTTAACTTGGAAAAGGTAATCTCCCATAAACCATTTAATATAAAGTAACTCCTCCAGCCCATATATCAACTGGTTTTCCATCAAAATTTTATCCTAAATAATGATTATCTAATACCTTTGAAAACTTCTGGGGCTAAGTAAGCTTGAGTTCCAGTTTAATTGGATATTCTTCCATCTTAACCATCTTCCATAATATGAGATACTCCAAAATCTGCGATTTTTAATTGATCTTAAGAATTGACTAATAAATTTTCAGGTTTGATATCTCTATGTATAACATTAACGCATTCATGTACTTAATAAAATGAAATTGAAAATACAATAATCTAATCCTTTAATGAAATCACTAAAGTAATGTCTACATTATTCTTCATTTAACTTATAATTGATATTTTTTTCATCAATTTCATCCAAAATATTAGATGTTTTTTAATTCTTTTTAAAAAATCCTTTACTAAGAATACTACCTTTTCCCATGAATTCCATGACTAGATACAATTTATCTTATTTTGGATCATCAATGACTTCAAATAATTAAACAACATTAACATGAGAGATCTATGATAAAAATATATTATAAGAATTAATACTTTTTTCATAATAGCAATTTCTCTTTCTAACATAGTATACGCATTGGATTTAGATAAAAGTTTCTTTTTAAGTTTTTTTTTGTTTGCTATTTTAATAGCCTAGAAAATAGTTGAATAAGTTATACAAATATATCTCCTTTAAAATTCTAAGCTTTTTTAACTTTTCCAAATGCTCCTTATCCTAATGATTCAATAACAGTGTATTAATTAATTTAAGCCATTCCTTCAACATTAATGCTTTTTTCAAGACGTGAAGTTTAGACAACTTCAAGAGTATTTTGAACAGCTAAAGATTTACGAGGTTTAAGTCTTTATGAACTCAAGATTTATGATTCTTTAACATTGAGATATTTTTCCATAGAGAGTTCAGCTTTCTAGAAATATTGAATATATAGAGACTTCCATCTTTTAGGTTGATCGAACAAGATGTATTAAATTTGTTTAAGCATATTCAATAAATGGTTTCTTTATAGTAGGTGATTTAGAAATAACTCCACTAACACGCATTGGAGTTGCATTAAGTTTTTTAGGTAAATGACGAATCATTTCAATGAGATTAGTTTATAACTTGAGTTTATTCTTTTGTGACACCATGGTTGTATCCTCTAATTTATTGTTGTATTCACTTTAGTCAGCTTTTACTTTATCAATTTCTAAAGACTTCTCTTAAAATAGAGAAAGCATTCTAGACAATATAAAAATAGAGGATACCTAAAGTTATTGATTTGATTATTGGAGAGTCCACTTCCCATTTAATTTAACAATTAATTAATCACTAATTACATCCACTTTCTTTAGTTGAAAATGAGAAATTGGTTTTGGTATTTAGAACTACCAAGGAATAAATAAAGAAAATAGAGATGATCTTATAACAACTTATAAATAAAATAGGATAGTATAAATAATATGAATAAAGATGTAGATACAATAAAAAATTAATGATTGTATATAAATCAATGATAGTTGAATTATATAAAGAATTTTAAGTATAATATTTAATTTGACAAGCTCATATGAAGAATAATATATACAATCATGAGTTGTAAAATGGAAAATATTGACATGAATTTTTGATATATAATGAATATGGTTTCATTGTTGTGCAACATTAGATCTTGGAGCCTATTATTATAATGGTTTTGTTTATTATGGGATTTATTATGGTTAGAATTATTATGGTTAGAATTATTATCCAAAAGGTGGTGCATAAGTTTATGCATATGTTGGTGCAAAACTTTATGGAACAACTCTGGATGCTACTAATGGTTATGTATAAGCAACAGGTTATTAAATATATTAGACTGGTTATTAATAAACTTGTTATTATTGATAAACAGGTTATTAAACAACTTAGACTTATTATTATTGATAAACAGGTTATTAAACAACTTAGACTGATTATTATACAACTTATTAGACAGGTTAGACTTATTGATGAACAACTTATCTTTCAACTGGATAATATTCTACTCTTTCTTAATATCTGTCAACAGGTACATATTCTATTTATTAAATATATTATTTTACCTGTATACTTCTCTTAAAATACTTAAGGAACATATTCAGTTTAATACTCAACAGCATAATAATCTGTCACTTTTCTTTCTCTTGGAACATATTATACTACTTCCTATTCTTCATATTCAACCACAGCCTTTTAATATGGAACATATTCTATTCTTGACTCTCCTTTTATTGATTGATGCTATAAATTAATATTAAAAATTTGTACTTGAACTGATTACACTTAAACTGGTTAAACAGGCTATTGAACATACTAAACTGGTTGTTGAACATATTGCACTGGTTGTTAAACATATTAAACTGGTTATGGAGCTGGAGCATATTGAACAGGTTGGATATATGATTATCGGATTGGAGATTGTTACAATGGTACCCCATACTAAGTATATAAATAACTAATTACCTATGGAACTGGTTATTATAATGTTGGTTGACCAAATTTATGTGCTTAAGTTGTAGCCAATGGTTAAGCAGGGGGGGCATTACTGTATGGACGATTAGACATCTAATTATTTAAATAATTTAAGATATATATATTTATATATTTTTATCAATTAAATAAAATGTATTTATTATCAAAAATGTATTTATTATAAATGAAATAAAATTTATATATTTATTAACAATCTAATAAATATATCAATAAATAAAATATATTTATTATTAAAAATTGAATATTAAATATAATAAATATAATATTAAATATCCCTATCTATAAATACACTTCCAAACTCTATTCCCATTCTAAATATATTATACTCTAATCTAATTTTAATTGATAATATTCACACGCATCATTTTTGAAATCTGATTAGTCTACTTCATCATAAATTAAATATAGATAACATAAATATATTATATATTCCTTTTCAATCATTTTCTTGTATCACTATCTCTTCTTAATCATAATTAGACTTGCATTTTGAATATACTATTTTAATCTATGCATCTTACAAATAAGAACTTAATAATCTATAGTACTAAGAATCTATTTAAGTTTATTTGCTTAACAAATCTTCTATGCATGTAATATTTATTTATTACTAAATATGTTAGATTCCCTAAACATTATTTAGGAAATCTAACATATTAGTCATTCATCCTAAAAGGTACTAATTAATTTCATTAATAGTCAATACACTCTCATTACCTCAAATACTTTTTCATATTTTCTTATTAATAAATTTCTACATATAATAATATTCCAAACAACTCTCTATCCTTATTAGAATTATTATTTATTCATCAAACTTTTCATTTTGCAAGAATTATTCAATTTTATTAACTAATTAATGCCCCATACTACTATTTAAATCTATTGATATATATTTTTGCCTGCCAATTTTTACAAATTCTAATCTGTTTATTTCAATTTTTACAAATTCTAATCTATTTATTTCATTATCCAATTTAACTAATGTTTCTTTTTAATATAATTGCACTTTTAAATTATTTTCCTTGTATCATTATTTTCTCAAATATTTCATCTAATACCATTTATATAAATAATTTATGTTTAATGAATTTACGTCCTTAATTAATCAAACGAGTGCTCTAATTCCAAAAAAGAATATTGCTAAAGTTTACAAACATAATCAATTAAGACAAATGAATATATTCTAGAATAATCTATCTACCTCATCCATTCAATATTCTATGTTTCAAACAAATTTTGGAACAAAGGAATATTAAATTGTCCCATAAGAAAGTTCAGATTCTGAATCTATTATCTAATCACCTTCCTTATATCCATCCTTACATTTAGTTGCATCTCGATTCCTTCTAAGTATTCAATATTCTTAAATACCATGTTCAACTGTATTAAAAGATGGTTTCAAATCGAAATTAATTGTTAAAAACTTAGACAATAATGTTGATATGTTCAAAGTATAAGAATTCGTTGATAAATTACCAATTAAAGGATTCATCTAAGAATTTAAACTAATTTTTTATTAATCAAATCCTTGTATCTTATTTTATTTGAAAACTGATTAACCATTAATTATTGCAAATTAATTTGTAAGCAAATCAAACTCTAAAACAGCAAAATCAATATTTGGCTACAAGTTCAATTGTGCTCAACTGACTGAAATTTAGAAGGAATTTGCTGCTATTATAATAAGAGGTTTGGAAGATAACTTAAATGCAAACCAAATAGAAAGGATTATTTGCTATACTTTGAATATGGATCACAAAGAATGTATTCTTGAGAGTTCGAAAAAAATAATAAAAATAGAAGATGTTGGATGCATGGTTTTTGTATTAAAAGATTTGGAATATTGTGAAAGAGTGGTTGCTTCTTTGAATGGAACTAATTTAAATGGATTATAAAAAAATAAAATATTAGTAAATGTTCATCCTGAATCTGTTAAATTCAGGAAGGTTGATCTTGAAAGTTCTATTTAAAAAGGTTTGCTTTAGGTAATTTAGTAGATTAATTTTATAGAAATAAAAAAAAAATCATTGAGGAGGATAAATAATGAAAATTTATAAATTATTATTAATGTATTAGATTTTTTGATCTATATTAGTTTATAAAAATAAAAGAAAATAATAATATTGAATATTTTTTCTAAAAATTTGAAAGCCATAATTTATAATTTATTTATTATTTATATAAAATTACAGCAAAAGATGTGATTATGAAAATGAATAAGGAAGCAGAATATAATGTTTTAATTGCAGATTTTTAAGGAAATGCTACAAAATTTTGAGAGACTATGAAAATGTTAGAAGAAATAAAAGATTCATTTAGAAAGGTATCTAAGGCATCATAACAAACATTAAAGAAGTAAAAGATAAAATTTAGAGTAGTCTTTCACTGAAATAAAATTGTTAGGATTTGTAAGATAGAATATATAATAAAGCATAATACTACAAAAGTATTGATTGTGATTTATGATTACTCTGATGCAAAATCTTGTATTAGTGATGCAAAGAACGTCGCTGAAGTTAATATTTGTAGTGAAAATTACATTTAAAGATTAGATAATGATTTTTACGCAGATATCTTAATTTTAGTAAACAATTTTTGAGATATTTTCATTTATTAAAAATATGTAAAGCAAAAACCTAAACTAATAATATATATTATTTTCTGTTAATTAATCTGAATGTTTTTCGACAAAGACAGAATCGTTAAATTGATGCAATCAAACTAAATGGCTTCTCCTTTATCCTTTAAAATGGATTCTCCTAGGATATATTCAAAAACCCCTAATTCTTAATCAACATTTAATTGTGATCTTACATCAAGAGGAAAACTTAAATTGAATTTTTTAGCAGAATTATCAGACAATCGTTCTTTGACTAATCGTTATATGCTTAATGCCAAAAATAAAACAAAATAGCAAAAAATTTAATTTAGTAAGGAGAACAAGTTTGTTGAGTCATCACTTAAAAAAAGCTTATTATATCCATCTACAGATTCATTACTATAAAATGTTAATATATAATCTCCAACATCTACTTTTAGTGAGGAGTTCATGAAAATCAATTCAAAATTCAATTCAGTTAAAAATATAGAAAGTGAAAAATACCTTCAGAGAAAATAGAGTAATTCAGTTATATAATTGGGAAATAAGAATACATCTTAAATTTAAGGAAACTAAAAAAATAAGTATGAACTCATATTGAATGATATTATAGTTCTGTAATGAGATCAACAGAAAAAATAAAATAATAATTTGACGAAATTACACTTTTAGATTTGAAAAGTTAGAATATTTATTAGTAAGTATGAAATTTCTTTTAACATTTCTAAGTAAGAAAATACCACTATGAAATCTTAATTGTAATCATTATAAGATACTATAAAACATTAAAATAAGGTTATTGAAAAATTAAAATATAATGTTTAATAACTTGAATAGTAATATATATTTTAAAACTAAAGATAGATTTAACATATAATTAAAGGAGAAGAATGAAAAATAAGCATTCAATATAGAAAAACTTAATTCATAGTTAGATTTTGAAGGTTCAATTTAAGAGGATCTCAGAAAATAAATGACACTAAAATAACAAGAACTTAATAAATATAATTTAGTAATATAAATAAAATTCATATTTTGTAGATTGAACAAGAAATTAAAAAAATTGAGGATTATCATTTAGAAACCTTAAATAAAATAAACAAAGATCTCAAAGAATAACAAGTTTAACTCAAGATTCTTAATCATCATATTATTTGTTTATCATAGATATCAATTCTATTATCAGAAAAGGAGGAAATACCTATTGATATTTTATTCAAATATAAATAGACTCCACAGATTTCATAGAAACTATAGGATTAAGAAATAATTGAAGATATCTTGAAGTCAAATTCAAAACTGATAAAAGAATTATATGATTTAATAGGAAAATCATTTGAAAAAATATCATATAACTTTGTTTAAGAATTTTCATAAATCTTATATAAGTAATGAAGATTTTTGAATATTCAACTATTTTATTATCAATTTAAATTTTATATAAAATCTTATAATGTTCAACACTCTTTTTAATTTATTGTTTTTTTTTAAATAAATATTGTTATATGTTTTTATAACTAAATTTATTGAGACAAATTTGATAACATTATTATTGTAAAACTTCTGATTGTTTACTAGGGTTTTCCTAACAAATCTAGATACAGCTTTTTAAAAAATCCTATAAGAGATTTCTTTAAAGGAAATGAATGAATTTAGAAAAGTACTTATAGAGTAATAGATGATAATAAGATTAGGTACAGGTAGCTATATAATAAGTGAAGTTATGAAAAATAAATCTATTAATAAAAATAGTATAGAAATGATAAATTTTAATTCTTTAAAAACAACATTATATTATATATTTAGAAAGTTTAATAAATTGTATGTGTTTGATGATAAAAATAATTAATTTAGAATTATATTAGTAATAAATGGTTGGAATAGGGATGAAAAGTTTGTATGAATTAGAATATAATTGAATAAAGAATAATAAAAAGTAGGATAATTATTAAGTAAAGGTTTAACAATAAATTAAATAAATCTGTTAAATATGTTTCATAGTTATTAAACACCAAAACAAGGTTATAAACAATAGCCTTAGAAAATATACCAATAAATCCATTAAAAGAGTGTTCCATGTAAATCATTATCACCTACTTAATTTGGTTGTTAACAGAAGGGAATATTAGAATAAGATGAGTAAAATCCATGTACTCCTTAAAAGTTGAATTTATAGAAAGGAGTGAGATTAGTAAATGTTGCATCATAAGGAAATGAGAGTAGTTTTAGAGGGAGTAGTTAAATGAATCTGTTAGTATAAGATAGTCCATTAATTGGAAATAATAAGGAGAATGGTACATTAAGCAAGAGATTATATACAGACTCTACATCTATAGATTAACATTCTTAAGTAGTAATATAGGAGAATAGGAAATTAAATGATATGATTTAAAGGCTGTTCAAAGAGAAATAAGAATTAGTTACAATTATAGATAAATAGAAAAATTAATCATGTAATGTAAGTAATCAAGGGATAGATAACTTAAATTTGAATAATTTAAAAGATAGAATTGAAAGATTAGAAGGAGTAATTGATTTATAGAGTGAAGAAATTTTATAATGGAAATAAAAATATAAATAGGCTTGTGAATAAGATGAAAGAGCTAATGCAATAGAATAAATGGTAAATTATTCAATCTAACTAATTTAGGAATCTTAAATCATGAAAGTAGTAGAGGAGAATGAACGTTTAAATAATCTTGGAGTTGATAAAGATAAATAAATATAAGATATGAGTAATGAGATATTAACATTACAAAAAAAGTTATTTGAATATGAATAGAAAATGAAAGATTAATCAAATTTAATTATCGCATATGAAGAAGATACAAAAGAACTTAAGAGATAATATAAATAAAAATTAAATTAGATTGAAAAATTGGAATAATAGCAATAGTAATAATTACAATAAATACATTAATTACAGTAAATATAGAATTATTGTGAATAATCTTCACATTCTTCATTTCATGAAAATAAAGAGCACTCTTAAATTATTATAGAATAGATTCAATTTTTAGAACAAACGTTATCAGACTTATCCTCATAATATACATCAATAAATTTAGAAAATTAGAGATTATTGAGACAAAATAATAATTTAAAGGAAGAACTGATATTGCAGTAAAAGGCTTTTGATGAAATCCGTAATTGTAATCGAGGAACAGTTAATCCTAAATTTTAAGATGTTAATAAGACTCTCAAGTTAATCAAAGATAAGATTGTCAAATCATTATAGAAATGAATGTATATTTATTAAATATGATAACAAACATATCCTTGATTGAAATAGGACATCTTTTGTTTGCCTTTTTTATTTTTTAAATAAAATGATTTAAAAGAAAGTTCTAAGCAGCAGCGATGAGAGCAGTGAAGATGAACATGTAGAAGAATTAATGGACAAATAAAAGTTGGTGTAGGCTAAAGCCAATAAACCAACAAGAACTTCTGTAAGTGCTGAAGTTTATGGACAATTTAATAAGAAAGTATTTGATCATCTTGATTAAAGGGATAATACTAAGCCAAGAAAGTCAATAAAAGTTAAGATGCCGTTAAAAGAATTAAACAAAGAATGACCTAAGCATTTATGTTTAGTGCCTTAGATGAACATGAATTAGCAATTGTTATTGATGCTATGGAAGAAAGGAAATTTAAGTATCCTATTCTTTATAATTTCCTAGAGCTGGCGATTTTGTGATCAAACAAGGTGATGATGGCGATGTACTCTACGTTGTTGATTAAGGATAACTTGACTGTTTCAAAGTATTCAAAAAGGGAGAACCTGAAAAACATTTGGTATATATATATTTTATTCCTCTTTTAGAAAGTTTATCAGCCTGGAGAATCATTTGGAGAATTGGCTTTATTATACAATGTCCCTAGAGCTGCTACTATTAAAGCTAAAACTGAAGCTATCTGCTTTTCCTTAGACAGAGAAACTTTTAACCATATTGTGAAGGATGCTGCTGCTAAAAAAAGAGAAAAATATGAAGAATTTCTAAGCAAAATAGAACTTTTGAAAGGTAAAAATTCCTTTATTACTTCTTTAGATATGGATCCATATGAAAGATTGTAAATTGCTGATGCTTTAAAAGTCTAAAAATTCAATAAAAACGACTATATAATCAGACAAGGAGAATAAGGAAATACATTTTATTTCATTCAAAAGGGCGATTGCATAGCCACTAAAACTGAAAATGGTATTTCTCTCATTAATTTTAAATTAGGCGCTGAAAATAAAGTCTACAGTTATAATGTTGGAGATTATTTTGGAGAATTGGCTTTAATTAAACATGAACCAAGAGCAGCAAACATTGTTGCATAAGTAAATATCATTTACATTTCAAGAGTGAAGTTGTTGTAGTATATTTGGATAGCGACAGTTTTAGAAGATTGATCGGACCTGTTGATGAAATTTTAAAGAGAAATATGAGTAGATATGAAAAATATGTAAAAAAATGAGAAGATATTACATATTTATTTATTTGCAAAATAAATTATTTATTATTATATTATTTATATACTATATCACATAATTAATCATATTATAAAATTTCATAAATTTATGTAAAACCTATCAATTTATACCTTTAGCAACATTTTCAAGTTTCTTTAAGTAGAAGAAATCTATTCTAAATTGACACTCTCAAACTTTTTTATGTAAATATATTTAAAACTCATTTAATAGTAATTTGTTATACAATCCTTAGTTCTAAAAAGTGATTCTATCCAATTATTATCCTAATGAAATATTACAAAAAATTGATCCCCAACATTATTTTAGTTGCATAAAGTCTTTAAAAGGTATTAAAGTTAAAGAAATACCATTTTGGGGAATTCAAACAAACGCAGGATTGGCTTATAATAGTTTAAGATTTTGGATTGGAAAAACTTTCATGAAAACAAATAGTCCTTAAGTGGGTCTAACAAAATTAGAAAATGCTTTTATTTCAGGAACTCTTGCTTAAAATCAAGTAGATTTCAAGAATGCATTGATAGATTATTGTTAAAATTTTATTGATCTTTTGGGATTAGAAATTGCTTCTCATTATTTCAATAATGGGGATCAAATTTTAGAAAATAAATGGGATATTTAAAAAATAAAAATATTTGATATTTTCAGAAGCTTCTAAATCTTACTCATTTATAACGATGCTGAAGATTGGGAATGTATCTAATATTTGAGAAATTATGCTTAATAAAAACATGAATAAATATATAATATGTTGGATATTGATCATTTCAATCTGAAAGATGATGATCATACAATGTAAAATAATAATCATATGTAGTATTCCAGAAGCCATATCATTAGTATAGGAAATAGAAATAAATAGGAGAACATAATTTTCTTATATAATTAAAACAATTCTAATCTTTACTAGTGAATAATAATATATTCCAAATTAGGTTGAAGAAATTTATAATTGTTAGACTAAAGAGAAGCTATTATAATTTATTTAAAATAATCCTTAATTCATTCCTTAACAAACAAACATTAATATTTTATAGAATCTACATCCTTCAATCGTTTATGAAACTAAAGACTTATAAGATTATTTGTATTGCACATTTAAACCAACAGAATAAAAGCAACCTTTGATATGGGTATAATTTGTAAATCCAAATGCAGATTAAATAAATTTAAAATTTAATTAATAAACATAAAGATTAGCTAAATCAATTTAGTTGAGAATATTAGATGTATGTTTTTAATAAAATGCAGAATTTCAAGGACTAAGTTTAGCATACATTAGTTTAAAGGGAATGACTTTTCATCAAGCTGATTGGACAAATATTTAAGAACTTCCAAATTGATTTATTTATTATATTTTATAATGATAATTTTATTTATTTTATAAATCTAAATAAGACTTATAATTAAGTAGTTTAATTTGCATAATTGAATTTTGCTGAAAGATGTAAATTGAATGATTTATAATGGAAAAGTTTAGATGGTACAAAGAATAAAATGGTTTTAGGAATGTTGAATTATTTAATGAATTTTAGTTTCATAAAAAATTGAAGAGGAATGAGAAAAAGGAGAAATATGTAATTTATGTTTGGATTTAAGCAGATAGAAATTAAATTATAGATATAAATTAGAGTAAAAATTATGGTTATTGATATTAGAATTGAAAACAATATTTATACTCAACAGATGTTTTATGATCTTTTTTTTCTTTAAAAAATGTCCATGCTAATTTAAATGATACTATTTTAGCTGTTTTATTTATGAATAGAATTATTATTAAATTTAAAAGCTGAAGATTAACGAATCGGTTTGATTTTTTATGAATGAGAGAATGTATTTTCTAATAACTTTCCTTATTGAGAAAATATAGTTTGGGATTGTTTAAGTTATTATTATTATGATGGAATATTAATATAAGGATTTTAGGAACTGATTGGTCTAACTATTTCTTATAATGGATATCTAACAGATGATTTTTTGACTAGTTTTTCAATTTATCCACAATTATTCCCACAATGTGGAGACTCATAAAGTCTATCAACAACACTTTAATTAATTCTTTTTTATGAATTAATTGTTTGTATAAATGGACGATCTTACATCATTTCTTAATAGATAGATTCCTTAAGTTTGATCCTTTTCTCTTCATATTTTTTGGCATATTTAAGAAGTCTATTTTCTACTTTAGGTTTTGAAGGCTCAATGATTTCTTCAGGTTCCTAGAGAGTATAATTATTTATTTTACTCTTTGATATAACATGTATGTTATTAATAAAAATGATAATAAATGTATTAGTTTATGATAATTTAAAATTTCAATTGGAATGTTGATTTGAATTATTATTGCTATTATTTTTTTCATCAAGCATCATTTCAATTTATCTATCTATGCTTAATGAAACAGGTGGAATTTCATTACAATTTTTAGGATTAATATCTAATAGGAAAGAATCTTCTTATTATTTGAATTCAAGTAATTAAATTTTTAGTTATTGATTTTATTAATCATTATCTAAGAATGGGAGAAGTAGATATCCAATCTTTTTAAAAATCCCTGAATAACCTATTCTTGAATTACTCTAATAAAATATATATAAATACTTTTTTGATTGAATTATGGTTTCATTAAGATATTTCAATATTTAAGTTTAAGTAAGGATTCTTTAAACATCTTATTAAATGAGATAATTGTAAATGGAAAACACTACAAAATGTAATTGATTGTTCAAATGAAATTTGGTTGATAAATGCTAATAACATGGATAAGATAGGTAGATACCAACAGAAAGTTAAATGTTTAATGATCATATAGAAGATCTATCAATTCTTGATTTTGGAATCTAATGATAACATCTATAGATTTAATCAGAATAAGGTTGTTATTACCAAATAAATATTAGTATTTTTCATATTCTTGTTTTTCAAAAACTTCTAGATTTATGAGATTTGATTATATTGCTTATTAAAACATAGGTATTTGAGTATTTAATTTTATAATTTATGATAAGACATTCTCTTATTATTGATATTATTATAAATTTTATTATCCTAATAAAGAAGTATTAAGGATTCCTAAGAAACAGATTGAATTATAATATAGCTTATAAACAGCAGGTTCTTTTGATTTATACTATTTATAAAATATAATTAAATTACAGCTATTTCTAAATAAAATGCAGGTCTTATAATAAGATCTAACATTTCATTAATATGTTCATATAAGTGACTACCAAATTGAAACATACAATTCAAAAATTCTGAGACACTTTCTAGAAACTGATAGAATATAAATTAATATGAATTACAACTAAACTATCTTCCCATTCTAATAAACATTCAAAAAGTCCTTAAATTAATTCTTTTCTTTATTTAAAATTATGATTAAAATTCTTTTTTGATGGATGATCCATAATTATAACTTTTGCAAAGAATTCTTAAATCTATTTAAATTTTAAATGACTTATAATGTCACTAATAATAGATCCACAAATCTTAGAGAAATTCCAAAACTTAATTATAAACATATAATTATTACTTCAATACAATAATGTTTAGAAATAATATTTAATGCTTTTCCAAAATATCCAACTTATGTTTCATTAACATTAGAACATTTAAGAAAGGAGAATAATTTTTATATTAAATAAAAAGCATCTTAATCACCAAGTATATCAGTTGAATCAGGTAGAAATTTAACTATAATATATATATATTTTTACTTGAACTTTAACTTTCTTCATCATCATCTTAATTTTCTAATGTATCTTAATTTGCTGATAAATATTATTCAAGAGTTGTCTATTTAATATACATTTCTTACCTTTTTCTCTATTCTTGCTAATTTTGGTTATCGTCCTGCAAATAAATGTTCTATTAAAGTAGAATGTTCAAATATTTCACTCATTATAAAAGGGTAGTTACTTTGATTATGAGTAGATGTTAGAAGAATTATCATCTCCTCTATCAAGTCCTTGTTTTTTAATATACTGATTTGATATTAGCAATCAAAATTACTAGTCTATAAATGCATGCATTGCACCAGCTTTTAAATCATTCAAAAATTCATCTCTCTTTAATAATTCTTCCAAACTTGGTTAACTGTGTTTTAGAATTCTTATCAAATCTTAAGATTGACCAAATGTCTAGAATTATCTATCTATTTTAGAATTCGTACCCAAAATTCATTAATATTAAATCAATTAAATATAAATATTTGTCAAAATAAAAAAATATATATTCAATAATAAATAAATTATATCTTTAATTTTATTATATAAAGGAGACAATCTTATTAATATTTTAATTAATAATAATAATGAATAATAATATATAAGAAGATCTTTTTGATCTTGAACAATTAACTTTCTCTTAATCTCATATAATCTATTCACATGAAAATATAGCCTAAAAAATATAGAAATTCTAAATATTTAATCCTTAACATTAAACTACTCTTGGTCTAATCAAATTAGATGGTAAAATCAAAATAGATATTGCTTTACAAATTAACCATAAAACCATATCAAAAAACAAATAAATACATTCAGATCCTCGTTAATGTCCAATTTGTAAAAAGATATTTACTTCTCCTTAAGCTGTAGGAGGACATTCATCAAGAGTTCATCCAAATGAATCAGAAAAATATTAAACTAAAGTTGCTAAAAGAGAAGAACGAAAACATGAACTTTTAAGAACCAGATAACTTCAAAGTATTGTTTAAAATGACTTAGAATTTTTATGATATTCATTTTACAAACTGTTATAATTATAATATTGTTTTTTATATCTGTTAATATTTAATAAATAAAACTAAAACAATTTATTTATTTAACTTCATTTATTAAATTTTGCTGTTCATCTAATTTACCAAGCTGTTTTTCTTTTATTTATCTCTCTAAATTCATATCCAATCATTTAATTTAATATCAATTAGCTAGATTATCTACTCAGATTCTTGTTTTCTCTTTCATTTAATCTCTATCTTTATTTTACATTTTATTTTTTTTCAATAAATATATAAATTTTAAATGAACTTTTATCACTCAAAATTAGCAGTTAAATTTATTTTAATTATATTTTATTAACAAATATAATACACTATTAACAATTTAAAAATCCAATATGTACAGATAACTTTATAAATTATTTCATCAATTTATAGCGTAATTTGTATCTAAATAATAAAAATTATTAAATAGAATATAATCTTTACACTATTTTACATAATTATCATCATCAATAATAATTCTCATTATTCTCTATTATAATCAATAGATTCTCAATTTAAATACCACTATATCATCTCTTTTTTCTTAAATGGTTATTCAACAATTAATTATTATATCCTAATTATTCAAATAATTCTAAAGAATCATATATAGTAATTTGTATTTTAATGAAAAAATAAAAGATTCTTAGATGCAAAATGAATTAACAAAAGTGATATATTTTTAGTTAAAAAAAATATAAAAATATAAAAATCTAAAAATAGATAAAAACTTCTTAAATTTATTTTTGAATAAAATGTAAGTGATTTATTTGATTTATCAGTGGATATTGATTTAATCAATAAAATACAGATCCATTAATTGAAAAATAAATATTCAAAAAAGTATAGATATCAAGTAAGCAACAAATAATTCCTAAATTGATTATATCTGATAATTCTTTTATTTATAGAAAATATAAATTTCTAATTAGTATTTAAATCTTTTTAAGATGTAGATTAAATAGAAAAAATGTTTTTAAATTAATTTATTTTGTAATAAACGATATTCAAAAAGAGAGAATCTAAGAAAAATATTGAGAAAATAAAATTGATTATAAAAATAATATAACATTAATGTTAAATTGTGATAGTCCTTAATGTTTAACTCCAACAGATACAAAGAAATTAGAAGTCAAATTAAAAGTTCCTGATGAACTTTTCAATTATACTCCTTTGGAATAACTTTCAATTCCTAAAAATAAAAAAATTAGATAATCATTCTCGAAATTCCTTTGTGGAAATATAAATGAAAAAGAATTTGTGAAATTTAAATGTTTTCCTTAACATTAAGATTAAGGAATTTAAATAGTGAATAAAACTAGGAATAGACATCAAGACTTTACATTATAATTAAAAAAATAAGCAGCAATTGAAAAAGCTAAACAAAGATGGCATAAATTAGCAGAAGTATTGTTAATTGAATTATAGAGGTGATTCGCTAAAATATATAGTTAAGAAAATAGATTGATACAAATTATTAATCTAAAATAATTAGTAGGATAGAATTAGGACTTAAAATATAGAATTAATAATCTCATTAATAAATAATCCCAGATGATCTTAAAAATCATTAATTAAGAACAATGACTATAATCAAAGAAAAACAAATAATATAAAATTCATCTAGCTTTGTAACTCCAAAACATTATCATTATACTCTTTAAGGTTTTTTATAAAAATAATCAGATGAATACTTATATATTTATCATCAAAATCTCCCTAATACTGCTAAATTGACAGATCAATAATATAATTAATTATTAATTACTTATTTAAATAAAAAATAATTATTTGAGAATTACTAAGAAGAAATAAAATAAAGAAAAATTATAAAATGGAGATCTAAAAATAGTAAGAGCACATTTTACAGTTCTAATATGAGTTCTAAATCATTTGGATTAAATGTTAGTTAACCTATGTAAAGATTATCAAATCCTCTTTATTCATAGTAATAGTAACGAAAAAAGGAACATTAATTAATTAATAAAATTAATGATATTGCTAATCCAAAAATGGTTAGTAGTGTTAAATCAAAAAAGTATTTTAGAAAACAATAAATTAATTCCAAACTTAATGGAGTTGTTAAACATAATAGAATTTTATCATTTAATTTTATGGAAAAGGAAGAAGATGATGTATTAGATTTATCAAATGCTTCAATAACTGAAGCTTTATTAGATTAATTGTATTTAGGTTCACAAAAATTATAAAATAAATTAAAATAATAACCTACTGTCCAAAAAAAAGTTAGAGATATACTTAGATTATAAGAGATGAAAGCTAATACAATTAATGCAAATTATTAAAAATTGAATAAGTACTAGTAACAACATTAGTGATTATTTTTTTATTTGCTCAATTTTAATTTAGTAATATTATTATTATTTATTTAAATATAAAATGGATAGCAAAATTTAAGTCACATCTTAGAATAATTAAAATCTATATGTATAATAATTTACATATTCAGGTAGATAAAGGAATAATATTACAATCGACTAAATTGAAAGAAATTTTGGGTAAATCGGAAAACAATGAAATTCTTATTGATATTTCATATGACATTTTGGAAATCATTTTTACATTTTATGAGAATCATAAAAATAAAAAAGAAATAGTAATAACGGCTCCACTTAATAAATAATCAAATTTCTAAAATCAGATAGACAAAAAAGATTATCAAATACTTGAAAAACTAAGTTTATCAAAATTATAGTAATTAATATAAGTTTGTTATGATTTATAATACACTTTATTACTAAATATAACATGTGCATCACTTGCAAATAAATTACAACGTAAATTATATAATATATATAATAGACATGGATATTATGGCAATCAGATAAATGTTCAATATATAGCAAGATTAAAGTAAAGAATAAATAGAAAGAATATTATTAGAAAACAAATGGTTGAGAGAATGAATTCAAGTTTATTTATAAAAAGTATAAAGTAAATATTAATTCTTAAATTTGTATTCGATATTGTATAATTATCAAATTGTAAACATGAAGACATATTCTTAACTAACATTCATTTTTTTATCTCTAATTATTTGATGATTACTATTTAATCAATTCATTAAAATTTTTAATACTTCATACCTTAACAAATTCAAAGATTAGATTACTTTGTGAAGAATATCATTTAAATAAAATTCACTAAAAGGCTTTGTTAAAACTTAATTGAGAAAATAGAAAAAGAAACTGATATACGATATTTAATTAAAATAATAAAACTTCATTTTAAAGTTAAACATTTCATTTCCTCAACATCATCATTTATTATTGCTTATATAAATCTTTTAATATCAAACAATTCCCCAGAACAAAGTTTCTAAAATTCGTAAGCTGCATACATCCATAAAATGCATTTATCTATTTATTGTTTAATAAATTAATTTTCAGTTTTTAAGGAATCCTATTTCAAAAATTACATTTTCAAGAATAATTATTCTTAATATAATTAAAGATCTATAGGTTTGGTCAAATTTAAATTAGCAATTGATTCAATTTTGTGATGTTCAGTTGGAAAATTGATTAAGGAAAAATAATTGATTATATTGACATAATCAATATATTTTTTTTTAATTTGATTTTTGACTTCTTCAATTTCATCAATAAATTATAAGAGACTATTTTTGAAATATTTTAATACTTTCTATCTTCATAGAAATGCATCCATATTTCACAATCAAATTGAATTTTTACATGATCATGTTTCCCTAATATAGCCTATTGTTCCAATCGATCTTTTAATTATTATATTAGAATAGCAGCTTATTTTAAAATGTAAAGAATTTCAAATCTACATAATTATTAGATATTTTCATTTAAATAATCTGCTAATTAAACCATAAGTGTTATTCCTGCAATTTTATCTAAGATTCCTTCTTTAATACCTTTTATTCCATTTTGTATAAATTGATTCTTTTCTGAAATTATCTTTTCTTATTGTAGTTTTTAATATTCTTACAATTCTTGTTATTCTTTTTATTCTTTTTTTTTTTGTTATTCTAATTCTTTTTTGAGTTTGTCCTCATCTTCTAATAAACTAATTTATTCGACTTATTCACTATTTTCTTCAAAATGCTAATTCAATTTTTCTGCTTTCATGATATCAAGATATCTGGGATCATTTTTACAAAAATCAAAAATAGGATCCATCAGAGCTTCTTAAGCAGAAATTCTCTATTAATAGATATGATATATACAGTTTTTTAATCTTTATTGATCATTTTATATAATAAATTTTTAAATTGTTCAGATATTTTATACTTACGATCATTTAAAAGATATGGTTTAGTTAATATTTTTTATTAAACTTCAAATTAACTTCTACCAATATAATAAATTTCTCCAAATAATATCTCATGAGTTAACAAACCTAAAGCCCAAACATCAACTTTTGTATTATAGTTATCACTATTAAAAAACTCTGGTGCCATATATGGAAATGTGCCAAGATGAGTTTAATATAAAGATTTTTAACTAGCAAATCCAAAATCTCCTAATTTATACACTCCATCTTTAATAAAAATATTTTCTGGTTTGATATCTCTATGAGCAATATTGTTATTGGAAATTAATGAAAGAGCTTATAATAATTGAAATAAAATGAAAATTGCTTCTTTTTCTTCAATTTTTTTGACTTTCTTTATTTAATCATATAAGGTCCCTTAATTACAGTATTCTAAAACTATATAAAAATTATTAGCAGTTTCAAGGAATTCATATATACGATTAATAAAAGGACACATAGATTATTATGATAAACTTGCTAATTATTAAAGAATTTTAACTTCTAATTAAATTTGATTCATAATCTCATCTCTAAAAATATAAATAATAAAACAGTACCCATATTTAGCTAAAACAGATCTTTTAATTATTTTAATAGCAACTACTTCATCTGTTTTTTTGTTTTTACCTTTAACAACTTCTGCAAAGCTTCCTGTTCCTAGTTTATCATTAAGATAATATTCATATTTCTTGCCTACAGACTTTTTTTCTATCATATAAAACTTTAATGTATAATATATATTTATTAATCATAAATTAGCTCTGATTAATATATTAATATCTTATTCGATTCTCAAATTATATTTCTATTCTCTTTATAAATCAAATAGTGATAATTTAGATGAATAATTAAGAATTGGTTCAGATTGATCATCTTTTTATCTTGAAATTGTTGTATCTATATTTAATATAATAATACTTAATTATTTGTTATCTATCTATTTAATTTATGTATCATTTTTCATTCTACTAATTTTTGCTTTTTATTTTTGAACAGTGTGTTCTAAAAAGAACCTTTCAGATTATAAGCATTTTGAGCATGTTTAATGATCTTTTTATTTACATTCAAGATGAATAAAATGACCACATAAATACATATAACCTTTATTATCAATTAGTTCATTGCAAATATTACAATAATTAATAGTAAAGTAACCTTGAAGATGAGATCTCAAAAATTTGTATGATTCCATATTAAAAGAATGTTAAATAATAAATCTAGCATTTTAAATGAAATATTTTTAATAAGAGAAAGTGTTAACTAATTTAATGAAATTACCTTTATACTCTTTGATATTAATATTACTATATTTAGTCCCTAAATGTTAGGCAAATATATCTAATGGAGTATGAGTAGATATATCCTATATTAATAATAAAATTATTACTTCAAATAATTATCCAATATGTTTAATAAGAATTCTATTTAGTTAAGTGTCTGATATTTCATTATTTAGTAATATTAAACTATCTAAAAAATAGTACCAACTCTTATCTGGATTATCTGAATGATATTAACAAATTTCTGAAATTTCATTCATTTTATTTTCTATATGTTCATACTCTTAAGAATACACTGTATCTGCATTCTTAGATTTATCAAGTATTTTAGATATTATATTTCTCAAGAGTATTATCTGCAATTTTACTGCATCACCAATAAAACCTAATCTACATTAAATATATGCAGTAGATTCAATATTTTGATACTTTTTGCATATTTCTAACACTTCTTCTAAAGGATAATTGATTTTTTATAATTATTATAAAACTCTCTAAGGTTCTAATTCACATAATAACTAAATTATTTAAAATACATAGATATACTTCAATATGTTTTATTAAGATAATATTACTTAAACCAAATTCAGAATTACTATCTTTTTTTATAATAGTTTCAATATATCTTAATTATAATTCTTTATTTTAACCTAACTTATCTATTACTTAAAGTTCATTATCTTTTTAAAATTAACAAATTAATTCTCTAGTTTTTTTGATATCTAAATTTATTAGATCTTACAACTTTGATACTATAATTCCATTAAGTTATATATATATTTCATTACCATGCTATAAATAGATTATTATTATATATACCATTTGAATAAGAGTATCATGTAAATATTTAAATACTTACTTTTATACTAAAATATTATTTGATTTTAAATAAATAGATACAGGAATTTGATATTCTCCAACATATTAATACAGATATGCTTATATTAATGGAATCTATTTTAAATCTTTCAATCCATTTAGCATTTCTATTTATTCTTTATGTTTTTCTGTCTAGATTTTACTTACTAAAATATAAACAAATTTAAGCATCAAACGTTATTAAAAATATTCGATTATTTCAGAATGACTTTAATGTTATTCTAATTAAATTAATTCGCTTTTATCTATTACTTCTGCATATGATCTATAATCAATATAAAATAGAAATGATTTATTGAATGTGCAAAACAATAATATATCCATCATTATGTCAAATTCTACTTCCAATTTTAAAATGAATATCACTTTTATTATAAAGAATGAATATGCAGTCTAAACATCATTATTTTCAAATCCAATAATATCATTAAATTATTATTAAATTTCAAACTCTTATTATTAAAATTTCCAACGATATGTAGGATTCATAAACATTCTCAACACATTTTATATTACATTCCTTATAAAATATCTAATATATTTACAATTATTTAGAATGTTCTAATTCTATTTAATGTTATTTTGTTTTACTCATTATTTAATATAATATATGAAATGTTCCATAAGGATCTATCCATATCATTCTTCTTAGATTATTCTCTTCAAATATCCAAACTAACATCATTTCTATTGTACTCTATATTAATCTTCAACTTATTTACCTTCAATGCAGATATTCCGATCTCTTACCCATCCTATAATTTACCTTATATAATATATTCTATAAATGATATCACTTTTCTAACACTTGTGATTTCTTCTTCAAAATTTTCTAATTATGATTGCTTTATGCTATAATTCCAAATCTAAAATAAAGGAGTTAAAAATTCATTCTTCCCTGTATTAGTACATAAATGAATCATTGGTGAAAATAATTAACTTTCCAAACAAGCTTATAAATATATTGAATAATTCACTCTTTTCAAATCTAATTAATTTAATAATTAATAAATCTTTGCTTTCTATCCTTTTAATAAAGATATCAACTTTAACAGAATTTCATCTGGAATAAATTTAAACTATTTATTTATTATAAAAGGTTCAACAATACTTTAAAAAAATTTAGATTCATCGTTTAAGGTTTTTGAAAAAAAATCACAAATTGAGTTTAAATTTTGTTCATTTTCAATATCAATTATAAATTTCACCAAAGATATTCCCCTCTTTTTTGCTTCTTCTGTTTTACCGCTTACTTGTAATCTGGCAATTTAATTACAATACAAATCAATTAGTTATTTAGCAAATTGTAGTAACTTTTATCTATCAAATTCCATAAACACTTTTTTATGTATACATAAAATTAATTAAAAGCTTAGTAAAAATTATTGATTCTCCATAAAATGTCTTATCTTATCTTCAAATTTATAATATTTCAAAACTGTAATATTTTAGCTAGTTAAAATATAAATTTCTTATAGAATTTCATTATTAGATATACAAACATTAAATTGGCTCTCATATTTTTTGTCTTTCCAATACATAAGTGGCAAAGGTTCAAATGATTGCATTTACATTATCTTTTAAGTCTTATAATTAGAGAAATTGCTTGTATAAACAGCACCTTTTTCAGTCAAGAGTAAGACTAAATCATTATAAATAGAATTCATATATATAAACTAAGTATTTGATTAAATTTTACATTCGCAGACATCTTGATTTCTTTAAGTAACTTAAAATTTGCCCTTATTTTACCTTCCACATATTCGGTTCCTTAAAATAAAAAAGATTTAGTTTAATTAGTCCAAGTGATACCTAAAACTAAATGATCTTTATTATCAATTTTAAGAATATCCCATTCTAGAATACATTAATTATTTTCTGGTGCATCATTTTAGAAATCTGCTAAAATAGTAAATTATGTAACATTAGAATCTTATATTCTTAAAACCCAACATTTATATCCATTACCTAAAGCAACAATTGTATATTCAGGGAAATTAAATAATGGTTTACATTTGATTGTAATAGGTCTAATAATTGACATAGGTTATGATTTAATAATGAATTATGAATCTAAATCATAAAAGATTCTTCCTTTTGCACATCTAGTTAAGAAACAATTGCCTTATTCATCACCTGAAACAAATGTATTTTCATTAACATATCCCAAAGAAATTATTCTAATTTGATGTACTTTAACCCATTTTAAATGTTTCATATTTATTAAATCATATATTCCTATAATACCATTATCAAACCCAACAGCAAGTTATGATTATGATAAATTAAAACTTAATTAATTTACACTGCCATGTTCAGTTTAACATATATCTGCTACATAAAGTAATTAATATTTCATTTCAATATATTATTTATTTGGAGGATCAACTCCAATATAAAAATTAAGTACTGCTCCTAAATTACTTCCTACAGCTAAATATTAACCTTTTGATATTAAAGACCTTATTCTACCAAATTTTCTGAGAATTGTTGCATTCTAAAATAATGCTTCATTTAGAGCTTCAGGATTAAAGCATTTAAATATTTCAGCTTATTCAATATGCAGATTTGTATCAATTTTGTATTCATTTTCTATTTACACTTCCTCAAATTATTCCTCTATTTTGTCTTTTAAGTCAGCTTTTATTAATGGTAATTGATAAGTGTTTCTTACAAAACATGCAATCAAATTTGGATAATCTTATTTGTATTAATAATCTAAACTTTTCATTTCCTATATGTATATCTGATATTATTAAATAATTTAATCATTATGTATTATTAATTTCTTGCCAAAATCATAAAATATACATTATAAAATATTAAAACTACAAATCCATTGTTAAATACAAGATGATTTACTAATCAATTATATATACAATTTCTATATTTAATTAAATTTATATCAATAATATGTATTCAAATCTTATATTGCTTACATCAATTCTTAGATATATTCATATTTACTCTAAAAACTAGTAATTTAAACTTACAGTCAATATTGATTATTTTAAATCATTAAAATTTAAATTAGATGGTAATCTTTTTTTATTGATAATATATAATTAATAAATGATTATGCTAAAATTAATAAAAATATATAGAAAATGGGTAATGAATGTAAATCTGATACTTCTTTTGAGGAAGATTATGAATCATTTGCAAAAATGAGTGTTAATCCAAGCAATTCTTATAAGATATTTTCTGAAACTTATAAAATGGAAAGAAAAGAAGACTTATTTTTTAATATGATTGAAAAGATAGAACCTACTTTTAATATAACAAATGAATTTGATATAAAAAAGAGAACAATAAGTTGTATTGAATAATACACTGAATATAAAAGGAAAAAAGTAAATTAAAAAATCTAAAAATCTGCATTAAAAGAATATTCAAATAACACAAAATCAAATAAGAAACATAGTAATAAATCTGTGACATGGGATGCTTCATGTTAATAATAATAATGAATTTGATTTTTAAATTTTGATATTTAAACTTATTTAATTTTATATATTAGTATTAAAATACTAAATATAATAATGTTACATGATTAAATTTCTAATGTTGGGATTTGGTTAGAATAATTAAAAAATGGAGGAGAATTTTATAGTAGAAATAAGTTAAATAATAAAGAATAAAGATTATAATATATTGTAATAGATAAATTGGAAAATTTATCATTCCCTCCAGAAATTGATGCCTATGAAACTTAACTTAAATTAAGGATGTCAGCTACAATATATGATTTAAAAACTGAATAATTTATATCAAATACATACAAGAGTCCATATTTAACAATATTTTTGACAGACTTAGTAAATATGGCAGATAATCCAGATGAAGGAGAATTAAATGAGAATGAAATTCCATAAAAAAAGTAGACTAGAAATTAACCAAAATTAAGAAGTGGATAAGCAATAACAAGATATTAACATGCTGCTGTTTGGATAGGATTTGTAATGAATAAAGCATAATATTTAAAAGAATATAAATTAGCAGTAGAATTTACATTATCTTAATATAGTAATAAAACAAAATTGACAACTACATTTAAAACACTTGGTTATGCAATGATAGATTTATCTGCTAAAATAACATTTGCTGATTTATATGCTGGAAGTGTAAGAGATCTAACAAATAGTTTTTATATAAGAGAATAAAAGTAAATAAAGCCAATTTAAGTAAGTTATAAATGGAAAAGTTTTAAACATGTTCCAACTGCTATAATGAAATTAATAGGTCCATTTTTATTATTTGGTTATGATGATACAGTAGTTGGTTTAAGAGGTAATAAATTACCACCTATTATTAATGATCTAAAATATTTGGAATTAGATGAAGCTTTAAATTTGTCATTTCCAAAATGTAAAATTTATATTCATTAAATTGTTGATTTGGAAATATTTAATTATATTTCTAAAAAGTAATAAGAATTAGCATAAGTCTCTGAAAAAGAAAGTGATAATATTAAAATTACTAAATCTAAATCTAGACTTATACCATTTTGTCATAATGGTTGGAGAGATGTAAATGAATTTGGATTTGAAAATATTTATATATTACAGGAAGTTGAAAGAAATGATAAATTTATTGTTTATACAACTGAAAAACCAATAAGAGCAGATAGAATTTATAAAGATTCTGCAGTAATCTTTTAATTAGTCTATTATTATGATATTGAAATCTTAGAAATATAATAAGATCCTATCGAAGTTAATGTTGGATGGTTTGCATTAACTCCTAATGATTGTACTAAANAGTAGAAATAAGTTAAATAATAAAGAATAAAGATTATAATATATTGTAATAGATAAATTGGAAAATTTATCATTCCCTCCAGAAATTGATGCCTATGAAACTTAACTTAAATTAAGGATGTCAGCTACAATATATGATTTAAAAACTGAATAATTTATATCAAATACATACAAGAGTCCATATTTAACAATATTTTTGACAGACTTAGTAAATATGGCAGATAATCCAGATGAAGGAGAATTAAATGAGAATGAAATTCCATAAAAAAAGTAGACTAGAAATTAACCAAAATTAAGAAGTGGATAAGCAATAACAAGATATTAACATGCTGCTGTTTGGATAGGATTTGTAATGAATAAAGCATAATATTTAAAAGAATATAAATTAGCAGTAGAATTTACATTATCTTAATATAGTAATAAAACAAAATTGACAACTACATTTAAAACACTTGGTTATGCAATGATAGATTTATCTGCTAAAATAACATTTGCTGATTTATATGCTGGAAGTGTAAGAGATCTAACAAATAGTTTTTATATAAGAGAATAAAAGTAAATAAAGCCAATTTAAGTAAGTTATAAATGGAAAAGTTTTAAACATGTTCCAACTGCTATAATGAAATTAATAGGTCCATTTTTATTATTTGGTTATGATGATACAGTAGTTGGTTTAAGAGGTAATAAATTACCACCTATTATTAATGATCTAAAATATTTGGAATTAGATGAAGCTTTAAATTTGTCATTTCCAAAATGTAAAATTTATATTCATTAAATTGTTGATTTGGAAATATTTAATTATATTTCTAAAAAGTAATAAGAATTAGCATAAGTCTCTGAAAAAGAAAGTGATAATATTAAAATTACTAAATCTAAATCTAGACTTATACCATTTTGTCATAATGGTTGGAGAGATGTAAATGAATTTGGATTTGAAAATATTTATATATTACAGGAAGTTGAAAGAAATGATAAATTTATTGTTTATACAACTGAAAAACCAATAAGAGCAGATAGAATTTATAAAGATTCTGCAGTAATCTTTTAATTAGTCTATTATTATGATATTGAAATCTTAGAAATATAATAAGATCCTATCGAAGTTAATGTTGGATGGTTTGCATTAACTCCTAATGATTGTACTAAAGCTAATGAAAAATTAAAATTATAAATTCATGGTGATAGAAAATCATTTAATTCATAAAAATGGTATGCTAAATTAACACCTAAATCACCAGGAGAAGCAATTATCACATATGATTTTGTCTATTTTGAATAAAAATAAGAGAAAAAAGGTAATTAATAAAATAAATAAAAATAATAATAATAAAAATTGATAGATCCAAATACTTTAAAAGGACGTTTAATTGAATTATCTATTAAAAAGAAAAATGAAAGTAAATATCATTTTAATTATTAAAATAGTTAAAACTGGTCTTGCTAGAGAAGAAAATATTATGAGATAAAATAAATTAATATCTGATCTTTTTACAATTAAATAAAATACAACTAATCTTATTACAGGAATGATTAATTAGAATTCTTATGTTTAATCAAATACATAAGTCTTATTACATGAATTTTAAGGTTTATTAGAAGTTGGTATTAAGAATTTTGAATTGGCAAAAGAAAAATATTTATTAGAAGAATAAAGATTATTAAATTTTAAAAAAAGAAAAGAAAAATTAGATATTTTATAAAATTCTTTAACAGAAGATTTAAGGAATAAATTTGATAAATGGTAATATGAATAATCTCATCATCCTAATTTAGATATTTGTTATAGAAGTATTATTAAAATTGTAATAATTTAGGCACACTATTAGATTTTTATTTACAAGTAGGATTTGGTTATAGAGATTTACCTGCTAGTAGATAAATTTAAATTGATTTAGAAGAATCAAAAAAATAACTTAATTTAAAAATAACTTTACTTTTAACATCATATAAATTTGTATTAAAAATGAACTCTCCAATAAAAGAAGATTTTGTATTATAACCAATATATTTATTTGATAATTACTGTCCAACTTCATTATTATTTAGAATTCATATACTTGGATAAGAAGATGAAATTAAAAGTCACAAAGCAAAAAACTAAAAAGAATTTGAAAGATGGATGTCAGATAGAATGTATATGCATTTAGAATTCAAAAAAGTAATTAAAGAATAAAATTTAACAAATAAAATAGCTATTATTGAAATTTGGAATGAAAGTTCAATTACTATATTAGGAAGATGTTTTGTTCCTTTATTTTAAGATTCTATTATGTTTTAAGAATCCTCAATTGTTTGTTCGCTTTATAAAGAGTGTGATGTCATTTCTTATGATGGAAATTATATTATTGGTTAACTTGATATTGGAGTTCTTGTTTAATATACAGATGATGAAATCAAAAATGATATTGATTTCTAAGAAAAACCCAAAGAAATTTTAGTTGTAGATAAACCATAAAATGAATCCTAAAAAATAGAGAATGAATCAAAAGTATAACCTATTCCTTAACCTTAAGAATATCATGATATAATAAGGGTTTATTATTCTGGATAAGAAGAAACTAAACTAGTTGTAAATAATCCAATTATGCTAAATTCATAATTTTTGAAGTATCAAATTTTCGATATTTTTTTAGATTTATTAAAACTTTAACAATTGTTGGAGATTCATCAGTCAAATTAGATTATTATAACGACTATGAAATACATTTTATATGCAACATATATGATGTAGCAGAAACATTTTTAATTCTTTATGATCATCTTAAAGAAAATATACTTTAAGTCTATAGATTTGTAATATATAAATGTTAATCAATTGTATATAATGACTTTGTAGGAAGACTTAGCAATTTATATATTCCATACGAAACTAATCTAACAGATAAAATTGAAGTTGTACCAGCTAATCCTTTTTTAATTAGACCTAAATTAGATGATCTACCAGTTATTAAAGATTCTTTATTTTATATTCCTGTTCAATGTTTAGCAATTGAGTCATAATTTATTACAACCAGATTTACTATTTAATAAGGAGATAGTATGGAAACAAGATTAATTCACTTTAAACCAAAAGAAAACAAAGTTTTTTAACTTTTTAATCTTGATTGCCCTAAAAATCAAGAAAAATAAGAATAGGTTCTTTATTAAAATAGATCAGATAAAGCAGTTTTCTTATCAATTACTTCATCTAATTCTGCTCTTTAATTATTAACACATACACTCAAATTAGAACCTTATTAATCTTCTCCCATTTAATTTTTACTCAAAAAGTATGGTTACACAAAAAAATAATAAATTAAGCTCTATTTAACAAATTTAGAATGCGATTATAAAGATTGTATGATGTTTAAAATTAATTATTATTGAAATCACTTTTTTATCATTAACTTTCTTTCATATAATAATTATAGATAAGATAATTCCTAATTAATAAGAACATGTAAAAAATGTAGTATTAAATTAATAAATTCATACTATCGTGACATAATATTTAATTTCGATTTCGCATCCAAATCTTAAAATAAATTATCTTCAAATAATATTAATATCTATTTTTTATATTCACTCTAATTGCATGTCTCAAACAGATAGCACCAAAACATCAGGCTAAAAAATAAAAAAAACACTAATAAGTCCTTTGAAAGAAGCACTTTCATAATTAACGAAATCATATAAATTTTTCATACCAAATGAAGAGGATGTTATTGTTGTTCTTGTTGATCTTCCATGCCATATAGACTTATAGGAAGCAACATCTCGAGCACTCAAACTAGTGCCCAAACACAATCCAGTAGATTAGAATCAAAATAATTATGACATTTATGTGGCCAAGAAAAATGGTTAGCCTAAAATGGATTTTCCTTCATACTAAACAAATTTAAGACTTGAAGAAACAGGAAATTTCGTATTTTCCTTAGTTCATGTTACATATTAAGAAAAAAATATAAGAAAATCAATCAGAAAATCCACCTATGATTTATCACATTATCAAAGTCCAACATAGCCTTCAAGATCAAAAGAAATCAATAAATATTTACCTAAACCAGAAAAAAATTGGTTACTTCGATTCTTAGGATGTGCTTGACTATTTATTTGTGTATTGCTATTTTGTAATTAATATATAACTATTTCAATCATCTTTTCAATATTCTTACTTTATTGTTATTTTTTATTATTCAAAATATTGCAATTCGTTTAGAATAAAAATTAAATAATCAATAAAACCAAAAAACACTGATAATAATAAAAAGTACAAAGAATCATTAATTATACTATAATGGAAAATATTTGGAAAGATAAAGATTGAACAAATAATTGAAATATTTATTCAATTTAATTTTTATTCCTTTCTTACATAGTTTTCAACCATTTTGATTATTAAATAGATCGGCATGAAGTATTACCCATTATTCGAATTGTATNTTCTTTATTAAAATAGATCAGATAAAGCAGTTTTCTTATCAATTACTTCATCTAATTCTGCTCTTTAATTATTAACACATACACTCAAATTAGAACCTTATTAATCTTCTCCCATTTAATTTTTACTCAAAAAGTATGGTTACACAAAAAAATAATAAATTAAGCTCTATTTAACAAATTTAGAATGCGATTATAAAGATTGTATGATGTTTAAAATTAATTATTATTGAAATCACTTTTTTATCATTAACTTTCTTTCATATAATAATTATAGATAAGATAATTCCTAATTAATAAGAACATGTAAAAAATGTAGTATTAAATTAATAAATTCATACTATCGTGACATAATATTTAATTTCGATTTCGCATCCAAATCTTAAAATAAATTATCTTCAAATAATATTAATATCTATTTTTTATATTCACTCTAATTGCATGTCTCAAACAGATAGCACCAAAACATCAGGCTAAAAAATAAAAAAAACACTAATAAGTCCTTTGAAAGAAGCACTTTCATAATTAACGAAATCATATAAATTTTTCATACCAAATGAAGAGGATGTTATTGTTGTTCTTGTTGATCTTCCATGCCATATAGACTTATAGGAAGCAACATCTCGAGCACTCAAACTAGTGCCCAAACACAATCCAGTAGATTAGAATCAAAATAATTATGACATTTATGTGGCCAAGAAAAATGGTTAGCCTAAAATGGATTTTCCTTCATACTAAACAAATTTAAGACTTGAAGAAACAGGAAATTTCGTATTTTCCTTAGTTCATGTTACATATTAAGAAAAAAATATAAGAAAATCAATCAGAAAATCCACCTATGATTTATCACATTATCAAAGTCCAACATAGCCTTCAAGATCAAAAGAAATCAATAAATATTTACCTAAACCAGAAAAAAATTGGTTACTTCGATTCTTAGGATGTGCTTGACTATTTATTTGTGTATTGCTATTTTGTAATTAATATATAACTATTTCAATCATCTTTTCAATATTCTTACTTTATTGTTATTTTTTATTATTCAAAATATTGCAATTCGTTTAGAATAAAAATTAAATAATCAATAAAACCAAAAAACACTGATAATAATAAAAAGTACAAAGAATCATTAATTATACTATAATGGAAAATATTTGGAAAGATAAAGATTGAACAAATAATTGAAATATTTATTCAATTTAATTTTTATTCCTTTCTTACATAGTTTTCAACCATTTTGATTATTAAATAGATCGGCATGAAGTATTACCCATTATTCGAATTGTATAACAATATTTTTTGAGCACTTAAAATTACTCTTTTTCAAATAAATTAATATTTATTCAAAATAAATTATATTTTAGCAATGAATATAAAAGCAGTAGAACATGAAGGAGAATTTAATGAATAGGATGATGAAGAAGAAAGTCAACCTTAAGAAAGCAATGTAGCAGAGAAAACTTCCATTGATATCTAACAAATTAAGAATTTTGAAGATTTTAAGAAGATTTTAGTTTAATTGGATGAATAAAGAATATTATCATTAAAAGAATAAAGTGAAATATCTATGTATAAAATTCAAATATAAGATTGAAGTAGGCATAAATATTGGATGATATTGAATTTATAAAAAAAGAAAAGTAGAAGGAAAAAATTCAATTCATCTAAAAAATGTTCTCTTTAGTGCCATAATACAATAACAAATTAGATTAAATTTCAACTCTAAAATCAAATATAAAAGAATTATTAGAAAAAATAAAAAGAAAGAGAAAAATAGATTGATATATTTTGTTTTTATGTTATTTAAATAGAAACATGTGTAGATTTGAAATTATGCATTTTGTTTTAGTATTAAATGATATAATAATATTTACTTTATAAATTATTTAAATAAACAATTATATATATTTATTATCTGGATAATATAATTGAAAAATTGAATTCACGATATAGATTACAAAATAAACATAGACATTAAAATAAATAAGTTTATAAAGATTTCGCTTAAAAGTCGCATATACTAAAAAAAAGAACGTAATTATGATCAATTACTCTAGTGATTTATCAATTTAAAATAAATATCATTGTTCTTTAGAGGCCAATCCAAAGTATTTGTTCTACAAAACAAAAGGTAGATGAGATTTAAATGATATTGGAGTAATTTTATCAATTTATTTGAATCTTGAGATAGCAGGACTAGTTTATTATCTAGAAGTAGTGGAATGAATCCTTTTGCTTAAAGTACTTTCACTTCCATTTTTTTTTTATATTAATCTTGGACTATCTTATAGACTTTCAAGATTTTTTTTAATATCTTTAAAATTTGGTTTTTGTAATTTAGGATTAAGAAGATCCTCTTCAGTTTTTTCTGATTTTAATTATTAGTTCTTAAACAATTTAGTAATAACTGTGCATATAAAAACATTTAATTTTGGTATTTCTTATGATTATGTTGTATTAACACATTTTATTTTAGTTTCGAATGATCTTTTTTTCATTAAAGGAGTTTTTTTTGAGATAGAAACAATCTGTTATTCAGTCTTTTACCTTCTATGTCTTTCAGAAAGGTAGAGTTAAGAGAGCAAAGTATTTGAATCTGCTTCATTTTTAGGAGGTTCAAGAGTTAATGTTAACTCTCTTATTTTTTTTTCAATAGATTTCTTTTTGCTACTAATTTTACATAATTAACTTTAATTTTTAACTAATACATTTTTTTCAATGTCATCATCCGTTAAGAGTTTAGGATTGAGTTATTCTTTAATTTATGTTCTTGAAAGAATATTTTACTTTTCAGTTTAATCAATAAAATTTTTTTCATAAGCTTTAATTTAGGCAAGAGCTTATTTTAATTTATCGTCATTCAATAAATTTAAACTTTCAGAAAGTGGTTAATCATTTTGTATAACTCTTAAGAAATCTCTTTTGGAAACAGAATATACCGTATTACTTTCAAATGTAGATATATAACTAAATTGACGACAAAGATCATTTGATTTTAATATTTCTAATTCTCCAAACATTTCTCCAGCGCCAACAAATTTTAAAGTCATAATTGATTTTTTATCTCCTGCTATTAAATTACCATATTTCTTTTTCTAATATAACATATCTATTTTATCCTAATTAGATAATACTGGTTTAGTATAAGCGAAATAATCTTTAAGTAGTTCTAAATCATCTTAAATTTAATTAACTTCATCATGCTTTTTTATCCGAAGTGTTTTAATCACCTATAGAGTTGAGTGATAATAGAATTACTTTAAATTATCCAGTTTAAATAAAATATACATCATTCGAAGGGTCTCCTTCTTTATAAATAATATGATTAAGACCATATTTATTTTATTTTATCACATCGAATAATGATTTGATACTCATAAATTTCCAATTTTTGAAAATTGCCAATTTTGCGAATTCTTCAAAATACATTTATCTTTGCTAATTTATCTTAAATTCAATATGAATTTAATACCACTGTTTTTTTAATTACCATATAATCTTCTGCATCTAATACTGCTAAGTGAGTTGGAAGAATAGCTTTAACAGAAGCAGATCTTGGTTCATTATTTTCTAAAGCTAATTCCCCAAAAGCTTATCCATCTTATAATTAAATTAATTCCTTATCTTAGAATTCATCTTAAACCAAAATTCTTTTATGAATACTCACTCTGCCTTACAATATTATATAAAATGTAGTTCCGACATCACCTTTTGATAATTAATTTATTAATTACCTTCATGGAATAATGTTTAACCATATGATAAATAAGTATAACTCATCTTTCTAAGGCATCTTTCCCATAATAAAACTCCTTAATCCTTTTCTAATAATTTCTGAAAATAAACAATATGTTTAGTAGCTTTTTTGAGGATTTCAATTTCTGATTAAGTTCTGTGATAAGAGGATTTAGTTAGAATTATACACAAAATTCCAAACATTTATTCCTCTGTCAAATTATCGTATAAAGATGGTTGTTATTCTATTTATAAAATGAATTGCTTTAGTCTTTTAGTTTCTTATTCTTTCAACGATTATTAATTTATAGAGTTTTTCCTTATAAATTTATTCATTATTAATTAAATAATTATAAAATAATTATATCTTCATGTATTTACTATTTAAATATCTAAATTTAACAAAGTTGTAAAGTACTTATGTTATAATAAATATATATTCGTAATTGTTTAAAAGCTGATACAAAATTTAAATAATAAAAGACTTCATTAATCAAATAATTACAATAATTAAAAAATTAATAATATTTATTGTCTATTTGGATATAAAATAAATATTTAAGATTTTTCTGCTGTAATTATTTAGGAAGAGTTAGAATATAAGAATAGTTTATTTTAAATTTGAAATTTGCCCTATAAAATTCACATTTTTTAAGGTATGCCATATTTAAAAATGAATTTTAGATAAATTTGTAATCTTATAAATTTTAATATTTATTTATTGATTAATGTATAATAAAAGGAAAAGAATTTTTAATAATATTTTTTCTAAAATAAATGCTTTTTAGTTAATGATTTTAATAGTAATAAATTTTATATATAACATCATTTAATGTCTTCTAAAAAATCTTTCGAAAAATGAGTTATGAGGATAAGGATTATCTACAGGATAATTTAATAAAGTAATATAACATAGATTTCTGGGGGATTTAACTAGAGTTAATTAAAGGCTTTAATATAATGATACATGATCAGATTAATATAATAGATAATTTGATGAATCATTATCATAATGAATATTATAAGACTGATAAGATGAAAAGTAATTAATTATAATAATGCATACAGAATGTATATTGTTAATGCTCCTATGATGTTTACAGATATTTGAACAATGGTTAAAATGTGGTTAGCTGAAAAAACTAAAAATAAACTAACTATATTAAGTTCATCTTATTAAAATCAATTATTAAAACATATAAATATAGATAATTTACCTCAAAATGTGAACATAGTGATAATCATAAAAATAATAATTATAATAGCTTAAATAAGAAAGAGGAAGGATATATTTTTTTAATAAATAAATAATTTCATTATTGCTATTATTATTACTAATACAAAATATATAAATAAAGTAACATTTCATTTCTTTTAATTATTATTCATCATTTTAATTGGTTTAGATAATTTGTCTAGTCTTTCCATTTTCTTCCATATTTCACATTCATTTTATTCTAAAGAAGCAAAACTTATATTGTTATCTATTTGATATTAATCATCCATTGATTCTTATAAATTTTAAAACTATTAAAACATAGAAAATTCTTCCTTCTTTCTTTTAGCTGATTAAGCTAATTCAAATTCTTTATCAACTTCTTATATTGGACTCAAAACATCTATGACTTTTTATTTTGGGGTTTTTGTAATAGAAGTTCCTCTACTTCTACTTTTAATAGATATAATAGATTTTGAGCTATTGTTCGTGAAATCAGATCTATATTCAATTTAATCATAAACTTTCCATCCATTATCATAAATTTTAGATACTAGAATATTTTTTAAATAATTATAATTAGGATGTTAACTTTATTTTAATGTCTTTAAATACTTAATCCATTCACCTAAAATTGAAGATTCTTAATCCAAAAATTATTTATCAAATGTAATTAATAATTTATTGTTTTACAATTCTTAAAATTATTTTTCATTTGTTATCTGATCAAATTATTGCCAAGGCAAAGTTTCTATTAATAATAAATATATTAATTACTATTATTTAGGTATATTAATAAGTAAGCTAAGCTATACAAATCATCAATATAATTAGGATCTTTTTTAAGATTTAGCATTGGACTTAAAAAATTAACATCTCTAATTGGTAAAGTTAAAGTTTTATTTTGCCTATGATTACTTTATAAATATGATAAGTCTTTCAAATATATTAATTTATCTTCACCTATACAAAATTAACAGGGTGAGAAGTTGCACAAAATATAATTTTTATCATGAACTTTCTATATTAATTTTATCAATTAGATGCCAATCAATAATATGCTTTTTTACGACATCTATTCATTTATCTAAAGAATCTAACTTAATGAAGGACCTAAATTTTAAGTAGCCAAAAAATATCTATATTTAAATACTCAAATACCTTTAATCACTATTATTCCCATAATCAATCACTTCTGGAATACCTTCAATATCTTACATATGTAACAATTTAACGGTTTCTTCTTGCAATATATTTTAATTTAAAGAGTTTTATATTCTTAATCTTACCTCTCTCTTGCTATTTTTATAAATAGCTGAATATTCAAAAAATGCAGTAGTAATTTACATTAGTCTTACATTTTAATATCTAATTTAAGAAGTTTGAGAATTCTAATTCATAGTCCAATTTTGTTTAAAAAAAAAATTATTGCAATAGAAGAAATTACTGGTTTTAATTAATTAAAATACTCTTCTTAAAAATAATTTATTTGACTAATAATTAAAGTTAATGGATATTAAAATCTTAAATAATAATTTATTAGTTTATTTCTATAAATTACATTGCAATCTAAATGTTACTAAAATATTTTAGATAAACATTTTAAAAGATTAAAATTATTTCTATTTTATATAAATTGCCTCTAATTCATAATTAATCATAATTCATAAATAATATATTTTAAAAATTAGGTATTAAATGTTAAATTAATACTATATATTCTCAGCAAGGATAATTAATGATTCTATTTTTATATACTAATATTGGATCTAAAAATCAATCTAAATTTTTAAGAAGTTTTGATATATATTTATTTAAATTTAAATTAGAAAAACAAAATAAGTTTAATTTTTATTTGATAAACTATAAATTTATTTTGATAATTTATATGGGAAGTCTTCGTCTTTTTTAAATATATAATTTAATTATACAAAATTTTAAAATGTATTTAATTTAGATTAAGAGCAAATAATTTACTTAATTTATTAAATTTTAAGTTAAGATTTATGTGTTATAAGTTTAAGGTTTGATTGATTTATTTAAAATTAGATTATTTTAGAAGAGATCTTAAAATTTTAAACTATCCTAGTAATTTCAATAATATTTTTGTTTCTAACATGTTACAATAGTTTTTAGATTTTTATCCAGCTGAATAAATTCATTGGAATTAGATAATTTATAAATTATTTTATAATTCTAATGGGGAGTATGTGTAGAATAGCTGAAAATGAATAAAATACATAATGTTTAGTATTAATCAATGTAAAAGTGAAGAATATACCTGATAAATAATAATTACTAGAAAAATATGGATACAATCTGAAAGAGAATGTAGATAGATTTGAAGATGAATTTTATTAAAGAAGTTTTAATATGGAAATAGAAAATAAAAATGTATAAAAATGTAAAGAGGGATCAGAAATATTAAGTTAATAAGATAAAAGTTAGTAGTATTCGATCGAGAATAACTTAGATATAGCAACTGAGTCTTAAAAAGAAAGTTCTAATTTAGAATTAAGTGAGCATTAATATAAGAGTAATTAAAAAAGAGAATGTAAGTAATCTAAATTTTACTCAAGAGATCGTCATAATTCTTAAAATAATTCACCTTTGAAAAGTATTTTAAAAATGCCTTAATCTTATTAAAAGATTTCTGATAATAATACAGAAAGAAGTCTAAAAAATAGAAAAATAAAAAATAGAGTAAGATTTATGTCAAGTGAGAAACAGTCAGAATCTTCAGTAGAAAGGAAAAGTTAAAAATAGAGAATGAAAAAGAAGTAACAATATTAAATAAAGAATAAAAAATTTAAGGCACTTGAAATTTAGAATATAAAATTATTATGATTTTTAATTTTTTGATTTTTTTATTGGATAGAATATTTAAATTTAGTTTGATTTATATATAAATTTGGATAGTTATTAACTATGATATTATAGTGATTTTATTTTATTATTCTAAGATTAACATGATTTAATAATAAACTATTAATTATTTATTTATTTAAAGAGTATTCATTAATATTACACATAATTATTAGTTATTTTAATAAATCTAATATATTTATATTTCATCTATTATTTAAGAATAATTATATAGTTTATTTATTAATTTCTTATTTTAGTTTTATTTCTAAAAATATTTAGCTTAAAAAACAATATGATATTGATGTTATTTAATTTTAATTGATTACAAAAACTCTATTCTATTATTAAATATATATAATTATGCTGTTATATTAATGAATAGGATGGAAATAATAAATAAAATTATTTNTACAATAGTTTTTAGATTTTTATCCAGCTGAATAAATTCATTGGAATTAGATAATTTATAAATTATTTTATAATTCTAATGGGGAGTATGTGTAGAATAGCTGAAAATGAATAAAATACATAATGTTTAGTATTAATCAATGTAAAAGTGAAGAATATACCTGATAAATAATAATTACTAGAAAAATATGGATACAATCTGAAAGAGAATGTAGATAGATTTGAAGATGAATTTTATTAAAGAAGTTTTAATATGGAAATAGAAAATAAAAATGTATAAAAATGTAAAGAGGGATCAGAAATATTAAGTTAATAAGATAAAAGTTAGTAGTATTCGATCGAGAATAACTTAGATATAGCAACTGAGTCTTAAAAAGAAAGTTCTAATTTAGAATTAAGTGAGCATTAATATAAGAGTAATTAAAAAAGAGAATGTAAGTAATCTAAATTTTACTCAAGAGATCGTCATAATTCTTAAAATAATTCACCTTTGAAAAGTATTTTAAAAATGCCTTAATCTTATTAAAAGATTTCTGATAATAATACAGAAAGAAGTCTAAAAAATAGAAAAATAAAAAATAGAGTAAGATTTATGTCAAGTGAGAAACAGTCAGAATCTTCAGTAGAAAGGAAAAGTTAAAAATAGAGAATGAAAAAGAAGTAACAATATTAAATAAAGAATAAAAAATTTAAGGCACTTGAAATTTAGAATATAAAATTATTATGATTTTTAATTTTTTGATTTTTTTATTGGATAGAATATTTAAATTTAGTTTGATTTATATATAAATTTGGATAGTTATTAACTATGATATTATAGTGATTTTATTTTATTATTCTAAGATTAACATGATTTAATAATAAACTATTAATTATTTATTTATTTAAAGAGTATTCATTAATATTACACATAATTATTAGTTATTTTAATAAATCTAATATATTTATATTTCATCTATTATTTAAGAATAATTATATAGTTTATTTATTAATTTCTTATTTTAGTTTTATTTCTAAAAATATTTAGCTTAAAAAACAATATGATATTGATGTTATTTAATTTTAATTGATTACAAAAACTCTATTCTATTATTAAATATATATAATTATGCTGTTATATTAATGAATAGGATGGAAATAATAAATAAAATTATTTACAATTATATTTTCTCATTAATTTTTATTTTAATGCAATCTCCAAAAAGAACTCTATAAATTTTAATTCCTCACACTTCTACTTCTCAAGTGAAAAGCCGTTCAAATGAAAATGATATTATAGATCATAAAATAAAACTGGTTTTATTAGGACTTGAAATTGAGCGTCTCCATAAAGTAGCTATACTAATAACAGATAAATACGAGGATAAAATTTAATAATTAGAAACAACATGTAGCCTTACTTTATAATGATTAGAATAATTACTAAAAGATAAAATAGAAAATTTAGAACTTAAAATAGCCACATTGAATCAATAATTGTTTATTAAAGATGATTTTATTAATGAAATTTTTGATGAAAAGTATATTAATTATATAATTATTAGATGTCCTGATGAAGTTAATAAAAAATTGAATAATTAATTGAAACAAGTTACTCAATAATTAAATAGAGCAAAAAAATAAATTGAAACTCTTAATGAAATAAATATAATCTTTAAGAAAAATCCTCCAGATAATCCTGAACTTATAGATATGATCAAAGAATTAGAAAATAATTATGAAGATATGCTTTAAAAAAAAGATTAAGAAATTACAAATCTTAAAATTAGAAATTCTTCATATGATTAAAGTCATAGTTAAGAAATGTCTGATTAAAAATCAGAACTCTTAAGAATTCAATTATAAAATCAATTTCTAAATGAAAAAATAGAAACTATATTAGAAGAGAATGAAAAATTAAAATAATAATTAAAATCATCTCATTCTGTATAATCTAATATAAATGATTAATCTTAATATAGATTAGTAACTAAAATAATTTAATAAGAACCATTCAATGCTTATTCAGATTTCTAATTTCTTGGAAAATAGGATATACTTAATCCATAATAATAATAATCAAATTCACCTTAAAGAACATCTTATCAAAATTCTTAAGAATTTATACAAACACTTAAAAAGATAGAGAAAATATAATTAGATGCATAATTTAATCCTCAAAATATATTATCTTAAATTAGATTAAGTGCAACTTTGTTACATTTAAAAAGAATGGAATTACCAAATGATTTAAATGATACATATGTTAAATACTTAAATCAAATAGAATAATCTGATGTTAAATCTGAAGATTAATCTAATTTAACATCTACTGTTAAACCTAAAAAATTATTCTTTAAAATTGAGGAAGATGATACTTAATAAAAATAATTGAGAACTCCATCTTCTTAATTTATAAATTAAAAACCTCTATCTAATCATCAACATTAATGTGTTTAAGTTGATTTCTTAGATAAATAATAATTAGATCAAACATAAAATGATCTTGAAAAATTAAAAAACGAATATTAATTATTATAAAAAAAATTAAATACCAAAATAATTAATGATACTAAACCTATTTCTTAATCGAATGTTAAAAATTCAGTACAACCAGATGAATTTTAAAAACTATTTGAAAAAGATAATATAATAAATAGGTAATCTGATTATAATTCCGATAAGTAAATTTTATAATAGTTAAAAAGATAATTAGAATATTAAGAAGAATAACTTTAATATTTAAGAATTTAAAATTAAAGATAATCATATTTAATCAAATAACTGTAAGATAAAAACCATAAAGATTCAGAAAAATCAGATGATTATCAAATAGCTTTAAAAAATGAAAATAATAATTTAAATGAAATTATTAATACATTAAAATTAGAATTAACTAATCTTAAGAAAAAGTAACATAAAACTTGCTTAAATTAATTTATTTAAACAGATTCTAAATTTATAGTAAAAAATAAAGAAACATAAACAGATGAAGTTATTATGGAAGAACAATTAAATTAATTAGAATCTTAATTATAATTCTAATAAGAAAATTAAGAAAACAATAATTTGAGATCTTAACATGAAGAACAAAAAAATAATTAATAAAATTAAAATAATTCATAAGATTAATAATTCTAAGAATTTGATTAAGTAATTCAAACTCTAAAATAAGAATATATCCAATAATAAGAATAATTGCAATTAGAAATAATTCAGTTAAAATTATAAAATACAGAATTATTTAAATAATAAGAATCTTTTAAAGAATTATAATAAGAGAATGAAAAATTAATGGAAGATTTAGATTATTATAAAAGTATTCTTTTAAATTAAACTGAAATAAGGGAAGAAGGTAAATTACATATAAATAACAATAAAGTGGATCAAGAAGTTTAAATGAGTCAAGAAGAAATCGTAATAAAATATTAATTAGAAAATTAAGAATTGTAAGAATTAAAAGAAAAAGAAAATTTATTGTAATAATTATTAGAGCAATAATAATTAGAATTATAATCGAAATAAATTCATTTGAATTAGTTACAAAGTTATGCTGAAAATCTTTTGAACTAAATAAACAATTTATAATAGAATAATGTTGATTTACAATAAATCATTAAAGATTAAGAAACTGAATATTAAACATAATTATCTTAAATTAAATTAAGATTAAGTGCTTTAGAAGAATAATAAGTCAAAGAACATTCAAGATCTATTAGTATTTCTGAAAATAATGATTTAACAAAAGAAATTAATAAATCATAAGATCTTATTTAGTAAGAAAACAAAAATAATGATTTAGAAATTTAAATTAGAAGATTAATCGATGAAAAAGCTATACTCTATGATTAAATGTACAAATAACAACAAGATTTTAAATAATAAATAAAGACTTTAAGTGATGATTTTGAATTTTAAAAACTTTAATTAGATGAGAAAATAAAAGAATTGGAGAATAAAATTGTACTCTATGTAGATGGTGATTAAAATTTAATGAAAGAAAATTAAAATTTAGCAAGTTAAGTTTAAAATCTTAGTAATTAATTAATATTAGCAAGACAATAAAATAAAATTAATTCTTAAAAAAAATTATAATCTACATCTTCCTCTCCAAGAGGATTAATTGAAACTTAAAAACAAATTATAATAATTAAAGAGTAAGAAAATGAAATTATTTAACTTAGAAATAGCTAGGAATAATTGTAATTTGATTTAAATAAAATGAATGAATTATTTACTTAATAATCAAATGAAAATTCAGAATTGAAATATGAAGTATTAGCTTTAAAAACAGAAAATACTTTCGAAAAATAAGAAAATCAAAGATTAAAATAGTAAATTGTTACAACAAAAGAATAAATATAAATGTTAAATAAATAATTAGATTTAAATAAAAAAAATAATAAAAAAGAAATTGATTATTTGAACTCTTAATTAGAATAATATAAAGTTTAATTATTTTCTACATAATCAAAAATCTCAACATCAATAATAACAAAAGATTAATTTACTCAATTAGATACTTAAGTATATGTTGTTGTTGATTAAGATTTATTAGATTAGAAGGATAATATTATATATAATTTGAAAAAATCTCTCTAATCTAAAGATAATGATTTAGATTAAACATTATAAAATCTATTAATAACAAGATAAGAATTATTTCAAGCCAACAATTAATTATTAAAATTAAGATCTATTTTACAAAATTAATAAGCAGCATAATCTTAAGTTAATTAATATAGAACATATAAGGATTCTACTCTTTATCCTCCAAAATAAAATATGATTATTTTTAATCAAAGAACTTCTAGAAGTGAAGAACGTCATAAAAATTGTTCTTAAGATAAATAAGAAAGAGTATCTTTTTGGAAAAAAAAATATGAAGAGGTACTTTAATAAAATTATATTAAATCATCAGTTAATTCTTAAGATTCATAATATAAGATAAAGTTTGAAGAATCTCAAAAAACTTGTTAGAATCATTTGAAAGATCTAGAAAATTATTAAGAATAAAATCGTCAATTATTATAAATGATTGATAATAATTAAATTAATAGTAATTAATTGATTAAATATGAAGATGAAACAAAAATACTTAAAAGTCAATTATATAATTTAAAATAAGAATTACATGAGCAAAAAATGTTAAGCAATAAATATTAGTCTGAATTATAAGAACTACAATTAATAAATTCATAAAATAAAGTAACATAAATTATTGAAGCAAATAATAAAGATATTGAAAACTATGTTAATTAAATTTTTAATGCAAAATAACAGAATTTAGAATTACTAGAAAAAAATTAAGATTTTGAAAAATAAATAAAACTATTAAATACAAAGTTGAAAGAAGAAGATGATAAAATGATATTATTAAAATAGTAATAATAATAATCAATGTAAGAATTAGATGAATTGAAATTCTTAAATAGTCAATTGAATAAAGAAAAATTAATATTATTACAAAGTAAATCTGAATAAGATTAATAAAATCAATTAAATTTCAATTATTCAAACAATTAGTATTTTAAGAGATCAACAGAATTAAATTGTAATAGATCAGAAATCATGCATAATTTAGATATCATAAGATAAGAATTAAAAGTATATTAATCAAAATGTTAAATTTAAGAATTTGAAATCAATTAATTAAGATAATAATTGTAATAACCTATTCCATAATAAAAATTAATAAGTTCAAATAAATTTAAAGAATAATATGAATACTTAAATGAAATTTTAAAAGAATTAGAAATAACGAAATTACAAAATGAAAATTTAAGAAAATAAAATTCAGAACTCTTTGATTATCAATCAAAATTAATAGATGAAAATGATAATCTAAAAAGATTAAATATTAATAGTCCATTAAATAGTCCAAGAATTTAATAATAAATTAATGATTCTTAATAATAAGAATAAAGAAAAAGTAACAATGGAAATTTCAATTTATAAATTGAAAAATTTTCTTAACGTTTAACTACAGCTAAAATTTCTGAGATAGAGGTATTAAAATAGGAATTAGAGATTATGAAAAGTTAAGTTTTAAACTCAAGTACTCACGTTAAAGAAGCAGAATCTTTAAGTTTATAAGCAAGAGTGTTAAGCCTTGAAAAATAATTATAATCTGCTCAAAATTAAATTTAAAATTTAAAAGTACTGAAATTATAATATTATTAGTAAATAATACAAGAGAATATAGAGCTTAAGTAATAAATCAAATAATTAAAGGAATCCAATTCCAAAATATAACATTTTTTTAACAATAATGTAAATATTTTAATAAAATATAGTAAAAAACATCAGAATAAGATTTATCTCAAACTGAAAAATTAAATAGGGAATTAACAGAGAAAATTAGTGAGTTAACATAATTGAAGATAAAATATAAATAAGCTTTGACAATAATGCACAAAATGGAAAATAGATAGTAATTTTAATGATTGAAAATTATTCATAATTCTTATAATATCTTAACAAAAAAATAATCTATAAATAAATTAAATAATTTTCTTGATAATATAATCTGCCTTTCAATCATATTATCTAAGTTTTTCTGTATAGAAAAAATTTAAATAGTTATATTTTACATTTATGTTTAAGAACTTTATTGAAGATAACAAAAAATTATAAAACCTATAAACTTATGTTAAAATAATAATTCATTAATTCACTATTGAAATATCTAAAATTATTTAGGTTATTTTTATTTGATTGTAAAGTATTTATTTAATAGTAAAAATATCAGTAGCTAAGTTAAAAGTTAATTCCTTATAAACTGATAAGGAAGTTACATATTTTGTATAATAAATGACTTAATCAATCTATCCATGACAATAATGAGTAAATTTATAATATTTATTAGATGGACAATCTTGGCATTTTAAGAATTAACTAACAATTTTTTTTGATTAAGTGCATCTCACAACAATTTTGAAATTTAATTAATTTGTAGTGGTATTTAGTATTTTCTATGTTTCTGAATTAAGAGAGAGCGAAAGAGGTAGTTCAGTTATATCTATTTAAAATTAAGGTTAGGTAGAAACTTCCTTATCATAAGTTTAAGAAAATCTAATACCCTAACTTTCAAAAGCTTTATACACTTTTGTAAATTTATAAGCTAACCATGATCGATAATGATAACAAGCAACAAAAGATGCTAGATCAACTATAATTTTATAAGATTCTAATTACATGTCTCTACTGTATATGATACACTAACAGACGTTCTTTATACTTTTTATTTTACATTACTTGCCATATTAAATCCAACAAAACTTAAGTATAACCATCTATTTGGCTATTATGTTAATATTCCACTAGTGTAATTACTTGTAAGATGTTAAGTTAAAGGAATTTAGATTGCTTCATCAGTTCCTAAAATGATTTAGTATCCAATTTATTTTAAGTTTATAAAATTATTTGCAACATTTGTAATATTGACAGCCACTTAAGTTTAATTAATATATGAAAACTTCGAATTAAATTTAGATAAATTACAACTAGTTAAAAATCTACATTTCCTTCTATTCCCAAACTTGTAATAGATAATATTCCAGATATTGCATTTACATTTTCATGATTAAATGTTTTATTTTAAGGAGACAACATATTAAAGTTATTTATAACTTAAATTCTTTAGTCGTTTATAGCATACCAATAGAATTAAATTTCAGATACTATTTAAGTATTTGGACACTCTGTGATTACTTAAAAATCTATATTTAATAATAATATAATATACTAGTTGTTGTAATTGTTGTTATTTAAAGTCTATAATCAGTTCCAATATCAAAATTGAAATGTTCTAACCCTATAAATACTTAAGGAGCAACATTAAATTCTCCATTAAATTATATAATAGCTCTTTATAGATTTAAATATTGCATTACTATTATTCAGTCTATTGACAATTTTGAGATTCTGAAAAAACAACATATAATCCTGAATCAAATGTGATTTATGCTTTTACAGAGATTAGATATAAAATAATATATATCATAAATTATAAATTATTGAGAGACTTTTTAATGAATTTGGAATATATATTATAAGTAAAATTAAATCTTAAAGAAATCATAATAGAATAATTAGTTGATTGTATTAAATTAGCTTTAAATATTAGATTAATAATGATATTATATATTAATGAAATAAGAGATGATTTTGTATAAGTTAAAATTTGATAAATAATAATAATAAAATAAGTGTCTAATGGATAAGTATACAAGAATAAAAATGATTGGAAAGGGTAATTTTGGTGATGTTTGGCTAGTCGAAGACAATAAAGGATAGGTATAGGATTGAGAAAACAAAAGAAATTTGCCCTCAAGTTAATCGATTTGTAATTTTAGAGTGTTGACCCAACAAATGAAGTTACATTGTTAAAAGTTTTGAAACATCCAAATATAATAAAATACTATAATTCATTTGTGTAGAATGATTAATTATGCATTTTAATGGAATTTGCAGAGAATTGTATTTCAAAAAAATATGTAAAATGTAGATGATTTGTAAATTTATACGAAAAATAATCCATCAAACATATTAAATTGGTTTACATAGTTGTGTTAAGCAGTGTAATACTTACATTCAATGAACATTGTACATAAGGATATAAAAATGAAAAATGTTTTTTTGACTAAAGATGGCATAGTATAAATTATGAATAGATTTCTAGATCAAATTAGGAGATTTTAGTATTTCTAAAAAGTTAGATGCATCATTAAATCTAACATAATTAGGTATAGAATTATAAATTGATTATATGAGGCACTCCTTATTATTTGTCACCTGAAATTTGTGAATCAAAACCATATAATACAAAAAGTGATATTTGGGGATTGGGATGTTTCTTATATGAATTATGCACTAAACAAAAACCATTTAAAGGAGAATCTTTACCTGAAGTGTTCAAGAATATTATTTTAAGTGAAACTCCAAAATTACCAGAAGGATTTCCATTTTTTTATTAAGATATAATTAATAAATGTTTATAAAAGAATCCTTAAGACAGACCAGAAATCTAATAAATATTAGACATTCCTGAAATTAAAAAAGAGAGAATTAAATTCTCTTAATTATATAAATAAAGATTAATCGGTATGCTTAAATAAATAGATAATACATAATCAGAATAAACTTAAAATAATATTAAATAAATGCATAAACCTATCTTTACTCCTTAAAATAAATCATAATCTTTATTATTTAAAAATCTATTCTCGGAATAAATACAATCAAATATCAAAAAACCAATGACAAAGAAAGTCATTTCTATAGATACTGATTTAATTGAGAAGGAAGATTAATAATAATAATCACATGAACCTTAAACATAATTTGCTAAATAATTATTTAATCCTAAAACACCTACATCACCTAATAGAAATTTATTATTGGCAGATTTTTTAAAGAAAAAACTTGGTGAATCCAAATTCTTAGATGTTCGCTAAATTTTAGAGGAATCTTAAAATCCAATTTAATTATTAGATTAAAAAGAATTCATGGCAAACTTAATGGGAGAAGAAAATTTAGAATGTGTTAAGGTATAAATATTTAAATTAAAATTTTATAGATATTTAAAATACTTATAAATAATTGTGCAACTCTTCCAGGTAATCATTTTCGATAAATGAATAATTATTAGTTTTTAAGAGATAAAGTTAGTTCCTAACCAGATTTGGATTAGAATTTAAAAACTAATAATTTTTGATTGAATAAATATCTATAAATAATTTATTCAACAATGATTTTGATTATACTCTCTTATAATATCATTTTTGCTATTTGGAAAGAGATGATTAACTATTAATTCTAAACAACTCTAAGAAATTGTAAAGTTTCTTAATCTTAATAATTCAAGAAAATCCTCATCACTTAAATTTCTACCTTTAAGAATTATATATCGAAGATCATTTAGAATAGATAAATCATCATCTTCTAATTCTATTTGACCATCTCTCAAAATTGTGATTAATTTTTAAAATTTCTTAGTTAAATTTTCATTATAATTTATTCTTTCATTCAAATTTGTCATTAACTCTTATTAAACATAAAATAAATCTTTTTAACTACTAGCATATTATTATTCTTAATGATAAACCATATGTTTATGAAATAAGGTCTATCTCCTATTATGATCACTTTTTTATAAAGATTTAATCATTTCAGAATTGAACTTTTCTTTAATATTAAATAAATTACATTTAGATTTATGAAATTATAAAATCTTATCTGTAATCGAGTATAATTACAATTACAAAGGATTGATACTGCTAAACATTTCTCCATTTGTCTTAATATTATCAGTTAACAACTTTTCTTTTAACATAGTCATTGGAACTTCTTCTGTAGATTTAACTACTTTTTCTGTATTTCTAAAAATATCAAAATAAAATTATACAATTTACGAGTATCAACTTTAGCATCAAATTTATAAGGGATATATTTATGAACTTATTTTTCAATTAACTCATTTAAACTAAGGTTTCTAGGATCCTAGGTCTTTTCATGCAATTTAAACTTTTTATTTTCTAGATCCTGAATTTATTATTCAAGTTGCTAAAATTCATTTATAGATACAAAACTACTTCTTTTTTTGTAATTGTTTATCTAATCAATTTACGAACTTTTCGATCTCTCAAATATTCATCTAAATTTGGTATAGCTTAATTCTATAAAAATCTAGCAGGACTTTCTTAGATATAACGATTATTTGAATAATTTCTTCTAATTGGTGATGTCCCAACAAGAAAGTTTGACAATTAATTCTCTTCTTATTCATTTTAAGGGTATAAAGTTCCAAAAGATAATTAATTAGAGTTATTTTTAATTCTTTTTACTTCTTAATCCTACAATTGTAAATAACCTTTAAGATGCTTATATGCATCAATTTTAGGAAATGCTTTCATTTTTTATACATAATTTCTTCTTATTTGATCTAATGAATGCTCTTCTTATCTTTATTTTTCTCCTTTTTCTATATTATTTTAAACACCATTCCCAAAATGAAACGATGCTGCATGAAACCTTCGTTTTGATCTATTTCTCTTTCTTTCTAATTATGCTTCCTTAATTGTATCAAGAGTTGATGCTATTTTGTATGCTTTTCTATAATTTAATAAAACTTACAACTTATATCAATATTAACTGTATTCGATCGATTTAATTAATTATCCATTTAATTAATAAAATTATTAATTTATAATATACTCTATTCTATTAATAAATGAAAAGAACTTAAAGAAGGTTATCGAAGTGTGTTGATGAAGAAATGCAATCAGATTCCTCTAAATAATAATCTGATTCAGAATTTATTATAACAGAGACTTCAGAATCGGAAAAACTAAAAAGTAAATCTTTTTGGAGTCTTAAAGGACTGAGTTATTAAATTAAAACACTTGTGAAAGAATTAAAAAGCACTACTTACAAAATACTAGCAAACATTCTTATTGAAAAATTGTAGAATGAACTATAAAAAATTCATACTACTGAAAGAAGAAAAGAGATACAGAATCTTAAAAGACGTGTATATGATGCTATTAATGTTATGGTTGCTATGGGAGTTCTTGAAAAAGATAAGAAATAAATATCATTTCATGAATAAAAGAACAAAGAAGTTGTTAATTTTTAAAAAGAGTAAGTTCGAAGTAAATTAGAAATACTTAAAGAAAAAAGAAGAAAACTTACAAAAGCTACTCTCACTTATATGATGTATAAATAACTCATTCAAAGAAATTAATAAATTAAGTTGGAGTCTGAATCTATCCTTTTTACTCCTGTTTTTGCTTTTTCTGTGTAAGTTTTTGACAATGATCTATGTATGCAACAAAAAAATGGAAGAAAATTAATTATCAAATCTAAATAGCCTATTTATATCTACACTGAATTAGAAGTCTTATAAAAGATACTAAACTGATTTTACATCAATTTAATCAAATGTTACATTGAATATATAAATAATTATTACATAATTAATCATTACAAAATATTATTATATATTTTTTCAATATATTATAAAGATTTTAGAAAGCTGTCTTCTCCATAAATTGATTATGGTGGCAATATATATGGAAGTTATCTACACACAAAAAACTTTGAATTCAATAATCTAAATATAAAAATTAATTAAAAAAAGTAGATAAAAAATGTTACCATCTCAAAAAGTAAAAAATAACTGAATTTCTTATCTAATTATATTTGAATCTCATCTTATAATTAATTTTTCATTTGTATAAATAAATTCTCCAAACTTTAGGATATAAAGTTTATTCCTATCAAATCATCTCTTGTGAATTTTTTTGTTGTATTAAATTTTGAATTTATATCATCTCTTACCATATTAGAATAATATTAAATAGAATACATTGGTCCTTCTGTCAATTTTCCATTTAAAATAGTATTACATAATTAATTTTCTATAACTGAACAAGTATTTTGTAACAGTTCAGCTAAAACATTTAAAGACTAATCAGAATAACCATATTTAAACTATTCATCATATTACAAGAATTCTTCATAGGATTCTTGAACTTTATCTTTATAAAGATCCAATAATTTATCAGTAATTTCAATTTCTTTTAATTTATCTTAAATTTAAACTATATAATCACAATAAAATATTTCAGTTACTTCTTAACAATAATTTATATAAACAGAGAATTAATTTAATTTTTTTGTATATATTTCAATTTATTATTAATTTGTTATAAGAGAATAATTTAAATAAAAACAAAATAGGAATATTCCAATCAAAGGATATAATACAAAAGGATGTTGTAGACAAGAATATTATTATTCCTATATTTTAAACTATTTTTTAGAATCAGTTTTTGTATAATTGGTAAATTTCAAATTTTGATAAGATGATTAATTTAATTTTTCTTACCTTAATTTATTTTTGAAATTAAATTAAAATTTATATAAATTTAATTCACTAGCATTTTTATAAAAGTATAATAAATTTGATAACCTTATTTTTTCAGCTTCTAATGATTAAATTTATATTTATTCAGAACTTCTAAGAATCCTTCTTTTAAGACGAAAAAAATGCATATAAGCAAAAGAATAACATAATATTACCAAAACTTCTATAGTTAAAGCAATAAAAGAAATTACACTCTAATAAAATGAAACAATATCATTTAAATTTCTCCTAATTTTAAAACTAAATTCTTCAGTTATTGATTCATATTATTCTATGTAATCAAAAAATGAATTAAGTATTATATGTATAGTTTTATGGAATTCTTCCATGTATTTTTAATTTTAAGGATCAAAATCTTTAAAAATATTCATCTAATACCATATTTAAAATATTTGAGTCCATGCACTAACTTCTTATGATTCCTTTTAAAAATAGTCATATAAATTTATTTTAACTTCTGATAATGTAGAAGTAACAATAATTTTTTGTGAAACTTCTTAAAATATAACAAATCTATGATTTATATTTTCTGTAATCAATTGTGTAGTTTCATTCTATAAAGTAATATTTTAAGAATTATATAAGTGTCCAAGACCTAATAAACTATTTCTAATTAAATCTGCAGTTGTAAAAGGGCCGAAAACTTCTAAAATTTCTTTATTATTATTCATATTTTGTATATACAAAAAATGAAAGATATGAGATAGAAGTAAAATAATTATTAAATTAAAAACATCTACAGCTAAAATTAATTTGATTAGTTTTGGAATGTTACTTTTACTTGAAAATTTATTATATAATTAAGATTTTTACATTAATGATGAAATATCTTTATTACCATTTTATTAATATTGTGAATCTGTTTAAGGTATCTTGTTAATTCCAATTTAATTAAAAGATGCTTCATCTAATAATTCCATTTCAGATAGTTTTTGATGCTTTGCATTAATTTCAAAAAACTCTTGTTAATTTTGAACTTTCAATTATTTTGGTTATTTAATATTTGTATTAGTTCTTTAACTATTCCAAACTTTATTTAAATTTTTTATTTCATTATCATTTATTTAACTATTGTTAGATTCAATAACATCAATTTATTATTATTCATTCTGTCCTCTCTAAGAAGTAAGTATTAATCTACTGGAATCTAAAGGAGTTTGAAAATTTGAATAAATTTAAGGCATTTAATAATCTATTACATTATTTAAATCATTTTATTTATATTCGAGTTATTATACTTCAGAAATATCTCCACTTTCACTTTTAATATCAATTAAACCTTAAATGGAATCAAAATGTATTGGATTTAAAGATGCTTAAGATGTTCCTTTTTTAAAAGCATCTAACAATAAGGAATTTGATTAATTTTCTGCCAAAGCAATTTTTTTCAAAGAAATTAAATAGGCCTAATATATTTTAGTGTGAATAAATCCTATTGACATAGTTATTGAACAATTTGAATAATAAATATCTTATTAAGATTCAAGTTTAGGAATATTAAATGTTAATTATTCAACTTCAATTGTAAAATGTATTAGTAATCTTTCTTATTATTAATAATCAAATTTATGACTGATTGAACCATTCTCTTCTCTGATTATTTCTTCTTCTTAATATACTGAATATTAATGTTACAATTAATCAACATAATATTAAAAGTTAGGAATAATCTCTTCTATACCTTTATTATAATAATCATTAATTTTAATTTTGAATTATTCTAATGCTAAATTAGATATTCCTTAAATTTTAAATGTATCAGATATTACAATATGTCCTTTAATATTTTCATATTTTCCATATGGAACAATCTATTTTAGAAAACAATAAATAGGAAATGCATCATCACTTATATTAAATGAAAGATCAAGATACATTTCACAAAATATCAATTCTTTAAGTTTCTTTTGCATTAGTAACGGTCTTCTTTTACGAATAATTGGAGGTTTATTAGTTAAAAAGAAGATTTCTAATAATTAATCATGATATTAAGCCAAATTTGAAGTAACTATTTAATGAACTGTTTAAATAGTTTATTTAAATTCTTTTGGATCATATCCCAATAAATTAGGTGCATTATTTGAAAAATCCATTATCTAACCTCTATAAAACTTTCCATTAATTGAATGTCTTGCCAAATTAGTTTTCAAATATAATACTTTATATCCTTACAATTATTATGCATTCGAACTTCTTGATGGATATTCAAAAAATTTAAAATTCTTTGTTTTTAATGAATTTCTTAATCTAACAAATTTATCAAAATCACATGATACTTCTAAAACATAAAACATATTTAATAAAATAGAAGTTCTACAATTTGAATATTTCTAGAAGATTTCTATTTCTCTTTTTATTTTGGTCATATTTGATACATGATAACTTAGAGATTAAAATAATTATTGAAAATTCATTTTTAGTTCTAAAAGATTCTTTATAAATGTTATTTTTTAATCAATATTTAAGAAAATATGATTTAAAATCTAATCTCTTCTAATTTCAGTAATTCTATAATTTTTATATCTAATTCCTATTTCAACTTCATCTTAAGTTAAATTATGTTTCATTTTTTATAATACTTTATGTTTAACTAAACAAATAATTAATGTAAGAGTAACTTCATTTAACATTGAAGTATTTTTTATATTTTTCTATTTATAATCCATTATAAATGTCATTACTTAGTAGCATTCTTCAGATTCACAAATATATAATAATAATTATGATAATCGAAATATATTTGGGCTTTTTTCATTATTTTCTATCTCAAAAACATATTTTGTAAATTATCTAATATATCTTTCAATTAATTCTATTTAAATATAGATATTATTGACTTTAATGGAATTATAAATTTTCATTTCAACTTTATTTTATCTGTTGTCAATTACTTATCTTTTTTCTCCTCTAAATCCTTTACAATAACAATAAACACTTTAACAATTTTAAACATGAAATTTAATTAATANTTTCATATTTTCCATATGGAACAATCTATTTTAGAAAACAATAAATAGGAAATGCATCATCACTTATATTAAATGAAAGATCAAGATACATTTCACAAAATATCAATTCTTTAAGTTTCTTTTGCATTAGTAACGGTCTTCTTTTACGAATAATTGGAGGTTTATTAGTTAAAAAGAAGATTTCTAATAATTAATCATGATATTAAGCCAAATTTGAAGTAACTATTTAATGAACTGTTTAAATAGTTTATTTAAATTCTTTTGGATCATATCCCAATAAATTAGGTGCATTATTTGAAAAATCCATTATCTAACCTCTATAAAACTTTCCATTAATTGAATGTCTTGCCAAATTAGTTTTCAAATATAATACTTTATATCCTTACAATTATTATGCATTCGAACTTCTTGATGGATATTCAAAAAATTTAAAATTCTTTGTTTTTAATGAATTTCTTAATCTAACAAATTTATCAAAATCACATGATACTTCTAAAACATAAAACATATTTAATAAAATAGAAGTTCTACAATTTGAATATTTCTAGAAGATTTCTATTTCTCTTTTTATTTTGGTCATATTTGATACATGATAACTTAGAGATTAAAATAATTATTGAAAATTCATTTTTAGTTCTAAAAGATTCTTTATAAATGTTATTTTTTAATCAATATTTAAGAAAATATGATTTAAAATCTAATCTCTTCTAATTTCAGTAATTCTATAATTTTTATATCTAATTCCTATTTCAACTTCATCTTAAGTTAAATTATGTTTCATTTTTTATAATACTTTATGTTTAACTAAACAAATAATTAATGTAAGAGTAACTTCATTTAACATTGAAGTATTTTTTATATTTTTCTATTTATAATCCATTATAAATGTCATTACTTAGTAGCATTCTTCAGATTCACAAATATATAATAATAATTATGATAATCGAAATATATTTGGGCTTTTTTCATTATTTTCTATCTCAAAAACATATTTTGTAAATTATCTAATATATCTTTCAATTAATTCTATTTAAATATAGATATTATTGACTTTAATGGAATTATAAATTTTCATTTCAACTTTATTTTATCTGTTGTCAATTACTTATCTTTTTTCTCCTCTAAATCCTTTACAATAACAATAAACACTTTAACAATTTTAAACATGAAATTTAATTAATACTATAATTTTAATCAAGAAATTTGATTTCTTTATATTATCAATTTAAGAATATTTATCTAATTATTATTAATCTGACAATCTAAAAAAGGATATATATCTTAAATAATGAACAAAGTATCTAAAATGTTAATTTTTTAATGCATCAATTTACTATTTTTTAATTTCTTGCATTTCCTTTTCAATAACAAATGGTTATAAATCATCTTCAACAAATTATGATTTTCTAGAACTTGATCTATTTTATACTTTTGGTTTTTTTTTTTCAAGATATAATTACTAATCAAAAATTTTAAAAAGAAGATAATTGAATATAACTTATATCATTTTAGTTAAAATTGGTATACAAATAAGACACATAGAAAATAGTTATATCTAAGTTAATTAAAATTAATGAGAAAGTGAAATAGTTAATGAAGCACTTAAACATAAAAATGATAAATTTTGCTTATATTCAAACATATAAGGAATGGAAATAAAAAAATCTAATAAGTCTCCAATCAAATTAACTTAAATAATAGATGTAATTAAGATCTATATATTATTATCATATTAAGTATCTGAATAAAGAAAGTATATGAATTAGATAATAATAGGTATGAATTTCACTACTTAAGATATATTAAACCAATTAGATTATTATAATCTAAGATGATTATTATCAAACATTGTATAACTTCTTTAAGCAATCATTGAAAATGTCCATAATATAATCATTTCAATAGTTGTCACAATATCTAATACAATCATGAATAATCTTTAATTATTTGAAATTTCAACATCAAATATAACTAATAAAACAACTAGAAGATTCCAATACATTAAAGGTATAGTAAATATATGTGGATAAGTATTTAATAATTTGGCTAAGAAATTTCTTACTACATTTAACCATGATCTTTGATCGTTTCCCATTAATTATTGATAAAGGAAATTTTCAATAAAATTAGACATATTATAAGATCGATTTAAGAGATTAATTGAAACTAATTAAATTAATCCAATATTTACGATTTGAATTATCTGGTCCTTCGACTTGGGATTTAAACTAAATTGTTGCAAATTTAGATTTCTCATATTCAATGAATATTGCAATTGCCAATAATGGAAAACATAAGAGAACAATTAAAATAATTTAAAGTGCTATTATGGAATTATTCGAAAACATTTCAGCCATTAAAATAGTTGGTACAAATGTTTTAGATATTAATTTACATACCTAATAATCTGAAACATAATTAATATTTATATTTCTTCTATCTTATAGAATATGTAACACTTCTTCAAACAAAAAAACCATTGCTATTCTTTGAATTTATGAAATTAACTCAATTATTATCCAAAAAGTTTAATAATCTTATGATAAAGCTATTTAAATATATCCAATTGAATATTTCAAATATTCTTCTGTATATTTTCTAATTTTATACATCAATAATATATAATATTTAATATATATAGTAACACTAACATTAATTATACTTAAACATAAATAATTAAATTTTTAGTTACACTAACATGAAATTATGATATATGTCTTTTGTCTTAAAATTTATATAAAATATATAACTAATTATTTTATTAAAAAAATAAATGAGTGAATCATCGAACTTTTTCGTTGGAAAATACAATTTCTCAAGAAGAGTATTAAATCATAGAGTGCCAATTGATTTCAATCATGGAATCACATAAAACCCTTTTGATTTTATTTGGAGATCTTCTTTCAGAAATCTTATTGTTTCAAAGTATAAATCGAAAAAATTAAAAATTTTAGTTTAATACGTAATATGTCAATGTGGTATTGTGGTGCAGCAATTGTTATTGGAATAGCATTAAATGAATTTTAAAATTATAGAAGAGAAGGACATGTATTCACTAATCCTAAGTATAATAATTACTATTTTAGAACCCAACCCTATTTAAATTATGTCATCAATAGTAGAAATAAAGAAGCTAATCTAGGTAGATGGAATGGCAATTTTGCTTGTTGGGAAAATGAACCACTTTGTGGTAGAGATTTTGAATGACAAATCTATAATACATACATTTATTAGATAATTGAAAAAATCATTATAACAATTACATTTCTAAATTTTTTATTGTCTCCTCATTTTTTAATTAGCATCTTCTTTATATTTCTGTTATTAAATGTTATTCTCTTACTTCCTCAATTATTTATATTAATAATTATGATGATTCATTAATATTACTTGTTGTCTTACTTATTATTTCTTATAATTCATTATATTCCTCAAAAAAATGCTTATGTTATTTATTCATTATATTGCATTTCTTAATACATTCATCTATTTATTTATTCATTAATTATATATCTATTACTATATCACCTAATAACACTTATTAAGCTTATTAACTAATGAATTCATTTAAATATATTAAATATTCTACTAAAATCTTTATATTTTAGTATAATAATCTTATTTCTGATTATTCCAATTTTAAAATGTCTTCAAGACAATTTATCACATTTAAAGTTAATATTTCTTAAACTCTCATATAATTTTAATCTTTCAAATTCAAAATTTATTTTACTCTATTCAATATGTGATTCTATTCATACTAATAAATTTATTTATTACATGAATATTAAGTTTCTGTTCTTGATCATTTTGTTTTACTAAACAATTTAAAAATTAAACTTAATGATAGAGGCATCGATAATTTTCAAATATTTATAATTCATTCATTTTGAATTTTTTATATTAATATTTCTCTCATAATTAATTTATTACTTTTTATATGAATTTTTAATATTGATTCAAAAATAATCCAAATAATCTTCAATAAAATTTAAAACAAAATTAGGATTCAATTTAAAATTACTTATTTTTTTAGATTAAGTTTAAATAATTGATAGGAATGTATTTTTATAATTTGAATATAACAATTGAAATTAAATGTGTTCAATTTAATTATTTAATATATAATAGTATTTAAAATAAATTTAATTAAGAATAATGATCTAATAATTATATTCTCATTCAAAGGATTTTGAAATAAAAGAACTATCTTAATTTATGGATTTTTATGAGCTTTGATTAATTGAAGGGTCAAGTTTAACCTTTTTTGTTTTCCTGTAAAATAAGAATAATAATAATTACAATGTATTTTTTACATAATCTTATAATTTTCGAATAATTTTAGGTGGTAGTAGATCAATATCAAATTCTAATTCTTCATCTTCTTTATTCTGTACAGTTTATTATACAATTTCCCAAACCCCTTTTAAAAACTCTGATGGTAATTCTCTTATTTTTTAACCTAATTATCTTTTTTCTTCAAAAGTAATTATCTAATCTTATTTTTTTAAAATTTCTTTAGGTTTTGATGTAATAACTTTATTTTAAATATTTCTAGAATAGAATGATTATTTTAATACTTATTTAAAGTAGAAGTTGATTTTGATTAATTTGAGAATGTTTTAAAAACATTATAAAAATGTGTTTCTAATTTATTTAATGAATCCTACATTTGATCAGAAGCATTTTGGTTTAATTTTTGTATTGCTAGTTTAATTTAATTCTTTAAACTAATCAAATTACCTTTTTATTTACTAGTAAGTAATACCTTCTTGCTTAAAGAAAGCTTCAATTTTATCTAAATTAATTTAACCTTAAGCATCTATTTCAGTAAAAGAAGGATGAGATTTGAATTTCTATAATAATTACAATCCCTTTTTAAGATTATCATCAATCAATGGTTTACTTTATTCTTTTTGAGGATTGGACGAAACTCTCTGTATTCTTTTACTTTTGTCTTCTACAACCTCTTATTTATTAGATTAAAATGACGCATCATATTTATTGACTTTCTTAGACTATAGACTTATAAGGGACCCATTTCTTACCACTCTTTATTCTCGAGTTTTTAATAAGTTAGCTTATAATAAAGAGAATCCTTTAGGCATTTTGTCTAATATGAAGTCAACTTATATTTGGTTTAAATTAAATTCAATAGGACTTGCCATTAATAACTCTTTATATTATTATTTATTTTACTTTTTTATTATCAAGAAATAAATTAATATTAATTAAATCATTCATATAACAAAGATATTATCTACAATTATTTCAATATTTAATAATCAATTTATAAGTATTTCTATATTCTCATTAATTTTAAACAATACTCTCATTTAATTATTTTATTATATTAGTCATTCATTATTCATACATATTATTTTTAGATACTCTAAAATATATGTAAATAATTGTGGTAATAATCTTTATTTAGTTTTTCTCTAAATACATTTATTAGATTAGTATTTTTTTTATTTTATGAACCTAACAATTAAATCATCTCTTTTCATATTAATTTTTAAGATCTCTTAACATTATCATCATTCCTTCCATTTTTACTTTTTATACTTTTGATGGAAATTATAAATTACCATAAATAATTGTTTCTCATTCTCATCAACATTTATTGAATAAAATTAGTTATCACATTATATATATATTTTAAAATCATTAAATTTATTTTTTCATTTAAAAAAAAATATATTATTAAACATTTATATACCTAAGAATAATCATTAATTAAGTGTTTTCTAATAAATAAAAGAATTATTAATATATATTATCATCACTATTCCTCTTAAATGTGTTATGATGAAGTTTATTAAGATTAATTATTTGGCAATTACAATTCGTATACTTCAACTTCATTTTATTCTGTATTAGCAGTTTCCTACATTTTTATATAAATTAATTACAAATTATTTTTATTCATTCTTTTTTGGATTATACCAAAAGATTTTTACTGTTAAAAAATATGGTAAAAAAAAATCAAATAACTTGATTGTTGTTCCTATTAATGCATTTATACCATTTGTCCATATTTGATTTGGTAACTTTAAATATATAATTTTTTACTTTAACATACCAACATGAGAAATTATCTGGTTTGTACTTTGCAAGCATTGAAACAAAATAAACATTTTGCATAAAATTAACAAAAGATCCAAAAAAACAAAAGATAACCAACATCCATAAAGATGATTGATTATTTTAAATTTATTCCTTTAATTTCATCATAGGAGCATCTAATTTCTATGCACTCAAGTTTTTAGATACTTACCTAGATAATTACTTAACCTATAATATGAATAGACCTTGCATAAAGAATCCCACTGTAGTGACTATATTGAAAAAGCTGGCTAAAATAAATTAAATTGATCTACCAGAACATAGATCATACTTATGATCTTGATTAGAATTAATAACAAAGAAGTATTGTATATAATTCATAATGAATATAATAGTAAAAAAGGAACATAATCCAATGCAGAATAACTTTGATAATTTTAGTTAAATTATTGGATCAATATCTTAATAAGAAACGTCCATTCTCATATTAAGCATTCCTAATATAATTGATTTTCTGCCAAAGTAATAAATAGTGTAACAAAAAAATATATATTAGAAATAGTATTCTGGAAAATATAAGAGTGCACTCTCATAAGACCATTGATAAGCCAAATATGCTGCAAACTAATAAAATATTATATACCACACATATTAATGACCATAATTGAAACAATAATCTATTTACGATTATATCGTGTGAATTCTTTATGTTTTTAATATCTCCTAAATAATACAATTGAACCAGAAATCAAAATAATCCATGCCCATACAATTTCTAAAATGTTTCTATATTTTAATACTTAATACAATTTACGTATAACAATACAAATTTTTTGCTCCTCCTTCTTATGAATCTTAAAAACATGTTACCAAATAATATATTCCAGGTTAAGAATTGTTATGAGACATCTGTATATATAAATTAATAATTTTATAAATCAAATCAAAATGTTTCTGCTTCATCAATCAATCTATCTATTTTATTTATATTTTAATTGCTATAAATAGAATCTAATAAATTTTGAACATCTAAAAACCATTTTTATATTTTTAATAGTTAAATAAAAGAATTCTCTTGTTCTAATTCAAAATCCTAAAAATTTGATTCGATTATTTTTTTTTATATATCAAAATTTAATTTTTTCTATTTGTCAAATTCCAAGAACATTTTCCTGATTTCCAAAATAAAAATCTCACTTCTATTTATCAATTTATTTATTAATTGCATATTTTATCCATATTAATTATCCATATTCTAAACAAGAATAATATCTGCATGAGTTTCTACTAATAGTTTAAGAAATGGTAACATTTATTTACATATTTTTGATAAACTAATTTAAGAATTTCAATTACTTTTAACTGGCCTATTTGATTAATGTATTGATCATAAATAATTTAAAAAATAATTATATAATTCTAGATAAATGAATGAAGTAGAAATCTCAAGCAAAAATGATACAGAGATTTTAAGAATTATCAATGATTACATAAAACAAGGATATTAAGTTTTTCTTTAAAAAAGATGCACAGACAAATTTATTATGTAAACAGAATATATAGTATTAATTTAACTTATAATTCAAGACTCCTGGAGTATTAGATATTGATAATTCATAAGTTTTTATTTAAAACACACTAGAGGCAGAAGATTAATAAAAACATAGTGAAATTAGTAAAATCGATAATAAATAATTTGAATAATCAAGAGATTGTAGTATTAATGATTAATGTGAAAAATTGGCAGAGACTATGCAAAAATAACTTTGTTTATTTTCTAGAGATTCTTTAATATTTATTCCTAGATAAACAATCACTGATTTCAATAAAATTTTAAGTCCTTAAGTAAAAGAATAGAATGATGAAACATTAATGAAATTATATTAAATGTTATAAAAAGGAATAATAAATGAATAGGAAGGATAAGTAGAATTAGCTATTGTATATTTATATATATATATATATTTTGTAGAAATAATTTACATAACTTATATAAGAGATAGAATAAATGATGGAGGATCTTCAAATTAGTAATCTAATTAATGTTATTTATGTTGAAGCACTTTTAATTTTAGGTTTACTTTAATCTCGAATAAGTCAATATTAACAAGGAAAAAAGTTTAAATTTAATTATATAATTTAAGGAACTTTGAAAAATGTTTAAGATTATTCATTATAAAGGATCAAATCTTATTGGCCAAAATATATTTGAGAGTGGGTTAGAATTGTCAACAATTATTTAGTTATTAAAAAGCAATTGATTATTATGTTTAAGCTCTAGTAATCTATGAAATCTATCAATTAAAAATTGAAATCTCTTTAACAATATCATATATTGGAATTGTTTATGCTCATCTAGGTAATCATGATTTAGCCATTAAATTGGGAATGTAAGCTATTATTGAAATCAAAAAAATTGTCAAAAAAGATTCTTTTATTATGGGTCAATTGTATCATGCTCTTGGAGAAATGCATTATTTCCATCATGATTTTGAAGATGCTTTAGAGTGTTTTGATGCTGCCTATGATATTAAAATTCAATATCCAAAAGAAAGACTATCTTAAATTTTGACAATTAATTATTTAGCAAGTAGTTGTTATCATTTAGGTGAATATAAAAAAGCTTAAGAATTATATGAAATTTCATTGAGTTAAATTACAGAGAAATCAACATTAATAGAAGCTCAAATTCTAAACAATCTTGGAATGACAAAAATTGCTTAAAACATAAACGCAAAAAATGATTTAGATAGAGCGATCTCTATTTATTTAATTTATTTTTCTGAAACTCATCCATCTGTAAGAAGAGCGTTGAGAAATCTTAAGCTTTAAAAATGATTAAAAATTATATATACTTTAATGAAAAGTCTCACATCTAAAGATTATATTAGAAAGTATACTTAAATCTTCCAAGAATTCTTGCCACTATGTTTACAATATAGAAGAGATAAATAATGGCATTCAATTGTAAATTTAATCTAAGATGAAATACAACATTTTGAAAAGTTGCCTAATATAATTAAATAAAAAGTGGACTAATTTACACGAAGCTCATTGTATTTTTTTTTAGCAGAAGCCTAATATCATTTGAAATAAACTCTTAATGCAGAAGAATTATTATTAATAGACTCAAAAGATCAAAAAATAAATCAAATAAAAGCTAAAACTTATTTTATGCTATATAAACAATCAAACAAAATAGAACATATAGAGTAGGCATATAATTTATCATCTCAATATTTTGGGTCAGATCATAAAATTACTATATTTTATAGATAAGAGTATCAAGAGAAGCAAAGAAAAATTAAATTCTAACAGTTATAATCAATTCCGAATTTTGATATTTTTAAATCAGGTCTCGAATTCCAATATTATAATCAACAAAATAAAAAATTATAATCTAATAAAACAAAAGGTAAAACAATTCATTTGAGTGAAATAGAAAAATTAACAACATAAGAATCAACATTTGAACCTTCTAAAAAAATTATATAGAAATTTAATGAATCTTCATTCAGAATATCAGAAAAAAAAATAAATTTATTCGTTCCATTGTAAAATTCTAATTTTAACACTAAACCAAATATTTAATTTCGTTTGAATACAACTAATAGTGAATTAAAAGGATTTTCAAAACTTAATTCATCAATAGATAATTAAATATAAGGAAATATAACAGAATTATTATTACCAAGACCATTAACTAGTAAATAGAGACTTTCGAAAAAAACTCTAAAAACATCACCAACTCCATAAAAATAACATCATTAATAATATTCAAATTCTTCTCAATAATAGTTTAATAGAGGAAATATTCTCAAAAAAAGTTAAATAAAAATGCATTAAACAAATTTAATAAAAAGTAATTCAAGATAGAAAATTGAAATAAAAGAATCTATAAATTTAAAATTTTTTGATACAAAATCTATATAATGTGAAATTAGCGAAGATAATACAGAATCAATTTATGATTAAAATAAAGCATAAAACGAAATTGAATTTAATTTCTCTCCAAGAGTTGGTTAATCATATTATAGTCTTAATACAAGTAATGAAATAAGTAGACATTAAATTGATTTTGAATATTTACGTAAGAGAATTGATTATTTATATGATATTTAATAAGAAGAAGCATTAAGAATGATAATTAAGAATTTTAGAAATTTTGTATAAAAATAAAAAGCATAAAAAACAGAAGAACTTATGAAAAAGACAATTGCTAAATAAAATTTTTCATCTCTTATAGTTGAGTTAGGAGCTACAAAAAATATGTAAATTGAAGAAAAGATAGCAAAAATTAAATCAATTATTCATATATGTTAAGTTATAGATTAAGGATCTCTTAAAACTTGGATGATATATTCTCCAATAAAATAAATCAAAGCAATAAACTGGAAAATTAGAAATATTTCATGGGTTGTATTTAAAAGATTAAAAGCAAAGAAATAGTAAATTCATCCTGATATTCTTAAATTATATAAAGAATATCCAAAATATCATTAAATTATTGAAATTTGGAGTAATAGTATAGATGGTACTAATGCTATTTTTGTATTGACTATTTAAATAGAAGTTTTAAGTAGACTTTATGATATTAGATTACATCTTAAGAATATACATAATATTGCTAAAGATTTTGAAAATATATTTTCAAGTACTGAAATGGTTTCATAATTAATTCATATTTATTTTTCATCTCATGGAATTTAATATAATTAATCACTTAGATCAACTACCTAGTGTATTTTATTAAAATAAACTATTTTAAGATAAGATATGTTAAAAAAAGGATGTTAAAGTATATCTAATCATATTAATTAATTATTTATAAATACATTTTTACATATGAAAACAGAAAATGGATCAAAATTTAGAAGAGTAACTTTGTTTGAATAAATTATAGAAAATTAAGTAGTTCTATATGATTAAATAGATGAAAGAAGAAAAATGATAAAAAGAGCATTTACACCTTTTCAATTTGGTAATGGTTATATAACTATTAAAAATTCTAATGTAAGAAATTAAAAACTTATGAAATCATTATCTATTGGAATTGAAATCAATTCACCTATTTTAAAATTTAGAGGATCTTCACCTAAAAATTATTGGGCAGATCTTCGATCATAATCATTTAAAGTAGCATTCTAAGATAAAGTTATTGAAGAAGAAGGTTTTACCCCTAAATCTGGTGAATCTATTGTATTATCTCCAAAAAGTCCTCTTACACCACCTAGTAGAAAATAAAACAATAATTCTTCTTCTACTATGAGCTTTAAAGTTATTAAAAGTTCTAAATCAAAGAAAAAACAAATTGATGATTATTTCAAAAATTATCCTAAATAAAGAGATGTAATTCATAAAAAAGATATTCCAATGAATCCTTATTAAAGTTAGTATGAATATTATTTATTATTAGGTAAAATTTATTATGTTATTTATCTAAAAATGAAGATGGATGGATTATTAATAATTTAACTTTTACATTTAATTTTGATAATCCAAAACAATTTGGCCATTTTGTAATAACTTATCATTAAATTAATTCATCTGAAAATATTACAACATGTCTATCTCTCTTATAATTTTGCTAAATAGTGAATATTAATTAAAATATTATTAAAAATCATTTAGGATATTTCAGAGCATTACCCTATATAGCAAAACTTAACTATCTTTAATAAATAAATCATTAAGAAATTTGTAATAAAAATTACTCTAAATTTTTAATAGAAGATTATAATTTTCCAGAATATAAATTCACAAAAAAATTATAAAGAAAATCTTTGGTAGCTGATTCTTCTTAAATTAATAAAGATCATTTTTATATATTTTTTTATAGACCTTCCAACTAATTTAGAGTATTATTTAGGATTAAATAATCAACATATAAGGGAAAAGATATTTTTGAACTTTTTGTTTACAAACTTTCTTAACCTAGATTCATTCGAATATATGATTAATCTAGTCTAAACAGATTATAAGATTTATTTCGTAAGATTATTCATCAACAAAGTAGACCAAATATAGGAACATTTTAGTAAATTTAAAGAGTTATTAATTATTATCTTTAACAGGATTATAAGGCTAATGGAAGATGTTGGTCTATTGGATTTTAGAATTCATCAAAATAAATATTTAATTATGAATTGAAATCATATCAAATTACAGATATTTATAATGTAATATTAAAACATCTAGTGGCTAATGAATAAGCCATTATTAAGAATTTATTAAAAACCTATTGTAAAGTAGCTAAATTTTAATTGGTTTCTAAATTAGATAATTTTACAGGAATTAACCTAATTTATTTCACATAGTATACTCTGGCATAAAATTTAATGATTTTGGAAATATAAATATATCCTTTTGAAAAAAGGCTTTCTTCCTATAAAACTTATCTCAACCATAATGATTTAAAGAATTTCAGTCTTCTTAATGATAATTTAGAAGAAAAAGCTTTATTATTAAAGAACAAAATTAAATTATGTTATAACAACAATTAGTAATAAATACATTTATCAGTAAATCCTGAATTTAATTATGTAAGTTAATTGAATGAGAATTTGAGAGCTGATTATACTAAAAGTCTATTTATCAAATAGAAGTAAGTAATAAAATTAATTTTTTAAAAGGTTAAAAGGTTTAATTCACACTTTTTAATTTTTTCATTATTTTATAATACCTTTAACCATGAAATTATAATATAAGTTTATATTCCTAAATTATGCAAATTATTTAGAAGTGTTTTGTCAGAATATGATTTTAAAAACTTACATTAATCAAAATTAGAAAAAATAATTCCTGGTATCATTTTGGACAATTTTGAAAAGAGTTTCAATTATTTTCCATAAAGATACACTACATTTACTAGTTATGTTAAAGATAAAGATAATAACAATGTTGATGATCAATTATCCATAAAATCTCGTTTTAGTGAAAAATCTGTTGATTCTGCTATAAGTTTGTAAAAATATAAAGAATAATTTGAAAAACTTTAATAAAATCAATACCAGTCTTATTAAAAATAAGAATAAATTTAAATAAAAGTTGAAACTAAAAATTAATTGTAAACAGAATACAAAAAAATTACTTCAAAAGTTCATTTTAGCAAATAAAAGAATCCTCAAAGAGTTTCTCATGAAATATAATGTAAAATTATCAATAATTTTAAAGACTTTAAAGAAAGAGCCAGCATAAAACCATCTATAACAAAATTTGATAGTTTATATGATTGTGCTAAATTATAGAAGATTTTAAAAGATGCAGTACTGTCTACAAATATCATTTATAAATACTTTTTGTGTTATGTAATATATTAACAAGTAATTTTAGTTTTGGGAATAATTAATTGATGGATGCAATATAATCATGACAAATTATAATAAATATATCTTATAAATTGATTCATATAGAGGAATATTAAGACAATTAGGGTAGATATTTTATATTATATTTTAGAGTATCTAAGAGAGTTTTCATTGATGATGATTATCAAGCTGAAATTTTCTTTGAATAATAATAAGTTGAATATGGTTCTATGTTTGAAAAATATAGTTCTGTGACACTAAAGGAATCATAGAGCACAAGCATTTATTTTTCATACAAATAACTTAATTCATCTGAGGCAAAAACAATTAATTTAAAATGTTAATTTCGCTAATGTATTTATAATTACTCAACTGTAATTTTAATTAAATTAAAATAGCTTAATTAAGTTTCCTATAATAGAGCATTGAAAATACTAAAATAAAGTAGTGATTATATAACAGAGTAAATAAGGAAAAAGAAAAAACTAATTGAATTTGAAAAGTTAGAATTAAAAAGTATTACTGCTCTTAGAACAAATAAAAAAAGTATTTAATTAGATACTTACATAAATAAGTATAATATTATTAATAATTCAGTCATTCAAAATATAAATTCATATATCAATGTAGATTGATGATGAATGTTATAGTAACAATTTTATATAGAGATAATAGATTTTATTTTTATTTGGAAGATTGTAAGAAGTAGATAGATTTTCTATTCAAAATGTCTATTAATTCAGTTTAAGAAAATATTCCTCATATTTTTTTATTGTTAAAATGTAAAAAAGATTTTACTATTGGAAAAAGATTATTTTCAGCTTATAAGAATTAACTTATTATAAAGGCTTACGAAAATTTATTTAGAACCAACAATTGAAATTATATATAGTTTGCTTATTAATGTTTCATTAGCTCATAGAAATAATAAAATTTAATTAATCTTCAATAATTTAATAATAAATTTGAGCATGTTTTTGTACTAGAAATTTACTTTCTTTTTTTTATAAAATCAAGGGACAACATAGTTGAGGGTAATTATTTCTTAATTTTCTAAGCTTCATCTTCTTTTTCTTGCTTATTATTTGTAAACCAATCAAATGAAAATTTATTTTTTATCTTTCTTTTTGTATCTTTGATTGAAGTACTTGTATTACTAAAATTGATTCCTTATTTTTTATTTTCAGATTCTTTTTACTTTGGTGTTGTTAATAAAGTTACACTAAGAGGTTTTTTTGTTTCTAAAGTTTCTTGTTAATTTTATATATGAATAGATAGATGATTTATTTGATTTTCAATTAAATTTTCACTACCTTTCTTCATACAAGATTTTTCAAAAGAAATTTCATCAATAGCATTGATAGTATTTTCATTAAATTTAGGAGAATTTAGATTATCTTATTAGATAGAAGAAATAACAGATGATTATTAACGAAGTCCTAAATTAAATTACATTATCTATTAAGATTCTGAATAACAAGGTTAGGTCTGACAAGATCGATGATTAATTTTCAATTATTAATCATAGAATTATGCTTATGATTCAATTTAATTTTTAATAGGGGAAACGATATCTCTTATAATCTTATTAATATTTTAGGCATTTTTTTATGTTGATTGAAATGTATTCTATTATTTAGTAATAAATTCTTAATTTAAAAAATACTTAACGATAAATTTCAATGCAATTTAAAGTATTTTTTCATATTGTCTTTTATCCAATAAATCTAATAAAAATTAATCAGAAATAAAATATTATTAAAAATGGGGTGGCTTATTTTCAATCAGTTGATGGCAATATTTTTTAATTTTAAAATTGATATTTTAATGAGAAATGAATTCTTAATTTTTTTTAGAATAAGTTGTTTTTATTCTATTCTTGATAATCAATAAACAAATACATTAATGTGTTTCATTTCATCTCTAATATTAATCATGTCATCAAGCAAATTTTTTTATATCATAATTATTAAATAAATTTTTCTGAAATGATCTAATATTTGAGAACACCAAATACAGTTTAATCTACTAGAGAAATGAATTCAGTAATAATTGTTGATAATCAAAGCCAAAATAAACTTATTCTCATTTTAGAAAAGTCTTAAAAACAAGATAAAAGTTTCCTACTAGCAGATCTCAACATTAAAGAACTGAACCTGCGTAAACTCCTAAATCTTCAAATTAAAAAATAACTCAATTATTATAAATGACATAAAGACAAGAAAAAGAATAAATAGTTGAAGAAATCAAATAAATTCATTCTCCAACCTTTTATAATTTGGGTAGTCTTCCCTATAAAAATTATAAATATGAAAAACCACCTGGTAATGCAACTGTATCAGAGTTTTTGGAATAAGCTTGTCGTCTTGGATAAAAAACAGGAAAGTGGAATAAGTAATCTTTAATAGATAAATTTAATCCTGATAAGTAAATAATCCAGATATTTTAAATAGTATTTAAATTAAAAGATCTACATATACTAGTAATCATCTTATTAAATCAAGAAAAGTTTAAGGACCATCAAGTTGTTTAGAAACTATATATGTAGCAAAGTTATAATTAGAATTAGAAGAAAATCAAAATGAAGAGTTATAAAATAAAGTTAATGAAATAGAAGAAATATTAAAAGAAGGTGTTAAAAATGATAAAACTAAATGTGCTTCTTAATAATATATTTTAAATAGATGGACTAGAAAATAGGTATCTACAGATAAGTTGTGTGATAAAATTGATAAATTACCTTAATTTGCACATTAAAAGTATGTTATTGATTAATCAATTAATAAAGTTGTAAAATCATCTTCCTAATATACAACTTAAGAATAAAATTCTATTACTCAATTACCTGAGAAGATATCTTTTTTTAAATTTGATTTCAAACAAAAAAACTTTTAAAAATAATTTTATTATAACAAAGGGTAAACTTTAGCTTTGTTGAAATAAAACTATCCCTTTCTTTATAAACCTATTATAGGAGATAGAGTATTATTAAGTTTTGATATTGTGAATTCTAGTAAGACTATTTCCTTTTAGACATTTTGTAATTTCTTATAAGTATATGAAAATAAAAGAAATAGGGAAAATGAAGAAAAAAAAAATATGATTATTTAAAATATTATTGTAAATTAAATTTTAAAGGTAATTAGAAAATTATAATTAGTTTTTTGTACTTGATTTATAGGAATCAATTACTTGTTCTGAGTTTTGTAACTTAATACGAATTCTTTGTTAACAATTAAATGAAAAACATCCAAATATACAACCAATTTATTAATAATTAATTTAAAATTATAAATATTACTAAATTATCAATGATGACTTATCAGAACCTTTTAATAGTTCCCAATTTAAATTCATATATTTAACAAATGAAATGAATATAGATGATATTATTGATTTAATAAAATTAGATTGATCATATTAAATACTTTAATCATAATTCATAATTATCTTCTATCATATGATGATCTAATGTAAGATCCTTCATTTTAATTTTATGATAGTATTCTTTTTGTATATTTACTTAAATTAGATATTTCAACAATTCTCTATGGAATTCTTTGAATATCTTTTTAGACAAAAAATTCTATGTAAATATTAACTGGTTCTGAATATAAAGAAACTTCTTTATAAAATCGAACCTTCTAGTAAATAGTTATATTCTCAAGGTAGGAATATCATGATACCCTGAAATATCGTTGTAACCATTCATTGATTTCTCTACTGGAATTTCTTTATAAACTGGAACTTCTTTATAAACTGGAACTTCTTTATTTACAGAGACTTCTTTATATTTGGAATATATTTTGGAATCTCTTTAAAATTAATTTCATCACACTTTTCAATTTCTTTTATCACCTTTTTTACTACTTCAATAGTTAAATAGTTCTTTTATCTCATCTCTAAGTATACTTGTACTATTATTTAATTTAATTTATGTTTTGAAAGTGAGAATTTTCAAATTTTACATAATCATCCTAAGATAATTAGATATGTTAAGTTTTAAGTGCTGATCACATAGTTATGATTTAAGAATTATTTTTAGGTTTTTCAACTTGAGGAATACTTATACTATATTCTAAGACTTATGAAAGTTACATTTAAAATTTCACCTATCTAATTAATTATTCCAAATGATTAAATTCTTTTTCAATATTAATTTTAGATGATTTAGTTCTCTTTCTATATTTTTTTTATTTAACGACTACTTAAACTTAATATGTTCTTAAATTTCATAGACAGATTTTTGTTGATTTTTTCTTTACTATTTATTGTTCTTATCCAAATATTTATGGTTATTGGATATAATGAAGTTGATGGAATGCATATAGGATGACAATAATTATTATGTTAATACTAAGAAGGTTAAGATGTTTCAATAACTCATTTTCACTTCTATTTCTCTTCCATTTTAGTATGGTTGAATCTATTCTTTAGTTTAAGTTAAAACTAATTTAAAAACTTATCTCATTTCTTCTATACCTTTAAGATACAAATTGTTATAAATTTAAGACATATTATTAAGTGTTAGAAAAATTAATTATCATTTTTTTACTCTAATTACTCTATGTTTTACTTTCATGATATCGATCAATTTTAAGATATCTTTATTATTATTCTGATAAAAATTGGTTGCTTGAGTTCTATTCAATTCACAAAAAGGCTTAAATTAAGATTGGGAATTATATTATGTTAAACTATAATGAGAATTACATTTTATATGTTTTTTTTTGTTATTTTTGTTCAAAGCATTATTTAAAATACTTAAAGGTTTCAATACTATTTCTTTTTTTGGTATTACATCTTTTAACATTTTTTCCATATAAATAGAAATCTTGCTTTTTCTTGGTCCTTTTTAGATTGGTTAAAAAGGATGAATAGATACTGTTTCTTCTAATTCTTCATCTTGACTAAATTTCACAATTTATAATAACCTTTATATTTGCTTAATTGGTTATTAAACTGGTAATAAATGCACTGATTATACAACAGCTGGTCTACGCACAGTTAAATTTCGAACTGCTCTTAAGAGATGCATTTTCTTTTTTATTCTTTTAATTGCTTCTGTTTTGTATGTTAAGATAAATATAATGGCATTTCCAACTGCTTTAAATCTCTTCAATATTTTTTTTTTCCTTTAATTTCTAAATACATATAAATTGCAATACCTTGTTTCTTTAAGTGGTAATTCTCTATGTAATTTTAGAGAAAATCCAATTAATTGTCCACATTCTGAGCAATCACAACTTAAATTACATTTATTTAGATCGTTTTCGAATTGATCAGTACTTTGATATAAGATAGTTCTTCCTTTCTTTATGTTTGATGCATGCTTATAATTTATGGTTTTGACATGTTTTAATTCATAATAATCAGATGGTGATAATGATCTGTCAGACATTTTTAAAATCAAATAATAAATTCATGAAAATATATATTATTAATCTCTACATGATTTCTTAAATTGATTTGTTAGCATAAATCTCTACTATAATGCTTTCACTTTTGTAATAAATTAATTTATATTTATTTCTTATAAAACTGCAACAATATAAACTAATTTTTTCTATTTTTGGCAATTTATTGTAATTTAAAATTAATCTCATTATTCTACTTGTTAATAATATATTGATAATATTTATGATTAATATAAATTTGATTTAAAATTGGTTATCATATTAATTCTATTAATTGTAGAAGTTAACAATTTTATAAGAAAAAAAACATTTTTTTAATGAAAATAAAAAATTTAAATCATAATGAAAATCAATAAACTAATCATTATAATAATAAATAAATAAGTATCTATTTTTGAAAAATAATTCTTATTGTTTTCAATCTCCAAATAAAATTGTAATACAGAATTAATGGAAATAAGTTTGGAATAGATATCAAATAATAAATTTGTAAAAAGTGGAAATATTATAATAATAGGGAAAATGTAGTATGATAATAAAAATAAAACGAGAGATAGGAAATTAAGTAATATAAAATAGAGAAGAAGTAGTAGGTAGATTAAAATAAGATTTATGATTAAATTGTAAAAGAGATATTAATAATGAAGAGAAGATATAGGTTGTATTGAATTCAGATAGGAGTGTGAGATGAGATGAATTAATTATACTAGTTTTGTATATATTTGTATAAAATAAGGAAATTAATTAAATCATTTAATTAAAAAATTAGATAAGCACATATTATGGATTCAACTAAGGAAAGAGTAGAAGGTACAAGAGCCACAGTGATTGAAATAATAGGAAGAACAGGTAGAATATTTGAATATTGAATGCAGGTTCTAGAGGTGGAATTACATAGGTTAAGGTTCAATTGGTTGGCTAATAAAGAACATTAATTAGAAATGTAATGGGACCAGTGAGAAAAGGTGATACATTGGAATTAATGGAATGTGAAAGAGAAGCCAGAAGATTAAGATGATCTAAAGTACATTAAATAAACAATTTGCCACATATTTAATTATTTTTTAAAAAATGAAATTTACAATGATTTTGATCTTGCTATTAGTTGAATCATTTGCTTAAGATTTATATTATGTGAGTGATCCTGAAGGATTATGTTTAGATGGATCAAGAGGAGTAAAAATAATTGAATAAATAATATTAGTCTTATTATTATTCTGAAGGATATGGATCAGGATCATAGAATTTTATATTTCATTTTAGTGGAGGATCGTATAAATATATTATAATTATAAGTTGGATTCAAGGATTGACAGAATAATAGTTGTTAAATTCAGCATATAAAAGGTACGATCTATATAGAATATGATCTGAGACACAATTAGGAAGTTCTAAATATAATGAAGCAAAGACAACATATAATGGTTTCTTTTCAAGAGTACAATCAATGAATCCTGATTTTTATAATTGGAATATCATAAATATAAATTATTGTGATGGAACAGGTAATTCTTATAAGAGATATGAATATATTAGGTCATTAAGGATATAAGAAAGAACCATCTACATTTAATGGTAGATTACTCTACTTTAGAGGAGATAAAATAGTTAAATCAATAATAATTGAATTCTATGAACGAATGAGTAAAGGAGGAACAGTAATAGTATCAGGTTGTTCAGCAGGAGGATTAGCAGCATATTATTGGGTTGAATATTTTAGAGATATTTTACCTATAAATGTTTAAGTTTTAGGAATCCCTGATTCTGGAATATTTATTGATATGAAATCTATTGATGGGACAGATTTACCCAAATAGTCATTAATTGAAATGCAAAAATTAGTAAATTAAGAAGCTAGTAATCCAAATGCTGAATGTGTTTAAAACAATCCTAATGAACATTGGAAATGTTTCTATGCTTAATATTTACTAAGGTTATTTTAATTATTTATTCTAGATATGTAAATGTTCCTATCTTTATTGTTAATTCTCTTTATGATACTGCTAGTATTAAAGATCTTTTAATGATATCTTGTGTTTCTAGAAATTCATTAGCAGGTTGTTCTTAAAAAGAAAGAAGATATATAGAAGAATTACATTCTAGCATTCAAAATGTTATCTATGGCAGACAATCTATTTTTAAAAACACTGGTTCTTTTGCACCTGCATGTTTAGACCATTGGTAAACTTAATTATATATCTATATTAGTTTCTTATAATAAACATCTTATACATCTACTTCATGGTAAGTACCTGCTAAATCTGGATTTACCATTCAAAAGAGTTTAAGATAATGGTTAATATAATTTAATGTTGGCAATATAGATAATCATATTGATTCAGTAGATTGGCCTGATAATCAAGCTTGTTCTAATGCTTGATTAAAATTTATTTATTTTTATTCATATATAACCAAGATATTCTTAATTGGATTTTCAAATACTTTTTGTTTTTAATTAATTTATGTCTCTTTCAGCTCTCAGAGCAACAGTTTCATTCTTAACTTTAAATTCACTACTCCAAATTTATGAGAATTAACCTGTTGAATTTTGGGATTCCAATCAAATGATGTCTCATCCTAAATTAACTCCCATATTCTAATCAAATCAAGTAATTATATTTCATTTTATATCAGTATCTAAATTTACTTGCAGCCTTTTTCACACTTACATTAATAGATACAAACAAAAAACTTCAACTTACTAATTCAATTGCTGTTTCCACATCCGTTATCATCTAAAATTTAAAGTATTTTTAATCATTTATTTCTTTAGTTTATTTTTACCTAAGACTTTCAATATGATATCTATCTACTTTTAATTAATTGTACTTATTTATCAACTCTTTATGTTGTTTTCTACTTATTATGATAAATTTCAATTCGATAAAATTCCTCAATCTCATTCTATAATTTAATGTTAAAATATTGTTAAAGACATAAAAACAGGCAAAAAGTAAACCTATAAAAAATAAATCTCTCATAAAAAAAAAGAAAAAATATTACAAAAATAATTACAACCAACACTTGAACCTCAAATTGATAAAATTGAATAATCTGATAATGCAGAAGTAGCAGAAGTAGAATCAATTGAAAATGATTTCACAGAATTTATGAAGTAACCCTCAAATGATTAAACTATTACAGAAATAGAAACAGAAAATTAATATGAAGTTAATCATGCTGATCTATCTTAGATTTCATAAGTTAAAGAAGATACAAGTAATACTCACAATTATTTTATTAGAATTAACCTTTCAACTTAAATTCAATGGTGAATTTACTAATTTAAATTGTACTTTTGAAACTTTCGAATCATCTATAAATATTTTAAATTCATCATACACTTCAGAGCAAATGAAACAAATAAAAATACATTTGTTATTAAACCTTTATGATGAAAATGAAGATTGTTCTTGTAGACTTTGGTGTCTTAAAAAAATCTTATCATACAATTGAATTATTAACTTCCTAAAATTTGCTTTGTTTGTGATATATTATAAAATTTGATATAATTTATTATTTTTAATCTATGAAAGCTATGGGTTTATTTGACTTTCTGGATGGAATTCCAGATGATTATGTACCAAAATAAAGGATGACAGCAGAAGAAACTGAAGAAGCCTTCACATATCTCAAAAATCATCCTCTTTTTATAGATCATATTCCAGAAGATATTGAAAACTACCCTGAATTATTAGCATTGTAAAATCTTCAATATGATGATACACCTGTTAATATAGCAGCTGCTTTACTCAAAAATGCCAATGAAATCATGAAAAAAGATGGAGATAAGAAATACTTTTAAATTAAAGCTTATGAAATTTATACTGATGCAATTGAATAAGATTGTGGTGATAAAGAACTTATGGCTAAATTATTTAGTAATCGAGCCTTGATTTCTTACAAATAAAGTAATCGATAAAATGATTTGAATAGAGAACTATAAATGTGCAATATAGGATTGTAAATGGGCGATTGAAAATGATCCCAAATTTATTAAACCTTATTTTAGATGTGCTTAATGTTTATATCAAATAATGCATTTTAATGAAGCCTTAAAATTTTGTAATCTGGCACTCGAAATATCTAAGGAAAAAGAAATTGAAGAATTAAGAAAAATAATCCTTTAATAAATCGAAAAATAACAAATGAAAAATGAAGAAGAAAAATAATTATAACAATTATATACTATTTGTAATTAAAAAGGAATAAGAATGGGTCCATCAAAAATTACCTTGCCTCCTGAATATCAAGTATAAGCATTTAAATAAATTTAGCCACAAAAAATATCATTAGAATAAGTTAATCCTCCAATATTAACAATTCCAATTTTAGTAACATATCCTGAATTTAGACAGAGAGATTTTATATAGTATTGCTCAGAGTAAACAAAATTATACTAAATATTGGCACCATTATTTTAAACTCCTTTGCCTTGGGATTAGGATTAATAATACAATTTGAACAATATTGAATGCTATATTGAATTAGATGATGGCAATTATGCTAAATTAAACATAAAAGCTAAAATTCTATCTATAATGTAAGGATACAAAGTAACAGTGAAAGAATTCATTGAAATTCTTGTGGTTTGTCCTAATACAAATTATTACAAGAAATAATTCAGATCAGAATATCATGTTTTAAATGACCAATGATAATTTATTTATTATAAAATAAAAGTATGAAACTATCAAATTCTTCCTTCTTTTCTCTAAATATCATAAATTCCAACTCTAGTTTCTACCTAGGGCTAAGGACTTTGCACTAAATTATGAGTGAAAGACGATTACATTTTTAGAATCCCTAATCTTGAGATTGTTTTTTCTAGTATTCATTAGGATAATTTCCATAAGAAGGTTTAGTATTAAGCTTGGATCGTACATATCCTTAATACTCTTCCTTATCTTAAACAGCCGTTCTTTAATATCCCATTTTATTATTTGTAAAACTAGCAACTCTTTCTCCCATTCCTAATCTATTAAAACTTCTTTCTCTATCATATGGTCTGTTATTCATTTGTCCTCTCATCATATTTTCTGCAACTTAATTACCAATTATATTTCTATTAGTTCCTCCTCTCTCTAATCCTAATCTATCAAGAACAGATCTATCATCATTATAACTAAATCTCTATCCTTAATCATTTAATTCTTTTTTCTAATACTTTTCTAATTATGGTTATTATGTAAATCCATTAGGCTTTCCAAAATTGGTTTCTGGTCTTATTCTTCCATCAAATTCTTATCTTCTACCAAATTCAATCATTTTATCCTAATTTTCTGGTCTACCTAAAACATTTCTTTTATCTAATTCATCTCTCATTTTAGTGTAATCAGATTTAATAAAATCTTTTTTACTATTAGGATCTTATTATTGTGAATATTTTTCTTCATAATATTAATCTCCAAATTTATCATTATATGCTCTTTAATATTAATTTCTACTTTCAATAGGAATTCTTTATTCTAAATTTGTTCTTTCCTCAAAAGGTCTATTTTAAATAGGAGTTCTTGTAACAATTTATTCTCTACGTCTATCGAATTAATATCTTGCATCTAAATTTGAATTTGCTTAATATCTATCATCTCCATACGTTCTATTAAATCCTCCTCTACCATCAATTTAGTATTATTTTGGATCCATTATTCCAAATCTTTCATCTAATACTTCTCTATTATCTGTTCTTCCATCTAACATAGATCTACCATCTCTATAATTGATTCCTTATCTTAAATTTTATTACCCATCATGACCATAAAAATGCCTCTATTCTATTTAGGTTCTTTAAGCTTATCTTCCTTCAAATAATTATTTTCCTTCTTATTCTTATCTAAATCCTTAAGGTGGTATTCTATCATGATTATATCCTTAGTAATAATATCTACCATCTTAAGGTTATCTTTAATCTAGATCAAATCTTCCTTCTTGACCTGGACCAAATCTTACTTGTTGATGGGGTGATCTACTTTCAAATTCAAGTCGATTAGATTGATTATATTAATCAGTTCTATTAGGATGATCATGTTGATCAGGTCTTCTATTAAATTCAAATTAATCATGTCTATCAGGTATTCTATCAAATTATAATCTCTAATCTTAAAATTATTATTATCTAGTCTCATATGGATTAATATTTCTTGGAATTGGCATTCTTCTTTGATCATCTAAATGTTATTAAATATATTATTATTATGTTCTTGATTCTGCATAAGGATTTTAGGGATATGATTATGGGTTGTATCTTGGATCTTATTAAATTTGATCTTCATATCCTCTTCTTTCAATTGGAGTTTTAGATCCCTCTTAAGGTCTTCTAAATTAATTTAATTATCTTTATGAATACTCTTAAGATTTAGAAGTATTATTTCTTTAATCCCGTACTTATTATTATTCATCTAAATATCTTTATCCAACATCTCTTCTTTCTAATACTCTTTTATCTTATTATTATAAATAATGATTATCAGACATTCTTACCTAATCAGCTGCTCTTATCATTCTATCCATTCTTTCTGGCTATTCTTATTATCCACCCACTGTTCTTATTCTTTCCTAATCATATCTCAATCTATCTATTTACTGATCAATAGGTTTCTATTACATTTCAAATGGACTCATCTATCGAGTAGGAATACGTTAATCTTAATCTTGATATATTCTTCTATATTCAGGTTATTGAAACTCTCGTTTATAATCTTAACATTAAACTTCCCTATGATAATTATCTTATCTCTCTTAAGGAGTATAAGCACTCATATTTTATCTTGGATCAATAGGTGTTCTAGATCCAATAGGATTACTCTTCTAATCTTCATGATTCATATATGGATTTATAATCTCTCTTTCATTCAATTATCTTTATTCTTATTTCTAATTCATTTAATCTAAAGGTTTTCTTTAATCTCCTTCTTAATATGCTCTTATAAATGGCTTCCCTTATTCAATATTATTATTATTTATAGATTGCTTTAAGTATGGATTATTATTTTATAGCATCTTTTATTGCTCTCCTCCCTTATCATATTAATCATACTAATTTGATTAATATCCAACTTATCTCTCATAACCCTTCAATAAATATGTACTACCATTCTAATCCAATGGATTTTAATTCTCCTTCTTTATATTTACATCTGTTTAAGGTGATACCATTTTCCTGGTTTTATAATCTAATTATCCATTTACTTTCTCATTTGATCTTTATCCTCTTTCCTCCATTACCCTTTTTGAATATAACTTTTATTAATCTGTTAAATTAAAAATTGCTGTTAATAATAAACCATATCTCATACATAATTATTTTAGACTACTCAATGTATAACTTTATACATCCAACTCCTTTAAAAATATATTAAAGGTAAATCCATATATTTTCAATTATTCATGTTATGAATTAGTATAACTTCCATATACTCAAAATATAAATAGTAAATATCTCTTTACTATTACTTCTAGTTATAACATCATTTAGTTTAACCTCAATTTAATGACAACAACATCAGATTTTGAATGAATCATAAGCTTACTCTAATTAAGATATACTTAGAATGGAGTAACAAAAAAATGCTCTAAATATCAACTCATAAGTGATGATATCTAAGCATATGCAAATTAAAATATTATCTATTTATACATGAAAATCAGTATTTAATATCGCAATTCAACATTAAATTCTAATTAGCAGTTTTCGTAAGAATATTTGCTTAATATAAATTTTAAAATTTTATAAATAATTATTAGATTTTTTTAAGATTATATATAAAGGTTTAATATGAAATAAATAATTTAATAAGAATTATTTGACTCAAAGATTAAATTACGTTAAAATAGAAAAACGACAATATAGCAGATGTAGATGTTTAATAAGTACATAGTTTTTCATTTCTAAAATAGTTTTATAGAAGAAAAAATCTTTATGATAAACAAGGTAAAGTAGGGATATTGAGAAAATTAAATGTAGAATTAAGAATTTAAAAAACACTGTTCTAATAAATTAGTATATAAAAAGATGTGAATTTTAAAAAACCTAGTTAAATAGGAAGTTGATTTAATGAAATAAAAAATTGATTTTTCAATATTTTTGAATATTTTATATTATAAAAATATGAATCAAAATTAAAGGAAATTCGTTAGATGTTTCAATTGTAAAACAAAGCCAGCTACAATAAAATGTTTTGATTGTAATGAAAATGAGCCTACTAAATTATGTTATCATTGTGATTCTACTTTACATCCAGATCAAGATCATCAGAAATAGATTATACCTTATGATCAAATGGTTTCAAATGAAGAAAGAACTCAATCTATAACTCCTGAAAAGTAATAAGAGATGACTCCTCATTTAAGTTCAATTTTAAAATCTAGAATCAGAAAAAATGAAGAGAATACTAGTTTTATAAATAATGAAGAAATTTTAAATAAGAACTAACTTAAATCAGTTGAATTGAAATTTAGAATAAAATTTCAAGAATAAGAGAATACGATAAATTTATTGAAATAGCATATTGAAAATATAGAAAATAAACACAAAGAGAATTTGTCAAAAATGAGAGATCAATTAATAAAAGCCCAAGATGATGCTTTAAAAAAATAAGAAGAAAATAGTAATGAATAAATAAAGTTTAAGAAATAATATGAAGATAAAATAGCATAATATACATAATAGATTGAAAGTGAGACCTAGTTTAATAATTCTCTTTAATAAAAGTTAGATGAATTAAGGTAATATAATTTTTCTTAATTTTAAGAAACACTCATTAAATAAAATTATAGGAAGCTTAATAAATAATAGTTTAATTGAGAGCTGAAATAGAGAGAAGAAAGTTTTAAGAAGAATAAATAAGAATGGAGACTGAAAATTAAGTAATTTAGATTAAGAAAGAATCCTAATTAGAAATGGAAAGAAGCATATCTATGATAAAAAATGATTGTACATCTTAAGTTGAGGAGTATAAGCAAAAATTAACAGGTAAATAAGAGTAAATTATATCATTATAATCTTAAATCTAATAATTATAAGGTACCTTAAAAGAAATAGAAGGAGTTTGGTAGAAGAAATTATAATTTGAATAATAGTGTTATGATGAATTAAAGTAAAATTAATAAATTAATAAATAGATAAAAATATCATCAATAAGGAGATGAATGTGAGATACTAATTAAAGATATAAGAAATCTTTAATCAGAAATAATGATATATTAAAAGGAAAATGAATTATTTCAAAAAGAGAAATTGGGTTTGACAAAATAGTTGAATTAATAATTAGAAAAGAATGAGAAAATGGATAGATTTATCTATGGTTCTAAGAAATCATAGATTAAAATAAAACTATGAATATATAAATATGTATTTTTTTTAAGTATCTAAATACTAACTTGAAGATAATTGAATATAAAAGATATGTATTGATAATGAATCAAATGTCGTTTTTTCTGATATTTTAACACATTTTAGGGGGTTATTATAAGTATTAATAATTGTGCCTTTCAGAAGTTTCTATTCCCCAAGCTAGATTGCCTGCAATATTTAAAAGGACCAAAGCAAAATCAATATAAAATAGAGCATGCGCAATATTATATTTCTTCAAATAATAATATCCAAGATTTGTAAATATTAAAACACTTATAATCTAGAAGAATAAAATATATATAAATAAATACTCCTAAAACATAGAAAAAAAACTAATCTCCAACGCCAAAATTTTATTCTTCTTTTTGATTAGATAAAACTGTAGCAAAGAGTTAAAAACAAATTATGAAATAACAATAATTAGCTGTACCACCAGCTACAGCTGATATTAATCCAAATTCAGCCATTGTTGTAATCATAATTAATCCTGCTGCCATTCCAAAAAATCCAGCTACTATTCCTGTTACCCATCCAGCTGCATATATTTTCCAGAATCTTGTTCCAGGAGTATAAAATCTTTCACAATTAAAAAATTTAACAGCATCTTTTGTATATTCTTCTTTTCTTTTTATAAAATATACAACAAGAGTTATAATAACATTCACTGCGAACAAAAGTAACAACATATAAAAGTTCCAAGCTTAACAATATGATTAAGTTTGACTAAAATAAGGAGATATTAAACCTGGCGTTGTTCTACTTAAAATTATTACCTAATTATATAAAAAGCATATACTTTACCTCATTTATTGCAAAATTTCCAATTGTTATTAAAATCACTTACAAAGGGAATTTGTTACATTATTATTCATAGAATTTCTTATATAAAGAAGCTTCTTGTTCTTATAATTACTATTTTTCTTTTACATCATCAAGAGGTATTAAGGCTGATTTTAGTAATATCTCATTATCTTATTATTTCAAAGTCTATAAAGAAAGTTCCTTAGTTGCAAATAAAAATAAAACAGGTGATATTGCTACAAAAAAAATGTTCTATATCCAAAGTAATGTACCTAATGGTAAATAATTTGCAAATTCTGTTCCTAAAGCCTAACTGATTGGAATAGCTAAACAATAAATTAAAGCAATTTCAAAGTTTATGATCGGCCTATCAGAATCTTCTGGATGTCTAATATAATGTCTATAGATACCGTTGAAAAAATATAATGATAATGTTAACTAATTGGCTTCCAAATTATAAACACATTGTCATATTGCCTGCTTATTATGAATCAAAATTTAATGTTGCTTCTAGAAAAGGTCTTTTTACAACACCACCTAACATTAATATATTTTTTAACCTCCTAAGGCTCCTAATATACCAATACCAATTATTGGAAGGATGATTATGTATACAATTATTTAAGCAGCGTTTGCAGCAAAATACCCTATTCTGCAACATGAATATTTTGAAGTAATTACGGTACCATTAAATAATTGTGTACAGTGTGAAAAGGGTCCACACATTTATGGACTCGTCATGTTGCAACTCTATTGAACCAATTCTGTATTTATTGGACAAAGAAGTGACATAATAATTTTAATATATAGATAATAGTTATAAATTTTCTTCCTTATCAATAAATGGATATGATGCATCTAATTTAAAATTTTGGATTCATTCTAAATTCTCAAATTTTAGATACTAAGATACCACATATATTATTTTTATCAAATAATCATTAATAATGCATCTCTATTCTATAATAAATTAAATTACATTTCTTAATTTCTTTTTATGCAAATACTGTTAATTATAATTATACATAGAAGCATTATTATGCTAATTTTTATTTGTTTATCAAAATTTTTCTGTTAGGATTAACAGTTTTATTTATTTGTAGAAATAGAAACCATGATATCTCTTTTTGAATTAAAATACTGCATTGTTAGTTATTATTTATTATTAGTTAATTGCATGGTTCATAATTTATTAATTTTCTGATTGATTGTCAATAATTATAATATGTAAGAACACATAGCTTTAACTATATAATAACTTACTAATCTTCTTTCAAATAGTGAACAAACTTCAAATTGGAATTGTTTAAATACACTATCCCAAAAAGGCTAAACTCATTTGAGATAACATATGCCCAAAATTGTCTCTTTTGTTGACACAGACGAATTTTAAGAAACATCTATATCAAGTGGACTCTAAAATTCTGAAAATCAATCAATTATAGATAAACTATAAGAATTAGAAGAGGAAAATAAACAACTTAAAGAAACCTTAAAAAATTATGAAAAAAAAGAATGCAATTGGAAAAATTAAATGAATGACTACTAGTTAGAACAAATAGAATTAAGGAGATAAAATCAAGTACTTTAAGATAGATTAAAATCTATAAAATAAACGAAAGAACAGTTTATAAAATCTAAAAAATAAAACGGATCTTAAAGATGTAATTTTGCATCGCCATTTTTTCATTAGAAACCTGATTAAATTAAAATTCCGATTAATCAAAATCTATAAGTTAGAAAACATACAGCTCCAAGTGGTCTAAATAATTCTTCACCTCATAGGATGTATCATGAGAAAAAAATTGATAAACTAACATGAAAACTTTTTTGATTCTAATTTAATTTATCATGAAACCATATTTTAATATTAATTGTTAAATATTTTTTGCAATATCTTAAACATTTTAAAATTCAAAAAAATAATAAATTTTTTATTTTAACAATTTCATGATTTTTTTATTTGTAACAATTTATTTGATGCTTTGACGAAATTTTAAATTAAAATTATCTTGATTTATTTGTTTAATAATAAATGATTAATTTTATTATTATACCAACACATCTTTGATTTTTTTATTAAATATGTTCTATATTTCTTAATCCTTAACATTAAAATAAACTACTCAACTAAATTTATTAAAGGAATATGAATTTTGTGTAATAAATCTCCAAAATTTTAAAATACCATGAAATACCACGAAATATTTCTTAAATCTAGAAAATAAAATGATTTAAAGATTTAAAAGTTTCTTAATTTGATTATTTTTAAAAATAATTCAATAATATCGAGAATTAATATTAAAATAAATTAATTCTTTAATTAAAACATCATATGATTGATTATTAGATATATTAACTCATAAAGGCTATAAAAAAGAAGATTAAATTAACTTAAAAAATTAAAAATAAAATAACCCTGGTAAAAATTAAATGAAATGAGTGAAAAATTAATTGAAGTAGAAATTGGTGTTATCAATTATATGATAATTTAAATTTAAAAAGGATTTCGAAAAAACAGAAGGAGTTATTATAAGAATTAAAAAAAATAATTATATGTTCAAAAAAATCAGCAAAAGAGAAAATAAGGTCAATATTTTGAATATATTATATTAAAATTAAATAATAATAAGATTTCTATAAATTAAAATTCAACAATCAGGAAATATTTTTGGGAAGGATATAAGAATATGAAAATTCGATTGAGAGCAATTAACTTAATAATATACCCTTATTGGATTAATTAAAATATTTTTTCAGTCAGGTATATTAGATTTAATATTTAAGATAATTAAAGTATGAGTGTGAATTCTTGATGATAAATTTGAATTATAAAGTAAAGGAGAATAAAATTATATATTAATCAACAAAATTGAAAGAATATTTTGATTTTTATTTATTAACTAATGATATTTTATGAATTTATTTCACTAATTTAGAGACCTTATTGATATATTAAATATAGATAAACTAATAATAGTTTTTGAGAGAATAAATTATAAAAGATTATAAATATTATGATAATATTATGGAGTTTCAAAAGTTTATCTTTTTTTAAATAATAAGTTAATAAAATAAATATGAAGAAATAAATAAGAGATGAATACTATGTATGTCCATCAATAAAAAATGAAATGAAAGCATACTAAGAATATGTATATAGTTAGAATGCCGAATAAATAAATTTAACATAATTTTAAGTAGTTAATTACGATATCTTTTGATAATTTAATTAGAATATAAAAAGCAAAAAAATGAGATATTTTAAATAATATGATATCTTATTCATTATTTTGGATATATTTATTCTCCAAATTTAAATTCTGAATCTAAGACATATCCATTTCTATTAATTATTTTTCCTTTTCCATGTCTTTAATTTTAATGAAATAACCCTTCAAATTGAGATTTATCAGGGAATCTTAAAATACCTCTTCCTTCCTTTTTTCCATTTTTAAACTCACCTAAAATTTGTATATTGATTTTATATACCTTCATATATAGTTCCATCGATTTCAATGAGAATTCCTTTACCATGTTTAATACCATTTAGTATTTATCCTGAATAATAAGAGCCATCAGAATATTTATATATACCTTATCCTGTGATTAATCCATTGTCATGTTCTCCTTCATAAGTAGATCCATTTGGAAAATGTAATGATCCTTATCCATGTTTTTCACCTTTATAAAAATTGCCAACATATGTAGTATTATCTGGATATATTTGTGTTCCTTTTCCATTTGGAATTCCAAAATCAACCTCTCCAATATATTTAATTCCATTTTAATATATTTTTTCTCCATTTGTTGATGTACCAAACTAAAAATAGAAATTAGTATAAAATACATACAAAATAATCTCCATTGGAAAATAGAATTCCACCATTTAAAAATTAACCTTAAGTCCAAATACCTTACATAAAAGTTCCATCTGTTTTTTTCATTAATCCAAAACCATTAATTTGTTTTCTATTCCATTAACCCCAATAAACACTTCCATCTGATCCTATCATAGGTTTTAAGAAACTATCTTAATGATTTAAAGTTTCCTAAACTTGTTCCTGCAATTATTTTGGTAACTCAGGAATTGTAAATTCTTAATTTGATTCAACCCAATCTTCTGGATAATCTACTTATTATTCATTTCTTTCATTAACTGATTTCATCTTTGCTTGTTTAATTCTAAAACTATTTTATATTTTTATTGCAGCTTAATTTTCATCCATTGTTTATGATGTCTACTACTTTTAGACTAAAGACATATCTCCATTTTAATCTTATTGTATATTTATATGTTGAACAAATATTTCTTCAGTTTATTAAAATTAGGGTTATTATGCACAAGCACCCATAGAGATTATTATTAAAAAAATGTAGATAATTTAATAAAATATATCTAATAATAATATATTTTATTAATAATGTCTGAAAGAACATTAGATTTTGTGGATCAAAGAAATTAAGTTAGAAAACTTGTCACATGGCCTTGGAATTTTGTATTTGGATTACAAAGCTTCTAAACCGTGTAACATATTTACAACTTTACTGCTAGAACAATATTTGCAGCATCAAGTCTTATCCCATTTTTAAGTATAAAAGTATATATAATATTATAGCAACATACAACACACATCAATTTGCTTATGCAGAAAATTCAGTTAGATTAACTAGATATAGAAATTATCATGATGATATTATCTGATATATTTGCATATACATCCAAAAAAGAATCATTATTATTTACAATATATAATTAACATAATCATTTCAAATATAATCTGTATTTTAATTCATCAATCAGCAAAAGAGTTTACAAAGAACTTGATTATAATACTTTCTTAGTTTCTTATGCTCTTCTCATTAAATAAGGAATCATAATCTCAGTTTTTCCAAAAGGTACATATTTATATATTTTATATCCCTAAATTATATAGATAATATTATACTTCTCCAGCTAATTGATAAGTAACATGATCTGATAAGCCATATAATTAAGCAAATAATACATCTATAATAATATTAAAAATATAATATACCTCCTTAATTAGGAATAGAATGTCTATGCATTAATTCTTTAATAAATTCAACTGTTTATTCATTATGACTAGCTACAAAAACTTTGGTAGAGGATTTAGGAATATTTAAGATTAATTTTTCTAAGTTTCTTTCAATCATAGCAGTAGTAGCTTCATATCCATCATTAATTGGGTTTTCTTTTCCTTATTCTTTTGCTAACTTACTTTCTTCAACCATGTATGCTCCTCTTACCATTTTAATACCAACATTTAACTTAAATATTTCTGCTTTTGCTAATTCATAATCTACTCTATCTTTAGTTTATTTTAAATAATTCTAGAAAGTGTTAAATACTAGAGTTTAATTTTAATTATAATATGCTTCCATTTATTCAGAGAAACTATCAATAGCCCATTGTAAATATGTCTATTCAGCATCAACCATTACACAGATTTTATTATGTAAAGCTGGATCCATAAAATATTTGACTCTTTCAATAAATTATTCAAATAAAAATAGTTCTTTTTCATTCAAATTATTAAAATGTTTAATAGCTGGATTCTTATTTAAATCAGTTTCAAACATAAAAATAGGTTAAACTCTATATCTCCAGGTTATTTAATCTATTTCATTTTCATTTTTATTGAATTTTAAAACACCTTTAATAAATTATTTTTATTCGTTTTCATTCAAATTAATTCCTTATTCTTTAAGATAATTAAAGACCTAAAATAAAATAAATAATTAAAAACCTATTGAATAGTAATAGTTTATTTGTCCTAACTAATTTTATTGAATAATTCAAAAATATTCAATCTTGCTTTGTTAATTTACTTAAGTAGATTCATATCAATTAAACTTGAAACTTTGATAGCAATCATATTTTTCTTTTCTGGTTTCTTTGCACATTCTAAAACTGTTTATCTAAAAATAGAACTGTTCTCATCATAAAACTTTTCACAATCATCTATTCCTTCAACAGCTTCTGAACAATAATCAATAATATAGGAAATCTCTTAAAAGAGTATAACATATTATTACTATCATTTGATGAAGATAGATATCTTTCTACACTCTCAAGGTTTTCTCCAGCTGTGAATACTCTACCAATAGTATTATTTATTAGGAAATTGGCCAATCTCGTTCCACAAATAGCATAAAGTAAATCAAACAGTTTTGGACCCTAATCTACAACCCAATCATATTTCAACATGTGATTTATCAATAAATTATTTAAAATTGATGGTACAGATTTATCTTTATGAATTCTTAAACTTTAATAATATTGTAGTTAAGAAGAACTCTAATTATACTATTCACTTATTACATATCTTGTTTAATTAGCTACAGCAAACTTATATAATACTCTTCCAGATCCCAAGAATTTTTAGCATGATGATAGTATCATTTTTATATATATACACCAATAAATTTAATATATTAAAATCAAGATGTCTTCAATAATATTTAAATACAACTTATTACGCACTAATCAAATGATATATTATCTAAATTATATCATTTATCTCTAATCATTTTCTACTCTCATTTTCAAAACAAACTTCTAACTACTTTATTCACTATTTAATATTAATTTTAATACAAATTAATTCTTAAACATGGATGTATTATAAAAAATACTTAAAACTCAAGGAACCAATGTCACAATAATTGATTTACAATTTTAGTATTTACCATCATAATTTATTTCAGATAAATCTAAAATTTAGATGAACTGTTATCTTAATTAGCAAATTTTAGCAATCTTAAAGAAGTACTTCATTTATTAAAAAATTAAGCTTAATTTAAATGGAAATCGTTTAATTTCATTACCTGATGATTTAGGATTATTAGATACTGTTGAAGTGCTATATTTGACCAATAACATTTTTACAGATGTACCATTATTTCAATCTTAAATCCTTTTTAGATAGTATAAGTTGTTGACTCTTTATAAACTATGCCAAATTTAATTCAACTTGAAATAACTCTGTCCTCTAAAGAAGAAGAATAATTTATAATTGAATCTCTTCCAAATCTATAAATTTTGAATTCTTAAAAAATCAATTTAGACTAACAACTTGTTGATGAAAGCTCAGAATAGTAGAGTTAACAATAATCCGAGAGATCTATGAGTGCTCAGTAAGACATTACACTTTAATAATATGATTTAGAATAGATGGCAGTAATTAATTATTCATTTTTAGATTTTATATGATAACATTAGAGAATATAAAAAAGATGAACAAGAAGATAAACTTTTTGATTAATAAATAAGAACTATTATGCTAGATTTATAATCTAAAGTTAAGTAAAATAATCCAGATCATTTAACAAATTTATACATCTTAACAGTACTATTTTTATTTTTATTAGGCTAAATATAATTTATATGAAATTTGCTTTAAATCTATTCTCAAACATTTTAAAACTAATGATAAAAAACTAGATTTTATTTTTACAAAAATTCATGATATGCATTTATCAATCTTTAATGATTTGAGTAATGTAATATAAAATGTCAAATTAACATCGAAAAACACTTCATAATTATAAATAAATTAAAAATAAATAGATTTATCATAATAACAGCCTGATAAGAGTGTTGAAAATAGATTGCGATAAGAATTATAAGAACTTTAATAAATAAATAATGAATTAGAGAAAGAAAATAAAAGATATTTAGATTTATTAATAAAACACTCTAAGGGTGAAAAAGTTTAATTATCTAATAGTGAAAATAATTAAAAATAAAATGATAATTATCAAACATAACTTTATGCAAAGAATTTTTAATCATAAAATATTTAATAAAATAATAACCAAATATTTTAATCAAAATAGACATAATAAGTAAATTCTATACCACAATAATTAAATGTAAGAAATTTAACTCTAAAACAATTAAAAGATGTTTTAAATGAAATTTATGAAAGTAAACATAAATTTGATTAAAAATGTACTGATTCTAAATTGCCTAGAGAAACTATGGAATAACATATGTACACATTTTTAAATTAGAAATATGGACTAAAAAATCTAATAATTGAATGGGCAACTTCAATAATAAATTCAGTAAAGAAATATGCTAGTGAAGATAATGATGTAGATGTATTTGGTAAGATTTTAAAGAATGAATGTGATGAAGAATTTCGATTCGTTTAAACTTAAGTTAAGAATACAATGTAAGAATTATTGAAAGTAAATGATATTGTTATTTAGATGTATCTAAGAGGTAAACATCCATTGAAACATTAAGCTGAAATTAAGGAAATGCTTAATTAAAGAATTAATGGTTAATTGTATGAAGAAGAAGCGGTTGACATTATTAAATATATGTATAATTAAGAAGATTCAGAGTTATTACTTGATAAATTGAAATAGTATTATATTGTTCCACAAAAAATAAATGATAGAAGACTTACGAGAGAAGAATAATTAATGCTTTTGTAAGAAAAAGATAAATATAAAATGGATTATTAGGTATTCTAAAAAATAATATTGGACTTTTAACTCAAATCTCATGAAAAATATTTAAAAAAATTTATTGTTATATTCAAATAAATGGATACTGATCTTAATGGAATAATTGATGAAGTATGATTTGTTGATTATTTAGAATGAATTCAGAAATTTAATAGATGCTTTAAATTTTGATGCTGAAGATGTAGATATTGAAAAATATTTAAATATTGTTGATCCTTATAGTCATTAATAGATAACATTTTCATAGTGTGTTACACTCTTTTCATCTGAATCTGTTCCTGGATCAAATGGATAAATGTAAATACTATAAAAAATATCAGAATAATGAATACTCTAATAAAATTAAATATAATGAAAATTTTTAATTTTAAATGTTAATATAAAAATTGATTTAGTAAATTTATAAAATTAATGGTGTGTTTGAGTTTATTAATTAATTAAATGAATCCTCAAGTAGATTTTGGAAAATCAGCTCTTATGCTTTCATTATAGATTGCAGCTCAAAGTGCTCTGTATACTAAATTGTAAATTGAGAGATAACATCTTTTTACTACAACTGTTATAGATGCAACAAATGATTTTAAAAAATTGTGTTTGATTCATTTAAACTTTCTTCATAATTAGTTCTATAATCCTGGATTGTAGCCTGTATTAGAAAGTCAGGAAGAATATAATAATAGAAAATCCTCAATATATTCACCATTGCTTAAGAATAGACAATTTAAAAGTTTAGAAAATTCTTTAGATATTTATGTATAACCAGTTACTGCTATTTAAAAATCTAAATTTGAATAACCTCAATATTTTAGTGTTCATCAAAGCACTAAAAGTGTTGAAACCTTATCTCAGCAATTATCTCAAATTAAGATTGATAAATAACTAGATATTTTGATGAGTGAAAAGATTGATAGAGAACTTGATAAGGTTGATCCATCTATAGAATTATCATAAATGAAAGATGAAAACTGTATAAGAGATTATTCAGATATTGAAGAAGATTTAAAAAAGAAACCATTTAATAAAAAAAGAAATTAAGATAAAAATAAATAGTTTTCTTAAACTAAATCTAATTGGTATGAAGATGCAGATATATCTTATTAAATAACATCTCATAGTGATGATTTTTCAGTTGAAAATTCTCATAACTTTTATTGGGATGTTGAATAAGAAGATGATGATATTAGTGATGATTATTCTTTTATGGATTTTAAAAGTTAAATGATTGAATTATAACCTAGTATTATTGAAAATTAAAATGAAAATAGTATACCATTTCTAGTAAAAACATCAGAAAGTTAAATTAAAATTGATCACAATACTCCTAAAAAAAAAAGACTTTATTGTAATAATAAAAAAATACCACTTTGGGCTTAAGATTTATCGGTAGATAATTATATTTATAATTAATAGGTAGTAAAATAAAAATGTGGATAATAAAAATAAGATCCAGCTCATTTATTTGGAGTATTAAGTTAAAAAGCTGTAGATTAAGCATTTTTATTATCCAACAGTAAGTAAGCTGAAAATTCAATTAAATGGAAGAAATAAAAAGAAATTCTAAATAGTTAAATTCAAAATTTAAATTCAAAAAGTAAAGAAAGTTATAGAAAATTAAAGAAAAATCAATAAAATGTAATAATATTAATAATATAATAAAAGTCAAGCTAAAAGTTTAATGATTATAGATAGAATTTTCTATTTGGATAATAAGTAAGAAAGAATTTCTTAAATTTATTCCCCAAAGATACTGGATCTATGGATAAATGATAAAAAATAATTAATTATAAAGATACACATTTAATATGAATCAAAATTAAAAACTTGATCTTATTCTATTAATTGTAGCATCTTATCTTTATTTTTATGGTAGTTATTTAATTTCACCTTTATTAAATAATTAATTAATTGGACTTTACCTTTTTATATTAAAGTCTGGTGAATTTTCATCATTAATTTTATTTTTTAAAAATGTTTATAACAATTCAATTTAATTAGAAATAGCATTAATCTTTGATTATGGAGTATTTGATTAGACAATTAATTCATTAAAAGCAATAATAAGTAATGTGATATTATCACTACTTTTACGATGTACAACTTCTTTTAAAACTGAATCAACAGCTGATGAAATTTATCCATGTAAATTTAAATTATTTTTTTAAGATTAAAGTTCTGTCCAAATTTTTTTAATAACTTCTTCAGATTTCATTTTATCAAAAATTCCATCACCTAAAAAATTAAATAAAATATATATACATCCCATAACAATAAAATCATTATCTTATGTAATACGAAAGATTTAAATATCTGGTTATGCAATAACAACATTGTGATTACCACCAAATTATTCAAATTTAGCTTCAATATCTCCAAAAGCTCTAGAAACAGACAATCTTCCTGGAAAAACTCTATGTGGTCCTACAATTTATATACCATTTTCATTTATTAAATGTGTTTGATATATTTTACCTCCATTTTTTTAAATTCTTTCATATTCTATTTCTGGTTTATGATCAATAGATAATTCCATTAGTTTTTTACCTTTTTCTAAACTTAATATAGCTCTACAATCTCCAACATTTGCAACATAACAATAATCTCCTACTACTAATGTTATTAAAGCACAAGATCCACTTCTTTCTTATTTTCCTTTATCATATTATTATAAAGCTTATTAAAGAAAATCTTTTTCAGCCATTTCAAAACCTTTCTTTATAGCTGCAACAGGATTCCATGGAAATTCTTTTTATTTAGTTACATATTAATGTAAATTATCTCTTAAGAAATCTGCACATGTTGAACCACCATGTCCATCATAAACACCAAAAAATGCACATTTAGGCCATGTTTCTTCTTACCTATGTTATGGTTTTATTATATTAAGTATTATAGATACTCTATCTTCATTATAATTTCTAATTATTCCTTAATTTGTGTTTGCTGCATAGGCTTTTATTAGACCATTATAATTTTAAGAACATTTAGTTGGTTCATAATTAGGTAGAATTACATTTCTACTTTTACTAAATTATTTCAAATCTACTAAACTATGATAATTGATTTCTTATTTTTTAATTCGATTCAATTTCTTTTGAGTAGGAGATGTTTCAAATGTTTATTATTTCATCTATGAAGTATTTTTATTCTATTTTTATATTGAATTAATATCTGAAATAATGTTGTTTAGAGATGAAAACTGATCCTTTGATCTCTAGTTCATAAAAATTTTAATTTGAATTTATAATTACTTATTCAACGTACATTATAAAATATAATATCATAATAAATATTAAAATTAATTTTATAATATTACAATCTCAAATTAAATATTTAGAAACAATCAAAGTTATCATCCGTTTTTATTATCTTAAATCAATATCTTCTTAAATTATTACTGTCAAAATAGACATTTAGAATTATATACTTCAATTAAATAAATCTTTAATATTAGTTTAATTTATACGATGAGTGAATATTATAAGATATTAACAAAAAATAATTTGAAATTGGTTTATTTACAATTAAACAAGTTTATTAAGAGATAAGAAGAAGTCTAAATTTATAAATAATTAAATTTCTAAATAATATCATTCACCTTATGATATTCAATTTATATTATTTTACAAATTATATGATTATAATCAAAACATTCCATCAAAGTTAAATTAATATTCATTTATTCAAAAGTGATCTCCATTACTTATAAATATTCTTGAAAAATGATACTTAATATTATTAGATATATTTATAAATTCCTTACAAACTATTAAATTATATCTTAAATTGCAATCCTATTCAATGCTTACCAAAATTATTCCTAAATTAGATACTTTAAAATTTCATAAATATTTATATATGTTGAAAGCTGTAACAAACTTTTATGAATATCTTCAAAATTAATTGGGAGCCATAAAATTTTAATTTAAAGTTATTAGTCAATCCTTAATTATAAATGATATATCTTAACCGCTTTATAATTCTTTGGTTCTTAAAAAATTATTTTTTGTTTAGAGTAAAGGTTTATTGTTATTTTATGATTATTCTCCCTTTAATTTAACTTTTAAATATGTAATTACTTATGTTTAGTTAAATTATTAAAATATTCTAAACCTCATTCATAAGCTTAATTAATGAGTCAAAAATAAAATATATCATCTACAGTTTCACTTATATGAAAGAATTCCATTATAACAGGATGCATTTAAAAAAGCAATTTATGATTTCTCTTAATTTCGTAATATAATCTCTCCTTAATAAATTCGCTAATAATTATAATAATAAAAAATATATTATTTATTTACACATTACTTTTGTATTCAATGAGATTTAATTTGTAATTTTTCTAAGATCATAAATTAAATTCGAAATTAGGCATTCGAATTCTATAATATTTTTACTCTATTAAATTTCTCTATTAATAGTTTAATGATGTAAAGTCTTTGAAAAAACNAGATATTAACAAAAAATAATTTGAAATTGGTTTATTTACAATTAAACAAGTTTATTAAGAGATAAGAAGAAGTCTAAATTTATAAATAATTAAATTTCTAAATAATATCATTCACCTTATGATATTCAATTTATATTATTTTACAAATTATATGATTATAATCAAAACATTCCATCAAAGTTAAATTAATATTCATTTATTCAAAAGTGATCTCCATTACTTATAAATATTCTTGAAAAATGATACTTAATATTATTAGATATATTTATAAATTCCTTACAAACTATTAAATTATATCTTAAATTGCAATCCTATTCAATGCTTACCAAAATTATTCCTAAATTAGATACTTTAAAATTTCATAAATATTTATATATGTTGAAAGCTGTAACAAACTTTTATGAATATCTTCAAAATTAATTGGGAGCCATAAAATTTTAATTTAAAGTTATTAGTCAATCCTTAATTATAAATGATATATCTTAACCGCTTTATAATTCTTTGGTTCTTAAAAAATTATTTTTTGTTTAGAGTAAAGGTTTATTGTTATTTTATGATTATTCTCCCTTTAATTTAACTTTTAAATATGTAATTACTTATGTTTAGTTAAATTATTAAAATATTCTAAACCTCATTCATAAGCTTAATTAATGAGTCAAAAATAAAATATATCATCTACAGTTTCACTTATATGAAAGAATTCCATTATAACAGGATGCATTTAAAAAAGCAATTTATGATTTCTCTTAATTTCGTAATATAATCTCTCCTTAATAAATTCGCTAATAATTATAATAATAAAAAATATATTATTTATTTACACATTACTTTTGTATTCAATGAGATTTAATTTGTAATTTTTCTAAGATCATAAATTAAATTCGAAATTAGGCATTCGAATTCTATAATATTTTTACTCTATTAAATTTCTCTATTAATAGTTTAATGATGTAAAGTCTTTGAAAAAACTTCTTCTATTTATAATTTTTATCATTCTTATTCTTCTATAATTTATAGCTTATAATTTCTTACCTTATTAAATATTCTTAACTAGCTAAATTTAGAAGTTAAAATAAAGTAATAATACTTCTAATGAATTTCTGACATTTTCTCAAAGTTTCTAAATATCAAAAATGATTTTCTTAATGAAAAATATTTCTAACTAAAATTTTTATTTCAATTTGATTTATATTGATTCGATGTTTTATTTAGAACTTAAAACTTCGAAAATATTGGACTTAGTATTTTAGTCTTAAAATTAGATATATAAGTGGTTGATGCCAATTATTAACAAAATTATCGTGTACTTTGGGATTTATTAATTAAAAAACTTTAATATAATAATTTATTTCAATTGCTATAAGAAGTACATGTAAAAGGTTGTTACTCTAAAGCAAGAAATCCATATCTATCACTATTTTCTACTCCCCAAGCGATGTTTCCAGCAATATTTAAAATGACAATGCCAAAATCAATGTAAAAGATTATATGCCCAAACTTATATTTCTTTAAAAAGTAATATCCTAAATTAGTAAATGTAAGTACTCCAATTATCTATTCAATTAATATAATTAAAAAAATACCCCCAATCCATAAAAAAAAAATTAATCTCCTATAGATATTATTGAATCTTATGTATTGCTAACAATAAGTTCTGTAAAAACCTATAAGCAAATTAAAAAATAGCAATAATTTGCAGTGGCTCCTGCAACAGCTGCTATCAAATTAAATTGAACCATTGTTATAACCATCATTAATCCTGCAGCCATACCAACAAATCCTGCAACAAAACCAGTTGCCCAACCTGCAGTATAAATTAAAAAGAATTTTTCAAATTTATTATAGTACCGTTCATGATTATAAAAATTTATTGTGTCTTTCAATAACTCTTTTTTTCTTTAAAAAAAATAAACCAATGTTGTAATTATCATATTAACAGCAATTAATAATAAAACTACATAAAAATTCCAAGGTTTACAAGGTCCTTTATCTTTATTATCATCATTGAAAGTACTACCATCAGGAAAGAAGTAAGGTGATAAATTTTAAGGGGAAGATCTCAATAATAAAATTAACTAATTAATACTTTGAAAAATTACTTCATTAATTGCAAAATTAAATAAAGTTATAAGAATAGGAGTTAACGGAAATCTTTAGCATTGTTCATCATAAAATATTTTATAAAGTTTGGCCTAATTATCACTATACTAATTTTATTCTTTCATTTCTGTAAGACTTAAAAGAGCTGATTAGTTTCTTAAATCGTGATTTGTCTCTTTACTCTTTTCAATAATATCCTATTTTTTTGCATAATATAGTAAAACTGGAGAAATCACAACAAAAAATAACACTTAAAAAGATAGTAATGGTAACAAAGGTAGAAAATTTGCTAATTCACTTCCCATGCACATACTAATAGGAATTCCTAAGGTATATATAAGACCAATTTCATAATTTATTATTGGTCTTTCATCTACATCAGGATGACTAAATTTATTCAGATCTTTACTTCTAGAAAAAAATGAAAATCATATTCACTAATTGAGCGCTAAACATTAGGCATGATGTAATATCTCCTGCTATATCTGAATCATAATTTAAGATTGCTTATAGAAAAGGTCTTTTGACTGTTCCTCCTTTAAATTATATTTACTAACAATTTACCTCCTAAAGCACCCAAACTTCCTATTCCTATTACTGGGATAATCAGTATATATATAATAATATTTAATGCATTTGGATCAAGTATTGATTTTCTACAACACCCTTTCAATTATACTCCAAAACTAGAATCCTTCTTTAAAATCAAAGGTAAACATTAACTCAATTATCCACATGAACTTGGACTACAAGCAACACCTCCATTAAACAGAGAATAGACTGAGTCTCCACATGTTGGCTTATTCATTCAATTAATTATAAATGTCTCTAATAACCATAGGTTAAGATTTTAAACAAAGCATTGTTCTTATTATTTAAAACGAATAAATGAAATTAATTTCAAGTAGTAAAGCAAAAAATTTCTCAATACAATCAATAGGATTTAATGTCACAGTATCTTAATATTATATAACGTGTTAAATAATTTTATAAAATATTACATATATATTATTTCGATTTTTATTATCTTTTATAAACTATACAGTAAAATCTTAGATTGCTTCTAAATATTTTATTTAATATCCAAAAATTCATTGATTTCAATATAATTAACTCATATTCTATCATTTATCCTTCTAATCTAATAAACTAAAATTATCATTTGCTACTTTATTCTCTTAAGGAAATTTTTGTTTTATAAACTTGATTTTTATAAAGAAAGGTTTTTTTTTAAAAATTAAGGTTGCATAAAATATCAAATCTTATAAAATATTAATTGATTTTTAAAAAAATTTCTTTTTTAAAGAGATTTGTTATTTATTTAGGGATGTAAATAAATATGGTATGTTGTATTTTAATAAATTTATATGAAGAATATTTCGAGATTTTAAAATTATTTTTAATATATAAAAAATAGATATATTTACTAATATAATAATGAAAAATAGAAATAAATATGATTAAAATTTAATTCTTATTTAGTAAATAAAAGATCTACATCCATTTATCTTTTGTTGATTTGATTAATTTATTGTTATAATTAAAATGAAATTTTTTAGTTAAAGTTTTGAAGATTAAGAAATGGAATATGAATATTAGAAAGAGATAACAAATGTATATAAAAATTATCAAAAAACTCAGAAATGGATTATTTTGCCATTGGTTGTATTCCAAATTTCATTAAAAATTATGAGGGCAGATTGGCTTTTACTCACTGTGTTAATATTATGTAGTATACTTTATGCTTTAAATCTAAAATGCACCTCATCATCAAATAGATATTTCAAAGACTTATTACTATTTCTTTCATTAGTGTTATATAACTTTTTCTTCAGTATTTTAAGAGAAGGAATTATAACTCTAAACTTATTCATTAGATGGCTACTTTCAAGCTTTAACAATTTTGGCGTATGAATTAATTTAAAATAAATAGTTTAATAAATACACTAAGCTATTCCAAGAAGCAATTAATCTTAGTGGTAATTTTCACATTTCAAATTACAATATTTAGAAATCCAAATATTTAATTGTGGGAATAATTAATTTTACATCTGTTTGAATTATGCATTTATATTCATTATTGTTATACTTTTGAGAGTTTTAGGAGATAAGTTTTTATTTAGGCAAATACTTAAAAAATTTTAGAAGATAATATCTAGACTTATAATGATATTGAGAGTTTCCTCATCAGTTATAATCCACCTATGAATAAGCTGATTCTAGTTTAAAAGAATAGGGAGCATCATATTACGGAGTAGATTTAGGATGAGTTTATTGATAAAATAAGAAACACAAAAGTCTCCTAGTATGATAACATAAAAAGATTTACTTAACTTGCTTCATAGGAGATCTTAGAAAATCAGGATAATATGACATTAGAGATGTTTTTGTTTTATGAATTTACAAATAGGAAAAAATAAATCATGCATTTAATTCATTAATCTGAACATAAAGATTCATATATGTTAAAGGGATTTTTATATCATGAAAGTTATACAATAAAAGTAGTGAAATTTTATTAAGAAAAACCATGTGCTTTAGTTTTGTTAATTGAAAATAAGAAAGATAATGTTATTGATTAACTTAATTTAAAGAATAAGATAACAATGAAGGCATTAGATTATATTAGTGATGTGTTTAGAGATTATGTAAAACCTAGTTTAATTTCCTTTTAATGGATTTATAATAACAAATAGAAAAATAAAAATATTGTATTCATTAATAAATTATTAAGAAAAGTAAATAGCAATTTATTGAAAAGCTATAATGATTTTTCAAATATACAGGATTACTTTAGTATAAACAAAGAATTTTAACGTTGTTTAATACAGAAATTTGACATAAAGGAATTTATTGAATCAATTTACTAGCATGTAGTAAGATTTTTCGGAGATGATAAAGGATTATTTTTTTCGATAGATTGCAAAATTTCAGATACATACGTGAGATAGGATTAAAGATAACTGAAACAATTATTTTTAAACTTATTTTTTTTTATTTTAGGTAAACAATCAGGATCAAAACATAATCATTCAAATTTTATCCATATAACTTTACAATAAGTGAAGGATGAATCCAATTAATAGATGTCAATAAAAATAAGGATTGATTATGAAGGTCATAATTTAAGTAAAGCTGCTCTAAATAATTTACCAATAATAAATCCTTAAACAATAGGAGAGTTGAGGCATAATAGTTAAAAGAGATTTGATTTGTTATTGCCAATATCATTGTTGATAATAAGGAAAATAGGACCTCATGATAAATTAACTCTAAATTAGAATGAGATGAATAGAAATTTTATGGAGTTTTAAATATTTAATTCCCTGGAAGAGAATTATCATTTGTTACCAATAATATCATTTTATCCAAAAGACAATATTCTAACAACATCGAGTTTGGCTAAAGTCTATTCTGAATACTTTGATCAGGTTCCGATTGTATAATTAAACTCTATTCAGGAATTCTGATTGTATATATTCTAATCAAATAGATAAAAAACGGATTATAAATATATTTATGTTAAAGCAATTGCTAGTGGCATGGCTGCTAGTCAGCGTGTCTTTACAGTTCAAGACGTCTGCAAGGACGTAGATAACACCTTTGGAATCAATTTTGTCTATTGATCCCTCTGGATGGACTTGTGAAAATCCAAGTTACAAAGAGTAATTGGGAGCATAGCATGATATTGATTAATGGATAGACATAGTAAAACATAGGGATGGATTTGATGGAGATTTGTAGGTTTTGGCTATGGTCAAAGCTTTAGTTGATAGAGTTTTGTTAACTGTCTAACATATTTAAGGAGAATCATTTATTTAAGTTAAGTAGTTGCATCATTAGATTTCAAAGCATTTCAAATCACTATCTTAAATTGAATCAACATCTTCATGGTATGATATAAATGATATTTTGGGATATTTGGAAGTTCTCAATAAAGCAAAAAGTATCAATTATTTTTATATTTATTAGGTGAAGAAGACAAATTGTAATTAGCTTAAACTATTGCTACTAAGATTTCAGAATTGATTTAATAAATAACAGAAATCTAATTGTAATTAAATACTATTCCTATTGATATTGATTAATTATATGATCTAGCCACTAGAGTTAATGAGAAAACATCTTAATGTAAAGATTATTGGGCAGATTAATTGGAAGCTGATGCTAAAGCTGAAGAAGAAGAAAGAAGAAAAGAATAAGAATAAGAAGAAGCCAGATTAAGAGCAGAAGAAGAAGCTAGAGCAGCAGCTGAGGCAGCAGCAGAAGAAGAAAGAAGAAAAGAAGAAGAAGCAAGAGAATTAGAAGAATTAAAAAATAGAGTTGATATCACTCCTGAAGAAGCTGAATTATTAGAATAAGAAGCTGAAAAAGAATTAGAATTAGCAGAAGAATTAGAATAAGAGGCAGAATAAGAATTAGATGCTGCTAAATAGGCAGAATAAGAAGCTGAGACAGAAGCTGAAAGAGATGCAAGAGAGGCATAAGAAGCAGCTGAAAGAGCAGCAGCATCTTAATAAGCCTTAGAGGATGCTTAAAATAGAGAAGAAGAAGCTTGTTTAGATGCAGATGAAGCTTAAAGAAGATTGAAGGAAGCTTTAGAAGCTGCTGAAGAAGCAAAAAAAAGAGCAGAAGAAGCATAAAGATTGGCTGATGAAGCTTAAAAAGCTAAAGAATGTGAACCAGTACCTGAACCAATATCAGAAGAGGTAGAAGAAGAAGAAGAAGAATTTACATGGGAATCAGAAGAAGAAGATGGATGTGGAGATGATGTATTAGAAGATTTAATTGATACATTAATTGATGCAGCAACAGGACCAAGTGCTTATCAACCAAGTTGTGGATATCCAGGATGTTAAGAATAACCTATTATTATTATTGTTGAAGATGATGAAGATGAACCTAAACCTTAACCTTAACCTTAACCATAACCAGAACCTTAACCTCAACCAGAAGAAGAACCAGTTGAAGAAGAACCAGTTCCAGATGATGAGGTTATTGAAGAACCAGAAGAAGAAACAGAAGAAGAGGTAGAAGTTGAACCAACACCTGATGATGATAAAATTGTTGAAGAAGAAGAAACTATTTATGAAGAAATTGTAGAAGAGATAGTAGAAGAAATTGTAGAAGAAATTTTTGAAGAAATAGATGATGATGATGATTTTGGAAGATTAGAATTTGATGACCCATTAGAATAAATTGTTTATACTTTAGATGAAAAAACTGATAGTGTTGTTACTTAAGAAACATCACCATGGTAAAAAGATGTAGAAGATGGACCTGATAGTAAAATTAAAAAATCAGTTGAATATAGTTATGGTTTGTGGACATACTTTAGATATAATGGAAAAGTTAAGATTTCTGAAAAGAAAGAAGTCTTAGCAGTTGGAGGAATTAGTGGAGATGATACAAATAGATTACTTACAACCATTGGAGAAGGATTCTATAATTTCTAAGTATTTGAAGGAGATGTTGTTACTGAATTATAATTAGATTATGGAAAGTATTTAGATGCTGAATGGATTTATGTTTATTTCGGATATAAAGAAGGTAAAGCTAATGGTTATATCTATTGGGGTAGAACTTAAGTGATTAAAACTGTTACTTTCACTGTTACTTAACCAGCTATTGTTAAAACTATTAGATTTTAATCAGGAATTTGGAGTGGATACAAAGGATTCAATGGAGTCATCACTAATGTTAGAGTTGTTTTGAATAAGAATTCATTTGTAGAGACAGAGGAAGAAATGAAGACACTCATTGAAACTAAATATACAGTACCAACAGATCCTGATTTGGAATATAAGGAGGAATAACATTATGACAAGGTTGAATATGATGGATTAGTGACAGAACCTAAATTCCATTGGGATTTGAATGGATATAGAGAATACTCAGTATCTACTTGGTTTAGATATGTCAGAAGAACTGAAAAAGCTCATTAAGTTATATTTAGATTCACATCAAATGAACCAGATTCAGGAGTTGTGGCACATGGAGAGAAGGTACTTTCTTTATGGTAGACTGAATAAAATGAATACGAATTTTCTACATATACAGTTGAAGAGAAAGACAAATTTAGTGACATTGTTGAAACAGTTACTATTGCTTAAGAATCCCAATAATTATGGACATATGCATACTTTGGATACAATAATGGAGATTTCTAATATTATATTGAATGGCCTGAAAGCAAAGCTGAAAAATAATTCAAAGGATGGCATGTTGTTGCTAAATATTGGGCATTGTATTTGGGATAAGGATTAAAGTATTTCTTCCATGGTAAGACAGCATATACAACAATCAGATTTGGAAAAGGAGCTTGGGGTCATGCTACTGATTTTGATGATTATAAGATTGGTAAGATTAAATTATGGCCAGGAGTTTAATTAAAGACATATGAAGCAAAATGGATGAATCACAAAACTGAATCTGAATATGACACATTACTTCATGATGAACCAGATTGGATTACGGATGGTGTTTATGAATATGGTTTCGGTATGTGGACTAAATTCTTCATTACAAATCCTTCTAGAATTTATGAAAAACCTGAACGTATATTAGTGGGAAGATTAGGATTCACAGATTAAGATGAGGCTGAATTTGCTGTATATATTGGAAAAGGAAACTATGAATTCTGGGCTAGTTCATCAAGACCTGTAAATTATGGAAAGAATTTAGATGGTTATTGGAATTACATTTATTTCAGTTATTCAAAATTGAAATAAATAGCAGTTGGTTATGTTAATTTCAATAAATTGAAGTAAGTATAAAGAACAGTTTTTGATCCATTTGATGCTGATCCTGCTAACAATTATGTACGTTTTTATGTTGGATAATGGAAATCATCAAGTGTTTATGGATTTAATGGAAGAATCGCTCATGCAGTTGTTAGATTTGGAAGAGGATCATTTATAAATGAAATTGATGAATATGAAACATGGATTGAATAATACAAGGTTCCAGTTGATGAAGAATTAGGAACTAAAGATTATGAAATTTAAGGTGCTGATAATAAGGATACTGAAAGTTATGAAACTTTTGTTTATGAAGATGGAGCAACAGAAACTCAATAATATTCAGTTTATGGATGGTTCAAATATTATGGTAGTTTAGATGATACTGAAGCTCAAACAGTTATTAGATTAACAAATAATGAAGTAGGATTTTTGAAAGATGCTGATTTGTTAGGAGATAGAACCTTATCAGTAGTTCAAAAAGGTGGAGATATGGAATTCGGAACATATGATATAGGTTTTATTGATAGTGAATTTACAGTGAATAGAAATACAAATATAGCATTAGGTGAATACAGAGGAATTTGGATGTATATTTGGGTAGGATATTCAAGATAAGATGAATATGCAGGTTGGTTCTTAGGTTTTCCAGATATTAGTAAAGGAGGTTTATTAAAGAAGGTATTGCATTTTTCACCAAAATATTTGGCAGTATATTTTGGAAAGGATGGAATAAATAAGAACTTTGTTGGTAAATCAAGACATGTTCATGCTTGTTATGGTAGTACATAATGTTGGCATTATGTTGATAAGGTAGAAGTAGAAGTAGATTTACCTGCATGGATTCCATATAAATTAAATAATTATTTTGAATTCTTTGTATAAAATGATGGTGATGCTTTAATTGTTGCAAAAGATGATTAACCAGCATTAGATGTAGAATTTACAGAAAGTAATTTCCCAGGATCTGATATTGAAGCAATATATGAATATGGTATAGGTTTATGGACAAGATGGTTGATGAATTATCCATTCATATTATTAGAGAAAGCTGAATCTCATTCTATTTTCAGATTTACAACAAATGCTTAATATGAAGATGCTTAAAAGAATGGAGATAGAACTGTATCAGCCTTTGTAGGAAGAGGAGAATATAAGTTTAGTACTTATGATGCTGTTCTTGATAAGAATGAAATCACAACAGGAACTAAATTTGATAAAGAATTAGAAGGATATTGGAATTTTGTTTATTTCTGTTATAAGAGAATGCCAACAGGACCAAAAGGTATTGGATATGTATATCTAACTCATCAAAATGTTGTAAAGAGAGTTGAAATTGATAGTGCTAAACATTGGTTATTAAGAGATTATGCTAGACTTGTTATAGGAAAGAAAGAATTTGGACATTCAGCATTCTAAGGTAAATTATTTGATCCAAGAGCATTTTTGGGTAAAAGCAGTTACATTGATTCAAGTGAAGATTTACTAAATGTTATTGTTCCTAAATTCAGACCTTATCCACCATATAAAGATAAATAAGATAATGAACCTGTGTAAGTTGAAAAAGCAAAGATGACTCAAAGAGTTTTCAAATCTTATGAAGAAAAATATAGTGGTGTCTTTGAATATAGTGTATATGGATTTGCCAAAGGTAATAAATTAAAGAATGTTACTGAATGGACTTCACTTGTAAGAGTCACTCAAAATACACCAGATATTTAAGCAGATAATGATAATGCAGGAGATAGAACTCTTTCTATCTTTATTGATAAAGGTGTCTGGTATTTCAGTACTTATGATTATGGAGATATTGAAACTATAGATGATGATTAAGGATCAAGTATATTTTATTATTTATATTTTAGTTGATAAGAAATTTGATATTGGTAAATATTGGGGCAAATGGACTTACTTCTACTTTGGATATTCATTCCATCTTAAATAGGCTTATGCATATATTCGTTAAATCGATTAAACATCTAATTCATACCTCTTTGAAGATGTCTATCATTTTGTACCCAATTATTTGAGTGTATTCTTCTCTGAAGATGGTTATGGCAAATAATTTGATGTATTCACATTTCTTATCTCTTTAGGGTGAAGCCTTTGATTGGTATTTGGGTATAGGAGATGGTGCATTCACTACAACTCCAGAACCTAGAGAATGGCCTGTTGATCCTGCACCTCCTCCAGATAGAATCCTATCTGCTCTACTTGCTAATTAAGGATTTAACTCAGGAAGAATTATCAAAGGAAGTACCACATTCTTACAAGTCGAAGGATCTGTCAATTTAATCTAGGAAAATGAAGAATGATATAAAAATCATAAATTATTATTATTATTTCTTAATAAATATAAGTAGTCATTATTTTCTTATTATTATCGAATTATTTGAATCTTATATGCATATATAATTCAAGAGAAATAAATTAAAAATGCACACTGATATATCCTCTGTAAACAATTAATATCCTTTAAATAAATAATAATCATTTATTTTTTTTGTACATTCCTTTATATTTATTGCTTTTCCATCACTTAAAATAGTCTTTACTAAATTTATAATGTTAAAAAATTCCTATTTACACACCACATTACCATTCAAAATACCAACACTATCTAAAATATATATTGACATCTTCAAATCTTCCTCTGAATAGATGAAATCTTCAAATTCTTCTCCCACCAGATTTAGAACTAAATCATTCTCTATTTCCACATTCTTTAGGTACTTACCTCCAATTATTTTTAAGTAGTATACAACTATTTCTGTAGTCAATTCTTAAAAGTGATCGACTACTTGAATTCTTTTAGAAAATTAAAGCTGCTTCCCTTCTTTTATTTCTTACTTCTACTCAAAAATTGTTTCCAAAAAACAAAGCATATAAAAATTTGAAGACTCAAATATTTCTATTTACTAAAATTACATACTTATTCTTTTCGCATATATCTTATTAAATTTTAAATCATTATGAACCTTTTGTTAGAATGTACCAAATACTTCAACATAAATACCAATTGAAATATCATGATGCCACCAAAACTCTATATTGCCAAAATTATCTGAAATAGTAATGCAATACTGTTAGGGTGTTACTTTGAAGCAATTTTAGACTTATCCAAAAACAATAACCAATTGATTCTATTCACTTAATTAATATGAAAACATCCGCTTAATATTAAAATTCATTATTATTAAATATAAAGTAACTCACATTATCAAGTATTTTTTGCATTAAAGATTCTCATATACTAAAATTTTCTTTGGATAGTACAAATTCTCTCTTAATTAATTGCAATTGCAAAAGCATTAACTTTTCATCTATTAAAGTAATAGTACTTTTTATTTAATATTATAAAGTATTTATTTTAACTAAAGCAACCTAAGTATTTCTGTTTTTTTGCTTTTAATGTCCCAATTTTATAAATATTTTAGGGTAAAATATAAACGAAATTCATTCATGCTTTTTTTTCAATGTTATAAAGAAGATTCAAAAAAAATAAATCTAATCGTTGCAATATTTAAATCTTAACAAATTAAAACCTTCTTTTTTGAATACTTATTTTATTTGCATTTAGAGGATTTCCTATGATAATCTCTTTACAAATTCTCTATTCTTAAGATCTTTATGATTTTAAACGATATATTTATTTAAAAAAGAATCTGGATCAAAATTTGTTTACTTGCATTTTTGCAAATATAAAAATTTATTATTTGGATCATGATGACTATAATAAAAGTATTTCTTCTTTATCCAAGTTTACTATTAACAACAATTATTTCTTCTTTATCCAAGTTTTAAATACCATCATACTTCAAAAAGAATATTCTATAAAATCATGATAAATCTCTGTATATTAGAAAACTTCTACAGAAAATATTTTATAACTATATTTCTTCAATTGCTAAATTATAATTGTTTTTAGTTTTCTTCTATTATATGTTAGAATATTCTTTTTAAAAATAGAGAATAATCTGATTAGAAAATTATATAAAAATAATTTTTACATAATAAAATAATTCAAACCATAAAGATACTATTGTTTTGAAATGAAATGAATACGTATAATACAAATTAAGCATTGAGATAAATTCTTATAGATTGTAATAATAAAATGAAAAAATATTATTCATAAATAAATATTGTTATGATAAATAAATAAAATCATGAGCAGGTATTCGTTATATTGACTATTTAAGTAAATCCTAATCTGTCATTTTATTCTATTCCCCATGCAATATTACCAGCCATATTTAAAACAACAATTCCAAAATCAATATAAAATAAGACATGCCCAATTTTATATTTGTTAATATAATAATAGCCTAGATTTGTGAAGACTAGAACACCTACGATCTATAAATTAATAAATAATAAAATTACTCCAATTCCATAAAAGAAGAATTAGTTTCCAACCCCCATATCTGAATCTCCTACCATTAATGATACAAAAACTTATAAACATACAATAAAATAACCAAAGTTAGCAGTTGCTCCTGCACATGCAGCAACTAAACCAAATTAAACCATTGTTACAAACATAGTTAAACCTGCAGCCATACCTAAAAATCCAGCAATAAATCCTGTTGCGCATCCAGCTCCATAAATTTTGAAAAATCTTCTAGTAGGAGTAAAATATCTTTCTTTCAATTTATATCTAACACTATCTTTAATTAATTCTTTTTTTCTAAATAATAATAAAACTGATCCTGTTATCAAAATGTTAACTGCAAATAATAATATCATCATATAGAAATTCCAAACATCACATGGATTTAATTATTTTGGTTATGGTAAATCATTAACATTAAAATAAGGTGATACTTAATAAAGTGTAGATCGTGAAAGTATAACTGCTTCGTTAACAGCAAAACTTCCAAATGTAATAAGAATTGGAATTAAAGGTAGAGTTTAATGGGATTCATCCAAAAATTATTTATATATTAAAGCAGCCTAAGCCTCATCTTAAATTGATCCTTTAAAATCTGTTGTCATAGATTAATGAGACTCTGTATAATCTTCATCTATTTCTTATTCTACAATTTCTTGTCTTTTTGCATATAATAAGCAAATTGGAAGAATGACAATAAAAAACATCATTTATAATGTTAAAACTGGTAATAGAGGCATATAACTCGCTAATTCTTATCCAAATTACATGGCAAGAGGTATAGCCAAAGCATATATCATTCCTACTTCATAATTTACTAGAGGACGTTACGGATGATAAGGATGTCTTAAATTCCATAATTTTAATACTTCTAGAATGTTATAATGATTTGATTAACTAATTAGGCTCCAAACATAAGACATGCAGTTATATTTCCTGAAGGACCTGAATTGTAATTTAGTGCTGCCTCTAAAAATGGCCTTTTGACAACGCCACCTAATGTATTATTTTTACAATCTCACCTCCTAAAGCTCCTAAGCTTCCAATTCCTATTATAGGGATTATGAGAATATAGACAATTATATTTGCTGCACTAGGATACAAATAGTCTTCTCTGCAACATCCCAATTTATTATTAATTGTTGTTTATACACATGAAGCAAATTATCCACAAAAATTGCTATTTGGTGTACAATCCAAAATTCCTTAATAAAGAGTGTAATGCCCTGATTAACATACTTATGAACTCATCGATTTCAAAATTAATTAATATAATCAGTCATTATAAACTTATTTATAATATAAACAAGATATATCACTTTATAATCTAATTTCTCATTCAATTAAGTATCTAAGTATCAAGAAATTTTACAAAAGGAACTAAATCATTAACATTCACACTTTTATGATTATTAATAAACATATTAAAAATTTAAATCACTCTCTATTTTCCTATTAATAACGATATTTACAAGAAATGTTTACAATATTTATTTTACTTATCTTAAAACGAAGCGTTTTTTTGTGTACTTATTTTACATGTAACAACACATTTTATTAAAGACAAACTCGATCCCAATCTAATACTTTGATTTATATAATGAAAAACTGCTTTCTTATTTTTATAAATTCTATAACAATCCTTTTAATGAAAATTTAATAGACTATATAATTATTGTTTTTCTAATCTTAAATTTTGAAATTCATCTTTATTTCTTACTGTTTACTTTCATATTACTTTACTCTATTTATTTTTCAAAAATATTTTAATTAAAATTATTTTATTATTCTATAATTCTATTATTCTATTCTGCTTTTTTTTGATAAACACACAATTCAATCTAATTGTTAATATTTTCATTCCTCCTAAAAGATATTGTTATGTGTTCTATCTATTTTAAATTTATAATCCAAAAGATTAATATTTTAACCAAATATATCTTCCATTATTTTCTTAAAATTAAAAATAAAAATATTTATTTTTCTAATTTTTTACAAAAATTTTACGCTATATAATTTGACTTATTTTACGTTATTTTCCAACGTATGAATGAAATTTGATAAAACTACTTAGGTATCCAATTTTATAAAGTATATTGAATATCAAGTTTGTACTTTTTGTTGTATTTCGTCAATTTAATTTATTTCATCATCTTTCAAAAACTAAAGAACTAAATTAGTTTATTTAATAGATTCCTTAGAAATATCTTCGACAGCATTATCTATATAAAAAATACAATCAATTATTTATGAAAGCTATATCATAAAAACAATTTTAAAATTTTTGGTATATTATAGTTACAACTTAAAATATTTTTGAAAATTAATAAATTCATCAAATTATCAACTTTTTAAAATCTTTATATTAATATATTCTAGTTCTTTTTTTATAGCATAATTATAATTTCTTTATTGAAGTGATTAACTTTACTATTACTGAGGATTTATCATTAAAATCAAGTATCATTTTTAACATTAACATTATTTAATTTTTTTTTCTATCTTTTGTTAAAAACAATCTTGATAATTTATTTTCTTTTCAAGTATAAATTTGATTTTTTACGCTAATTTTGTTCAATATTAAATTAAGTAACTTCTTAAATAAATGTTTNTACTTATTTTACATGTAACAACACATTTTATTAAAGACAAACTCGATCCCAATCTAATACTTTGATTTATATAATGAAAAACTGCTTTCTTATTTTTATAAATTCTATAACAATCCTTTTAATGAAAATTTAATAGACTATATAATTATTGTTTTTCTAATCTTAAATTTTGAAATTCATCTTTATTTCTTACTGTTTACTTTCATATTACTTTACTCTATTTATTTTTCAAAAATATTTTAATTAAAATTATTTTATTATTCTATAATTCTATTATTCTATTCTGCTTTTTTTTGATAAACACACAATTCAATCTAATTGTTAATATTTTCATTCCTCCTAAAAGATATTGTTATGTGTTCTATCTATTTTAAATTTATAATCCAAAAGATTAATATTTTAACCAAATATATCTTCCATTATTTTCTTAAAATTAAAAATAAAAATATTTATTTTTCTAATTTTTTACAAAAATTTTACGCTATATAATTTGACTTATTTTACGTTATTTTCCAACGTATGAATGAAATTTGATAAAACTACTTAGGTATCCAATTTTATAAAGTATATTGAATATCAAGTTTGTACTTTTTGTTGTATTTCGTCAATTTAATTTATTTCATCATCTTTCAAAAACTAAAGAACTAAATTAGTTTATTTAATAGATTCCTTAGAAATATCTTCGACAGCATTATCTATATAAAAAATACAATCAATTATTTATGAAAGCTATATCATAAAAACAATTTTAAAATTTTTGGTATATTATAGTTACAACTTAAAATATTTTTGAAAATTAATAAATTCATCAAATTATCAACTTTTTAAAATCTTTATATTAATATATTCTAGTTCTTTTTTTATAGCATAATTATAATTTCTTTATTGAAGTGATTAACTTTACTATTACTGAGGATTTATCATTAAAATCAAGTATCATTTTTAACATTAACATTATTTAATTTTTTTTTCTATCTTTTGTTAAAAACAATCTTGATAATTTATTTTCTTTTCAAGTATAAATTTGATTTTTTACGCTAATTTTGTTCAATATTAAATTAAGTAACTTCTTAAATAAATGTTTGATTTGATTGTTTGTCTATTTCTATTATTTTAATTTCGATAATTATTATAATTAAAACAGAAACTTGATTTAAAGTGTAAAATAATTCTTAATCTTGATATAAAATAAATATAATAATTACAATAAAGAGGATTTTGATGTATTATATACTAAATTAATGAATTAGATATATTATAGATATGTTTTATTTGTAATTGAGAAATATAAATGTTCTTAGAATGATAATTAAATATTTAAATATTTAATATATAGAAAAAAATCATAAATGATCAAAGAATATGATTATTTGTTCAAATTAGTCATAATTGGTAATTCTGGTGTAGGAAAGAGTTCTTTATTATTGAGATTTGCTGATGATTAATTTAGTGAGTCTTACTTAACAACAATTGGAGTAGATTTTAGATTTAGAACTTTGCCTATTGATGGCAAAAATGTAAAATTATAAATATGGGATACTGCAGGATAAGAGAGATTTAGAACAATAACAAGTGCATATTACAAGGTTATATATCAATTATTATAACAAGGGGGCAGATGGAATAGTTATGGTATATGATGTCACTTAAGGATAATCATTTGATGATATTGATAAATTTTGGTTACATGAAGTTGAATCATATGGAGAAAAGAATGTTTAATTATTAGTAATAGGAAATAAAAATGATTTGGATGAACAAAAATAGTAAGTTTTGTGTATTATAATTTTTAAGAGTGGAAAGTTCAAAAGCATAAGAGTATTGTAAATCACATAATATGCTATTTATGGAATGTAGTGCAAAGACAGCAGATCATGTAAATAATGCATTTCTTGAACTCTCGAGAAAGTTGATGGCAAAGAAAGATGCTTCTCAACCATCTAAATCTTCCAATTCTACACCAAGTGGTTCTCAATCATCTTAAGCTAAATAAGGAGGGTATTTTAATTTTCAATTTTTATTTATTTAGATCATACAATACAAATCCATCATAGACCAAACTTAGTGCTAATACATCAAATTAGAAAAAATAAAAAGATGGAGGATGCTGTTGATTATTCTAATCATAATATAACATTTATTCATTTTCTAAATTTCTATTATTTTCTGATTTTCTATTTTTTAAAATCAATTCAAAGATTATAAATCAATATTTCAATCTCTATTATTAATCTATTTTTCAATTCACATAAAATCAAAACATTTTTATATTCCTTTCTCCAATTTTATTTTTATTTTTAAATCTTAAATTACTTATTCTACTTATTTATTAATAAAAAAATAAATTTAATTATTTTCTTTTAGGAACATGGTTTAATTTCAATTCCTCTATATATTAATAATTTCTAATTCAAAATATTAATCAATTATTTTTATTTTCATTTTTTAATATTATATGAACCCTTTTATTCTAAACAAATTCAGATAGCCAAAAAATTATATGATTTTTTGTGATTATTGAAATATTAATTTTTTCTTCCATTAGTTTACTTTAAGAATTTCAAAATATATTGCTAAATCTCATTCAAAAAAATAAATAATAATATTATTTTAAGATTCCTTCAAATCTTTTAAAATAAGAATTAGGTATATTTTTATTTAATCATTAATACTAAAAAATGTGATCTTCTTTTTTATTTATTTTTTTTCAATCTATAAATATTAGTCTAAATCAATTTTAAAGAAAAAAACTTTCCTATTTTAAAGATTTATATATTAATTATTCCCCTTCTAAATTATATCTTTCTTGATTTCATTACAATAGAGAGATATAATATTGTATTACAAACTAATTCTTATTAAATTCACAAACTAAAACATACTAAGTTCTTCTAAATAAATTAATAAAATTCCTATAAAGTGGAATTGATATATAAATCAGTAATGATGTTAAAATCAAATCTTAAAAATTTCTTTGAAGATTTTGTATTTAGTGTTATTGATCAATATGAATTCACATATTGTAAAATTAATAAACTTTTAATATTAATTTTTATAAAAAATGTTGAAATCTTAAGTTTTAGGTAATAAAATTGTTTGTTCAAATGAAACTCATAAAAAATAAAATTTGCAAATAATAGGTTTATGCTTAAATGATGATTGTAACTCTAAAAAAACACTTTGCACTTAATGTTTTAATGAACATGATAAAAATCATAAAATTATTGAATTATCTGATTTGACTTGTTAATTAGAGGAATAATAAGAATTTTAGAAATAATAAAGATCAGAAACATATCAACTTTTAAGTTAGCAATAAAATATTTGTTTTGTGTTAATTCAAGAAAAACTCTAATAAATGTAAAGTGAAGCTAATCAGGCTAAATAATTAAGTGAATAAAAAATAGAAGCTGAAGCAAAATATCATTTTGTAAATAATTTTAGAAATGAAGAAGAATTAGAATAATTGACTAAAGATTTAAAAAATAAGGTAAATAATGATCACTTTAATCCTAGAGTAATTAAGTATTTTTTTTATTTTATTTTAGATTATTAAATCAAAAGAACTCTTTATATGGATATGAAAGATATATTAGAAAATTATTATTTGATACAAGTTTGTTTGTGAATAATACTTAGTGTATTGAAGAATGTGAATATTTGATGGATAATTAGTTAATGAGTTTAAGAAATCTTATACAATATATTAATTAAATTAGATAAGAAATAATAGTGGGATTCTAAAATGAAGAATAAAATCTTCAATATATTCAATCCAGAATAGAGAAATAAGATCAAAATTTTTCACTTTATTAATCATTAAAATCAACTTATAAACCTTAATAGTTGAGTGATGAATAGATTTAATAAATGAGCAATTCATTGAAATTTCCAATAGGTTAAATATTGTAATATTATCCTACAGAAGCATTGACAGTAAATTAATTTCAAATGATTTTTGATAATCCTTTTTCAAAAGTAATAACAAAATAGAATTTAGTTCATTTGAAATAATTATCAAATGATAAATCTCTAATATGTATAGGAGCAATCAAATAATAAGATCCAAATCTTCTTATTCTCTGTTCAATTGATTATGCAAGTGAAATATTATAAAATACTTCAAACTTTAAAGTAGCTAGAAAAAGTAAAGCAGGATCTGTTTATTGGTATTATAAATATGGAGTATTTTGTGGAGTTATTGGATTTTCTCCATCCTAAGAAATTGATTTAGGTAATACTATCAATATTCATTATGATACTCATATTTTTGAAGGCGATCTTCGTTTTAGTTTGTAAGTTGATTATAAATCAAATTGTAGAGTGGGAAAGGAAATTATTGATAATCAAAATTATAGATGGTAAATTTATTTAAAATAATGAATAAATATAATTTTCATTAATCTTCACTTATTAATTCATACCATATTAATGATTTTTCATTTTAGGCTAATAAATTAGTAAAATCATTTGTAATTATTGTATTTTACTCATCTAATTCTTATTCAAATATCTATTATAATCTTGCATCTTCTTAAACTTACCAAACTTTTAATTTATTTTTTTGACTTTAAAATAACAAAGAACCATCATCATTTGCTTACAAAATACTAATTTCTTAATTGATCAATTTATTTTCAGGATCCCATTCTGTTGAAATTAATTAAAATAATCCTTTTTTATTCCTTTACCAAGTTTAAATTTAAGCCTTTTAATTTAAGGTTATTAGCATTGAATATATTTGATTCCATATTATTGTAGTAAAATTATAATGTATTTATTAAAATATTATCCAACTCTAATTTTCCTTAATTAAAATTGTTAACTTTTATAGTGATTAACAAATTAATTTATTTCCATTCTCAATAAATATTAAATCATGTACTCTTTCTGGTAACATATTAAAAGAACAATAAAATTCCCAATTTTTATCATTCAATCCCCAAAAATTAATTTTCTAATCTTAAGTACTAACAACAAATTCATTAACAATATTAAATACAATTGAATCTAAATTTGAATGACAATTTATCTATTTATAAATTTTAGTTTACAATTAATAAATTTAAACTTTTGTATTATTTCCCCAAGCATAAAATTGACCACTTGGACTTATACAAAATGATTCTGCTGCTATAGTATTCTTTAATGATTCAAATTATCCAAATAAACTATATTAGCTAGGTTTAATTATTGTAATTTAATTATTTAATTCTTATCCAGAATTAACAGCAATAATTTATTAGTTTTTAATATCTTAATAAATTCTCTTTATACTTTATTTTGAATTTTTAATACTTATTTCATGCTGTTTTACAAATTACATAGTTTTCATCTTAATAAGATCAACCTATTTTTTTAAAACATTGTATTCATTTTTTTAATTCTTCTGATCATCCTAAGTTAAAGAGTAAATACAATTCAAAGTAGTTTCACCTTTCATTAATAATCTATAAAATTCTTAAGTTAATGCTGCTGTTACTCCTATTTTAATATTAACACAATCTAACTCTTATGCTTTTAATATCTCATATGCCAATTAATTGATATTTTGATTTTCAATATTTTCTAAAATAATCTTAATTTTTTAATTTATTTAATTTTGTTATTCACAATTCTTTTCTAAATTTTGAATCACTCTATCACAATAAAGTTCAATTGATTTTATTATATCTTCTCTATAATTATTTATCTTCTACTTTTATTATTGTTTAAATTCATCTGAAATTGTTTATGACAAAATTTGTTTTAATAGTGTTACTATTTCAGCATTACTTAATGGTTCATTATCTTAATTGCATTCCTTTAATTCACAACAAATATAACAATTTCCATTTCTATATTCAAATTATTAGTATCTTAAACAATGAGTTTTACAATAAGAATTTCTTCCATTATCATCTATTTAGATGAATGATAAAGGTTTTTATGATAGATTTAATTTTTTTTTCATTAATATTTTACTTCAAAATCTTTTAAAAGAATTTTCTAAATAGCTTTAAATAGTTCATTTTATTTTGTAAAATGTCTTTTGATAAATTGTTATGATTAATAATTAACAAGAGTAATTATTATTATAAAATATAGCTATTTTCATTAAATATTATTTATTAACAAGATGAATTTAATTACTCTAAATTTCAAAGTTTCATAAATGAAAAAATAGTTTAGAGAATCAAAACAAAAATTACTTACAAATATCCTTATATATTTTAAGTGTGAATCTTTGGCCTTATTAATTTTGTTTCGATTTTACATTGTTTGATTTCTTAAAATCGAATAATTTCATTTATCAATCTTGGAACTTTAGTTCTTATTCTGATATCTATTAAGTTAAATATGTAAATAATACAATCATTAACTTTTAAATGTGATATATAATGCCAATCTATATTTGGATATTCGTATTCTAAAGCAAAGTAACCATTAATTATGGGAATATATAAGATAATTGACAACTTATACACAAATTGATATTTAAAACAAGTTTATTAAACCTAATGAATTTTATTTAAAGAAAAATTTTTTTATTAATAACCGTAACTTACTATCTAATATTTAGGATTCGACATACAGATATCAATATTGAAATATATTTAAAATATTTATTATATGTTGTTTTATACATTTAATTTATGTACCAGTTTGAAAGGCTATTGAGAATTCATTTTTTAGAATAATAGAAAATGTTGATAATTTTTAATTAAAATAACAAAATTCAAAGATGTAAAGAGTTATTAAATTAAATAAGATGAAAGAAAATTATTAATTTGGTTGAAAAAAATAACAATAAAAGAATCTTTAAAGAGAATCATAAAGAATTTCTCAAAATGATTAATAATATGTAATTTTCTATCCAAAATTATAAATCAAGAGTTAATAAAATTATATAGGTTGATAATTACTTTCCTCAAAAAAGCAATCTCTCAAATAATTACTATTAAATTATACCCAAAATTAAGAAAGTAGCGATATAATTAACAAAACATTTTAGAATAATTTATACTCCTTTTAGATAATAGATTCATTTATATGGATTCTATTACCAATAAATTTTTGCTTTAAGTATATTTTAAAGTTTCGACATATAACCTATTATTATTCTTTTGGTAGTTGAGAAACACAAGATAAAGAAATAAAAATTAAGAAAGAAAAACTATTCAAAATAACTTATTTTTATTTAATAAATGTTTGATTGATAAATAAAAAATCTATTATTTATTTTAGATGGATTTACAATTTTGCAGATAAACAAACAGATGGAAAACAAATAAACTAAATAATAAAATTGATTAACAATAATTTTATTAGAAGTTACACAAACTTTGTAAATTTTGAAATATTTACATAAAAAAGAATGTTATCTCCTAGAATAAGATAAATTTAATCTAATTTTTATTTATTCAGGATGTGATTTCTTTTTATGATGGATATTTCAAATAAATCTTAAAATTCTATTTAATAATTCAAAATAGTTAATAATTTAAGAACTATCAATATTACATCAGATTTCAATATAAGAAATTATTATTATTCAATCTTATTCATAATCCAAGTGATAAATAATAAACAATAACTATTATTTTAGATGAAATGTAAACTGAATTTTCATAAACTCCCATAATTAGTATAAAATTATTGTTTGAAGCTCCAAATTTAACAAAGATTCAATTATAAGAATTAGCAATTTTGTGTCTATAATTTTTAGAAGAATTAAATCATAATAGTATAGTTCTTTTAGATTTTGATCTTGCAGTTACTTTTGATAATGGTAATAAAATTAGGGCTTTTTGTAAAAATTGTTCATTTAAAACGAAAACTAAATTATTGAAGAATTTTTTCTATTCCAAAAGGTCAGAGAAGGCTTTTTATTGATTCAAATAGCGTCTATGAAACGATTGGAGAAAATAAAAGTTTAAGATTATTCATTAATTGGAAACTATTTTTCAACTTAAATTCAATTAGATTTTGTAAGAGAGAGCTTTCACTTTCTTATTAAAGTATTTGAGTTCCTATTAAAAATAATGAAATATATTTAGAGATAAAATAATAATTACATATGTTATTATAAATTTGAATGTTGAGAGAGAAAAAAAAAAAGTAAATTATAACTTATTGTTTAAGTATAACTTAAGCAAATAAAAAGTTTAAAAGAGTATATATATAAAATTATGATCTAAAATAATAATAATAAAGTTATACTTAATTTAAATTTGTTCGTTTAAGCAAGACTAAAATGATAAATTAGTTTATTTTTTTTGCAAATATATAAATAAAGAAGATTAAATGAGTGAGGATTGGAAGAAAAAAAAAATAGATAATTTCGTCATTCTTAATAAAATATTAGGAAAGGGTGCTTATGGGACAGTGTATTTAGGATATATGGACATAGGATAGAGTTAAGTAAGAATTGCAGTAAAAACGGTACCAATGGATGTATGAACATTAGTAAATTTATAGTCTGTGAAATAATCTCCATAAATCTTAAATTTGATTAAAAGAGAGTCAACTATTTTAAAATCTGTTGAGCATCCAAACATTGTTAGGTTATACAATGCAAATAGAACTTAAAATTACATATATATCTTTTTAGAATTTTGTTCTGATGGAGATTTGAGAAAATTCATGTTGAGCAAAAAGGAAAAGCATTTATCTGAAGTTATTTTTGATTAAATTAGTAGCTAGAAGCAATAATATTTCTAAAACATATAGTTGAAGGATTTAAAGAATTGTTTTCTAAGAAAATAATTCATAGAGATATAAAACCTGAGAATATTTTATTATCAAATGGTATAGCTAAGATTGCTGATTTTGGATTTGCTAGAGTAATGGATGTAGAAATGGATGGTATAATTAGTTTATATTAATTTTATTAGAGCCTGGTAAATTTTCAAGAAATGGGACTCCAATATATATGTCTCCATAAATATTGAGAGGTTAACCATTTTCTGCTAAATGTGATGTATGGTCATTAGGAATTTTATTTTATGAAATGCTTTATGGTAAGACTCCATGGTAGGCAGAGAGTTAAATTTAATTAGAACAATTAATATTAAATAAACCACTAAAGTTTCCAACTAAACCTGTTAGAAGCTAAAAAGTTAAAGAATTAGTTGCCATGATGCTTTAAATTGAAGAAAAAGTAAATTAATTTATTATTTGTAGGATAGATTAAGTTGGTAACATATTTTTGAAAATTAAGTTATTAAAATGAATGAAGATACAGTTAGATAAAATATGAATGAAATAATGAAAGAAGATCCTATGACTAAATCAATGAGTTTAAACAAGATTTATTTAGATTAATATAAAGTAGTAGGATATTTACATACTAAAATTGAGGATTATAGAGAGGATAGTAAAAATGATTTAGATGGTTTAAAATAAATGTTTGATGAAGAAAATGTAATCTTTCATTTATTGATATTTATAGCCTGATTTGATCTTATCTTAATATTAAAAGGAAATGAAGAGAAGAGAATCATTTTAAAAATTCTACACTTATTATTTATATGAAAGAAATGTTGCTTTTTTTATTAATTATACTCAATTGAGAATTATTAAATTATAGACATTTGGAGATATAAACCTTAAAAAAGATGAGTTTTTATAATTGATTTTCATGTTAGCTAGAAATTAATTGTTACATTTGGATAAAATTAATTTGGCATTGAATTCTAATAAACATGATTAATTTGATTAGGAATTATGGGGTCGATTTATTGTTAGTAAAGTAAAATACTTTATTTTATTAATTTTTAAAGGATTGTTAAAGGTTATTAACTACTATCAAAAATGACATAAATGTAATTAGGGATGTTTTCATATAAGTCAGAGAAAAATGTCCTTAGTATTAATAATTTTTTGAAAAAATAGATTAAATAAAAGAATTCTTGGGATAATATAAATTTATTATTTCAAAAACTATAGATTTTTTGAAGCCATAATCTAATAATCCTGGAAAGGATGTTCTAACTGGAGTCTATTATTTAAAAATATGTCTTAATCCTTATGAATTCTTCAAATCAGTTGATTTCGATTTCAATTCATTTTATGAAGAAATAGAAAATGCACCAGAGGAAGAATTAAAAATTAAAATCTGAGTTCCTTTTTTGTTTTCAAAACATTTATTTATCATTCTTATTAGCTAGTATAAATGTATATTTAATTAATTATTGCATATGGGATCAACTTAAAGTTGCTTTAAGTAATAAAATCTCAATTAAGACGAATTTTCTATTCCACATATTGTTAAATAGAAACTTATTTAACAACATCCAACAAAACAAAATTATCTCATTCAACCATTATATCATTTAGGTGAAAAATCAGAGTCTTTAGAAGAACTTGAATTAATACTTTAGTTGTCTAATGCAAATATAAGCCTAAATTAAACAGCCACATTTCCTAATAACAGTAACTAAGGATATTCATAATAAGATAAATAATCTATTTCTTTATCTTTACTGTCTTCTCAGTAAGAATGCCAATAAAAAATTAACAAAGATAATTAAATTCAAACCCGATAACAAACTAAATATCAAACAAGATATCAAACCCGTAATCAACATCGATATCAACCTCGATATCAAAAATTAAAAACACAATAACTAAAATAAGAAGGTTAAAAGGAAGAAAAAATAACTTCTTAATTATATTAAAGAAAAAAAATCAGCAGAAGTTTAAGTAATTTTCAACTATAAAAATATGAATAGTAGAATCAAGTGAATAAATAAATAGATTCAGATTGTAATCCTATTAAAAGTATTTTAAAGAATAAATCATTAATCGAAAACCAAAAATATATTTTATATAAAAGAAGATAAAGTTTAAAATAAAAATCAAATTTAATATAAATCAATGATTAAGAGTCATAAAAAACAAGTTAAAAATAAATGAAAAAGGTATAATTTGATCCAATAGTTTTTCGATAAAAAAGTTTTTAATGAATACTCCCTAAAGCCTCTTTTAATATATTCATAATTTAATATAATTATTAAAAATATTTTTAAATAATAATTAATTATATTATAATTTAATAATTATTTTACATTAGTTTAATCTTCCCTACAATAATTATAACATTACAGATTCAAAATTGGGTGATGTAATTAAAGTTCCCAATCATTCATATGGCAATTAACAAAATATATTCATTCTTTCTTCGTCTTGATACGTTAATAATAAAAATCTTATATTTGATGAAGTTACATAACCAAATACTTCATAGTTTTGCTTTTTATCTATTTCTTAAATAAATCTTATTATTATTATACTATACAAGATGATTTGCATTTTTCATCAAATTTATCTAATGATGCATGTAAAAAGAATTATGTGTTTAATATCTATTAACTACCAAGAGTAATTTCTTTTAATGAAAATCTTTTCTGATCAATCAGATGATCATCCTAAGTTAAAATTAAGATTATTTTATAGCTTTATAATTATATGTATTTACAATAAATGGTATTTACAATAAATGATTGCCCTAAAAATAATTATCATATAATATGAACTCTTTTATTAAATAAATAATTTGATAAACTCTAAGTATTTAATTTAAAAACAATTTTGATTATCATAATTAAGATGTTTTACAATATATTAGTATAAATAATATTAAGAGTAAAAAAAGAATTATTATTAATTTAATCCTATTTTTCTTATAAAATGTGATAAGTTTAATATAACTTTTTGAGATAAAAGAACTAAAAATAATTTAGTAAATATTTGATTATCTCAAGATATTCTTCAAAATTAGAGTGTGTAGAAGGATTAATTTTGGATGTACAAAAAATGAATGAGATTAATTTAATAAATTATTAAAAATATAAATTATGAATTATTTATCACTTTCCTTTTCAGATAAATAAATAGAAAGTCGATATTAAAATCGAAAGAAAGAACTGTCATAGTAGTTATTAAAACTTTAGTAAGGATTAGTTATATTGATACTTCTGTATGTGATGATATCAAGTGCATATAAATAAAGTTGGATTTCACTTTGTATTTGTGGAATAGGTTTGATACTACTTATAATCAGTGTGAAACTAAATATTGATGGATAGGAGCAATGTTATCTCAATAACACTATTATAATCTTTATGACAATATTTAATTATTATAAATCATTACAAAAAATATTGAGTGTAACATTTTAATAAATAAGTTACATAGATGGATATATGTTAGCATTGGCAACAACATCATGTATTTTCCATATTATTATAGAGTGCTGAATTAGGCAACTTTTATGTAAAAATGTTTCATCCATATTTCGATTTACATTTTATTACAAATCTTTTAGCCAAATTTAAAAGAAGAAATATGGGAATAAATGATTATATTTTTGGTTTATTTAACACTTCATCTCATTTATCTTTATAAAACTGAATAAATATCTAGATAAGAATATATGTAATTGATAAAACATTAAAATGCCGAGAAATAATTGATAAATTAAAGTGGAATAACCTTATATATAGTTAGTTATAAAAGAGAAAAAAATTAAATGTTTCTAAGCAAATATAATGATTAAGACAATGTCACAATTAAGTAATAGTCTTAATTTATTTCTTAAATAAGAAATATGAAAGTTCTTATAAAGGATTAAGAATCTCAAACACATTTTAAATCTTAAGGAGAGATATATTAAGATGCTAAGATGAGTTTGGAGAAGTTTTTGTTCTATTTTCTTATTAATCCTGAAAAGCTTAAGGATTATATGAATAGATTCTAAATTGATTCTTTGATTAAATTGTAAGGAGTATAAAACTAAGAAAATTATAATATATCAATATTCAAGTATTTTGGAGAAGTGCCAAGTGCCATTATTTTAATATCTTAAAATAAAAAGGATGTTTTTATTGAAGAACTTAAATTGAGATATAAAATATTTCAATAAGCTTTGGAAACAATTAATGAAATATTTCAATCCTAAGTTAAAATGAGTTTGATCTACTTCAAAGGCTTAGACAAATATCAAAAAGTTAAATATAATAAAATAGATTTACGAATGTATAAGAAGGTACAAAGTAAAATCTCAAAGGCATATAATGATTTTTAGAATATAAAAGATTTTTTTAATCTTAATTCTTCTTTCTAAAGATCTATTATTCAAAAATTTAATTTCATTCAATTCTTAGAAGAAATTTTGAGTGAAATAAAGTCTTATTTTTATTAGAGTAAGAAGTTCAATTATTCTATAATCAATAAACTTAGAAAGGATATTGTTTTTTAGGATTAAAAACAACTGAAATAATTATTTCTCAATCTTCTATATTATTTAACTGAATACAGTTAAGAAATTGAAATTATATTGGAACAAGCAGAAGTAAATTCTATAAAGAAATAATATTTTCGCATTAAAATTTAATTTCAAGGATCAAGTTTCAGCAAAGATGCAATAAAAGGACTTCCATTCATAAATCCAATTACTCTATCTGAATTGAGACATAATGCTGAATAAGTATATTAGCTAAATCTACCAATGGCAATTCTTATTGTGAGAAAATTAGGACCAACAAATTAAATTTATATAAAATAAAATACGAATGGTTACAGCAGCATTGAATTTTTCATTTTCAGAGAACTTTCAGAAGATTTCCATCTCATGCCTATATAATCTCAACATCCTAGTAATTATCTTTTATTGAATGCAAAATCATCAATACATTCCAAACATGCAGCTTATTTCGATTTGCTTTCTTTGAGCCCAAGAATTTAATTGGATAATTTTAGTGAATTATGATATTCTTAAAATTTTGAATTATTTATAAAATTTTTATTAAAAATCTGATTTTAATAAGTTTGTAATTTATATTGAGATCATTATATTATCTAATTTTAAACATTAAGGATTCTCTATGTTAAACTAAAGAATTAATACCATTTTTACAAAAAAGTTTATCTTAAATAAATTTGAATCGTCATATTAAAATACATCTGATAATTATTTTAAGTTAGAGTATACAAAAGATTATGATTTATTCGAATATTTTTATTATATTTTCATATATTTTTTGAGTTTAGTATGATATATTCATGAATTGATTTAATCAGTACTTTGATTTTAAGAAAATAGAAAATTTAAGAATAATAATAATTTATATCAAATATTAATATGAATAAATTTAGTTTTAGAGATATTGATTAATAGATAATTATTTCTTGGAAGTACTAATTTTTAACATAAAATATTTTATAAATTTCAACTGCTCAAAACTTATTTATAAAGAAAATAAAATTCTAGATTAGAGCCACTTTAAAATTATTTAAACTACTTTAAATTTCTTTTAGCATATAAGTTTATCCTTGATAGTATAGAATAAAAAAATGTCAATTTTTTCCTTATTAAAAAGTTTTAAATATTAAGAAATACATTATTTATAGAAATGCATTGTATTAAATAAATANAGCAGAAGTAAATTCTATAAAGAAATAATATTTTCGCATTAAAATTTAATTTCAAGGATCAAGTTTCAGCAAAGATGCAATAAAAGGACTTCCATTCATAAATCCAATTACTCTATCTGAATTGAGACATAATGCTGAATAAGTATATTAGCTAAATCTACCAATGGCAATTCTTATTGTGAGAAAATTAGGACCAACAAATTAAATTTATATAAAATAAAATACGAATGGTTACAGCAGCATTGAATTTTTCATTTTCAGAGAACTTTCAGAAGATTTCCATCTCATGCCTATATAATCTCAACATCCTAGTAATTATCTTTTATTGAATGCAAAATCATCAATACATTCCAAACATGCAGCTTATTTCGATTTGCTTTCTTTGAGCCCAAGAATTTAATTGGATAATTTTAGTGAATTATGATATTCTTAAAATTTTGAATTATTTATAAAATTTTTATTAAAAATCTGATTTTAATAAGTTTGTAATTTATATTGAGATCATTATATTATCTAATTTTAAACATTAAGGATTCTCTATGTTAAACTAAAGAATTAATACCATTTTTACAAAAAAGTTTATCTTAAATAAATTTGAATCGTCATATTAAAATACATCTGATAATTATTTTAAGTTAGAGTATACAAAAGATTATGATTTATTCGAATATTTTTATTATATTTTCATATATTTTTTGAGTTTAGTATGATATATTCATGAATTGATTTAATCAGTACTTTGATTTTAAGAAAATAGAAAATTTAAGAATAATAATAATTTATATCAAATATTAATATGAATAAATTTAGTTTTAGAGATATTGATTAATAGATAATTATTTCTTGGAAGTACTAATTTTTAACATAAAATATTTTATAAATTTCAACTGCTCAAAACTTATTTATAAAGAAAATAAAATTCTAGATTAGAGCCACTTTAAAATTATTTAAACTACTTTAAATTTCTTTTAGCATATAAGTTTATCCTTGATAGTATAGAATAAAAAAATGTCAATTTTTTCCTTATTAAAAAGTTTTAAATATTAAGAAATACATTATTTATAGAAATGCATTGTATTAAATAAATACTTCCTCTATTATAGAGTTAAGAAAATATTATATTGAATACTGATATGATATGAATTATTATGAATAGTAAATAAAAATGTATTATTTTAAATATGGATCCCTTCATACTAAATGATATACCTTATAGAAACAAAATCAAAATAATATTGGAATTTTTACTCTTTTTATTAAGATTGCCATTCTTTTTAGGATTAATAATAGAAATTATATTCTTTAATGACTTAATATTTAGAAGATTACAAGTTTTAGAGCTACATCCTAAAATTTATAAAGTGATTAGAGTTATAAAATTACTTCATAATTTTTTTATAGGCAGACTATTATTGTTAGTGTTAGGATACTATAATGTTCAGCCTTTGTTTAACAAAACTGTTTAAAAAAATAATTTATAATCATATAGTTTTTTTTGTACAAGAACATCTCCATTAGATATATTCACATAAATCACTTAGTAAAAATTATAAAAATAATTAAGTTTTTCACCATCTTTTACCCATATATCAATTAGAAAGAGATTAGTGAAATATTAATTAATAAGTTACTTTCAAGCAATTATTGATTCATTTTATATTGAAAAATGTTGTTTTAGAGAGTTTGATTAAGGGAAAGATATATGTGAATTAATGGAACAAATTCATAAAAAAAGAACAGGACCTTTGATAATATTTTGGGAAGGAGGAGTGTCAAATGGTTAATATTTGTTAAAGATTGATGAAATATTGATTCATGAAGCTTGTAAGGTAAATTTATATGCAAAATTAAATTATCATAAAGTTAAATATTAATATTCAAATCCTTCTGGTATATTTAGTATTTTGGTAAATAGAAGATTAAATCTAATTGGGAAATCATGTAATAAAATGCTATTTAATTTATTAACTAATTTGAATATTGATTTAGAGATGCATTTCTAATAATTGCCATACTATTAATTAACACATGAAAAAATAAAGGGTATGTATAATGAATTTATTGTGGTTAATTTAAAAAGACTATAAGTAATTATTATTAAATAATAAAGAGTAAGAAAAATTGGTTGGATTTTAAAAAGAAATTTGTTAGAATTATTAATTGATTAGTAAAAGTTGTTAAAAAATATCATAAAAAATTGTCATCTATAATAATTTTGTTTTCGTGATTATTTTGTTCATCTTCTTTGTTGAATAATTCTCTTTTAATACTTTAACATAAACTCATAAACATATTTTTGGTAGCCATAAAAATTTATTCATCATCAGTATCAACATCATGATCTTATTTGATATCTTTTAATTTGCATTATTTCATATTATCTTTAATACATCTAAAAGCATAGATCTGATCACCTTTTTTATATTTTATTAATTATCCACTCACAATCTTTTTTCCATCTTTAAGATTAGCATTTCTCATTTTCATGGAAATTGACTTTTTGTGCCAAACATCTTTGGAAATGGTTTTTTGAATAATTTGCACTTATTGTTTAGGTTTAGATATTTTAATGGCTTCATTCAATTTATGAATAAAATTGGTTTTAGGTAGATCTTTCTAAAGAGGCATGTTTTCTTTTTGCAATGAATAAAACTTAGATTTAAGTCTAATAGGTTACTGAGAGCTTTGGAATAGCGTCGTTAGACTTTTTTGGAACAGGAACATTATTTATTCGTTAAATATTATTGTTTAACTTCATTAATTAATTAAAAAAATAAAGTTTAAAATTTAACTATTGTTTGTATATCATTGTAATGCTCTAAAATCATAAAATAATTGTTATTTTATAAATTTTAATTTTTATTCTTATTCCTATTATTTTTTCAAAATGTATTTGTAATCCAACTATAATAATAAATTAACCTGATAATAAAAAAGTATAAAATAATTTTTTTTAGCTTTTTGAAGAATAGTTTCTGTGTTTAACATACAGTGATATATAGGAGTTCAGAAATTAATAATAAACATATAATAAATACGATATAATTTTGAATCCACTTTCAATATTATGATTTTTTACTTTTTTATGAAAGATTATAACCAGATAAAAGTCTAAAAGTCTAAAATGACGTTTGAAATGTTTTGAATTATCATAACAAAAAAATATTTCAAAGGTTTAATTAGTTGTCAAATGTCAAATTAGCCTTATAGAGTGTATTCACATATAAGTCGATTAAAACTAAAATTCATTTTTACAGGTTGACTTTACTTTCCAATTTCCTGTTTTATATTCATACTTATTTATGAGAGGTATAAAAAAGATGCTTTAAAATAAAAATCTCTAAGCAATATATGATTTTTTTGTTTATAAATGTTTTAGAAGTATTTAAATTATTGATTACAATTAAATAACAATATATGAATCACAACGTCTTCTTGCTCCAAGAACTTTTACATTGTAAATTCTGTTTGGCATTCATATCCTATTATTTTTTATGCCAATCTTATCCTAAGATAATTAACAATTATCCAAATTACAACCAAAAATACCCTAAATAACTCAATAAATCAGGATAATATTAAACTCCTGAAAATTTACAAAATATTGAACTTATCAAAGGTTCGAGAAGGTTAAAAATTGATAAAATCAAAGGATCAAATAACTTAATTGTCATCACAGAACAAATATATATTCCTATTATTATAATTAGTGAAGTATAACTATCTTTTAATTAAATAATCTTACAAAAACTCTATAAATTTCTAATTTGTAAACAATCCAAAAAATCCAAAATTTGGATTATTATCTAATGATATACCATCTACAAAATAAGCAACAATAAATATATTAAAACTAACAAATATTGCTATAAAATAATTGCTCAAGTATAATGGGAAAGAACTTCTTACTCTTTTATTAAATTCAGAACATCTAGCTAATAAATATGAAGATACAAACTAATTATTATCATATATTTTACTGGAACTGCAGAACCTATCAATAATCTTAATAATGGAACTTAAATAAATACAGAAGTATTAATGTAATTATTTGCTATAACTGGAATCCCTTATTTATTCATTGCCAGAGATTCAATACATATCAATAAAAAACTTTTTAATTTAATTAATACCCAAAAAAGCTAAATATCTAACCTCGTTTTTCTATAAAATGATTCTAAGTTTTTTCTCGACAAAATGAAAGCCAAAAATTTGTTTATGATCCTAGAATAAATATTGTAGCAACATAATTGTAATCAAAACAAAACAAAAATATTGCTGATGCTATAGTAGGACTTAGACTTGCATAATAAAGTTATCTCATATTTTCCCATTTTAAAATATATTGTATTTCATATTACAATTTCACTTCTAAACTTCCAGTTCTTTATTCATACATCATTAAAGGAATTAAAAATAAGCTCTATATTAAAAACCTCCAAGTTATTCTTAAATACTACTTTATTATATATATTTACTTTATCAAGTGGGATTGTCATAATCCAAGCAGGTATCATAGCATTGTTGAGAGTTTGGTATAAAAGTATAACCCAAGCTAGAAGTGCTGAAAAGTTTTCAAATAAATTATGATTCTAAGATTCTAATTTATCGAACTCGACTTCACTTTATCTAAAAATCTAAGAGAAATTAGAATAAATTGTAAGTCTTCGATATTATTACTAGTGTGGCTTTGATTCTTAATAATCTATTGCTTAATCTGAATAAAATCCCCCTAAGCCAGTCAAGACTACAGTTGCCATCTATTATATATTTTCCACATTTGATTCTCTATTGCAATCATCCTCTAGTATTTCATCTGGTATAAATTATTCATTTTGAAATTCCATATCATCTTTTATCGTCAATTGTTAAATTTTCTCTTTTTATTCATAAGACTTCTATTCATCTGACTCTTCAATTTCTTCTTTTATGATATCTAAATTTAGATTCATAATAATTCAATTATAATTTCTATTATTCAATTAATTTAAAGTATATTCTAAAAAAAATGGTTGCATAACCATCAAATACTATTTAAACTCTGAGACTCAAAATTTCAAAAAGAAATAAAAAAAATAGTTAATTTAATTGATTACCTTGTTTCAATAAATACATTATAAAAATTAAACAATAAATAATTTTTATAAGAAAAATTTAACAAGTAGAAAAATAAAAAAAAGTTCGTTAAATAATTAATTTAAAAAAGTGAAGCTCATTTTAGATCTTAATTTTGATATATTTATATATTATTGTGTTTAAAAAATGTAGATTAAGAAAAAAAAATTTTTTAAATCTGACACAGTAAATCAATTCAGTGCTAAACTAAGTCTTGAAAAAGACTAATAAAGTATTGAATTTCTATTTGAAGGCTTTGAAATGATTTATATTGATAGGAGATTTAATTTTCAAAGAGATAGGCTTCACTAATCCTTTTAAAGAATAGAACAAAATTAAAAAAACTATAATCTAGTAGGGACTTGCGAATGTGAATCAGAAATGAATTTGATATATGAATTTAAAAGATATTGACATATGATTAATAATAATTCACAGAAAGAAAGATAAATAAATAAATGATCTCTTCGTATCATCCTTAATAGCCAAGTTATAATGCATTAAATTAATTAATAATTTATTTTTGAAAAAAAAAAATTCATTCAGATGAATCCAGATCTAATGTGTAATTATTACCCCCCAGGCTAATATTATAATCCTTTCTACTATGTTCCGCAATAATAAATCATATAATATTGTAATATTGATACATTATAAGTCATAAAGTGTTGTTTTAGTAGCAAGCCACTACCATGACTGTGCCATAATATAAGTATGAAGCACCATTTATTTTGAACAATGGAATTACTCAGAAGTAGATTGAGTCTCCAAATATCACTAAAACTCCACAAAATAATCATTAAACTGAAGTTGACTTTGGACAAGAAGAACAGTGTGTATTGAATGATGATGACTCTCAATCAAGAATAAATGGTACATCTAGGTCTTATCTATAGGTCATTGGACTAAACAAGAACATTTACTATATCTAGAATTCGTGAAAAATCATGAGTCAATTTTAAGGTCTAAATATGATAAGAAGTCAAAAAAAATATTTAAGTTAATGAGCCACTTCATTCCCTCTAGAACAGCTACCTAATGTCGATCTCATCATCAAAAATTTAATCCCTTGGCAAAAGGAAAAAAGAAAAGCAGATAGATGAACAAACAAATCCCAACTGTTATCCATCCTTGAAATCGCCTTCTTTGATTCTATTAATGTTATTTCAATTTTTTAAATGGTAAAAAATCCACACTCTGTTGTATCCTATATTAATTAATTTTATATAAGTGCAAACACATTAATCAAAAATAATAAATGATTTGCTTTAAATTTGATTTTAGTTTTATAATGACCAATATTTCTATATATATTAATGCAGTTTATGTCTCTTTGAAATATTTTGTTCTGTTTAATAATTTTATAGCAAATTCAAACATTCGGACCTTTCATCATAATAATATTTAAACATTATTTTCAATAATCCTATTGACTAATCATTAATTATTTAGAACATTTATTAATACTACTTTATTGCAAAAGCATTCTTTTTATTTCATTGCAAAAAAATATTTATCTTTGAATCAAATTAATTTTCTAGAAATTAATCTAAAGACAATTATAAATTAAGTGTCTATTTGAATATCCCTTAGATCTAGTTTGGAAAAACCAAAAAATAATAGAGCGATAAATGTGAATTAAGTAAATGAAAAAGTTTTTTCTTTATTAATTATTCTATGTAGATTATAAAATCTACATGATTATAATTTTGATAATAAAGATAAATAAAATGTTAAAAGAGTTTTTTTTTTGTTAATTTTCTTGTTTTTGTTAACTAAATATTCTGTAAATAGAATATTTATTTTACTATTTTACTAGTATATCTAGATAAAAATATTGTGATTTTTAATTTTAATTAGTATAAATCTATTGAATTAATTACTTTGATGAATTCTAAAGATGTAGTAATTGAAATGATAATGTAAATTAAATATTGATACTACTTTAAAGATTGAAATATATACTCTTTATTTATTTAAACATTGATGAAAGATTTACTTTAGTTTTAATCTAAAATAATTGAAAATAAAATAAATAATTGAGTTAAGAAATAAATTCTTGAAATTAAAAATATTTAAAGATGGTATGAAAGGTTAATTGAGAATAGTGTAATGATTAATAAAAAATAAAATAATTAATTATGATAATGGTGAAACGATTTTATAGTAATTTTATTAAATAATAAATAAATATAATTAACATATTTAAAATGTAAGGTAAAATATGTGAATTATTATTGGAACAAATACCTAGTGTTTGTCGACTAACATAACAATGTGTGCATCATATGTCAGGAATGTTAGTTGAAGATACACCTTAGAATGCTGCTGATGTTTAAGAGTTATTGGGAGAGTATTTTAGAAACGGAGGAAAAATGACCACATAAGAAATTAATAAAATTTGTTAAAAAATATTTGATGCTTTAGGAAAGGAATAATTAATAAGGAAAGAAAAGAAACATACATTAGCAGCAGAAAGATTACCAGAGGAAGTGATTCTTTCTGAGTTAGATTTTTATTTGGAAAAAGAGTCTGTAAGATTTGGGATATGATGATTTTAGGAAACAATAAAGTTTGAGGATTTATTTAAAGAATAAGTGGCAACGAATACTAATGAGTAAATTTAGAAGAAAGATCGTAAGGAGAAGCTTCGTTAAAAGGAGGATATAAAAGCAAAAGAAGCATATGAAAAACATATAAAGACAATAAAGGAATAGAAGACACATATTCCTCCAGCAAGAGTTAGACATAGTAAAGCAGATTAAGATGGAAAGAAATTAGATATCGTGATAGATAAATTATCTATAATAGTTGGAGGAAGAGCTTTATTAGAAGATACATCATTATAATTGATATATGGTTAAAAATATGGTTTAGTTGGTAGAAATGGTATTGGTAAAACATGGTAATTTAAATATCATTAATAAATAGTTTGATGAATGCATTAGCTAGATATGAATATGAAAATGCAGATAAATTCAGACATATATAAGTGTTGTTGGTAGAATAAGAAATTTCAGAATCAGAGAAAAATCCAGTTTAATTAGTATTGGAAACAGATATGGAGAGATTAGAATTATTGGAATAAAAAGAAAAGTTAGAAAATTCAGAAGATTTAAATGCAGGAGAAAAATTATAAACAATATATGAGAGATTAGAATTTATTGAAGCACATTTGGCAGAATAGAAAGCAATTAAGATATTATAAGGTTTGGGATTCACAGATGATTTGATGTATAGAAAGACAAAACATTTATCAGGAGGTTGGAGAATGAGAGTTTCATTGGCAAGAGCTTTATTTGTATAACCTGATGTATTATTATTGGATGAACCAACTAATCATCTTGATTTAGATGCTGTTATGTGGTTGGAAGATTATGTTATTAATTGTAAACATACTGTTATTGTTGTATCACATGCAAGAGAATTCTTAAATGTTGTTTGTAATTAAGTTATCCATTTCTATGACTAAAAACTAACATCATATACAGGAAATTATGATTAGTTTGAAAAAGGAAGAGCAGAAAAAAATACTAATTAAAAGAAGTAGTTTGATGCTTAATAGAAGAAGTTGTCACATATGCAATCCTTCATTGATAAATTTAGATATAATGCTAAAAGAGCATCTTTAGTGCAATCACGTATCAAAGCTATTTAGAAAATGGATTTGATTGATGAAGTTTTAGAAGATCCAAGTTGTGTATTTATATTCCCAAATCCTGAAAAATTAAGACCCCCTATGTTAAGAATTGAAGAAGGATATTTTGAATATCAACTAGGAAAACCGATTCTTAAAGGACTCAATTTTGCAGTTGAAATGGAATCTCGTGTTGCTATTGTTGGTGCTAATGGTGTTGGTAAATCAACCTTACTAAACTTGTTAACTGAATAAAGAAGATTAACAGAAGGAAATTACTTTAGAAATCCCAGATTAAGAATCAGCATGTTCACATAACATCATATTGAATAATTAGATCTTATGAAGAGTCCTTTAGAATAATTAATGACCACCTTCCCTGGAGCTTCTGGAGAGACATATAGATCTCATTTATCATCTTTTGGTTTAAATGGAAATTTACAATTAAGACCTCAATATTTATTATCAGGAGGATAAAAGAGCAGAATCTCTTTTGCTATGGCAGTTTGGAATAATCCATAAATTTTAATTATGGATGAACCTACAAACCATCTTGATATTGATGCAGTTAATGCATTAATCATTGCTTTGAATAATTTCACAGTATTAATAAAAATAATATAATTAGGGTGGTTTAGTAATAGTTTCACATGATTAATACTTTGTTTCCACTGTATGTGATTAAATTTGGTATATAAAAGAAGAGAGACTTAAGAAATTCAATGGAGATTTCGATGATTACAAAAGAGCTCTATCAGAAGGAAAATTAGCTTGAATATCTTATTATCAATATAATACAATTGTGTACAATAAATTAATTTATTAAAAATGCAAACAGTGTTCAAGAATGCTTCAGCCAGATACAGAGTTGTTTTCCTTAGACATGGAGAATCTTAATGGAATAAAGAGAATAGATTTACAGGTTGGCATGATGTTACTCTCTCCTAAAAAGGAGTTGAAGAAGCTAAAGCTGCTGGTTTGTTACTTAAGAAAGAAGGATTCTTATTTCATTAAGTCTATACATCTGTTTTGACTAGAGCTATTCAAACATATAATTATGCAGCAGAAGAAATGCAATCCCAATATTTACCAGTCATTAAAAGTTGGAGACTTAATGAAAGACATTATGGAGCACTTCAAGGTTTAAATAAGAGTGAAACAGCTTAAAAACATGGTGAAGATTAAGTCAAAATATGGAGAAGATCATATGATATTCCACCTCCTCCTTTAGAACCAACTGATCCTAGAAATCCAGCTAATGATAGAAGATACGCTGATGTTCCTAAGGATGCTTTACCCCTCACTGAATGTCTTAAAGACACTGTAGTTAGAGTTATTCCTTTCTGGCATGATCATATTGCTAAAGATGTCCTTGCAGGTAAAAATGTTTTAGTTGTTGCTCATGGTAATTCATTAAGAAGCATTGTGAAATATTTAGATAATGTTTCTGAAAAAGGTATGATAATCTCTTATTTAATTAGACATTCTTGAATTAAATATTCCAACAAGTGTTCCTTTGGTTTATGAATTCGATAACAATTTAAAGTCTTTGGGCTCTTATTATTTAGGAGATTAAGAAGAAATTAGAAAAAAAATGGAAGCTGTTGCTAAATAAGGTGCAAAGAAATGATAAAATAAATTAGTATCAATAAACAAAATGTAAAATTATCCTCATTAATCATCGTTTGAAATATTAAAACTTTTTGAATTAATTTTTGGTAATCTTTTCTTTCCTGATCCAGGTCTAAAACTTTAGCTATTTTCAAATAATTATTGTCTTAAATCTGAATCACAAAATAAATTTGCCATTTGTTTCACCTTTGCTGATAACTATTGCATTTCAACTTATGGTCGAATGTCAATTGCATGTTCTATCTTTAATTCAAATTCTTACATTTCCCTTAAATATATAGAGGTTTCAAGGCTGTATGAAAATATAATCTTGTATCTCCAAAATAATCATCATGACCTTAATATACAGGTTGAATATTAATCTTCAGTTAATTTTAAGGGTTTAATGTTTATTACTAAGGTTAAGGTTACTCAATTTTTAATGATTCAGGCTTTTATGATTATTCTTATTTTTATTATTGCATATATTGTTAAAATACATATTAAGGATGATCGATATCAGAATGAATTTATTCATTTGAATTGTTTCTTGTAAGCTCTGATTTTAATTTTTATTTCTGTAATTCAATTTTTTATTCATTCTTGTAAGTTTTACAGATATGACTGAATAATAATTAAACATGTCGAAATAAGATTTCAATTTATGCGATTTATTCTTTTAAACTGAATTACTTTTAAATTTTTTAACTTATTAATAATGGTTTAAATTTATCTTATGGTTTTTCAAGTTGTTTAGGCTCTTATGCTGTTTAAGGATTTAAAGTAATAGTATTCATTTTTTCATAGATTCCATTAATTGCAAAATTAATATTTTTCATTTCACTATCCATTGTATTAATTTAATTTAATGCTGTTTAATTTTATTGACTGTAATCCTATTGCATTTATTCCAATTTTAATTTATTTTCATTCTCATTTTAAAATATCAAATCGTACTTCAACTCAAGTTCTCTTATTTTATGTTACTCTTATATAATAATCTGCATTAATTATTCATTGTTATCAATTTTGCCAATAGAAACTTATTCAAGTTGTTTGGTCATTTATTCATTTAGATCTTTAATATTAGTCTTATTCGATTCTAATTATTCTATTAGACTAATTATATTATAGAGTATTACTTATGAACTTATTATTAAATAACTTCTTTGAATAAAGAATTTTGATGGGATAAAACTTTTAGTTTTTGTTATTAAGATTTTTAAAAATCCATCTAAAACTCTTTTTATATGTGTAATTGATTTTATAATTCTTCAAATTTTGATTCGCATTTTCTTATCTGAATTTAATAATTAGATATTTAAAGAAATTAATTTGTTATTCTTTCATCAATCAACTTTTGAAGTTCATTTATTTTATTTTAAACATGCTCATCTGTTAATTTCAATACTTTATCAACAATAAATTACCCTATATTTTGGTTTGTTAATAAGTTTTTTTGAATAATGCTTGCTATATAACGATCGTTAGATTTAGATTCCCATTTTTTATCTAATTCTTTAATTATCTCATCATATTGGTTAAATCTCTACTCTAATTCTTTTATTCTATTTTATTCTGAAATTTCTTTTTATTTTTAAATGCTTTCAAATTCCTTTATTTTATCATTAACTTATTCCTCATATTTCTTATAAAGATTACCTACCTGTTAATCCAAATGCCATCTCAATTCACTAACACTCTATTTACAATAAATTTATACTTAAGTATTAAGATCACAGATTTATCGACTAGCTTAATTATCCTATTGCTATTATAACAATTCATCTTTAATTGTTCTCATAAACAAATTAGTATTTGTTGCTAACAAATTAAACTCTTAATTTAACGTACTCATTCGTAACATTAAATCTGTATTGATAGTTTGTGTCATTTTTTGTTATAAATTTTTAAGATTATTTTTATAATCATTAAATAATAGAAATCAAATAATTGAATTAGAATAATTTGATGTTGTTTTAGTTATTTTTTTGTCAATATACATAAATTATATTAAAGTGAAAATGGAAATTTTAGAAATTATTTAATTTATAAATAAAAAATATGATAAAGGAAAAAGTAATTCTTAGAAGTGAAGTTTATCATGTTTATTCATCTGAACAATAAGAAAGAATGAAAGTGTATTTTGATTTATCAGAGAGTATAAAATACATTATAATGAAATTTTAGAATATTAAAAATGTTTGGAACCCTGTTAAAAATTAGTAGATGGTGATATTTGTAAAAAGAATTGTGAGAAAATTTTTGATGATTATAGTAAATTATTATAACATCGTTATGAAGGGGATAAAAAGGACTTAATTGATGCAAAAGTATTTTTATTTTAATAAAATAAGGTTTCTGGATTACCTTCTTTTGATAGTTTTAAAAGAAAGGATAGGGGTTTCTTTTATAAAGTATTTGGATTTAATTTCAGTGAATTTTGGGAACCAGATCAAAGGTAAATAAAGTAAATCTGAATATGTAAAGAAAAAATTTGTATATATAAAAACACTTTTAATATCAAGAATCGATTTCAAACCAAGCATGTTACATTAATTCTTGACAAGATGGTCTTTAATTAGGATCCATGTCAAGCATTAATGTTATAATATTTTATAATTCTTTTGATCTCTTTTTCCAATCTACTTTTCTAAAGGGTATGGGACCTTATGTATACTTGTATCTAGATAAATAATAATAGATTGAACGACCCTTGAATTTGAGTAGGTTTATAACCACAACTCATAGTATATAATATAATTCCAAGTGACCATATGTCTATTTTTGGAGTCACTATAGCATTATTGGTTATTTCTGGTGCTATGTAATTAGCTGTTCCACATTTAACTGGCATCAAACCTTGTCCTGTATTTATATCATATATATGCACCAATCCTAAATCTCCTAATTTAACCTAATTAAAAGAGTTGAATACATTTCTAAAAACTTGATCCTCCAATTTTTCACAGAACAGATTCTCTAATTTAATGTCACAATGAATATATCCTAGCCAAGAATCGGTAGAATACCTTGCTTATGCAGGTAGTCTAATCCCTCTAATACATCAGACATGTAAGACTTCATTTTTGCTTCTGTTGATATTATCTTTAACTCCTTTATATATTAATATATAAATTTTATTACTGTTTCTATTTTATCCCTAAAATAGTTAGCGTTATTCATATATTCCAATATTAACGTATATTCTTCTTCATTTTAAAAACAATCAAATAATTCCACTAAATGATCATTTTTTATTTCAGAATGTACTTTACACTCCATTAAAGCTTATTTTCTTTATATGTCATTGAATAATTGCTCTTTTACAATATGCTTAACTACTACTGTCTATTTATTATCTTTTCTTTTACTTGTTGCAACTCAGTATCATACCCTAATTCAATTTAAGTAGGAGACATTTCTTCATTGTATATCTCCTCTAAATCTTTATATCTCAATGTAAATTAATCTTTACGAAATATTTTAGGTTAGTATTCTTTTATCATACTTACTTTTCTTAAATATTATATATTAATTACTTAATATTACTTATTATTCAAAATAATACCAACTATTAATTTTTTACTATTTCTATTTTAGAGTTTTTACATAATCAATATCAAATTAATTATAATACATATCTTAAATTTTCTTATAAATAAACTTAGAATCATTTTTAATTATATAGATTATCATTCTAGTAACTGATTAATTTTATTTTCTTCTCTAATTAATATAATTAGTTTATATATTTTATCAGTATTTTTTCCCTTTTATAAGCTGGATCATTTTTATAATAAAAGATTTCAATATCATCTTTTAGTTTAACCAAAATAACTTTGAACATATAAAAATAAACTTTGTAAATTGAGATATTTATTCGGAATTTTTAGATCATTTTTATTAAGGATAACCAAAAGAATAAATAATATAATTAATGAAAATTTTTAATTCTTTTATATCCTTTTAAGAACAATTCAGTTAAAAAAGAAAGTGAAAATATATAATTCAGTCAAAAGATTTAAAGTAATTAAAGTAGTTTTTTTTCATTACTTTTATTTTCTGAAGCTGCTATAAATTACATTTTACTTTTTATTAAACGTGACCTTTTTGACAGATTTTTGTGATTCTCCATCATTTTAACAATTCTTTGGACTAATTGGATTTTTAAGTATTGGTTTATATTTAACTATTCTATTAATGTCATATAACCTTCAAGCAGTGCACTATTTGAATCTTCTCTTGAATCATTTTATTAATCCCTTTAGTCATTTTAAAAATATAAAGGGTTTTCTTCATTTTATTCAAGTTGTTCAATTCTATTTTCATTTATTTCTTATTTGGATATTCTATTATCTTATGTTGTCTGTTTAAGCATTGAATATTATCTTTCTCTTTGAATATCCATATTCTCTTCAGGAAAACTCAATTTAATTATAGGCTATAGCTTATGAATTTAAGGGGGCTTGTATATATCAATTTAAGGTTTTTTCTACACAGTAATTTCATCAGGAGATATGTTTTAGGCTTTTGGACAAATATAGGCATCCATGAATAAATGCTTAATCTAAAAGATGATAATAATTATTTGATCATATAGAAAATGATATATTATCAACACTTAGAAACAAAAAAATTTTAAAAATGTAAATTCGTTAGAAAATATATTCGATATTATATTTGTGAAATTTATAATTAGGCACTAGATTTTTATTATTTTTTTCTAATCCTAGATAAGAAAAAAATATAAAAATAATAATTAAAGTAGAAAATATAAATACTAACCTCATCATAACGATATAATTCTTTTACAAATTAAAAAAGGAGAGTTAATAAATTATTTAAACAATTTACTTTGAAAAAACTAATGGTATAAATTAATTATTTATTCAATTGTACAATTTTAATTTGCAGGCCAAATAACTAATAAATAAACCACATAGCCATATGTGATGACTTATGTATAAAAATTCTTGTTAAATAATATAAACACTTACTTTTTATTGTATCTGAAAAGTTGCTTTAGAATTAAATTATATTGAAAGCAATAATAAAAATTAGAAATAAAATAAAGAAAGATAATGCCCAACTCCATGCAGCAAAATTATTAATACAAATTATCGAGACTGAAAGTAAAGGAAAATAAGTTGAAACAATTTCATTTAATCCATTAAACAATTTAACAGTTCTTGTCTAAATTTGAATAATAAACATTAATCTTTACATTTTCTGTTAGATTTGGAGAAATAGTTGATAATTAAGGTATTTATTACATTTACTATGCCTATGATATTTATTTTTTTTCTCCTTCATAAACTATATTAATCTGTTGATTTTGTGAAACATCACTAACAATTTGTATTTCTAATTATAATAAATGATAATCCAATACCTGGACCTTAAAGACTATCATTATTATTTTTTTGAAGCTCATTTTATTTAATTCCATTTTGATTTTATTTGCTGTATGATTATGATTTATTCTGTATTTAATCAATATGAATGTTTGTCTTTATGTAAAATTTCATGAGAACAGCACATATGAATAGTATAAAAGGAAAGAAAAACCAGAAAAACTCAATAACTTACGAATAAGTAATCTGTTCAGACATTCGTAAGTTTAAATATTAATTTATTATATATATTTTTGATGTGAAGAAAAATGCTAAAAAAGGATTGCACTAAAATTCTTTAATTATTATTTGATAAAGCGAGAGTTTGAAAATTGAGGAATGAAAAAACCTTAAATCAAATTTTGTAAATGAATTGAATAAGAATAAATATTTATAAATCAAGAGTTTCATTTATGTTTCATGATCATGAGATGGTTTTTATATAAGTTTGTAAAATTTTCTAATTACTTATAGTTATTATAGAGTTAGTTTGTGATGTCATCAGAAAGACTGGCTTCTGAATTAATCTCCATAATAACAGCACTTTATGAAATTTGCATAGGATTTTATAAAATGTTAGAAATAGATGATTATTTTTTTTCAAAACATTCTATAGTGGATGGGATTTATAAAGATTAGCTGGATAAATAGAATTAATGATATAATACCATTTAAGTGAAAAAGGGTGATTTTTCTCGCTCTATTACATTATTTTGGTTTAAGCTATAATTTCTTCATCTTTACACCAATCGAATAGATTATCATATTCAAATCCATGTCTTTAGCCTAGTTTTCTAAACAAATTAATTAAATAATCATAATCAGGTTCAACTTAGAATGCAAGACTTTTAATATGACTTGATTATATTTATTTATAATATTACTCTAAAGCTTTTTAGAATTCGATTGGTAAATCTTAACAAATTTCAGTAGAACTTAATTTAATCTTTTTTTCGCCTATCAATTTTTACCTTTCTTTATTATTTTACGAAATCTAGTTTTGCCATGGTAGAACTCTTTAATCTAAATTAATGATTTATATATACCCTTTAAGAAAGAGAACCAAAATATAAATAAGAGTTTCAAGATCATCTTTTCTACTTAATTCATGACCTTTATGAGCAGCAATAGGAGCATATCTAGTAGTTCCTACAAATGGTCTGCCATCTCTAAATGGTCTATTTATTATTTTTATTAAATTTACATATGTCTTAAATTACTGTCTTTATAGATCTTGCTAATACCAAAATCTACTATATAAATTTATCTTTAGTGATACATTAAGTTTTCTGGCTTTAAATCTCTATGTAAAATTGATTTAGAATGAATATTCCTAAGAATTTTTATTAATTAATCTGCAATCATTAACACACTTTTTAGACTGAATTTTCGATATTCCTTTAAATAATATCCAAGATCTTTAGATAAAAATTACATAACTAAAATATTTTATCCATTATGAGATCCATTCCAATATATTTAAGGTATTCCTGTAATTAATTATAATCGAGATAAAACCAACACTTCTCTCTCTAAAGTTTAAGGTTTATCCTTTTTCTCTATTTTAATAGCTACTATATTTTTATTTGGAATGTTCTCACCCTCATATACTATTCCGTAACTACCTTATGATAATTTCTTTATAAGTTTATATTGATTGTTAATGTAATTCATATTGTTTTAAAAATAATTTAATATGATAAAGTTACTTAGATTAATATTGTATATTATTTCATCATGGTTTAATTAGAACATTATTATGGTTAGAATTGAAAAAAGAAATATATATTTGATAATCAAAAATGTTACTGAAGTTTGATTATAACAAATAAAAAAGTGTTGATATAGATAAGAATCTTGATAAGACTACTTATTGCTATAGACAAAGACTTTAATTTAACATTTAGCATTTCAATACAGACTCTATGACTACAAACTAAATATATTAAAAAATAAAATTTAAACTATAATTAATTCATATAGAAAATAATTATTCGAAATATATCTTATAAAATTAATTTATTTCATATTTTTTTTAAATTGCCTCATATTTATAAAAGGAATAATGTCATTGTGGATGTTTTATATGCTTTTAGATTAATCGATAATTAATATATATATTTATAAGTTCATTAAATGGCATCAGAAGACTCATTAGAGTGGAAATACATACCTGTCAATGGGATTTTAGTTGATCAAAAATCAAATTAAGTAATATTGGAGTTGAAATCTGAAGATTCTAAATGGCCAAAAGATTTATTTACAGTCTCTATTTCTCAATAGAAAGAGTTCATGTCTGATCCTGAACTTGGATGGAATTGGCATAAATCATGGAACCTACCAGACATAAATTATACAATAAATGTACTGATTAATCATGTATTAAGTTTAAAAATAATGATACTACAATGAAAGAGTTTAGAGGGGGAATTTTAGAAGTGTAAATGTTTGTCATCAAAAAGGGATTGATTGCAAACCAATATATAAGTTTAGGATTAAGAGGAAATGCAAAATTGGCATTGTTTGAACCTTCTATAACATTTAGTGGGTTGAAATTTGGAACTACATCCTATAATAACAAAGTAATTATGAAAATTAATTTTAAGTATTCTAAGTTTAACTTCATATTCGTATTATCTTATTCAAAAAATGATGAAGTTTAAATATTAGATTCTTAAATATCATCAGATGTATTCGTTGACTCAAGAAATAGAACTGATAATAAAAATAAGGAAATTTCTTAAGAAATATTTTTAGATCTATTTCCACCATCTTTAATTGATTAAATATTTTATAAAAGAGAAAATGACAAATAAAACTCATAATTTAATAAGATTGATAACTCACTTCAAGGTTTTGTTAATTATTATACCTCTGCAAATATTAGAAACAAAATTAAACATCCACTTTTTATGGCAATGAAGTTTCCTAAATGTATTCGCTTATTTATTAACTCTAATTTTATAAAAAAATAAGAGAGTATATTAATGCAAGTTTTGTCCCACTTAAATTAAGTCAAACAGTAATTAAGCCAGTCAAAAGAGATAAAACTTTTAGTAAAAATTGAAAATTCTAATTAAAAAATATTAAAGAAAGTAAATTTTTATATAATTTATAGGCTCTTGATATAATTAAATAGTTGGAGAATAATTATTATGAAATCTACACTGAAAGGACTAACTTCCCTTCAAATACAATAGAAATAACAGATATCTACTCTTTAATAAAAGAATACAAAAGAAAATACTAATAATTTATTGATCATACTGAAGAAAATAAATAAATTTAAAATATCAATTCTTCTAAAACCTAAAAGAGCAAACTGAAATAAATTTAGAAAAATGAAAACTAAACTTCATTTCATAATGATTCTAATTATTCTTTAATCGATTCTATTTAACCAATATCTGGACAGATTTCTCAAATATCTTAAAATAATTAAGCAAATTTGGATGAACAAAACAAAAATATATAGATTAATAATTAATAATAAGTAAAGGAAGAGAAAGATAATGAATATCAGCCATCAGATTAATAAGAAAATAAAGTAGTTTAAAAAAATAAGTAAATTTATATAAATATTTAATAGAAATTAGAGTAGTAAGTCTTATGTAGATCCCAATTCTTTGAATAATTAATTTCAATCTCATGAAGTAATATAATCTTTATGTTTAGATATTTAATCAATACTCTACATCTTTATATTACAATTTAAATCAATAAAACCATTATAATTATAATTAATTCATCTAGTACTATCATAACAACTAAAAATTTGGAAACTTTAATTTGTTTTATCCATATTATTATCACCAATATCAACCAAAAAAGGAATGAATTATAATATAATATAATAAAATAAAAATTTATATACTCAAAAAAATTATTTATAAATTTCCAATTTTCCCTATTATCTAAGAATTGATTTATCATAATTAATAGAAATGATTTCCTATGAATGATTTAAGTTTTCAGCAGGAACTATTCTTTTAAAAGTAGCTTTATGTTTTCTTCTAGTTTGAGATACTGAAGCATTTGATGTATTATTTTTGATTAGTTTTTATTATAATTCCTTTTCTTTTTGATCTTTGATTATCTTACATAGACTTGATGTTTCTCTAGCCAATTAACTTAATCCTTCGACCTCTTAATAATTATAAATTCTACTTATAAATTATCTATTGAATTTCCTTTAGCAGTTAATTCATTAACTTTATCCTATCTTTCTTCAAATCTTTAAACAAAACTCTTTGGTCTCTTATATACACCTGAATTATTCATTGATCTTATAATTTCTAATCCTTTGGCTTTAATCTTTTAATTTGTTTTCATTACTTCTGAACTTGATCTTAATTATCTTTCCTTAAAGTAAAGACATTATTACCCATAACTTATTACCATGTCTTTCAGCATCTGTTTATATTAAATCTAAAAGATTTCTATCCTCATTCTTTTATCGTTCTACTTATATTTAATTATAAATTGATTAAGAAACATTTCTCTTACATCTTTATGCTGATTATGTCACTCTTTTTTACCAACTAATTTATTACTATTCAAATGATTTCATGATTTTATCATCTTTATTTGCTGCTGCTATATCAGCTTAACTTAAATTTTATAAAGGAAGTTAAAAGTGATTTTTTTTTTATTTATTCTTTACCTATTCAATTTCATTCTCAACCTAATCAAGTTCCATATCAAATTCAATCATTTCACCTTCCTCTAATTCTATATTTTATTATTATTATGAAAGTTTAGATTTATATTCTTTATAACTAATAGGCTTTATTTTTATATTTATTGTTGAATCTTCTGTTGGCTATACAATATTTTATTTTTTATCCATGATTTCAGGTTTACCAACTATATAATATGGAACTATCTTTCCATTTCTATATAACCTTTGTTCATTAATCTCTTGTTAAGTCATAAAAATGTTTGCATTTTTATTTAAAGTTATAGACTTTCTCAATAGATAATGTTAAACTGAAGACATTTAATTAAATAATTTAATATAAAGGCATTTATAAATATATTATGTTTTGATAAATTTTCAAGTATTCAATATATTTAACATTTCAGTTAAAAAATTGTTATAAATTAGATCATTTACTCCTTTAAAATAAATAACAATTTTTTTTTAAATTTAAATACCTCTAATAGTCTATCATCCAATTTAATTCAAAATTAAATTACTCTTATAATGGAAAATCATTTTCAAATAAATTTATCCCTCTAAAATACGTTTAAATTAAATGAATAATTTTAAAATAGTCATTTGGGGTATAAGGTCTTAAGTTTACTAAAAATTGAATAAGAAATAATATTTAATAAATAAATTGTAATTCAAATAGAGCTCTAAATTTGTTAGACTAAATATCACACATGGACATCATAATAATAGAATTATGAAAAATAAATTAAAATGATTAATAATAAAGATAATAATAGTTCATTTTAATTTTTGAAATCTAAAATTTGTTTATAGAGATTAAAGATTTGAAATAGGTGATCTTTGATAATAAATTTAATGAGAGGACAGAAGTTTTATATATATTTTGTGATTATAATATGTAAATAATTAAATTAGATAGATATAAAATATAAAAAATGTATGATATAATAATTATCGACAATATAAATAGAAAGTAAATAAATTTATTTGAAATATTATTTTAAATAACGGAAGATATGAGTTCTCTTTTAAGACATAATGAAGGAGCAGGTATTTATAATAATAATAAAATAGCTGCTTCTCTACCTTTAGCTAATATACCCACTCCATAAACTGTCGATTATGATTGGGTTTTGGTTTCTGGGTTTATAGTAATTTTGACATAAGTTGGATTTGCCTTTATAGGAGCAGGATCAGTGAGATATAAGAATTCATAATCAGTAGTAATCAAAGTCTTCTTAGGATTATTTTTAACAGTGTTAATCTGGTGGTTGGTAATAAATAAAATTAATAAAATTTAAGTTTGGATATGGTTTTTCTTTTGGTGATGATTTCTAAACTAAATTTATGGGAGGAACAAAATTAGGTGGAGCTAAATGGGAAGTAACAGCTTATGGTAATGATTATACAAACTTTGGTAAAATATATAATTTATTTGAATTTTAGTTTTCAGAGCATCAGGTGCTGCAGTAGGAACAGCTATTTTAGCAGGAGCAGCAGCAGAAAGAATGACATTTTTAGGTTGGTCAATCTTTACTCTTCTTTATTCTGGTTTTATTTATGCAGGATTAACACATTGGACATTAGCAGCAGGATGGTATTTTAAATTTTAAAATATTTTAGGTTGAGTACTCTTGGATATAAAGATTTTTCAGGTGCAGGTGTTATTTTTTATGCTGCAGGAGTAGCTGGATTAATATTGACAGTGTTATTGAAACCAAGAAGAGCTAGATTTGATAATGGATAAACTCTAGATTTTAATAGACATTCTCCATTGTATATAGGATTTGGATCATTATTAGTCTTTGCTGGATGGTTATTTTTTAATGGAGGTGTAGTAAGTTAAGGAGCTAAATCATAATACTTATAAGGATTAGTAGCTGTAAATACATTAATTGGTGGAGCAACAGGAGGATTCTTTAGTTTTGTAATTAGATATTTCTAATATGGAACTTCAAATTTAGCTGCTTTATCTAGAGGAATAATTTGTGGTTTAGTAGCTGTAAGTGCAGCTGCTGATGATATGAAACCATGGACAGCATTTCTTTATGGTGCTATTGCTGCATTGATTTATAGTTTTTTAGCTAAAGTTATGCCTGCTGCACAAATTGATGATCCAGCTGAAGTTGTACCAGTTTATTTTGTAATTATTTATAATTATATTAAATTAGGGTTCAGGATTAATTGGTATTATATTATCAGCATTATTTGATACTAAAGCTGGTGCATTCTATGGATTTGGTGCTAAATTATTAGGTAAGTAATTGTTAGGATTATTAATCATATTTTCTTGGGTGACCTTCTTTACATTAATTATACTTTTAGCCTTAAAAGGTTTTGGTATCTTAAGAATTGATGTTGAAACTGAAAATGCTGGTATTGACAAAGCCTAATGTAAATATATTATTATATTAATTTTAGGTTTGGGTGAAGCTATTGTATTCGCTAATCAAGTCGATGAAGTTCCTCTTGTTTAATAAACTGAATTAGGAAATCTTAGATCAAGTTAATTAGGATCAGGAATCAGATCTGGATTCAAATGAATCAATTACATAAATTATAAATTAGAACATTTATTATTTTATAAATTTCATTCTTCTTTTTTTAATACTTTTAGAAATTGTTTACCAGCATATTCAAAATCATCCAAACTATTGTAAATGCTTGCACTAAATCTAGCCCATGATCTTCCATTGAATTAAAATACAACCACCAATACATTATATTTATCAATACACTAAATTGTATAATAATTTATTTTTACTGTTTTCTAACATTCCACTACATAAGAATGATCTTTATGAGGTACTAATACATTTACCATTGCAGAATGCATACTCTATTCTTTTACTAATAATTCAGTCTCCCAAATCTTTGCTATCAAATTACTTCCTTCCCATGCTAAATTTTCACAATATTCTATTATTTTTCTCTAATCTAATTAATTAATATAATTTATTCCATCTATTACTGATAATAATAAACTAGCATCTCTTGTACCATAATATTCAAACTCTTTTTCAATCCCAGATTCATAAAATACAGATATAGTATTATTATGTATTTGATTCAAATATTTCTGATTCATATATAATAAATTAACACCTGATGGACAAAATGCCCATTTATTAAAATTTGTGAAAAAGAAATCAGGGTCTAACTCTTTTAAATTGATTTCACTTATTCCAGCACCATGAGCTGCATCTATTATACTTATTATTCCATATTTCTTGCATAATTATACAAATTCTTTCGTTGGCATTTTAAAAGCTGGCAATGATGAAATATTATCCAAAACTGCCACAGTTATCTTTCCTGACTTCATATTTTCTAATCATATATATATAATATTTATACCATCTAATAATTATAAAATTGTTTCTTTATTTATATCTTCCTCCTTCAGTTCAATCCTACAGGTATTGACTTTATAATTTGTATTCATAAATTTTATCACATTCTATACCATTGGATAAGCAATATTCAAATATAAAATTGTATCCTTATCTGATAATCCCAAATCTAATCTATATTAATCATAATTACTTCTTATTATACTATTCATAGATTCTGCTGAATTATTTGTAAAAAAACACTAATTAAAGTCTGCATTTAGAAAATCTGCAGCAGCCTTTCTCACATTTGGTGACTCCTTTGGAATTAAAAAACGAACAAAATTATCAGGGTTCTCAAGAAACCTTTTATAATTCTCAATTCTTTAATTTAATACGCACTTTGGGACATATCCAAAACTGCTGTGATTTACACAAATGTATCCATGCTCCATTACAAAATCATCTTTTATTTCTTTTCCAAAATTTTTCATTATTCAAATATCTTTAAATATTTAAATCGATATATTTAACAATTAATTAGGTTTAATACAAATTTTTTTATTTTAATATTAAACACAGTAATTATTAGTATAATATAAACAATCATCTAGAAAAAAAATAAAATTATTTTATAGTATAAAATTTAACACAATAAAATTAGTATTTAATTGTTATTGTTAATTCATGTATCTTATACTCATCTCAATTATTTATACTTTGAAAAAATAATAAAATATTTTAGAAATATGCTCCCTCATCTTTCATCCAATTACTATTATGATCACCATCTACTATATGATATTCCCGTTTATTTTGACAATTTTCTGATAACTCAATTAATTTTTTCATATGATTATATGAAACTAACTCATCCTATCCAGCTTTTTTATATTCAAAAATTTTTTATACATGATATGAATAAAATAGGTAATTTGATATTTTTTATTGTATCACAACTTCTCCATTAATTTCTTGAAAATAAAAGATTTGAAACACGTAAATTAGGAACTAAATCATTAACAACATCATTAATTGATGTAAATGTATTTTCTATAATAATTGCTCTTATTTTCTCTTTTTTAGAATCTTAAAAAAAGTTTGCTGCATAAATAGCAACTGCTCCTCCAAGACTTCTTCCATGAATAAATACATTATTTTTATCAATTTCTAAATTTGTAAAAACATATCTAACAATAGCTATAGCATCCTTTTAAATTCCTATTTGATTTGGACTACCTGAACTTTCATCATATCCTCGATATGCTACAGCAACTATATTACATTTTAAATTATAGTAATATTTCTCAAAATAATCTAAACGATATCCAAGATCTATAATTTTTAAATTGAAATACTTCCAGCATTCTCATGAAAAAATATCAATGTAGGTGTTTAAGTTGGCTATTCCTATTAAATAAACCAACCCTTTAATTCAATACTGTCATGCTTTATAGATATTGGTGTAAATTTTAAGTTTCTAATTATCTTACTTTATACCTTGAAGCTGGAGAACGATAATTTACAGGATTTTAATTAGATCTCTTTTATCCATCAACAGCTATAAGATAATCTTTTATTTATTACATGGCACATACAATATTTTCTCCTAAAACATCTTTATACCAAAAAGTAATGCAGCTAAAGGACCTAATCCACAAGGAGTTTGATTTAAATAAAGCTCAACGAAATTTGCAGATATCTTAAGTTACATATTAAAATAATCAATTATTAATTCCTCTCTTTAAATCAACCAAAGATAGAAAATATGCTCTTCCTACTTTTAACAGGACTTTTATCATCTATATTTATAGCTTATCTTGTTGTGAGACTTTATTAATGTTATTTATCTAATTTTTAATATTTTTATTGAATTATGCAGAATTCAGAATTTAGTTAAGTTAATTACATTTTTGATTTAATTGCTTCAGATTCTGCTCTTTTAAGTTCATCTTTTAAAAAATTAACTTCTTCAGCTAAACTCAATTTAGTAGTTAAATAATGCGTTTCCATTGTATTTAAACACATTTTCAATTTTTCTATTTCTAATTTATTTTCCTTATCTAATTTAAAATCTAATTTAGTTTTTCTTAGATTATGTATTTCTAAAAGTTAAGATTTTAATTCTTTCTATAAAATTTCAACTGTTTATTCTAAATTTGAAATTTCTAAATTTTATATTCTCAAATATAGATTAATATTTACTTAATAATATGTTTAGCATCAAGCAATGCATCTTTAATATTTTCATATTTACAATTAGGTCCTACTCTTCTTCTAGAACTATTTTTAGTTTGGAAAGAACAATAAGAATCTGATAAATGAGAAGTAGGTGTTTGAGAAATAGAATGAATAGGAGAATCAATATGAGTATTTTCAGGATGTTAACTCATTTAACTATCTTTAAGTAAATCACTTAATAAAGCATTTTAGTTTTATGTTATTTCATGATCATTAAATTCAAATTTTTATGAATTTGATTAAATAGCAATTTTTAGTTGTTATTCATAATGTTAAGCTAATTTTTATAATTATTCATTTTATTCTTAAATTAATTAGTCCTATTCATTAACTTACTATTATAAAGTTTCAGTTAATTCTTTGTATTCTTAAATTGCTTATGTATTTTTTCTATTCTGATTATCCAAATAAACTTATTTTCGAATAAGTTCTTCTTTCTGTTTTGTCATATTTTGTTTCTCTCTTTATAATAATGAAAATTGTTTATAAGCATCTTCACATTTCTTATCACTTTTAATTATTTACTGTAAAGCATTTCTTAATCGTTCACAAATTTCCTAATACCTTTTATCATAGATTATTTATTCTTAGTTCTTTTCTTCTTTTAAAGAATTAAGTTTTCTTTCTTGTTCATTTATTATTTTTTCATAATATTTGTTTTTTTCTTCCAAAATGCTAATTTAATGTAATAAATCTTATTCAACTAATTTTTTTTAATCCATTTCATGTTCCAAAGATTCAAAAATATTATTTGTAATTGTTCTTTCTAAATTATATAATTATTCTTCATGAAGAGATTATTAATGTTCTAGTTTTTATTAATATTCTTAAATTTTGTTTTCTAATTCTTGAAAATCATATATTTAAATTTGAGTATTATTACTATTCTAAGTTTATGAATTATAAATTTTCTCATTTTATTTCAATAACTCAATTTCTTTGGCTTATTCAGATATTATAAATTCTTTTTCAACAATTAAAGCAATTGCAGTCTCTTCCATTTTTACTAATTAATGTTTTAAATCAGTAATCTTATCAGATTCTAATTTTGCTTAAAGTTACTAAATATCTTTAAGTAATTTGATCTAAAAAGTGGTTCATTAAATATTTACTTCATTCTCTTAATAAATGAGTATTTATTCTTCTGCTTTTGCTAATTGCTCTTACATTTATAGGGCAAATTTCTATAATTTAGTTTCATGAGTTAATTCAATCTAATTGTTTAATTCAATATCCAATTCTTCATTTCTTTTCTTTAATTAGTCAAGGGAATTTATTAACTTTGATAGTCTTAAGAGTTTACTTCTAGATGTTGTTATTTGGATTGAAATTCTTGTAATCTTATCTACTTTTTTAAACTCTCAATTTCAAGTTATTATGTTTGAACAGTGTCAATAAACTAAATATATTAAAGGTTTTGATTACAAATTTTTCATCATCTTCTTAATTCATTTATTAAATTATATTTGTTATTTTAATATTTATACAACTAAAGTTATGATGATGGATTATGATAATTTTGAAGTGAATGAAAGTAGAATAAGTTTGAATGTAAATTTGAATATTTATATATTGTTTAGAAAGATGAAGAAATAAAGAAGTTAACATTAGAAGAAGACTTACCAGAGATCAAACGAGCATAAATAATTTTGATGAAAGGATAACAACGTTAAAAATTAGCTGTAATTTATATTCCATCTATTTTTTTGTTTGGTAGATATATAACAACCTACACAGATTGCTATCTCTTGGTTTTGATTAATTATATCAATATATAAGAGGTGACATTATGGAACAGAGTGAAGAAGTACAAATAATGGCAGCAAAATCTTTACAAGGTTGTAAAGTAAAGCCAAAAGAAATCATTTAATTGGCACTACATTTCATTTAACTTTATTAATGGAAACTTGCATAGGCTTGGATGCCAGTTTTTCAAAATTTGGTGTTACTGATTGATTATAAAGAGTTTAAGTCTTATTTAGAGAAAATGATTCTCCAATTTAGTGAACCTAAATAACCTGAAATAGGAAGATGGGTTGGTGCTAAAATGATAGTGTGTATTTCACCTGTGTTAAAAGATGAAATGAAGGGACCAATATTAGATAGAGCTCGTTTATTGTGTTGCGATCCAGATCATGAGATAAGAGAACTAGTTGCTGATGAATTATTAACTTGTCTTATATGCAATCTATCAGGAGAAATAGTGGAATAATATTTTATAGATAAAATTAATGAACTATTATATGACACTTAAATTAATGTCAAAAAAAGTATGATTAAAACATTCCTAAGATTTCAACATAAATTACCTAGAAACAGTTATAATGTAATTATGATATTTAATAGAAAGATTAAAGGAACCACTATATTTATGGATTGTTTATCTACAAATAATATCGAATTGCTCAGTGTGGCTTTGCAGTATTGCGGAGAGACATTTGTGCAAATTCAAGATTAGATTAATGATGAATTTAAGAATAAGTTTACTCTCTTATATTAGAAATTTGGACAACATCAAAATGATGATATTAGAAAATGGTATTTATATAATTTACCTGGAATAATCTTGCATCTGCATGAAGGACCATATGCAACTTAGATTTTAATGCCCTATGCGGATATTTTAATATAGGATTAGAGTCATTCGAACAAATTGCTAGCTTGCAAAATATTGCATGAAATTTCGAAATAGTTTGATGTAATTGAAGTACATAAATGTTAAAGTACAGTTATGTGTTACAGAAAATGTGGCATTTGTTTGAGTGTGTGATCTAGAGTGAAGATCTTGATTGCATATTAGCCATCAATTTACCTGAAATGTATAGGTTGTTGTAGGGCAACGAAGAGAATCAGGAGAAGCTAGTAATTATATTAATGATAATTATTATAGAAAACTTAGTTCAAGGAAATCAATTAATAATTGCAAAAAGTCTATTTAAAATGCCTAAGCAATTATTAATATAATTAACTATTTTTAGAATTCCTACATAAATTCCTGCATTTAATAAACAAAAAACATTTTGAACAATACATTCTTCCAGTAATCTATAAAGAGCAATAAAATATTGATTCGGATCTCTTATCAATGAAGTGTTTAGCAAAATTCTATAGTGTATGTTAGGATTATGAGATCCAGATGAAGATCAAAGACACAATGAATTTAATGTTCTTTAGAGGCAACAATAACAAGAGAGTACGATATATTTTTTGGGTTTCTAATTTGATACCATTGATAAGTAAGAAACGCTTTTAAGAACTTAATGTATATATTATTCTTCATTCCCCTCATAGCTCAACTAAATTATCTCTTATAGCACTGATAAAGCTGCTAGTGTATAGATACAATTAATCAAATCTTTGCCTCAAATCTATTAATATTTAGAACCGATAGAATATAACCTTATTAAAAATATTAAGGGATTAACCTAATAATCTTTGGCAAGGGAAGTGTTCTAACAAATTCAGTAAAGATAATAGCAAAATGAAAACTTCTAGGAAGAATAGAATTTACTCATTCAATAGGAAGAAGCAATTTTTATTTAATTTACTTAATAACAGAAATAGGAAAAAACTAATGATCTCATGTAAAATAATGATTATGCAAATAAATATCTCAAAAAACCAATACCAAAATTAGTATAACAGTAATCTAAAAAGACTCCGAATGCATCTACTTCTGTGAGGTATATGAATTTTTTAAATATTTTTTTAAATTTAGATTAGCCAATCAATCATTTGGAGAACTTACTCCTCAATAATAATAATAATAGCAATAATTTAAAAGAGTTCGTAGATATACTGATGCTGCAAAATCAACTTCCAAACCTTCAACTAGACCTAGTGGATTTACATAAAAATGAGATTACGAATATTAATTTAAAACATTATCAAAAATATATTAATTAATTAAATTAATTATGAGTAGATAAGTATATGTTGGGCGTTTGAGTTCGAGGATCCGAAGAGAGCATCTTCAATAAGAGTTTGAGAAATTTGGTAAAATCAAGGATATTGATTTACGAAATACTCATGCTTTTATTGAGTTTGAAAGTGGAGATGATGCCAGAGCAGCCATTTCAAAAATGGACAATAAACGATTGAATGAAGGCAGTGATCGTATCACAGTCAAACCAAGAGGTAGAAAAAAGAGATGGATGAAATTGAAAAGATGATCGACCGTAAGGTGCAAGAGGACCCACATCCAGAGACGTATGTTTCAATTGCGGCCGTAAGGGACATTGGGCAAATGAGTGTAAAGAAGGTATGGTTCATATCCCATTTCACCAGGAGATTTACGTGACACTTGTTATCGTTGTTATAAAAAAGGCCATATACGTAAAGATTGTCCAAAATCAAGAACACCTTCAGAAAGAAGAAGGTTTAATTAAATTATAAATTTTATAGTCGACGAGATAAAGAAAGAAAAAGAAGACGATCTTCATCTTCTTCATCTAAGTCTTCAGAATCATCTAAATCTAAAAAAAGATATAGATAATAATAAAAATAATAGAAGAAACCTAATAGAAGATCACCATCTTCCAGTGAAAGTAGATCTAGACCTTCAATATCATCATAAAGTTCTAGGTATTTAAAAATTATTAGTATAATTTAAGCAAATAACCATGATTTAATGAGTGTATTGTTATATTCATAAATCAATATATATAGTATTATTATTATTATTATATATTATATATATGAGTTAATCATTAAACCATAGAATTGGAAAAGAACATTAAATTGATATTGCTGAAAAAAGAATTCGTAATTTATTTAATGTAGACATACTACGAAATGTTCAAATTAGAAGATCTTAATTTCTAAATTAGATTCATCCAAATCCTAAATCTCTTATTTAAGAAGGTTTTACTGTACATACTTTACCCCTTAGAAACTGTGATATTATGAAAATACATAACTATCCTAAGTAGAAGTAATATAATAGCTAATTATAAACATAAAATGATCTAACTCCTTAAATTACATAAGTTAAAATACAAAGAATCATGACAAGTGCTAAAAAAGATAGATAAACCAATATTTCCATTGATAATCATTCTAATACTGTAGCCAAAATGCCAGCTTTTTATACTAAACATTAATGTATCATATTATTAAGTTGAGCCAACAGTAAAACCGAAAAATCTATGCTATCAACTGAAAGCATTGCTCTCCGAATTCGATCTCTTAGTAGAGTTAAGGATAATACTCAAAATCCTTCAGTTTCCTAAAAACGATTGGCCACTCCTAATCGAAAAAAAAGATTAAGCTCATATAAACTATTTTTACAGCAGTAAGTCAATAGCTTTATGTATGACTCATACTTTAATTGAATTATTCTATGTATTTATTTATTATAAATAAAATTTAATCAATGTCTACAATAATAATCAATGAAGATTATGATTCAGATCTAGAACTATTTGAACAACGTAATCATTAGAGTATTCATATTCATTTATTTTTAGTTTAATAATTAAAACAACAGCAATTACAATTTAAAGAAAAGTTACTCTAACATATTTAGAATAAAGATTATGATTGCAATCTTATCTCTCCTATACCATATCCTATGGATCAACCAATTAAAGAAAAGAAATTAAATCCAGACAATCTTGTATAATTAAATAAAAGTAATGATTTAATTAGCAATCGTTCATAACTTTCCTCAAATAATTGTTATCAATCCAAATCTAACAAGATAAATTTAAAAGGACACTATTTATTGAAATAAAATTATTTGCCCAAAACTCCAAATACAAAAGGACCAAATGTTTCTACTACAAAATCATATTGCAAAAACAATAAAACTAATTTAAATAATAAGAAATTTCCCTCTAATATTTCTACTTGTGAATAAAAATCAGCAAGAACTCCAGAAAAATAAAAAAACTATATCGGTATTTTATCTCCTTCTCCTTATAACTCTTGGTTAAAAAGAGAATATTAGAATAAATCAAAATAAAATAATTTATCTTCTTTCATAAATAAATCTATTCATGTTGAAAAAAAGAAAGATGCTAATCACATAATTAAAACTGAAGAAAATATTCAAAACAAAAAATAATGTGAAAAAAAAATAGAAAATAAAATTCCTTCTGATAAACCAAAAAAAGGATTTGAATAATGGTATGATTCATAAAAGAAATGGTAAATGCATATTACAATTTTAGGTTAACTCAAACTGAAGAGAAAATCTTTAAATAAAAACTTTAAATGGAGTAAGAATTAGTTGAATAAGAGCAATTCAGTTATTCTCCTGAAATTCATGAAGGCTCTAGATTTATTGTACAAAAGAAATACAATAATGCTAGCTTATTAGAAAGATAGAAGTTCTATCAAGAAGAATTATAGTATAAACAATATCAAAAGAAATTAAGAGAAGAAGAGGATTAAAAAATAAATTAAATTAGGATAAGTCCCTTTTCAAGAAAAATATTAAGAAGCGCATCCCCTAAATCAAATTGTTCATTTACAATATGTAATTCTTCCAATTAAAATTATTCAACCATAATAAAAAAATGAAAATTTTTGTACTTACTATAGAATTGGTTTGCTTTTATTTGAAAAATATTCTAACAATAATATCAAATATAAGTATTTATAATAAAATTTAAAATAATGAGTTCTTTCTTTGTTAAATGTTTGAAATGTAATCAAAAACCTGCTACAATCAAATGTTTAGAATGTAAACATGGATAAATTAATTATCTTTGTTATACATGTGATACATAAGTACATAATAAAAAAGCTCCTATTGATTCTCAACATAAAACACAGTTTATGTAATACTAAGGTATGTATTAAATATAACACTAATTAGAAATGTATAGTAAGGCTTAGTCTGTTGCATGTATTCGAAATTAATAAGCATAAGTATTCAAATAAATTTGAATTCATAGAGCAAACATGAATTAAAATAAAAGGCTTAATAATCATCTTAGTTACAATAACCATAAGCTTCAGCCTCAAATCAATAATTTACAAATTCTTAAAAAATAGGAAAACCTCAATTAGAAACTAATTAAATTTAATAACAGAGACTTTTTTCTGCTTAAACTAATGAGATTGTTAAGAATGCATAGATTTAATAGAATAAATAGGAGAATATTTAAAAATAAAATAAAATCACAAATAATTATATTGGAAAATAAGAAGATTAAGAAAAAATTTCTGTATATTAAGATTTTAGTTTATAGGATTAATCAAAAGAATTGGTTGATTAAATGAAGAAAGAAAAGGAATAAAATTAAAAGTTGAAGAAAGAGTTGGATTAAACAAAAGATTAACTAAAAAATATAAATAAAGAAGTTGAACAAAAATTGTATTAATTGAATTATAAATAAATAGATTATAAAATCAAAAAGATTTAGAAAAAAAGATAAATGATTTAAAAAATGAATATGTCGAAGATAAAAAGAAAACTGAATAAATGACAGAAGATGTATATTCTAAACTTATTTGCACAAGGTTAAAAAATTGAAAGAATAATTAAAAAGTACTGATTAGTAGACGACGAAGAAATTAGATTAATAAAAGAAACAATATGAATAATAGTTGAAATAATTAGAATAGGTAGCAAAAGAAAAATAGGATTAAATAGAAGAGATAGCATAAGAATTCTAAAATTATAATTTTGAGGAGATTTAAGCAAAAATGGAAGAAATGGCAAATGATAATAATTAGAAAGATTAAATAATAGAAGAGTTAGAGAATTAATTATAAGAGAATGAAAAAGGACAAAAATAAAAGGATGGTTAAGGAGTAGAGAATGAAGAATTATAGAGTTAATTAGAATAAAAAGATTAAGAAATATAGAAATTAGAAGAGTTAATAGAGAATTTTAAATAATTATATTAACATATGTTAGATGAGAAATAAGTATTGGTAGATGAAAATGAAAAATTGGTGAGTGAAAATAATCAATTTAGAGAATTATTTAGTGTATATAATAAAATAGTTATTTAGTAAAATTTGCATTTATTTGGAATAGATCCAAATGATTTAGAAGCTGAGAATGAAGATGAAACTGGAGCAGAAGTTGAAGCAGAGGATTATCGTTAACATGATGATGATGAAAATTGAGATAGATTATTTTATAATGTTTTTTTTTTATTGTTTAATTTTATAGATAAAAATAATAATTATTTAAGATGAAGGTTAGAAAATATTTTGTATTAGTCTAAGAAAATTTATAAACTTCTTTTTATAAAACAGAAAAATACACAATGATTAATTTAGATAAGAATCCTAATTAGAAGAAGTTTATTTTTTAAGATGAAAAGAAAGCATAAAATTTTATATCAAATGTTTAATCTTGTAAAAGTAAAGAAGCTTTTGAAAAACTAGAGATGGATTATTAAATTTCTCAATAACTAATATAATATGAATAAAAAATTAAATCTTGTAAAACATTTTCAGAGAATGAAAGTGAAGAAGGAGTATATATAAATTTAAGAAGGCTTACTTATATTTATATATTATGGAAGAAAGATTCTTATGAGATGCCAAGAATTTATTTTTCATAAGTAACAGCTAAAAAGAATAGTACATAAGAAGATCAATTAGCAAAGCTTTCAGAACCTGAAGCAGCTTTAAATTATATTAGAGATATTCTTGAAACTATAGCTAAAAAAAAGAAGTTAATTTTAAATAGAGATAATAATTAATCAGATAATCAATAAGAATAGAATGAATTTAATAAAGAGAAAGAAGAGTTAAATTTCTCAAACTTAGGTAAGTTGCAATAACTTGATTAGTAATACTCCTATTTATTTTCAAAGTTTTTTATAGATAAATATCAGACTGTCAATATTAATCCAGAATTATAATATGCTATTTAATGCTCTTACTTTATTACAATGCATTTTCATTCATCTATTGGAATTAGTTTAATAAATTATATTTCTGGTGAAAGTTTAAAAAGTTAAGGTATTTATGTTGGGCATTAAAAACCTTATGTTCTTGGATTATTATCAGCACTTTATGGACTAAGATATTGTATATTTTTAGATATCCCTTCAATCACATTGTAGATAACGAAATAAAAAGATTTTGAATTTTTAAATAAAATGATATAGCCATCATATCCATAATAATAATTAGCCATGGCAGCAATTGAAAGCTATTCAAAACTTTTAAAACAAGTTAATTTTGAATTAGTTGATTAAGAATAAGGTTAAGAATCATTTAAATCAGCAGTAAAAGAATTTGAAAGATATGCAAATTTGAAAGAAAGAAGCAAAAAATTTCGTAAATTTTAAGATAACGATTGAAGAGTTTTTATATATAATATATATATCTTAGATAATCATTTTGGTTTCTCTGCTATTAAAAAATAACATTCAAATGGAAATGGTTTGTTTTCTTTTTTATAATCATTTATCATTTTTTCTAAGGATTTATAAAAAATATCTTGTTGTTCTTATGTAGAACCAGCTAAAATTACTTCAATTTCAGGATTGAAAAAATCTTCAATTTTATTCATACTCAAAATATCAAAAGGAGCCATTTGTTACCAACAAACTAAAAAAATATAAAGAATGAAACCTAAATTTATAAATCCTGTTTTAGTAGCTAGTTAAATAAGCTCATCTGAATTTTGTAAAAATTTACCTCCTCCTTACATTCGAATTTTTAATAAACCTGTTTTAATAGCTAATTCCTTTAAAAACCATAAAGCTACACAATTTTCTCTTCTTCCCCAAACAGTAATTCCTAACTTACCTCCTGGTTTTAACACTCTAAATGCTTCAATCATAGCTTTTTCTTAATTTCCAATTATTTAATAAACAAGATTGCAAATATAAATATCAAACATTTCATTCTAATATTGGCTTAAGTCTTCTACACTTCCTACTGATAAGTGATAATTTATTTTCTTAAATATTTCATCATCTAAATTAATTAAATCAATATTTATATAAACCAAAATTAACTAAATCCACTTCCTCTTAAGTTAATAAATCTAAAGAACCTATTTTCTCTTAATTTAAAAATCTCTTCATCCTTGCTCCAGCTCTCTTTACCATTTATGAACTCAAATCAAATCCATATAAATGAGCTTCAACTTTCTTTTAATTGATCATAAGTTAATGTAAATATCCAGCACCACATCCTGCATCCAAAATACTTTTATTTATATTTCATTCTTATACTTTTCAACCTCTTCATAATGTAACATATTCAAAAGTGTCATACAAAACACAGATGTATTTTTTTAGATTCTTCTAGCATATTTATCACTGTAATCATCCCAATTCTATACTGTTCTAAAAACTACGTCTGATTACATAAATATTAGATTTATTAATAAAGATTTGATTATTAATATTTGTTTTATATTATGATTACTCTTATTTAAATATCTATATAATTACAAATAATATAATATTTCTATCAATTTTAGTATCAAATTTTCAGATTTATTTATAGTTACTTATTCTCTCAAAAAATAAATAATATTTAATAAAAATGTTTACTTAAATAAAGATCATTAAATATATATATATATTTATTTAAAATGATGAATAACAAATAAAAAGACAGATACTCAAATACGACTTCTTCTATGTAATATTTCTATTTTTTATCTTAGGTATATTAAGTCCACCATATCCAACCCAAATGTTAAGTCAATCATCTAGGCCGTTTCTACAATCTTACATTCTTAGATGTAAGAAGACTAAGAACAAGGAAAATAGATTCCTAAAACTTCAGAATTGTATTTCTTTAGTGAAGAAAAGTATATTGAAGAAAAACCAGAAGAATTTGATGAATAAAGAAAGGTTGTCACTTAATTTAAATAATTTAGTTATTATTAAGAGAACCACCTAGTGTTGATAATATCTATGAATTCATGAAAGCACTTTATGATTGTGCATAGTAATAATTTTAAATATATTCTCTTTAGATTCAGTCCAGAATGTTGTATCATTTGTTTAGTATATATTAATCGATTGATTGCATTTACAGGATTAACATTAAATCCTACTAATTGGAGACCCTTATTATTAAGTTCATTGCTAGTAGCCTAAAAGGTATGGGATGACAAATATTTATCAAATGCTGATTTTGCATTCATCTATCCTTTCTTTACTACACAAGTAATTATATTGTTTGAATTCTAGGAAATTAATAAATTAGAAGCTAAATTTTTAGAATTGCTTTAATATAATGTCACTGTTAAAGGTGATTTATATGCTAAATATTATTTCGAATTAAGAGCCTTATTCAAAGGAGATCAAGAATTTCCACTCTATCCCTTAGATGTTACATAAGTAATTTTATTAGTCAAATATTAATAGTCTGCAAGTTTAGAAGCTAGATCAGCAGATGTCTAAAAATAAGAGAAAGAAAAAGCAGAAAAGCTATCCTTAACATACAATGATAGATAAACCAGAAAACCCGCTGCAATCATCAATTGATATAGATTATTTCATATGCATATTAAAATCAACTTAATTGATTCTCTTTTTATTATATTATATTTTAAAATTAAATAAATATTCTATAAAGCTTTAATAAAAATCATTATAAAATATTTTTCATAATTGTGCATCATATTAAAGTTTTTATATTGGACAGAAATATGCAATAATGCTTAAATATAATAATATATCAATTTTAAAACAAAATAATTAGACAATATAAATAATTTAAAAAGTTAAATTCATCAGAAACATACTATTTTAATAAACAAATAGATTATAGATATTTTACTCAAAATTGATAAATCTTATCTAAAGTACTATTTCAGTTAATAAATAAAAGGAATATAGAAATAATAAAGGAGATATCAGCATTATAAATAGATCCGTCTATGTAAAATATAAAATATTGGAAATAATAATGTAATACTGCGCTCTAATATATATATTAAATCTTCAAATGAATCCAATAAAATAGAAACAAGTTGTTTGAAAAATATTAAAACTTCCATTAATCTAATTGTTTAACGAATTGATTAGTTATAAAAGTAATTGATAAATGTTTAATGAGTAAACTTAAATGAATTTGTAGATACAGTGATAAAAAATGATGTAACAAAAGAGAAAGAAAATCTAGAACATAATAAAAATATGATAAATTATACTAATTTATTTAAAATATCAAATGGATAATATTATGTAAGCAGCTCTGATTCGTTTCGATATGGCAGCAAATGATGGCAAAGTTAATGCTGAATAGGTGATAAGCATACTTTAAAGTTTAAATTATAATCCTGGTGATATTACAAAAATTGTTTCTCAGATTACCTCCGATATTGGTATTTTAAATAATAATTTAAGATGTACATCAATTTAAGGAGTTATTAACTTAAAAAGAAGAGCCAAAGTAAGAAAAGTTAAGCACTTCCTAAATTAGATAAATAGAAGAGGAATTCAGATAAGCTGTAAAGTATGGAAATGTTGATAAGGTTCTTTAGTATTTGAGTAAATATCTAAGAGTATTTCTTGATTAGATAAATATCAAAGTTAAATAGATCTAGCCAACAAAATGGAACTTTAAAATAGATAAATTCCTACTTATGATGCAGTTTAAGCCCCAACTGAGTCTTAAGCTTATTTAATACTTAAAACATTATATGAACATGGATCTGATATTCATTATAGAGATGCCATGCAACAATCTATTATGTTTTATATATGTAGAGATGGAAGATGTTAATTATTTGATTTCTTAGTCTCTAAAGGATTGAGTGTTAATGAATAAGATTGGAATGGTCAAACACCTATTTTCTATGCAGCAAGAGAAAATAAAGTTGATATTTTATCAAGATTGATATAACATGGAGCTAATGTTAATCATAGAGATAAAATAGTAGATTAAACTGCATTATTTTATTCTGCCAAAGAAGGATAATTGTAAGCATGTTAACTTTTAATTGATGTAACAATTCTATTATTAATCAAACTTAGGCTGGTTGTAAAATTAGTCATTAAGATGCTACAAAAAAAACAGCCATTGCCTATGCTAAAAAATTTAATAGAAAAGATGTTTATGATCTACTTATATTGGGAGCTTAAAAATAAAAGGATGAAGCTAATTTAAAACGAGATGATGGTCTTTCTAAAGTAGATTCTAAAATTAATAGAAAAAAAAATAAAGAATTTCCTAAATTCTAATACAAATTAATGCATATTGATGATAAAGGTGTCTCAAAAGAAGTAACTAATGAAGATTTTGAAAAATTCACTTAAGAATTCCCTGAAATAGCTAAATTAATTACAAATCCAGATGATACTATAGATGAAACAATGATTTCATCTATCAAAGAAGATCAAATGTGGGATAAAATTGCAAAAAAAATACTTAATTAACTTTGGAAATTAAAATAAAGTGTTTATTTTCATGAACCAGTAGATGTTAATAGATACTAAATTTTAGATTATTATTATATTGTAAAAAATCCGATGGACTTTGGAACAATTAAAGTATTTAAAATATCAATTAATAGCAAAAACTATCAAATAATAGTTATAAATGTTTTAAAGAATTTCATATTGATATGCTTTTAGTATTTGATAATTGTGTACTCTATAATGGAATCCATTCTGAAGTTGGATAAGCAGGAGTTAAAGTTAAATAAGAATATCTTTTAATGTTAGAGTAAAATGGAATCAATAAAAATATATGATTTGCTTGTTTTATTAATTTTGATTTAAATAACATTCTTTTTAAAGATAATATACAATAATCAATATAATTAATATTAAATAATAAATTATAAATAAAATGATTATACCACTCCAAATTGAGCAATCTTTAATTGAAAACAATTCCAAAAGAAAACCATTTAGTCCTCTTGAAATTAATCCAAAATAACACTCGTTGTCTAATAAATTTAATCTACTACACCTTGATATTTTCACTCCTACCTAAACAAAAAGTAGTCATTCAAATCCTAATATTCAATTTGGATTATAAAAATTACTGAAAACAAGTCCTTATGCTTAACTCATTAAATAAAAATCTCAATAACAAATTAATAGTGTTGATAGTTGTTCTCAGAACATAAATAATGGTATTACTCTAACTTAACATTCTTCTCAAAGTAATGTTAAACTTGACTCAAAATCATTAATGACAAATAATTAGAGTAATATCAAAAGAAGAATTCCTAATTGTATGAAAGTTTTTGCTCCTAAAAAATCATTTGAATGTTCTTATTAATTAAATTCAAATAATAAAGATAAATAGACAATTCAAGCTCTTTAAGATTTATTAGTAAGAACAACATAAACCTTATAAGGTTATAAAGAATACATCATTAAATGTGAATAGGAGAATATTAAATTAAAAGAGTAAATTTCATGTTTGAAAGCATAGAATTGATGATTTCATGAATAAAATTACTATTATATTTTACAATATTAATAAAAACATTAAATTTTATTTATATTCCAATAACTTAGTGAAATAATGTCAGAAAAAGTTATGAAAGTAGATCCGACAATTTGTATTCAATAAAAACTATTTAGTGATACAAAAAATTATTAGAGAAAATACATATTTAACAGAAATAGATAATAAGTTCGAAAATGATGAATTTCATAATCCATTAAATGTAGAAGAAACTTAATCTTAATTAGTGGATTCAATTTTTGGAAGTTGCAATGTAAAGTCTTAAAAAGGTAATTGTGTTTATAACTATATAAATAGCAAGCAAAATGATTAGTTCATCTGGAAATGTTAAACCAACTTCTAATTAACAATATGGTTCTTTATTTAGAAGTGGAATATCCAATTACACAGTTTCAGATGAAGATGAAATTAAAAATAACTCACAAGAGATTAAAGTATGCAAATAATTCAATTATTAGATTGAGATGGATGATATTAATTCTCTTCGACCTCCAGAATTGAAAAATTAAACAAATTAAATAAATTCGGAAAACCTTAACTAAAAATGTAGATCACTTGAATTAAGTTTGGAAGCTGAGAGAAAAAAAAATTAAGAATTAAATTGTATTTTATCGAAATATTTAAGAAATAATCCTAAGTCAAAATGAAAGAATCGAAGAACTCACAGAAATAGAAAAAGCAGCTTATGAATAAATGGATTGTAGACTTAAAGAAATTTCAGAGTTATAAGCAAAGAATATTTATTTAGAAGCTTAATTGTAAGAATTAAGAGAATTCCATGAAAAAGAATTAAGTAAAAAATTTACCTAAAATATAATTTAGAAACAAGAATAAAAGGATTTATGGATTCTAATAACACTTCATAAATGAATGCAATGCTTTGTATGTTTTTTTTACTATATTTCCTTAGAAATAAAAGAAAAATAAATTTAATTATTGTAAGGTTAATTAAGTAGTCTTAGAGCTGCTACTTAATATAGATCTTAAGGAAGTTATCATAGTGCTTAAAGCCATGATAATACTTAAGATAATAAAATTGTAAATAATATAATAAACAACACTAATAATAATTAGATTATCATTAAAAATGAAATATTTTAAAAAGGAATGTCTTCCTTATCCTAAAAACCTAAAACATCCACTCCTAAAAAATAATAAATTATTAATCAGGATTCCTAATCTACTTAAAGATCAAAAAAAGGGCTTAATCATAATAAATAAAATTCAAAAGATTCAATAACTTAACCAAGCTCGTGGCTAGATCATTTATAAAAAAAGAATGATGAAAAACTCAAAAAATTACAAAACCAAACATCAGAAAAAGAATTACAGTAAACGAATTTGAATACATCAATAAATGACAATGTAAATAAATATATGCATGCTGATAGTATAACTTTAATTGATAATAATTAGTGAAAATTACTAAAGTTAATAGTCCTGCATTTTAAAGAAAAACTACTTATTAATTAACATCAGATAATGATAATTAAGATCAAGATTTTGTGAAACAAAAAAGTCTATAGAAAAAATGATAATTAAATATTTACTTATCACATTAAAATTATAATTTTATTTATTTGATAATTCGAAAATAAATTAAATTTATGTTTACAAAGCATTTAATATGATATGCTTATCTTAATTAAAGATTTTTTTAACATATTCACAATAATATATAAACAAAAATGAAAATGTTTGTCTTCTTAAATTATTAATCCAAATTAAAATTTCTGAGTATGCTAAGTCTGCATCTGTATCAAGACTTTTGCTTTTAAATTAATTTTAATTTCCATATAAAAATGTTAACATTCTTAAATAGTACTTAATAGTAACCTAGCACATGAAATTAAAATGTCTTCTAAAATAAATTATCTATTTCTATAATAGAAATATTCATTTAAAAATTATACTTAAAATTATATTATTAATTTTGATGGTTAATGAATTAAATGAGGATTTTTTAATGTTATAACACAACATAATTTTTGGATATGATAAAAGCAAAAAATTTAAATAAAATTTGAGTTTGTAAAATTAATGATGGAAAAAACAGTGAAGACAAAAAAGTGAAAAGTATAATAAAATTTGAATTTTTGAGGATGCTTCCAAAATTTTATATTATTCATTTATCAATAGATGATATCAAATGACAGAAAAGCTAAAATATAAACAAAAAAATATAGAACAAGATTCAAAATTTAAGCTATTTACTCTAAATTGCATTTTTGTAAAAAAAAGCATAAAAGATTACATTTCGAGAACAATGAGAAGAAAGATAATTCAAATATACCTTATTATGTAATATAAAAATAACTTGATGATAAAAAGAAATATCAATTCGATAATAAATCATTTAAACAAGAATAATTTTTAATAATATTTGAAAGGGATTAAAAGTGTATTGAAAGAGGGATTCAAAAAAGCTAAGTGTTGATAATTATAAAATAAAAAAAATAATGAAGAAAACAAAAATTATCAGATTAAGAAAGGTGGTCGAAGGACTGACTCTATATATACGGATTTTGATATTTAAATGTATATTGATAAAATAGTTTATCTTAAAATATAATTTTAGAAAGCATTGTACTTTATGATCTAATAAATTAGATAAAGCTTTAATGAAAACAATTAAATATTTTAAAGTAAATAATAATGGGGAATGGTTGTTCTGATTAAAGAGAAATGACATAAAAATCTATATCAATTAGACAAGACTCATTTCCATAAACAAAATAAAGTGATTTTGTTCAGATAAGCTGTTTTGCTCCATCAAGCCAATTAACCTAAGCAGAAACACCTCATGCCTTACTCCCATCTCCATCAAGATAAAGTATTTCATTTGAGAATACAATAACTTCAAAAGTAAGAGTACCATCAGAAGAGAGTTTGTTTTAACAATAATTCACTTAAATTATTGAAAATAACACAATCATAACATAAAAGAGCAAAAAACCGATTAATTCATAGATTTAATAAAAGAAAAAAGAGAAAAAAAACAAACAGGCAAGTCAAGAAATAATACCCAAACACCGCTCTTTTAGTCCTAAAAAAGAAAAGAAATAATAGATATCTCCGCAAAAAAATATTAATTAGTCATCAAAAAATCAAAATAATACAATTAGAAATAAATCCTCCTCATTTCAAAAAAAAAATGTAAATTAAACAAATGAAATTGTAATTATTTCAAGAAGAAAATTTTCAGATCTGCCTCTAAAATCAGAGGTTGCTTAATCTAAAGGAAAGATTAGTAATACAAATGATGAACATAATGTTTAGGTGAGTTGGGATAATATATCTAAAGTAAAATCATTTAGCCCTAGTCCAATTTTAAATAGAAAAGCTTCTGATAATGAAACAGTCACTTTAAAGAAAAAGAAGGTTCGATTTCATGATTAAGATAATATTAGATATGGTTTTGCAAATTGAAAAGGTTTGGAAAAGATGAATAAATAATAATATGATTTTATGATCTAATTTTAATTTAAATAATGCCATCATTTACGTAAATTATATCTTAATATGTTAAATAAATAATAAAATTAATGAAAATGATTGAGAGTAAATTAAAAAGGATTATTAATTTATAATAATAATTATGTAAAAATTAAGACGAGAAGCAATAGAGAGAGCTAAACTAAATTCAGCTTGTAATACAATAATTAGTACGTTATTGGTCGTTTTGATCACTCTTCTTGGGCTTTTTATATGTGATCTTTCAGGGATAATACAATTGGATAAACCATTATAATATATTTCTGCAGCAAATGCAATAAAAGATTAAATACCTGAAAGAAATTTTATTTCAGCATCTTAGACAGGCACACTTGAACCATTATAAGGATAACATATAGATAAGATTGATGTGATAAAACCATTAATTGATCATAGAGCTTATCGATATTTAGAATTAGAGAATAATTTAAAAGTGTTATTAATACATGATCCAGAATCTGAAATAGCATCAGCAGCTATGGATGTAAAAGCAGGATCTTGGAACGAACCATATGAATATCCTGGTTTAGCTCATTTTTGTGAACATATGTTATTTATAGGATCATAAAAATATCCTTAAACTGGTTATTTTGATGATTTAATGGCAAAAGGTGGAGGATCATCAAATGCATATACAGAAGCATAAAATACAAATTATTATTTTGAAATTACTGTAAATCATTTAGGAAAAGGATTGGATGCATTTGCACATTTTTTTATTGATCCATTATTTAATGAAGATGCTGTGAATAAAGAAAGAAATGCAGTTAATTCAGAATATGAAATAGATGTAAGTTCTGAAGATTGGAAGGTTGTTAATCTTTTTGCACTTTTGGCTGATCCTCAACATCCAGCTAGTAGATTTAGTATAGGAAATAATGATGTTTTGGCTAAAGAAGGTGTAGTTGAAGCACTTAAAAAGTTTTATTAAGATAATTATTCATCTAATATTATGAGTCTTGCTGTTTCAAGTAGATTATCTTTAAATGAAATGGAAAAATTGATTAAAGTATTCTCTAAAATTGAGAATAAAAATTTGATACCATAATCAGTTTCAGGATTTCCTTATTAATTTGGATTATTAGGTAAATATAAAACAGAAAAGAAATTAATTTTATTAAATTGGTAATTAAGTGGTAGAGAATAATTTGTTCATTAGAAACCTTTAGAATTAATTGATTATTTATTGAGTAATGGAAATCTTAAAGATTATTTGAAAGAGAAATAATTAGTGATTGAATTTGAAACTTCAATATTTATTGAATAAAATCATTTTGTTAATTATATTATAGAGTTAACTTTACCTGAATAAACTCTTGAAGACGGTAATATTGCACTTGAAATTACAAGGATTATTAATAATTACATTTAATAATTAGAAGTATGGTTAAAAGATGACAAATATTTAGAAGAAATATTTAAAGAACAAAGTTCAATATCTAAAATTAACTTTGAATATATGGAAGGAACTTAAGAAATTTCAAATATTGCATATAATTTAAATAAATATTAACCTGCAGAAGTACTGTCATCTAGTTTTATTATGGATGTATTTGATAAAGATCTTATATTAAAATATATTTCAGAATTGAAAAAAACAGATAATTTATTAATTTTAATTGGAGATGATGAATATTAGTTTACTGAAAATACATTAAAAACAAATAATAAAGAATTCTTAAAAGATAAAAGATTAGATAAGAAGAGTGAAATCTATCGTTTAGAATATGCAACTTAGAAAATGAATAAAGATATTATCAAAATTATTACTTAAAAAGATTTAAAATTATAAAAATTATTCATTAAACCTTAAAAAAATTTATTCATTCCAGATAATTTAAAATTGGTGTCGTTATGTGATTCAAATCAATCTAAATTACCATAAATGATTCATACTGATCAATTAAAATACTAAGATAAGGAAAGTAAAATGAATTTATTACATCATGCAGGATTAGATTTATAGGAATTTCCAGTACATTAATGTAAGAAAGAGGAAAATGAATATTAGAAAAAAAACCATTATCCAATTCTTTTGAATAAAGAAAAAAATTAATGGTGGAAAATTTCTACAAAATTTAAATTACCTACTGTTTCTGGTGCTATATTTATATAATATACTAAGCCATTAACTATAAAATAATTTACATCAATTAGAATTTACAATTTTATTTCAGATGAAGAAATTAATAAACAACTTAGGTAACCCTTAACAACTGGATACTCAATTGAATTGGATATGGGTAAATAAATTGAAATTAAAGTTTATGGATTTAGTGAAAAAGTTAGAAGCTTTTTTAAAAAGATTTGTGGATGTATTAATCCATTTAGAGATAAATCTAAAAGTTTTATTTAGTTAGATGATAAAAAAGAAGAATCTTCTAATTTCATCAGAGCTAAACAATCACTTATTACTTCAATAAAAGATATATTTTAAATGAAGTTATATGAATAGTCATATTAATTATATCTTCCTTCCATTTTGAGAAAAGATTTCTTCAATCCTGAATAAGTATTATAATAAATTCCAAATATTACAGAAGAATAGATGTTTTCAGATATTAAAGATATACTTTAAAATTCTATTTAAGGTTCACTTTTAATTGGAAACATTGATCAAAAAAATGCTTAAGATCTTTCAACTGAACTTGAAACTTGTATTTATAAAAAAGAAGAAGCACAAAATTAAAAATCAAATAGATTACCAATTTCAGTTTTGAATTTAAACTAAAAAAATTGGGTATATGCTAAATTTGTAGAATCAGATAAAGGAGATTTAAATGGAGTGACATTAAATTATTATTAAATAGGTTAAAGAACTTAAGAAAATTATGCCTTAATGAAAATTCTTTAACCTTTACTTAATTCTCAAGCTTATAATAATTTAAGAACTGATTTATAATTAGGATATGTTGTTACAATGAAATTCAAGTAAGTAAGTTGTATTGATGGGGCATTATTTTTAATTTAAGGTAATAAAGAATTACCAATGAAAGTGAATGAATTAATTGAAGAATTTCTATTATAATTTAATGAATATCTAAAAAAATTGAATAAAAAATAATTTGAATATTTAAAACATAGTGCAATTGTTGAATTAAGAGAAAAACCATAAACTTTAAGTGAAGAAGCTGATAGATTATGGGGATACATTAGTACAGGAGAATATAATTTTGAGGAAAGACAAATAACTATTGAAAGACTAAAATCAATTACAAAATAATAAGTATTAGAATTCTACGAAAATGTATTTATAAATAATAAATCTAAAATAAGTCTTTAATTATATGGGTATCTATATTATAAAAATATCAAATAGGGAAGGAATGGTATCCTAAACACTAAGCTTGAAGAACAATTAAGAGTTTGATTCTTATATAAAAACTAATATGCCTGATGGTGCTTAACTTTATTCTGATATAAAATTGTCATATTATGATTGTCCAAATGATGTTAGCTCAGTTTGATTATATACATAATATAATTCTTCACTATAATAATAAATTATTACTTTTTGAAAAAATAGATAAAAAAATTGTATTGTAATTTAGAAATTATATTAAATTTAAATCAAACTCAAAAGAAAATGATTCCTTGTTTATTATCAATGATTTTTGGCACAATCTCTACAATGATATTTGGATTTTATTGGTATTCAATAATATTTCTGGATCGTTACTTAAAAGAAGCAAACATTAAATAAAATAATGAACATTAATTAAATGATTAAAATAGTGGACCTATGATTTTAGAATTATTGGCAAGATTCATATAAGCATCATTAATCACTTACTTATACAAACTTCTTAAAGGAAATGTAATATTAATAAATTAAAATAGAACGAAAGAGATTTTGGTTTGGCGCTATCTTTGGCTGTGTTTTTTTTTGTCGGTTTTTAAGTATAATATTATACTTCAAAAGTTGTTTGGGAGTAAAAAACTTGGAATTACTTTTTTATAAAAGTGACTGAACAATTTATATCACTTTCCACTCTTTCCATAATTGCATACATTTTTGTATCATGAAAAATAATTAAAAATTTTGTACATCAAATTTTTATTCTTTAAATTATTCAATATATTAATTTATTAATAGGAAAAAATAATTATATATTAGAAAGAGTTGAATTAGTTCCTTATTAAATTGTAATGCACTAAAAAAATATATAAAAAATGTATGTCATTTCTTCTTTCTTTCAACACCCAAAGTTTAACCTCCTCTACCAGTTGTTTTTGTATGTTATCCTCTTACTCTCAATCCCCAATGATGTCTCAAACCTCGATTACATCTAAATTCTTAAATATTATAAATACTTTATTTTTTTCATTCTTTCTAAGTCTTCTCTAAGTTTTGTTTCAAGTTCATTTGTTGTTACTTAATAGTTCTTACCATCCTTAAAATCACGCTATCTATTAAGGAACCATTTAGGAATATTATATGCTTCTGGAGCTTTTATGACTTCTGTAATCTTGTGAGCTTCTTCATCAGTAAGTTCACCTGCTCTCTTACTTAAATCAAGTCTTAAAACCTAAACAATAATATTGAATCAAATATACTTTGCAAATTTATATCGCAAATCTTCTGCCTATACCTTTAATGCTTCTTATTCCATAAGCAAGACGTTATTTACCATCAACATTCGTATTTAAAATACGAATAATGTGTCTAAATTGATCAGCTTTTTCTAAAACAATACTCATATATGTTGTTGTAAAAAGATTTTAATTATTTTAAAATCATTACCATAAAACTTATTCAAAGATAAGATAAGATCATATTTATACACATAATTATAAATAGATTAATATAATGAATATTTATATAGAAGCATATCCATTTTTTATTGTTTTATTAAATTTACTAGTCTATATATACTTAAATATATTTACAATAGATTAATAAACTTGATGAAATTTAATAGCATTTTATGTAAAAATAATGAAATTAATTAATAAATAAAAATGGCTAGCAAATCTCAACCTCCCATATAAGAAAAAACTTTTCATGAATGGTCCAAAAATAACTTCTACAGAACAAGTTATATCAATCATTACACTCAAGTAAACAAATGGATTAATTTTATTAAGCTTCCATAAGAACCTAAAAACACTGCAGTACCTGGATATGCAGGTTATGTGCCATATGTTTAATCAGAGAATTTATATGGCGAGAGATTTTCTGAAGTCGCTAGAAAATCATATGCAGACTAGAAATTAGGAAAATTCAATAGATTATCGTCAACTGGATTTAATTTTGATCAAAAAGAATTAATTGATATTCATAAGGAAGCTTATTCGCATAAATATGGATGTTAAACCTTATTGAAAAATCATCCTTGCACTCATATTAATAAGATGATCACCTCTTATCAAGACGGTTTTAAAAAGCCATAAGAACTTGTTGCTCCAACGTATAAAAGAATTATAATAAATTAGATTTCGTAAGACTGACAGATATTTAGAGACTTAATAAGCTTAAACTAAGACATCTGGATTTTAAAAGAATCATATGTAATTTGATGGATCAGGTTGGATTCCTCATGATAATATGAATGGTTTATTATTTTATTTTTTAATTTAGGTGATTAAGTGAGAACGGAATACAGAATTTAATATAATTAGGAAAAACCATTCCATAGAAACCCTATACAATTCAAATTAAGAAAAATGAAGCAAACAGAAATGAATTATAAACATACCTGAATTCAATTGAAAATTTTCATTAATATAAGTGTCATCATTTTTAATTTTTATAATGTATATTTTGATTTTAAGAAAATTGATAAATTTTACATAATAAAAATCTTAAGAATATGAAAAGAAAATTAATAGAGAAACATGGTAGAATAATAAAAATATTAAAGGAAGAAGAAAATATAATTAAGAATAGATAATTTGAATATAAATATGATAGATTAGTCAATTACATAGGATTAATTAATTGTTGTAGAATAATATAGAGAATAAGAATGAATAAATAGAGTAATAATTAGTTTAAATAAATAATAAAAGTGATAACTTAAGGTAAGATTGATTGAGAGATTGAAAGGCTTATAGTAATAAATAGAATATTGTAATGATTGTTTGAAAAAGATGTAGAAAAAGTTAAAAAATAATTTTTATATCACTTAATGAACTATTTTAAAATGAAATTATTAAATGTTATAATAATCAGACAAAGACTTCACACTTGAGTAAGTGGTTGGAACAGGGACTTTTGGTATGGTACACTTGGTATGTGTGAATAGAATAATAGTTAGGCTACTGATAATAGAACAAAGGAGAAGGTAGCAATTAAGAAGGTGTACTAAGATCGTAGATACAAAAATAGAGAGCATCTTATCATATAAGAATTAAATCATCCCTGTGTAGTTATGTTACGTCATTCATTCTTTACTCCTGGAGAGAATGTATATTGATTTTAATATTGCTAATGTAGCCATAAGATGTGTACCTTAATCTTGTAATGGAATATGTACCTGAGACACTTTCAAAGTTGATACGTTAGATACGCAAGCAGAAGCAAACCATCCCATCTATATAACTTAAGCTTTACAGTTATTAAATGCTTCGTGCGCTGCTCTACCTGCAGGGTACTGAGACTTATCCCAACTAGCCATCGGAATATGCCATAGAGACATTAAACCCCAGAATATCCTGATCAACCTTGAAACCAATGTCCTCAAAATTTGTGATTTTGGCTCTGCTAAAAGACTTGTAGTTGGAGAACCTAACATTGCGTACATTTGTTCTCGCTACTACAGAGCGCCAGAATTAATTTTTGGAGCTACAGATTATACTACTCAAATAGACATGTGGTCTATTGGTTGTGTCATCGTAGAAATGATCATTTTAGAACCTATCTTTCCAGGAGAAAGTGCCCAAGACCAGTTATTATAAATTATCAAAATTCTTGGAACACCTACTCCTGAAGTCATCAAATAAATGAATCCAGCCAAAGCAGAAGTCAAATTACCTATGATTAAAGGAAATCCATGGTCTAAAGTTTTAGCTAAACATAAACCAGATCTATTATTTTTAGATCTTATTTCATAAATGCTTACGTAAATTTTATCCTTCTTTATCTTAGTTATTCTCCAAAAGCTAGAATTCAACCTATTGATGCTCTCTTGCATCCATACTTTGATGACTTAAGAAAAGAAGAATTTGCCAAATCAAATATCAAGTCACCGAATTTATTTGACTTTAATAAACAGGAATTAAGTATTAGACCAGAATTCAATTCTAAACTAATCCCATAATGGTATTCAAAGCTAAATACCTGATTAAGTTCCAAAATAAATATATATATGTAAATATATGCTCTTTTATCTCAAAGTGTAATAAACACCTTTTCTTTCATTTTTATACAAATACATTCATTTTTTAAACTCTTTACACAACTCTTTTTCTATTATTAAATTTTATTAACTTTACCTCATAATTTTATTCTGCAAAATCAAGAAAACTTTTATTCTATCAAAATAATTCATTCTCTATATTCATTTATACTACATCAAAATGTTATTATTCTCAATAACAATAATTTTTTACTTAAAAATCCAATTTCCAAATTTTACTATTTAAACATAATATTTCAAAACATATTAGAATAAGGTTGTTAAATAAAAAATAATTTAAAATTAGTTAGTTAGATAGCTGAAACAACTTTAAAAAATTATGAATAAATTAAAAGAAAAGAAAGTTATTTGTTTTTAGAAACAAATTAAAAATGAAAAAATTATAATTAATTTTCAATTTTTTACCTTAATAATTTTTAAGAATAAAAAAATATAAATTACTAAAATGCAATCAATGAAAAAATATAATTCGAACTTATTTTATAAGGTAAAACATCACAATTATTCCAATTTTTTATGATCAACAAGGGGATTATTTTTTATAAGTTATTATTTAGCCTTTTCTGCATGATCGAAAGTACATTAATGTTCCTCTGGCAAACGATGTTTATTGCAAAAATATGCCTCACATTTGCATTGTATACCTGATATTCCCAATTTTTTTTTACAAATTTTACATTTGGATGGGTCTTCCTGAAAAAGTTTAAATACAAAAATTTTACTTTCAACTTTACTATTTCATTTTGTTATTATATTTCTTAAACTACCTATTATTATAATTAGTTTTTTATAGGACTTTCTTTTTTTATTGATCTTAATAATAATTAATTCAAATGATTACTAGTAGCATTTTGAACAATAAAATTATGTTGCAGCTGTTCCATAGAAAGTTTAACATAAAGTACATGGTCTTGATTCTGGCTTATTCTCTTAATTAATTGATTATTCTTGAGTTGCTGCACCTTGATTATTTTACATTTATATTAATAAATCTAATTAATACTAATCTCAAATGAAAAATTTTTATTTATAATCAAAAAGTAAAAAATTTTAGAAAATCCTGAAAATCAATTTAATCTGGATTATTTTCATTGAATAATTTACATATCTTGTCCAAATCAGTAGTCACACTTATTTTAAAACTAACAATATGATAAGAAACTAATTACTATTATAATAAATTAAGAAGATCTCTTTAATCTAAATAAATAGAATGTGCGATATCTTCAAATAAATTTAAAAATGATTGTTTTTTCTATTTAATAAAATGTCTTTTCAATTTAAGTAATTCTTCTTCATCTAAAACAGTAATTGTTAATAATTTTGAAATGAATAAGGCAAATTCTCGACAGTCTTCAGAGTATGGAGGCACAAATTATGTTTATGATGATGTTTATGATTGCTATCTAGTTTAAGCCATAGTTGACATTTAAGAAATCTATTGCATTTCAAAAGTAAATTCATCTATAAATTCTACCATGCTTATAAATCCATCTCCATCTTTGTCCATTCTTCTAAAAATATAAATCAAATCATCATTAGAAGTTTAAAAATTAAACTGTTATGATAGATATTTTTTTAATTTTATGACATCTATAAAACCATCAGAACTTGAGTCAATTTACTTATATATATTTAAAATATCTGATTGGCTTAACTCTTTTCTTAATTCAATTAACATAGTATCCATAATTTATTAGGTCTAGATCAATTCTGATATTAGAATCTTACAAAAATGATGATTCTTTGTTTCTCCCAATTTATTGAGACTTTTTAGTCTGAATGGAAATATGAATTACAAAAACTCCTAGTAATCTTTGAAAATTTCTTTATCAAATTCTATATTCTCATCAAAATATTCGGCTATCATTTATCGAATGGTTTCCTTTCTTTATTCCTATTAGCAAATTGTATAGAAATATTTAACAACTATTTTCATTTTTATATATATATATTAATAATTTGATAATTAATATGTTTCATTATTCAAAATCCTCATCTTCATATTCTTTCTAACTCTTGTTTTATGGCTCACTAATTTAATTTTCTGATTACTATTAGTCAAACTATTAATCATTATATTCATCAAAATTATCTTATTCATTCTATTCATTTTCATACTCATCCTATTATTCATATTCTTAATCTAATCTATTTTATTCCTCTTCTAATCTCTATTTATTTAATTGCTCTTATTATAATATTCTCTCTTCTTCCTCTTATTATTCTCTTAATTTTCTCAATTTTTCTTCTTCTTCCTTTTATAATCTTAATAATTCTTGTTGTCTTAATTATTCTTATTGTTTTCTCAATTTCTCTTCTTCTTCTTGTTTTCTCATTTCTTCTAATTATTTTTACATCTTTGCTTCATTTTCTTATTTAATTCTTTCTTCTTCTTCTTACCTCTTTCTTTCCTCTTCTTCTTCTTTCCATTATTATTCTAATCTTCTTTATTCTTCTTCCTCTTTTTCCAATTCTAATTACCTTTATCTTTCTTACTCTTCTTACAATTATTATAATCTTCTTTACTCTTCTTCCTCTTTTTATTTTTTTAATTATTATTATATAAGCTCTTCTTATTTTTATTTTTATTGTTATTTAATTTAAAAATCGTTATTGTTTTAATTCTATTATTCTAAATTTGTAGACTGTTTTTATTATTCTTTCTCTTTTGGTAAATCACTTTCACTTTTAGTTTTTTAAGCCACTTGTAAATCTATTAAAAATATTAAATTTAATCTTTACCAATATAAAATAATTCAAATATTTTTTTGTAATTAATACGAATTAATTCTTGTGTTAATTCATAATTCTTCAATAACATAAACTCATATTAAGTAGAATTAAATGTTTATTCAACAAATTTAAGAGCTTCTTCAAGATCTTCAACAGAACAAAACTCTTATCTCTTTTTTGATCTCAAAATAAAATCTTCTAAAGAATTTCTATATTTAGATAAAACAGTTGCAATCTCATAAAAAAGTTAATCTTCTTCATTTTTCTAAAATATTAATTCAATAAGTTTACTTCCAAAAGAGAGTATTTACCAATTAAATTTTTCAATATACTCTTGGCTCTTGCTATAAGACCTTCAGTTAACATACTAAACTCTACAAATCTTTCATCATTATCCTCAATTAAATATCTAGCAACTTTAAGACTATCAATTTCATTTAATAAAAATGGTTCAGCTTATAACATTTCATTCAATTCTTCAATTCTAATTACAGAATGAACATCCCCATGAATAAACTAATTTAACAATCTATAAATACATTATCAATCTTTTCAAAAGGTACTTTCATCGCTTTTAATTTGAATTTTATTTATTTACATATCAAACTTACATCATCCTTAGTAACACAAGGCAATAGTTTTTTTTTTTAATCTATTATTTCAGGACCCTCAGGAAGAATTTCAAGTTTATTTTCTAAGAAACTATTATTTTAAACAGTTCTTCTATAAAATAATCAAAACGATTTTTTACCTTCTTCCTGATTACATAGCAACTTCTTCCTTTAATGAATTACATTATTCACGTAATTATTACCTTTCTCTCTCTAATTGATCAATTATCTATTATTATTCTCTTTCTAGTTCTTTCATTCTTTTATCTAACTCTGCATATTGAGCATCCTTAGCCTTCAAACTACTTATCAAAGTGTCTATTTACACTTATTTTTAACTAGCAATATAAGGATGATTAGTACTCAATATCTTATTTTAATTATTATTCATTCTCAGTAATTTTGTTTTATTTCTTATATTCTGGATCTTTAAATTTTAAACTTTCTATCTAACTTTTCAAATATTGATTTAATTTATCCTTTTTAAGTTTTTCATTATAATACATGGTAGCTTTTGAATCAGATTCTTTGCATTTAACTTTTAATAATTTCAGTTCATCCTCTAATAATTTATATTCAGCTTTAAGTTTCAGGAAATCATTATCGGAATCACTAAATTTCATTCCAATCAAAGCTTTCAATCTTTGTGCTTCTTATTAATAAGATAACAATTCAATTTCCAATTCTTTAATTTTCATTGCTTTTGTATTTTTTTACAGAAATTGTATTTATTAATCCTTCTTGATTGATTCTTCTTGCAATCTCCTTAATTATTTCTTTAAATCCATAATTAAATGTTATTTCATAGGTTTATTATCCTAATAAAATGACTCCATAGGGTTGATCATTTGCTCACTTATTGGAGTTGCTCTAACTATTCTTTGCAATTCTTCCTATAAGTCTTAATTAATTTTACATCCATCATTTTAATCTTTGTATTCAGAGCTTAGTTCTCTCTTTATAGATTGTTATTTATTTATTTTGCATTTATAACTTCTTCATATAAAGATTCTCGGTCATATAAAATTGCCTATGGAATCATCTTCTATCTCTTCTATTACAAACTGTTTCTCTATTGATCTTGAGTAATTGGCCTAATTTTCATTCCTGTCTATAATAAGCACCACTACTCTTACACTTTTATCCTCAGTCTCCAAAGTACCTAAATTCATTTATTATCGTTTTCTTTATTCAGTTTAAACCTGTCTCTTTGACGTAAATGATGTTCCAGGTCTCTCCTCTACGTTCATATTTAATTTTGATTTTTTATTAAATGCTTTTTATAAAACAAATCACTAATTTCCATTATTTCAAAAAATTTGTGAATTCTTACTTATTTCAAGATCAAATTTTTATAAATCTTTATTTTATATAGAAATGATTAAGTCAGATATATTTAATAGTATTTTTAAATTATATTTATCTATTTCATATTTAGATATCTGATTAAATATGATATATTATGATGAACTTTCTAAATTCTATGAATGTTATAATTAATAATTTATAAGATTAATTCTTTCTATATTAAATATAAATTGGCTTTGAAAAGTGTAAAATTAAATACGCAGAAAGTTTTATATAGTGTAAAAATTAAAAAATAAAAAGTGCAAACTCGATCCAGAAATCAACAGAAAAATATTTATACAAGAATAAATTGATTACATCATAATTAATATAGAGTTTAAAGATATAATATAAGAATTAGTTAAATATTCAAAAAAATGAATCTGATATAACTAACCTTGACACTATTATTGAATTTTCCTTTATTAATTCGAGGTAATGAGCTTTATACGAGATAATGGGTTAAAAGAAATTTATAGGATATATAATAATGTTTGACAAATCAGTTTCTGAATAATGACTTATGTGAAAGTTAATAATTGTTGATATACTTTAGATTGCCATTATTCATGTTTGGAATGCTCATCTAGCGGTTCATCTAGTTGTTTAAGTTGTTTGAGTGATAGTAATAGATTACTAGAGAATTCAGTTTGCAAATGTAAAGGGAATTATTATGATGAGAATAATGAGTATTTTTGCTAACGTACAATTAAATTGAAGTTAGGTTGTCGTTTTCCATGTTTAGATTGTTTAGGAAAAGGGGAAGAAGATTGTTTAAGTTGTTAAAATTAAATGATTTTATAAGGAAATAAATGCAAATGTGGAGAGCATTAATTTTTCAATTATGTAAACTTCGTATGTGAAGGTATAAATAAAACTATTNTGCCTATGGAATCATCTTCTATCTCTTCTATTACAAACTGTTTCTCTATTGATCTTGAGTAATTGGCCTAATTTTCATTCCTGTCTATAATAAGCACCACTACTCTTACACTTTTATCCTCAGTCTCCAAAGTACCTAAATTCATTTATTATCGTTTTCTTTATTCAGTTTAAACCTGTCTCTTTGACGTAAATGATGTTCCAGGTCTCTCCTCTACGTTCATATTTAATTTTGATTTTTTATTAAATGCTTTTTATAAAACAAATCACTAATTTCCATTATTTCAAAAAATTTGTGAATTCTTACTTATTTCAAGATCAAATTTTTATAAATCTTTATTTTATATAGAAATGATTAAGTCAGATATATTTAATAGTATTTTTAAATTATATTTATCTATTTCATATTTAGATATCTGATTAAATATGATATATTATGATGAACTTTCTAAATTCTATGAATGTTATAATTAATAATTTATAAGATTAATTCTTTCTATATTAAATATAAATTGGCTTTGAAAAGTGTAAAATTAAATACGCAGAAAGTTTTATATAGTGTAAAAATTAAAAAATAAAAAGTGCAAACTCGATCCAGAAATCAACAGAAAAATATTTATACAAGAATAAATTGATTACATCATAATTAATATAGAGTTTAAAGATATAATATAAGAATTAGTTAAATATTCAAAAAAATGAATCTGATATAACTAACCTTGACACTATTATTGAATTTTCCTTTATTAATTCGAGGTAATGAGCTTTATACGAGATAATGGGTTAAAAGAAATTTATAGGATATATAATAATGTTTGACAAATCAGTTTCTGAATAATGACTTATGTGAAAGTTAATAATTGTTGATATACTTTAGATTGCCATTATTCATGTTTGGAATGCTCATCTAGCGGTTCATCTAGTTGTTTAAGTTGTTTGAGTGATAGTAATAGATTACTAGAGAATTCAGTTTGCAAATGTAAAGGGAATTATTATGATGAGAATAATGAGTATTTTTGCTAACGTACAATTAAATTGAAGTTAGGTTGTCGTTTTCCATGTTTAGATTGTTTAGGAAAAGGGGAAGAAGATTGTTTAAGTTGTTAAAATTAAATGATTTTATAAGGAAATAAATGCAAATGTGGAGAGCATTAATTTTTCAATTATGTAAACTTCGTATGTGAAGGTATAAATAAAACTATTTTGATATAGATTGTCATCCTACTTGTTAAGAATGTTTTGGATCTTTGGATTCAAATTGTGTAAAATGTAAAGAAGATAAGAAAACAGTATTGGAATCTAATATTTGTATTTGTAAGGATGGTTACTACAGATCAAATATCGACTATGATTGTTACTGTAAAAATATTGATTATAATATAGTATGCCATCTTAATTGTAAAACATGTTCAGGACCAGGTGATAATGAATGTTTAAGTTGTGATAATAATAACAAAATAGGTAATTCTTGTAGTTGTGTAATTGGATATTATACATAATTGATATCTACATTTAAATAATGTTGGAGTAAGAATGATAAAATAGTTAATTAGAATGCCATTCAATTTGTGCAAGTTGTGATGGTTAAGGAGAGTTTAATTGCTTAACTTGCCATTCAAATGCTACATTATAAGTTAGTTCTTAAATGTGTATATGCAATTCAGGATATGTTTGGAATGGTGATATGTGTGTTTAATGTGATAGTATATGTTCAGGAATGTGTAGATACAACAGTAGTAATTGTTGTATAGCACCATGTGCATGTATAAAAATAAAATAGATTAGATTGTCTTAATCCTCAGTGTTCAGATTGTGATGCTTCATTAGTATGTACAATATGTCCAGCAGGAAAGAGTGGAGTAAATTGTGACATATCTTGTGATGCTAATTGTAAAACTTGTGATATTTCTTCACCAAATACATGTACGTCTTGTGATACCCCTAAAATCTTAAATAGTGGATTATGTGATTGTCCTACTGGATAAGTATTATAAATAACTTCATGTGTGAATGGAAGTAAATAATTAAATTAATTAATTAGGTTGTCCTTCTACTTGTACTAGTACTGGCTGCATTGATGGATATTATGGATATAATTGTGCTTCCACTTGTCATTCAAGTTGCAGAAAATGTTATGGTGGAAGCGATTAAGAGTGTAATAAATGTTAAAATAATGCTTATGTTGGTTCTAATAATAAATGCTAATGCTTTTTTGGATATTATATGGATGCGACATTTAATTGCTTCAAGTGTCATTACACATGTAGAGAATGTTCAAGTTATACACAATGCACAAATTGTGAAAATAGTTTTAGATTGTTAAATTTGTCGCTTAATGAATGTGAATGTATCTCTGGTTACTATGATTATGGAGTTCGTCTTTGTTAACAAAATTGTGGTTTGTTTTGTGGCAGTTGTAATGAGTTACATCCAGGTTATCAATGTTAAGCTTGTGCATTAAATAATACCTATAGAAATAATGATTTGGCTAATAACTGTCCTTGTTAAGCAGGATATTTTGATAATGGTACCTAAATTTGTGAATGTAATTTTAATATTAATTTAGAATGCAATTATAAGTGTTCTACATGTGACAATTCTATTTCATGTATTTAGTGTGAGAGTAATAGAGATCTAATAAATGATTGCAATTGTGATTCTGGGTATGAAGAACAATCTCAAAATTGCGTAGTTATTTCACCATCATCAGTTAATATAATTGGAATCAATTATGATTCTATTATTATGTAAGAATATTTGAGTGAAAATTGTCAACTTACTAATTTTGCTGATAAAGTTAAATGTGAATGTTTAGATGGTTATTTTATGAAGAACTCTAAATGTCTACGTATAAGTCTTATATAATATTAGCATGCCATAGAAATTGTAAGACCTGTTCTATATTCTCAACTAATTGTCTTGAATGTTCTTTTAATATGATCAATCCTCCAACATGTTCTTGTGTTAATGGATATTAACTTATTGATGAAGTATGTATATCTTGTGAATACTAATGCTTATTCTGTTCAAATAATGTATGCACTACTTGTATATCACCTTTGATTCTTGATGATGATAATACCTGTTAATGTTCTACTGGATATTATCTTGATCCAATTTCAAAATTATGTAATAATTGTCAAATTCAATGCAATAAATGCAAATATTAATCAGATTATTGCATATAATGTAATTTTAATAGAATACTCCCTTATAAATGTATTTGTCCTTAAGGTACTTATGAATTATCCTTATCTTAACCATGTTAAAATTGTTCAAAAAGATGTTTTACTTGTGAAATAGATTCAAATAATTGTACAACATGTGCCACTCTTAGAATCAATCTACCAAGTTGCTAATGTAAAGATGGATATTTTGAGGATTCTTATCTAAATTGTCTAAAATGTCATAAGAAATGTAAAACTTGTTAAATTAGTTCAAATAATTGTCTTGAATGCTCCATATATAGATCAAATAGTTAATGTCAATGCATTGATGGCTATTATGAAAATAATAATGATGTTTGTATTTAATGTCACAAGAATTGTAAGACATGTTATGGAGCTGATGAGTATAATTGTTTTACTTGTGATCAAACTCGTAATTTTATATTATCTAATTCTACCTGTATTTGTTAAAAAGGATATTATTATGAAAATAATTAATGTCTTCCTTGTATTTTTGACATCATCTCATGTCAAACTAATTATTGTGGTGATGGTATTAAATAACCATAAGAAAAATGTGATGATTGGAATATTCTTAATAGAGATGGCTGTAATTCAAAATGTCAAATTGAAGATGGATACACATGTACATTAATTTAAAATCTCTAATTAAGTACTCTCATATATTATTCATAATGTACATAATGCACAGATGTTAATTGCAAATCTTGTATTGATCTGAAAATATGTTCAATATGTAAAGAAGGATACTTTTTAGATGACAATCAATGTCATCCTTGTGAGTAAAGTTATTAAATATATATTTTAATAGTCATCGTTGTAAAGAATGTACTGGACCTTCCAAAACATAGTGTAAATCCTGTTTATTCGATATTTTCTCATCAGACAATTGTTTATTATGTGAAGATACTCCAGGATTGTATCTCTAAGATGAAAAATGCATTTCTATTTGTGGAGATGGTATTATCATAAGATTTACAGAATAATGCGATGATGGTAATAATTTTGATGGGGATGGTTGTTCTTCTATTTGTAAAAATGAATAATCATGGCTTTGCAACTCAAATAATCATACTGAAAGCAAATGTTATATTACTGATTCTCCTTAGGCTAAAATCTCTTTTTAAAATCCTTCAAACATTTATCAATCTAGTAGATAAGGAGTAATTTAATTTAATAAAATTATGAATATAGATTTATTCTAAGGACAATAACTATGGATCTAATAAATTAAAAATATTAATTTGCTCAATTATTTTATTGAATTTAAACAAATTAGTATTGTTGATAATTCTTATTCTCAAATTAATTTTAGTATTAATTTCTATCAAACTTCTTAAAATATGATATATTAAATCAATTTTACAGAATATTTACCATATGATTAGGAAGGATAGCAATTAACATCTAAATTTTTAGAATATTCAATTGAAGATTTTTATAAAGTTACCGAATTGTAAATTACTACAGCAGCAACTTCAAAAAAAATCATTTATTGCTTTTTGGCTGCCTTAGGTGGTGCTGCTTTCCTTGGATTATTTTTATAGAGTCTTGAATTTTATTGGAATACACTCGATATGCTCTAAGTATTTTCATATTTATCCTATATTAATGTAAAATTTCCATATTTGCATCTTGAATTTTTATCCATATTTCAATTTTCTTAATTTGACTTTTTAAATAATTTAATTCCTTCTATTTTTATTCAATTAGGAGAAAATGAAGTTTAACATAACTATCCATTATTAATTGAAAGAGATGTTCAAGAAAATCTCTTTTTTAATCTCAGTTCAATTATGGTATCTTATGTTATACCTGTAGCTATTTTTTTAGGATCAAAACTTATTACTAAATTAAATTATAATGTCTTACTTAATAAAATTTTAATATCTAATTCAACTAATTTAGGACCGTGTTAAATTAAATTTTATATTTATTAATTAATCTATTATGCTAATAAAGCTGCAAATATTTATGAAAATAGTTTTTTATTTTAAATCATATTAAGAGTTTATATTTCTAGTTTATTTGATTTAAATTTTGGTATATTCACTACTGTATACTGTTGGACTTAACATAAATAAATTACTCAAAATGATAATCTTTAGTATTTATTTGCTAACATTTTAATCATCATTTAAATATTGATAATTATTGTTTCATGTAATTCTATGTTAATCAGAAGATTTCAATTTAAATCCTTGTAATTTAAATAAAAATATGGATCTTTATTTGATGGGTTTTAGATTGATAGTATTCATAATAGATAGGCAGCTTTCTTCTAATTATTCAAGAAGATTCTATTTATGGCATCATTATTGGTATTTTTCAATGAACCTTTATACTAAATTGGTCTTTTAACAACACTTTAAATGACCTCTGCTATTATATCAATATATCTTTAACCTAATGTAAATAATTTGGAAATATCAAAAGCTATCATTCAAGATCTTGGAATTTTGATTTCTCTTAATTTTATTACAGTCTATTATGTTTAAGATAATTTTAATTACTTTTCATAAGATACTATTGAATTTATCTCTTATTTCCACATTGGAATATACATTCTTATGCTGATATTACAAATCATTATCGATTGCTATTAGTAAATAAAATTACTTTTAGAAAAATATCCTAATTTAAAAAAATGCTCAACAAAAAAGGATGATACAAATATCAAATCATGTAACTCAAATTATTATGTAAGATAATAATTTATTATTATATAACCTACTTAAAGACCACCCAGGTTCATTCCATGAAATTTCAAAAATATCTATTTTTTATTCAATTTTTAACTATAGTCTACTTTCCTATAAGATATATGTTTTAGATAAAATATAATTAATTAATAATATATATATAATTATAAAGTAATAATATGAATAGATTTTACTAATTTAAAAGAATTTAACAAAGGAAAATTTATTATAAAATGAAATCTTAATAAAGAATTTAATAAAAAAAAGAATTATCCATAAAGGGAATTAAGAAAGTGTATTAAGAATATTTTTTTAATAAAATAATTCTATTTTAACACATATAAATCATCTAAATTTTTTCATTTAAACCATTTCCTAAAAGAATACTCATTATAAATACTTCTGCAGCTGATGGATGTATTCCAACAGTTGAATCAAAATCTGATTTTGTCGCTCCCATTCTAATAGCTACGGCAAAACCTTAAGTAACTTCAGCAGCTTCAGGTCCAATATAATGAAATCCAATAATTTAGTCAGTATCTTTTCGAACTATCAACTTTCCTTAACATATAGAGGGATTTCTAGCACTAATATTCCATGTAACTGGTTTAAACACATTTTCAAAAATTTTAAGATTATCTCTGCCATATAATTCAATTGCTTTCTCTTCAGACAATCCTATACAACTATATTCTAAGGGTGTAAAAATAGTTGTAGCAACATCTTTGTAATCCATAATTTCTTATGATCCTTAATAAAGTCTTCTAATTAACTTTCTTCCAGCCATAATAGCTGTTGGAGTTAATTCTAATTTACCAGAAACACAATCTCCAACAGCATATATATTTGGACAATTTGTTTAATCATATTTATCAACTATAATTTTCTAATCTGAATCAATCTATATTCCAACATTTTCTAATCCTAAATGTTAAGTATTAGCTTATCTTGAAATAGCCATTAAAATAGTATCAAACTTTTCTTAATTCTCTTTTCCATTCTTATCCTACCAAGTAACAGTTTTTCCTTCTATTTTTGAAGGTGTGCATCTATAATGAAATTTTACTCCTTGTTCAGACATAAATTGTCCAACAAATTGTGCATACTATTGATCAAATTTCCTCAATAGTTTACTCCTTACAAGTACTGATGTATTATATCCCAAACCATTAAGAAATCCAGCACATTCCAATGCAACATAAGATCCTCCTATAATTAAAGATTTTCCAGGAGGTTTTCTCATCCAAAATAAATCATCTGATGTAATATAACTTTGAGGATCTAATCCTTCATAAAGTTTTGGTCTTGCTCCAACTGAAACAATGATCTTTTCTGCAGTCACTCTACTCTTTTAACCTTTTTAATCAGTAAGCTAAAATTTCTAATTATTAAATACTTCTATTGTATTTGGATTTATTAATTTTGCTAAGGAATTTATATATTCAACTCCTGCAATTTTTAGATTGTTTTCATGCATTTTATTAAGTCTCTAAATTAAATTAGATACAACTTGAACTAATTTATTCCAATCATGAGACCCATTTTCCTCAATTTTACTCCATCCAACTTTTCCTTAATCTTTTCTATAATCTCCCAATTGAGCAGCAATATGAAACATTTTTTTAGGAATGCATCCAACATTTACACATGTTCCTCCAACACCCCAAGTTTATCCATGAGGAGAAGGAACAACAAAATCAGCCACAGCAACTTTCTTTCCCAATTATGCCGCTGCTTTACTGCTTGCTAGACCACCAGAACCTCCTCCTATTACAAAAAGATCATATGAGTATCGAAACATAACTTTCATTGAAATTAATATTTATATTTATCAATAATACAATTTATGGATACAAATTCTAGGATTTATAATTGATGAATGATTTAATGAACTAAATATATATTTTAATGTTTATTTATTGTAATGGAAACAAACAAATGCATGATTAAGTTGTTTAATTGAGTTTAACAATATATATTTCATAACTTAAGTAGTCTATTTTAATTTGCATACATACAATAATTATTCAAGAAAAATTAATTTATAATGATAGGTATATGAATCAATAACAAAAGATAAAGTAAGTTTGACTTTTTTAACATAAAAAAATATTAATAGATGAATTCTTTAAAAAAATCTTTAAAGAATTCTTAGAAACATGAAATGGAGTAATTTTTCTTAAAGAGCTATTTAAAATAAACTTCTCCAAAAAATTTATCAGTGGGTTTTTATTAATATTTAATCAGATTATTCTTATACAATCGTAATTAAATTTAATTGTCGTCACTCTATAAATGGATATAAAATATTTGAGTTGTATAATAAAAATAAGATATGAGTTAGAAGCTTAAAATTAGAAAACCTGCTCCAGCCTTTACATCTACAGCATATGTTAATGGATCATTCAAGAAAGTGTCTCTTTCAGATTTCTAAGGGAAATATTTAGTCCTATTCTTCTATCCATTGGATTTTACTTTTGTTTGCCCAACAGAAATAATAGCCTTTTCTGATAGAGTTGAAGTATAATTTATAATATCAACTCTTATTAGGAATTCAGAAAGATTGGATGTGAAGTAGCTGCTGTTTCAGTTGATTCACATTTTTCACACATGAAGTATTGTTAGACCCCAAGAAATCAAGGAGGATTGGGTGATATGCAAATTCCATTGATTGCTGATTTAGGAAAAGTAATAATTTTATTTGATGAATATTCTAGACTATTTCTACTGATTATGGAGTTCTAATTGATGATCCTTAAGATGGAGATTTCGGTGTAGCTTTTAGAGGCACTTTTATAGTTGACAAGAAAGGTGTTCTTAGACATTATTCAGTCAATGATTTACCAGTAGGAAGAAATGTTGATGAAACATTGAGGTAAGAGAAATTACACATATAAATTATCTAGATTAGTACAAGCATTCTAATTTACTGATGAACATGGTGAAGTTTGTCCAGCTTCATGGAAACCAGGAAAACCAACAATGGTTCCTGATCATGGAAGCTAAAAGTTATAATAATATTGGACTGAAGAACATGCAAATGCAAAGAAAGAATGATTGAGTCAATTATTATATAAAAATTAATAAAATTGTTTGATTCTTTATTTTAAATATTAATTTTGAATTATATAATTATATATATTTTATAGAGAATCAATAACAATAAATAAATAGTTTAGATTATATAAATTATTGTTATTTAAATTTAATTTATATATTGTTATCATTAATCAAACATTTAATCCATAGCAATTTTATCTTTTTGATGTCTGGTGACTCTTTCCTAATATTTAGCCCTTTCAGTTTCAGCAGTAGCAGGATTTTCTCTACAATAATCCTAAAATATATAATAAAATATAAAATACAGTAAGAAAATTGACTTCAGCCTCATTAATTGGAAGATGTTCATTAGGTTATGCTTTCATTCTGAATAATAATTTATTAACTTCATGCATTGGTAGAAGAGCATTAGCTATTCCAAAGCATACTCCTATGATAGCCTCAGTGGAGATAGATTTCAAGAATACATATTCCCACCAAAGATTAGTTAACTATTGAAATAGATTACGAAATACTTACACAATAAATAGGTAAAACATATTCTAATTATTCAAGCATCTCTCTTGACATCACAGAACTATAATTATATTTAATAGTCCTTCTCCTAGCAATATTATATTTTTCAACCCAATAAAAAAGGACTAAAGCAAAACAAGTGATTACTAAACCAATTGGAATGACAGAAGCATAAAAGGCTACAACATACATATTTTTCAAAACTGTAGCATAAGATGTAGATATATCAAATATAGGTCTCTCATATAATCTAAATCATTATAAAAAGATATTTACTCATGTAACTATTTCTATGTTTTAACTGAGTTCTTGCCTTTTCGTACTTCAAGAAATTAGAATATACATTTCATAATAGAAGAAGAATCTACAAATTAAATTAAAGCAGGTAATATAGCATTAGAAACAAATACATAAGTTTAATTGTAGACCAGTCCTCCTGTTCCATATATATTTTAAGTAACCCAAGTACTAATTGCAAAGGTAATAACTGCAGTATTTACAAATTAAGCTACACTTGATTTACTTGCCAAACTGATATTAAATCCTGTTTAAGTAGAAAATCTCTCAAAAAGTGAAACCTTTCTAATTACAACACTAAGTATGTAATTAATAATAATAATTGAAATAGATGCTAATTGTGCAATTACCTTAACTTTATAATTAACATTTAAATCTCCTTTTTTAACTGCTTTTGCCATCTCATCTGCACTCTTAGCTTAAATAGCTGATAACCAATAAATTAAACCTCCACAAACTCCTAATATTATTAAAGTTAATATATATCCTAATATTCTTCTCCATATTTTTGAAGATGTTTAGATATGTAAATTTTCCCAAAAAACATCAGTTGGTTCTGGAGGTTATTCAACCTATAATTTTGCACCTCTATAAATTAAATTACTCCTTCTACCAAGAATTCTTGAACATAATGATAATCTATGATCGATTAACATCCATTAAACATCACTTTCCCATCTAAATGTTACAAATGCTTATCCTAAAAAATATTATTTCACATCTTTTCCTTCTACAAATCTCTTCTCTAATGCTTCCAATTTTTATTCTATCTCAAATATTTAACCATCAATTTCTTTTATTTATTCATTATTTTTAATTTCCTCACTACCTGGAAGCAAACCTTAATCATATAATTGAGGTAATAACTAAATTATAAATTAATGAATACTTTCTACTTCTAAATTATCTTACTTTGTTTTTCCTACTCTAAAGTAGTTTACTCTTCTATATTGTAACATAGATTTACAGCAACTACTCTTGACAATTTCTTTTATGGTCTATCATTTCTTTATTAAAATTATCTAAGTTCTTCTTCATAATCTTAGACTTCTAATGGCTTTGTATATGTCCCTTCTATGTAAGCTTCTAAATATTCTTTAAGATCATGATCGAAATCATCATTCTTTAATCCTTCTGAATTTGTTGGAATATTCTTTAATAATATTGTGTAATCAGATGCATAATATGTATTTTCATCAATCTCAGTATCAAAAGCTCTCTATTCCTTCCTAAAATATTGAAACAAAAATATTAAAGTCAACATAGATATCAAATTTAACATCTATTACAAGTCTATAAACTCTTAATCCTCCCTCTTATTAGCTAATGATAATCCTGTCACCCAATTAAATATACACACTGTTTTCTCATCTATCTCTACACCAGAACTCTTATCTAACATTTAACATGATTAACCGAATGCAATGTTTGTTATTATGTTGTAATCACCTGATGTCACAAACATTACTATCAACATTAAAATACATGCTTTTATGTATTCAAAATAAAGAGGCATACCTAATTCTATTCTTTAAATACCTGCTCCTAGAAACGAGTAATCTTAATTATTACAATCTATGTCCACTCTATCATTTGGTACTTAACGAGCACAACACTAGCAAATTTATCCAATCAACCTATCTTCTTCTTTTACATTCACAGTATTCTAATGCAGTCTTAATCTTCTTAATTGTCTCTTTGATAATTTTGTTGTTCCAACATTCCAAGCTTCCTAAATGTTATATTCTTTTACTGTACTCTATGTAATTCAGCTAAGCTAAAATCAGCAGGAATCTAATCTGATGGAAAATCTGAACTCCCCTCTTTCTATTCAGCCTAAACTTCTTATGGAAATTCTTGTTTATTTGATTGTACTCGTTATTCATCATGGAACTGTTAGTATTTTTATGGTCCTTATCCAAACATCAAATCAAATTAATATTACAATAAAATTTATTGAATATAAATCTAATTTTATTATCAATACTCCATTACTGTTTACTAATCTTTATCACATTTCTTAATCAAAAACTCTTAGTTCAATATATTACCAAATAAAGTATTTAATTATAGAATCAATTTTTCTTTTGTATACATTTTTATAGCCTTCTACTAAAATGATCTAATTGATAGTAAATTATTTATTTATTTTAATCAATGATAAATTCTAGTTACAATAAACCACATTCTGGATAATTATAATTTTCTCCATTCTACAACTCAAAACAAAAATAATATCAATTTAGAATAGAAATTGATATTCTTAATTAACTCTTAATATAAATAGTTTAAAATCAATTAATTTTTTTGAGAACTAACTAATGATCATTAAACCAAATTGTCACTACCAATCAGGATGTTAAGAAAGACTATTTATAATAAATTGAATTGTTTTCTTGTCATATATATTAATAATAATATTAAAATCTATTCGTTAATATGAAGAATATAAGTTAAACTGTCGATGTGAAAAATTTACAAAAAAAGGATGACAAAGAAAATTTTGTTTGCTATTCATCTATTAAGAATAAACTACCTAAGCCTAATCCTATACTTAGTTAATAATTGTAATTACATAAAGTAAACTCATTATTGCCATTAAAGAAAAAGTATTACTTTTTAAACATTTTAGCTACTTAGAAGCAAATGAGTAAGAAGTAACATACAAAACTCCAATTTAATAATAAGAATAAGAATGTTTAACATAAAAACCAATTACACTGTAAGCCTTCATCAAACCATTAAAACTGATATACTAAAAATATTAACCTTAACAGAATCTAAACTTGTATGCAACTCTCCTTCATTAACCAGGCAATAATTTTGATCCTTCACATTACTATCAAAGTGATGAGGATATTAAATTTGACTCTCTGTTTGAAAGTGGCAACTTATTCTAAGTTTTCAAAGTATTTCTATCATTTCTAATTAGAAAAGCGATCGCGATTATATCCTTCTCCTTCAAAATGACATCAACACTAAAGGATATACATAATGGTTTTACTTTTCCATATCAAATAAAAGCTCAAATTTATGTAATATCAAACTCAGTATTATCAATATCAATAAGGATATGTGTTTTTATCGATAAGGCATGAAAATACTTATAAATGAATGCAATTATTGGAGAAAGGATTCTTTGGGATTAACTTTTAAAAAAAATAACATTCTAAGAAATGATTCCTGCTTCTATTATACATTATCTTTTAATTATACATTCATTGAATAAGGAACTGTATATTTTGCCTCCAATTATCCATATACTTATTCTAATTTATAAGCTTATCTATCTAGCAAATACCTTGTTTATGATAGGATTATGAAAGTCAAAAATATCATCACAAGTTAAGCTGGGAATGAAATATAAATAATAACAATAACAAATGATAATAAAGACGAAAAACAAGGATTACTATTTATTGGTCGATAGCATCCAGGAGAAACACCAAGCTCATATGTAATTGAAGGCATTATTAATTGTTTATTATCAGCTGAAGCTGATGAGTTGAGAAATAAATTTGTTGTTAAAATTATTCCAATGTTAAATGTTGATGGAGTAGTACATGGAAATTAGAGATGTGGATTAGGAGGTTTTGATCTAAATAGGAAATGGGGATGCAATCGTGATGATACATTAATTTCTGTTGAAAAATTAATTACTCATTTTCATGAAAATTATCCAATTTAATTGATCTTAGATATTCATGGTCATAGCAAAAAGTAATCAAATCTTATAAATTAGATTGTCTGCCTTTTTCTATGGCCATAGTTGTAATGAATTCATCACTGAACTTTGTAATTCAGATAAAAGATTCAGTCTATAAAATAGTAGATTTATGCAAAATACTAAATATTTGAATCATACTGCCAGAGTATATTTATAGAAATTATTGAATATGAAACAAAATATTTATACACTTGAAATTTCATACTTTGGTTATAAATAAGAAAATCAAATCGTAGATTTTACTCTAAATGATTTAAGATCAATGGGAAGAGAAATAGTTATTACACTTTCTAAAAATTAAGAACTGGAAAATTGGACAGAGAGTATACTAATAAATGATTAAAATTCTGATGTTAGTTTCTCTGAATCTTCGATATCTGAGGATGAAATTACTTTCGAAGAGATTAAATAATTCTAACCAGAACCTCTTAAAGAAAGAATTAATAATTAAGATAAGTAATACTAAAGATCGAATTCATTTAAATAAAGACAACTCAGATCTTCTTAATCTAGGAATAGAGCAAAATCATAATCAATATAAAATTAAATTAAATACTAATAGTTTACATATAATTTTATTGATAATTCCTTTAATAATTTCAATTAAAAAATAGAAAATTACGATCATCAAAGTTTATTTATCCCTCAACAAAAACCAAAACAATCTGAATATACTATTTAACCTTTAGTAGTGATGCCTTAACATAGTTTAAAACATTAATTCTTATGGTAAAATAGATTAAAACAATAAAATTAATAGAATTAGAGAGAAATCAAATTTTAAAATTATAAAGAACAAAGAGATTTGAAAATATATCAAGAATTTAAAGATTATGTGAATACTAAGCAGAGTACTAATAAACCATTGTTGCCTAAATATTCATTTAATGACACAGACTTATTTAAAAAATGTCAAGCCAAAAAATAATATTTAATTATTAATTTATGATATAGACAATTTTTAAAAATATTTATATAATTTATGTAAATAACTTAAGAATTTGATTTTTTTGTTATAGGTGGTGGTTCTGGAGGATTGGCAGCTGCTAAATAAGCTGCAATTTATGGAGCTAGAGTAGGTCTAGCTGATTTTGTGAAACCTTCTCCTTAAGGAACAAAATGGGGTTTAGGTGGGACTTGTGTAAATGTAGGATGTATTCCAAAGAAGTTAATGCATTTTGCAGCTTTGGCAGGAGAGTTAAGAAAAGATTAAGTTGAGGCAGGGTAATAAAATGAATATTAATTTAGATGGATACATACTAATCTATAAGGGAAGCATGACTGGATAAAAATGACAGAGAATGTTTAAAATCATATAAAAAAGCTTAATTTTTAATACAAAAATTAATTGAACAAAAAAGAAGTGAAATATTATAACAAGCTAGCAGAATTAGAAAAATCCAATATTGTTAAAGTATAGATATATTTTTCTATTATATAGTTGATAGATAAAGAAGGAGGAATAGAATATGTGAAATCTAAATTTATATTGATAGCAGTAGGTGGGAGGCCTACTTATCCAGAAAATATTCCTGAAATAGAAAAAAAGGTAATTACATCAGATGATTTATTTTGGTTACCTAATAGTCCAGGTAAAACTCTAATAGTTGGTGCTTCCTATGTAGCACTTGAATGTGGAGGTTTCCTAAATGGTTTAGGTTATGATACTTCGATAATGGTTAGAAGTATTTTATTAAGAGGATTTGATTAATAAATAGCTAGTAAGATTGAAGATTATATGTTGGAAAGTGGAGTAAAATTTATAAAGGAAGCAATTCCAATAAATATAGAATTAAATGAAAATAATAAAAAATTAGTAACTTGGACTTAAAAAGGTGTTTAACATAGTGAAATATTTGATACTGTTCTTGTGGCAACTGGAAGAAAAAGTGATACTAATAAATTGAATTTAGAAAAGATAGGGATTAAAATTAATAAAAATGGAAAAATTATTTGTACTATTGATGATAGAACATCTATTCCTAATATTTATGCTATTGGTGATTGCGTTGAAGGTAGACCTGAACTTACACCGACAGCTATTAAATGTGGATAATTATTGGCTAATAGATTATTTGGTGGATAAAAAAAAATGATGTGTTATTAATTTGTTCCTACAACAATTTATACTCCACTTGAATATGGTTGTATTGGATATTCAGAAGAAGAGGCTATTAATAAATTTACTCAAAATGAAATTATTATTTATCATTCAATCTTTAAGCCTTTAGAATGGAATTTATTAGATTCTCATTATGCTTAAGCTTGTATGATTAAATTAATTATAATGAAATAAACAAGAAGAATTATTGGATTACATTACTTAGGACCTAATGCAGGTGAAATAGTTTAAGGTTATGCAATAGCTATTAAACTTGGAGCAACAAAAGAATAATTTGATGCTACCATTGGTATTCATCCAACTTGTTCAGAAGTATTTATTATATCATTATTTTAGGAAATCTTAACTCTTTCAGCAATTAAGGGTATTGATAATCCATAAAAAGAGGGTTGCTGAGGTTGAGATCCCTAGCTTTAAACAGAGCTAGGGTTAATCAATTTAATAACCTAAACTCTATCTTACATTGAAGTGTTTTGATTCACTAATCAGACTAACGAACTTTCATTTTAAATAATGAAAATGATTTTTTTACTTTAAATTTATAAAGGTAAAGAATGATAAACCAGTTCGTCAAAGTCAATTAATGAATTAAAATATTTCATTTAATATAAATCAGTACAATCATAATTTCTCTTTCAGTTCCTATATATAATTTGTTAATAATCGAGAGAAATTTTATCTTTTTTCTAAATTTTTATATATAAAATTTATTACATTCTAAATTATTTTCAGCCTCCTCTAACTCTTTCATCTTTCTTATTTAATCAATCATAAACTTTTATAAAATTAGCTTCATATTTGAATTACAACCTTGTTAATTATTAAGTAAATGTTAAAATTCAATTTTGAAATGATCAGAATTTATTAAATTTATTAGTTGATCTTCATCTATTTATTCTTATATTTCTGGTATTTTATTGCAAATAGATATAATTTTTTATGAGTTTTGTAAAATTTTATCAATTCTATTTTTATGGGTTTTTTATTAATTTAAATTTATAGGGTTATTAAGAATCTAAGAAGCTATTCTTTTATGTCTTCCTTCTACTTCTGCTATTGGTTAATTTATTTTTTTTATTCTATCTAAAGAAGGATTAATAGTTTTTCTTAATAAGAGTCTATTTTTGAATAGAGGAACTGCTTTTTCACTGTTATCCTAATCTCTACTCTTATTTTCATCAATTAAAGAAGGTAATTTACAATTTAATTATGGAGTATATGGTCTTCTTGGAGTATATCGTTTGATTTATTAAATTTTCATTAAATTTTCCTTTTCAAATAATTCCAAGACTTCACTAATTTAAGTATTTTAAGGATGAGAATATTAAGTTGGGAATCTCTCTTTTAGTGGTTAAGTAAAATTGAATTGAGTAATAGTTTAAATATGCTAAGATTATAATTATTTAGCAATCTTTTCAATATCCTTGTGGATTGATTAAGAGCTATTGGAATGACCGATTAGAGGATTTTGAATGGGTTAAACAATAGATTGTCTTTATTTTCTATAATAAAATCTATTATGAGAATGTATCGAAGTATTGGTTTTAGCAAAGATTCCTTCTTTTTACATGATTTCATGCAGACTAGGAACTAATACTGGATTATTATTTTCTTTGTTTTGGTATTTATTAGCAAACAATTCCATTAACAGATAAATATATTAATAATTATCCGTTGACAAAATATAATGCCATATAAATTATAAATACATGAATTGAAGTAGTTTTTGATTAAAATCTTTAAATAATAAATAAATACATAGATCTGAAATAAATTTATAAATATATACATAATTAGTTTTAGTTATAGATTAGAATTTACGAAGTTTACGAAATTGTAATTTATTAAGAGAATGGTATTCATTAATGTACATATTTTGTGGAATTAAAAGTTCTTTATAAATAAGAATAATTAATTAATGTAATAATATATACTTTGGGTTTCATTGTTATTTTATAGTGGATTTTCTGAAAGTGTATCAGATTTCTAAGGTAAAGCTTTCAAGTTTACAAATAAGTAGAGCTGTAAGAAATATATAATATTATGAATAGAAATTTACAGAGTAGATGTAGGATTGCCTGAAGATTAGTTAGATTTAGGTTTGATTTCATCATATGGAGATTTTAATGGAGATAAAGCGTAAATATAAATGATAGCAACTTAGAGTAGATGTTGTAATTGTAGATTAGAAGAACAATAATATAATTATTTTATATTGGGATAATACAAAAAATGAGTTTGAATAAAAAAATGTTTGTTAAAGCAATTGTTATCCAGTTAATGATATCATCATTTAAGGCACAATACCTTTTGATTATGATTATGATGGCTATTTAGATATTTTAGTGGTTTTAGGAAATGAGGAAGGCTTTACAATAAATATTATAAGATAGACTGAGATGAAGAATGGCAATCCTGTATTTGTAAAGATGTAAGAATAATATTCATCAACTTCATATCCATTTGTAGGAGATTTCTTTGGGAATCATAAGTAAAAACTTAACTGAATATTATTAGAACATCAATAATGATAACAAGTGCAACTCAAAGATAAGTAGTACAATATGGATAATAGTAACCAACTGATTTTCTTGATCTAGTTGATTAAGGTTGTTCAGGAGAAGATATTTAAAAGGCATTGAGTTCATAATTATTAAATCCTCATTTTAGTTCTTTTGTAGATGTAAGTTCTGATTGCAGAGCTGATTTAATTATAACATCTGAAATTGGCATTGAATATTGGTATACAAAATACATCCCAAGTCCAGTGGCTGAAAGTACAGAGGAATTATTTAATAAATAATCTAGATTTTGTTTATAGAAAATTGATAAACTAACAAATGGTTCAGAATTAAAAACATTAGATTTTGTAGATATTAATTTTGATGGATCTATTGATATGATTTATGTTTTCTAAAGGAGTGATCAATAACACTTAGTTATCAATTATAATCAATATGAAAATCCTTCACAACCATCTAATTTGTGTTAATCAAATACAAAAGATTCAGATAAATAAATGACCTATCCTTATTCAGAGTTTAGTCTTTTAGGTACGAATACATAATTAATTACTCCTTTGATGTATGAAAATAATCCAATTAAGTTATATGACTATAAAAAACTAGATTTATAATTGGCTCTAGCACCATTCTTAAGATTTGGTGATTATTTAGCAAGCGGTTATCCTGGAGCCTTTATGATCATTTATAATGAAACTGCAAAAAAACCAAATATATTTTATCTTAAAAATGTTCCAATAACTGAAAATTGTGAACTTTTATCTAGGATGTGTAGATAATTAGTTATTGATAATGATCCTGGAGATCATTTTTATTTAATTACTCAGATGGAAGGAATTAATGTAGCATTTTTTGATTATGGAGAAAATGGAAGATTAGACTTTTTAGTAAATAGTATAACTATGGGTGAAGACTAAAAACCAAGATACAATATTGCAGCATTTTATAATTATATTTCATTAGATGCTTTCTTCTTAAAAGCCTTAGGTATAAATGGACAATGTGCAGCTGATGAGGAAAGTAAAATCTCATGTTAAGGCTCTCTCTATTATGGAGCTACTTATCAATTTAGAGTCACAGATATTAGTGGATCATATAAACCAGCTGCAGGAGTGCAATTATATTAATCTGCTTTCTCTCCTTTACAACTCCCTTATTCATATATGGGTTTAGGGAGAACAAATAATTATATAGAAAACTTTTATCTAGGCATTCCATTATTAGATGGACAAATTAGATAATGGACACCTATCATTCCAAACTCTCAACTAATTGTCTCCCCTTATACTGATAATTCAAAATAGTAATCTATTTTTCTTAATACTTAGATGGACATTATCAATTTTTATCGAACCTACTGAAGCTATATTAGTTGTCGTCATTGTAACCATCATAATTCTATTTGTTCTTGGAGGAATCATTATTTGGAAACATATCAAGGAAAAAGAAGATGATAAAAAAAATCAAGAATAGTTTTTTTAAATGTTTAGATGAATTATTTAAAATAAATAATATAATTTACATTCTTTATAAATACATATATATGCATCTAAATTTGTTCTAAAATCTTTAAAGTTTAATTATATCTTAAATTTAATATCTTTTTATTTATATATAAATAATTAATATCATTTTCAGAAAATTGTGTGATTTAATATTCATTGTTTCTTTAATTAAATTAAAATATGTATAAATTACTATATCCTAATTGTATATATCATATAAATTTAATTAAATCATTAATTTCATATTGCCTCTTCTTATTCTACATGTTAAATTTTATTTTCATTGTTTTCAATTGGTAAATTATATGGATCTCTTTTTGATGGAATATAAAACTGAGTAATGAGGCATATATAGATATTGATTAAGCTCCATTCATTAACTGTGCTTAATAAGGTTATTTATCTAGGTCTCAAGATTCTTATATATTAATTGTAAAGCAAAACGGAAAAACATAATGTTGAAAGTATATGCAATAGCTTATACTGTCGTATTTAAATTCTGGCAATTTTGAATTAATCTTAATCTGGGAAGATTTCATATTGAATCTCTTAGGTTTTTACTAACTCATTATCTGCATTCTCTTAAGTGTAATCAAATTATTTGTAGAGTAAATAAAAATAACGAGTTGAATAAATTGCTAAAACAACTAATATAAATCTCTCATAATAATCATAAAATAGAATATCTTTTTTTATGTCAAATTAAGAATTATTTTATTTCTGATAAAAAAGATAAAGATTCATATATGCTTAAGGTATTGTATACAAGAGGACAATTAAGATGGATAATACATGTTTAAGCTAGAGTAATTTCTTTTTATTAAGGATTTCTTGAATTGTCATATTTTGAAATTTCTGAAATTCAAAAATGATCAACCAGAAATAAAGTAAACATGTTTGTACAGATAATTAAATCATGTTTGTGTAACTTTAAACAAAAAATAAGTTTGTATTTCTTAAGAGTTAAACTGGCATATTATAAAATATCATTAAGATTAATAAAAAGGGAATCCACTTCAATATATCTGGCCAAAATATTTTATGATATTCTTCAGTATTCAAATATAAATAACACATAGCATAAACTATAACAACACTGAAAAGAACCTAAAAAAAATTTATATCTAACATTTACCTAACATAAGAGAAGTACGCGATAGAATTGAGAGTTTTCAAAAGTTGATTGTAAATAATGAATTTTAATGGTTTGGTATTCAGCAGGTTTTATTACTGAAAAATGGGAAAGAAACAATATATTTTTATTAGTGTTTATTTCTCTTAGATCACCCATACAATTGTAATGGTCAGACAATTTAAAACATTAAAATTTAGTCTTAATTTCTTCATCTAACATGATTTTTTCATATTTCTCATGGTTCTTCATTTCGCTTTACTATTAAGTGAAAACTTATACCTGGAATTTAAGAGTGATTGATTAGTGTATAAAGTTAAATGAATACTGATGTTACTAATTTCAAATTCAGATTAAAGTTTGGTTTTAGTTAATTTATATAAATCTTCCTAATGGATATCATATGTGTTACATTGGAGATTGAAATATTGATTTCCATTTTAACATCCTTCATTTCAGGTTGAAATATTCCAATAGAGGAACAAAAAAGTTTGGTTTAGTTTTATAAATAATCATCATGACACTCTTGATGATAGAATGGTTTTGAGATGAATTTCTTTTTTTCTCCAATTCCAAAAAGTTGAAGACATAAAAAAAATAAGATCCAACAAGAAATCCTAAGACAAATTTAGGTATGAGTATAAGCATCTACTTTTAAAGGAACTTATTAATAAAATGAAATCATAAATATTTATCATTAATTATCTAATTTTGTAATTTGCATTGAATATTCGAAACTTAAAGATCGTTGCATTTTGAAATCGCCAGGTTCACTTTTAGAATCACTATTAGTTTCTAATGGTTATAATTTGAAGGAATTGATGTTCTCTTTCATTTCAAAATATTCTCTTTCATCTTCATCAGTTAAATCAGAGGCAACAGAATCATCATCAGAAGTAGATGATGATGATTTACCATCACCTTTTCCTTCAAGAGGATTAATTCTATCTAGAACTTCACTTCCCTTTTTATCGACAAAATATAATGTTAAAACAAAGATCAAATTAACACAACCAATTCCCATATAAAAGAATCCAACTTACCTATAATCTCCATTAGTATTATAGATTTGAGAAGAAACTAAAGGAAAAACACAAGCACCAATACTTTCAAACAATCCCATTAACCCAAATGCAGTACCCATGATTCTCTACTCAACAAGATATTAAACACAAGGAATCATCACACATGAATAGAATGCATAACTGACTCCTAATAAGAACAAAGGAACTACAGCTGCAAATTAAGGAGATCCATCTTCAGGAGTTGGTATTATTGCAAATAATAAATGAGAGATGATAAATAGTAAAGATGTTAATATCATCCATCTTCTTCTATAACCAACCTTATCTACTATACAACCTATAAATGGGGATACAAACACTATTATAATTATATATATAAATATATACTTGGAGTTAAATAAGTTATAATTATAGCTCTGCCTGCTGAGATATTAGATAGATTAAATCTCTATTGACAAAATTAATTAGCATTATCTAAGAAGGGAATAAATATACAAAGACTGAAAGTGCAGATCATCAATAAAATCCAAACTGTACCTGATAATTATTTAAGATCTTTTAAACTAATTTCTTCTTTTGATTCTTCTAATTTTTCTTTTTCCTCTTCATCTTCATCTTCTTCTCCCTCATCATCTTTCATCATCTTTTATTCTAAAACATATTGACAATCAGATTCTATAAAAGTATATCAAATTTATTACTCACATCTTTAATCATATTTGTCTGCATATTTATCCAATTAAACCAAAATTATGCCACATGCAAATGAAAATAAACAAAATCCTACACTTGTAAATAGTGGAACTGATAAACTCTAACTTGATTCATAAATTAAAGGTGTTAATAAACTATTTAAAGCTCCTCCTAATTCTGGAATAGTCATTATTATTCCCATAGCCTATGTTAAATTACAATACATTTACTGTTGCTAATTCAGTGCCCTTAAACCATAAACTTACAAATGTACTTTATGCAATTATTAAATTTTCACTTGCTACACCAAATACTGCTCTTCCTAATAACATTAGGGAATACTCATTGAATTTACCACCCAATGCTATTATTAATTAACCTATTGTAACAATTAATGTAAATGTAAAGATTCCAAATCTTACTCCTAATCTATCAATTATCATGCCTATAATAATGATCATCTTTTCTACCTCCTAAAATTGTTAGAAATATATTAGGCAAAGCGAAAACACTATAAAGTAAATTAAATTGAATAATATTGATTCCTAACTATTATTAAATTTAAGTTTGCAAAGCCTATGGATTATCAAATGAATAATTATTTCCTAAAAGAATTAGAGCAGCCAAAGAAACTGCTAAAAATCTCCATCTTGTTTAACGAAAACTCATATTCCAACACAAAAATATTATTATTATTTAAATATTTTTAATTTATTCTGACTAATTTTATAGAATGGCAAAAATTCTAACCATTATATACTTACCTGAATTAATATGACATATTAAAATGCATAATTATAATCATTAATATTGTAAAACCATAGGAGAAAAGTCATCTCCAATGGCTACCATTTTAGTTTTATTATCATTAATTTTCATCTATCTTACACAACCTTTATTCATAGCTCCAAAACCATAAAGACATTAACCAGAATCATTATCATAAAATAGAATATTGCCATCTCCACATCCTGCAATAGTCATATTATAAATAGTTTCAATAGAAAAAACAGCATCTTTAGCTTTCATCATTGAAACTGGTTTGAATCCAGCAACAATATCTATAATTTTACAAGTTGCATCAGCACTTCCAGTAATTACTAAAAAATAAAATAAGAATCTTACTAAAATTTTAAAGGTTAACAGTTAAACCATTAATTGATCCTTTATGAATTTAACTTTAATTTACTAATTTATTAGTTCTCATATCATGAATTGCTATTGTTCCATCATTAATACCAGCAGTAATCACTAAATTATTATTACCTCCATCTGAATACAATAAGCATTTAGAAACAGCTCCTTAATGTACATGTTTTGACATCACTGGTTCTCCTTCATTAATATCCCAAAATACTACAGTACCCAATTTATCACCACTTACACATAATGAATTTTTCCAATCAAAATCTAAAACTGCACTTTTATGTGGACCAAATAACTTTCTGCTTTCTTACATCGAACTTAATTACCAAATTACCAAAGTTTAATCATATGAACTTGATATACATACTGATTATTCATCTACCAATAATTTAGTTATAGATCCTTAATGTCCATTTAGATCATTACATCTAACTCCCTTAGCATCCCATAAACAAATCTTACTATCCATTCCTGCTGATACTATTTATCCATTCTATAAATGTTATACTGAACTAACCCATTCACTATGACCATATCGTTTTGAATATAATTCTTTTTCATACTTCATTGATGATATATTATAACATCTTAAACCATGATCAGCTGATCCTGTAACTAAATGATCTTTCATTATATCCATACAGAATATCCCTCTACCATCTATTAAATTAATTTATTTATACGTCCTGGTTCTAATGGCACACTATTTATTGGACCTTTTCTCCATTAAGATAACAATTAATGTGATAACATTTCTACCTATATATTAATATTAATTCATAAATTTTAAGGAATCATAAATGCACAAACATCTCTTTATTCTTCACTACAAAAATTAAAATGACTGCATGCTTCAAATGTTGCTACAACATCTACTTTTATACCAAATTTCCTAAACTTTTCAAAATAAGAATCTGGTAAATTATGTTTCTCTCTTCCTGTCCCTATCAAAACATAACCTAATCTATTTATCATACTCTTTACTTGGTCTTGGTTTTATCACTTCCAAAATATCAAAACTATGTGCTCTTATATCACCTGCTGTCTATACATCCCATAAAAATATTTATTAAGGAAATATTAATATACTTCCTGGATACCAAACATCATTCACTGAAAAATATCCATTACCCAATCCAAATACTTATTATAAAACACCCTTATTATGCAAACTTGGCTCTATAAAATCAAATATATATTCTGTTTTCCTTTTATTTTGTTTTGTATCATAAAATTCTCTGACTTTATTTATTGAAGGATCCTTAAATGGCAATTCAGTCTTTCTATCCATTATTCTTTATTTTATCTATTCCATATTTACTGTCACATTTTTCTTATCAATGTTTTAATTTTAACAAAATAAAAATTTTGGAAGCTTTCTTAATTATAACATTAAAATAATAAATTTGAATAACATTCAGAAATACTATTCACATATTTAGAAATTTAATGAGGAAATATTAGTTCCTTATCAGTCAAACTTCACAATTTCATTATTCTCTTTAATCAACTATTTTTTTGTCATATTCTCTAGATTATTAATAATAGTACCATAAAATAAATTCCTATTTTCTTGTATAAATGTACTATCTATTAAAAAAAGTAAGTGGTAGGAAAAGGCTTTATTTACTCTGATATTAAATCTGCAGTTGAAGTTCTAATCAAGCCTAATAAATTAAAATATTTTAGTAAAAAAAAAATAATAATTGATTGTTTTGATTTTTTTTGGAATTATAGAATTTTTATTTATTTGGAATATTTGTAGATTAGACAATAGAATAAAAATATAGAAACAAACTACAAGTTTACATAATCTAAATAATATCCCAAAATAATATTTTGCTGCCTATTAAATCAGTAAAAATGATGATATAATTAATACATTATGAATTCTAAGAATAATAAATTTCGCATTTATTAAAATAAAGTAAAAGAAATTAAAAGTAAGATATGATTCGATATGAAGATCAAATACAGTTCATCAGAATTGTACGAAGATTTTTTCTACGGAAGATTACCTCATTTCCCTGCCTTTAGTAAAAACTAGGATTTAATACTGCTATTTTTTATTTAAAAATAAATCTTTTATTAGATAATAAATAATGATTGTTTAGAAATCAAAATATTGAAATCATTCCATTCCTAGAAATTCTTAAAGTTGATCTTGAGTTATAAAATTTAAAGTTTATATTTTTTTTTTGATAGGAGTATACTTATTAGTCACCGACTCTCTATATGATCTCACTTTTAGAACACCCACAATTTTTATAGTGATATTCATATTTCTCTAGTTATTGAATTTTTCTAGGGCAATAGGACAGTCTTTAAGAGTTAAAATAATTCTAAATCAGATTTTTAGGAGAGAAAAAATATCCAAGTAAATGTTGACCCTTACATCTCGTATTGAATAAATGGCTATGCCTATTGTAGTTTTATTTGCCAATTCTGGGTTTTTCTTTCTTTAAGCATTTTAACTTGCTTTATACATATTTTTATTCTCATATATTCTATTTATTCTGGCAATATTTTACTTGTATTTGAATTTTAAAACATTCACAAAAATACAAATATATATTAAAGCACAGAACTTATAATTTCAAATCATTTTCATTTTTTATTATTTTTTATATCAAGCAACATTATTAGAATTTTTAAAGTTTTGGTTTTATTTTTTAAAAATAAATCATCATTTGTTCAAACTGATGAAAAAATCGGTTTTTAGAAAGTTTTAATTGTTGGATTATTTTTTAATTAAAATTCTCACAATGACTTTTTATTAAGTAATATATTTCGAAATTTAAAATTAATTAAAAGTTAAATAAACATTTATTGTATTTAATTAATTCGTAATAATGAGATTGTAATAAAGTTATAAAAGAATGGCTGCTTCCAAGTTCAATTATCTAACAATTTTTTATATTCTAATTCAAATTAAAATAAGAATTAAATTCTTTTTTGATTTAAGCCTCAATTTTTATTAAATCTAAACTCAACACAAATATACAAAGTTTATTGGAAAATCATACTTTTAATATACTAATAAGAAATATAATGATAAAAATTCAATTTATATAAATGTCTAATAACCTATAAATTTCAATATTTTTTTCCCGAATTTTAGAAAGCTATTTCATAACAGAATAACAATATATAATAAAAACAAAATTTTTTTATAAGACCATTCAACAAAGACGAGTGAAAACCTAATGCTCAAACAAGAGATAACTCAATATTTTATATTTAAATAATATAGATAATTTTTATTGATTATTTTATTGCTAAGGTATATAAAAGGAATTCACTATTAAAAAACATCTTAATCTCTTCTCATATCATTTTCTAGAGGAATGAATAGCGAAATGGAATTATCGAGTCAGTAAATTAATAAACAATAGTAAAATAATTTTTTCATAGGAGTTATTCTATGCTTTAATCAAATACTAAGCTTGAAAGATGGTACATTGTTAATATTAAATTTAGAAAAACAATATCTCAAAAGAATGATCATTTTAAGTAAAACTCATTTTTTATATAAAAAATTTTTTATATCCTAATGTTAAGCTTTTAATATTTTTTTTGCTTCTTCAATAGCTTAAATCTTATCTGTCGTGACTCTTTAATGACAATCTGATTAATCAAAAATGTTAGTAAAGTTACCTTTTAAATTACCTTTTAAGTTTTCATTTAATCTTTGAAAATCCTTGGATTAGTATTAGGAATGGCCATAAGAACTTTTGATATGGTGTATCTCTTTAATTTTCTTTCTTAGATGATTAGAAGCTAATTTCAAACTGTTCTCAACATTTTACTCTTTAAAATCATGATCATTCACAAAGGTCTCTGATCTTATATCTTTAATGTTATATTAATTCAAAGGCAAATGTCCCCCTTGCATTATTTCAATATGCAAAAAGTCAGAGCCTAATTTCAATTCTATGTTTCCAGTTTATTTACAAATTTAAACCAAAAAAACTGAGCGTTTAAGGAAAAACTTTCGATTTCTTTTTTCTTTCTTGCTGAAAGAAGCACGAGGTGATTCAAAATTTTATATTTTCAATTAGCTATCTCTAAAATCAACTTAAAATTTTAAAGGAGCATTAGAAATTTTATCAATTTCAAGATCTGTAAAATTCATTAAATAAAATTAATTATAATATTTAAATTGGATAAAGAGTTGAATAAAAAGACCGGAATATTTAATATTGTAATTTTAATGAATACTTTATATCGATATTTATATATTTATAATAATTAGAAAATAATTATATTTAATTAATTTCACTATAAAATATTATCAATTTTTTACTCTAATAAAGATTATTGGTTAGGAAAACTTAGATCTAAACCATTTAATTCTTTATTTTTAAATATTATGTTTGATTTGATGATTAATAGATAATTCATTTAATTTTAATTTTTATCCTAAGATAAATAAGATTTAAATATAATATAAATCTGTTCAAACTATGAAGTATTTCTTATATGTTAATTCATCTATACAAATTACCAGGTTTATTGATCTTAGAATTAGTAATAATTATAAACACAAATTATGAGGCATTTAACCAGTAATAAAAATATATAAAATGCATAAATTATTTCTTAATCAGAACAAAATTACTTAACCTTATTTTTAATATTTATGATATCATTATTGTATAATCAGCCAAATTATTCATTAACATTATAAAAAATCAAATAAATGATTCAAATATATTTGAATTTGATATATTATTAAATTTTGCATGTAATCAACATAAATAATAATATATAATACTAAATCATGATATCATCAGTCTATGTTGAATTTAGATGAAGTTTATTAGTTCTGATAAGTCTGTAAATGTTGGAAATTATTTCTAATCAGATTTTAATGAAGGAATATTTTTTTCCTTTATTTTAAGTGACTTAAATATTGATTTTGAAGTCATTAACAATCCTTTCTACAGAGATAACTATTAGTTCTCTTAGTGACTCTGTTTTTTTAATTAATTTTATTTATATAGTAAAATCTCCCCAGAATTGTAATCAACTAAAATTGATGTGTTGATGATATAAACTTTAGGTTTTCTTTTGTGCTTTGACTACTGAGGAGCTACAGTACCTAATTTCTTATATAAGTTTATAATATATTTGGCTGATGAATAGTTGATGGAGTGAAGTTTGGAAGCCTAAAATATAAGAAATTAGCATACTTTATGAATAGATAAGTGATCAGTCATTACACTGTCTATGAGTTATTATTTTAAAATGAGACTAATCTTCTTTACTTTTTTTGTTTTAATCTTTGTTCGCAAATCTTTGAATTTTTATTCAAGCATTATTTGTTCTTTATCAAATTATTTAATAATTAAAATCACCATTAAATAAGACTTTTATAATCTAAAATCTGGCAAAATTAAATTAGATTTACTTGATAATTCTAATACAATGGCATCTAAGAATATCATTGATAAACAAAAATTGTTTAAAAGTGATGCTTATTATTATTTTTTAATTTAATTATGTTGTTAGTAAATATTAAAATTTTCACAATCAAAATGGATTATTTATCATTCGAAAATTAAAGAAGACAATAAATGAAGAAAATTCTTTGATTGAATTTAATTTATGGAATATATTAAATGTAGATCTAAATTAATTAGCCTTGAAATTTAATTACGAAAGTATTTAATTAATAAAACATATATGATTTAAATAAATTTTTTCATTTTTATTTCATCTGAATATGTTATCTAAGGAGAAATTTTTTGAGCATTTCTTCATTTCTGCATTCTTTATAATGAAATTAGCGCCAAGAAATTTTTCCTAGCTTTTCATAAATCAATTCAGAAGTTTAGAGTAAATTCTGGTTTTTATACTATTCTTATAAAGAAGAAAAATCACAATAACTTATTTTTTGATTATTTTTAGCCAAAAGAATGCTACCATCTGATACATCTATAATAATATTAACATTTTAAATTATGGATTTCTGCTTGCTTTAAGTATGTTAATGCGCTTCTAAATAATTTCCTTTCATTTTAAAATTCTTCATAATATACTTTGCAGTGGAATACTTTATTGAAAGTTTTTAAGCAGCCTTTAATATAACATAAACTATACTTATCGAGTTGATACATTCTCAGTAATTACCAAATTAATTAAAGATTATTTTCTTTACGTCTCTATTCTCTTATGGTTTTTGAATTTTTAAATGGATTTGTTCATAGGCGTGTTTATTTTCGACATATTTAATTTAATTAAAACAATTCAGAAGTATTGCATAAAAAGAACTTTACAAAATATGGAAATTTTCAATTTAAATTGTTTATTTTCTGATTGATTTTCATAAGATGCTTCATCTATTATTAATTATTAAAGGGGAATAAATATATGAGCAAAAATCAAATTTCGTAGAGTTATTTTATTAAAGCTAAAAAACTTTGAGTCAAATATAATATCTAATTGCTATAATATTTAACGGATGAGTAACCATGATCATTTACGAATAAATTTTTTGAAAAAGTTTACATCAATCAGTATATTATAAAATACTTTTTCAATAAAAATCAGTATTATCATCAAATCAGATTGAATCAGTATGCAATTCCACTTTTTAATTTTTATAATCAAACACGTTAAATTGTTAAATTCACATAAACAACTCATAAAAACGAGAGCAATGATTTATTGTTTTATTATATAACTTAAATACAAAGAACAATAAAACTTATGTTCAAGGCCAAAAATAAATGTAAAAATTTTTTAAATTCATTGAGTACGATTAAAAATGAATTATAAGAAATACATTTTATCTCTATTTTTAATTGTTCCTATCCATCATTTAATGACTCCATTTGAAGAACCCATAATCTAAATTANATTTATGGAATATATTAAATGTAGATCTAAATTAATTAGCCTTGAAATTTAATTACGAAAGTATTTAATTAATAAAACATATATGATTTAAATAAATTTTTTCATTTTTATTTCATCTGAATATGTTATCTAAGGAGAAATTTTTTGAGCATTTCTTCATTTCTGCATTCTTTATAATGAAATTAGCGCCAAGAAATTTTTCCTAGCTTTTCATAAATCAATTCAGAAGTTTAGAGTAAATTCTGGTTTTTATACTATTCTTATAAAGAAGAAAAATCACAATAACTTATTTTTTGATTATTTTTAGCCAAAAGAATGCTACCATCTGATACATCTATAATAATATTAACATTTTAAATTATGGATTTCTGCTTGCTTTAAGTATGTTAATGCGCTTCTAAATAATTTCCTTTCATTTTAAAATTCTTCATAATATACTTTGCAGTGGAATACTTTATTGAAAGTTTTTAAGCAGCCTTTAATATAACATAAACTATACTTATCGAGTTGATACATTCTCAGTAATTACCAAATTAATTAAAGATTATTTTCTTTACGTCTCTATTCTCTTATGGTTTTTGAATTTTTAAATGGATTTGTTCATAGGCGTGTTTATTTTCGACATATTTAATTTAATTAAAACAATTCAGAAGTATTGCATAAAAAGAACTTTACAAAATATGGAAATTTTCAATTTAAATTGTTTATTTTCTGATTGATTTTCATAAGATGCTTCATCTATTATTAATTATTAAAGGGGAATAAATATATGAGCAAAAATCAAATTTCGTAGAGTTATTTTATTAAAGCTAAAAAACTTTGAGTCAAATATAATATCTAATTGCTATAATATTTAACGGATGAGTAACCATGATCATTTACGAATAAATTTTTTGAAAAAGTTTACATCAATCAGTATATTATAAAATACTTTTTCAATAAAAATCAGTATTATCATCAAATCAGATTGAATCAGTATGCAATTCCACTTTTTAATTTTTATAATCAAACACGTTAAATTGTTAAATTCACATAAACAACTCATAAAAACGAGAGCAATGATTTATTGTTTTATTATATAACTTAAATACAAAGAACAATAAAACTTATGTTCAAGGCCAAAAATAAATGTAAAAATTTTTTAAATTCATTGAGTACGATTAAAAATGAATTATAAGAAATACATTTTATCTCTATTTTTAATTGTTCCTATCCATCATTTAATGACTCCATTTGAAGAACCCATAATCTAAATTATTGTTGATAAGAATGAGGTGATAAAAAAAAATAGAAAAGAGGTCGATGAAAATAAAATTAAAAAGCAATTAATAAAATCAGATAAGTCTCGAATTAGATTTAATTTTAATGGAAAATATTACTTTCAAGATCAATCTATGTGTAGATTATGCAATATGTTTTTAATATTTGTAAAGGTGTCATTTTAGAAATTATCAAGAGTGGACAAATCAATATTAATATGGATCTTATAATACTTTTAATAAGTCTTAATAATTTGGGATGAATCATATAATTATAACAAAATTCTTAGTGATATTTTAAATTTTGAAGATAACAATTCAGATAATGAATTTATTTAAATATTAGTCTAGTAATCTCAGATAGGAACTATTATCCATTTCAAAGATCATCATTAGTTATATTTATAGAAATCAAGAAAATAAATTTATCATGTGTTAGATACTGAACCTCTTTAGTTAGTTTAATTTTTTGGCTGGTTTTATGCTGATATTGAAAATGAAAATTTTAAGTAAATAAAAACACTTGATGCTAGAAAATTAAAAGAATGCCAATTCAAAATAATGCTTATTAGATTAAGTTAAAGATAAGTATTATGATGGCTTAATAGTTTTAAAGAAGTAATTAAAATGTATATTCAAAGAAAATAAGAGGAATTATAAAAATAAGAAAAGAATTGTTTAATAATAATAATAATTCTCTTTAACTATTGAAGAAAATTATTGAGATAAAGTACAAAAATAAAAATCATAAGATGGAGACAATTATTGGGAAGAATAATTTAAAGTTTGTAGATAAGGTGGTAAAGTTCAATTATGTGATACTTGTCCAACAGTATACATCCTAGTTGCTTAAAATTTAAGGAAAACCATAAAGGAAAATGGAGTTGTATCATTTCTCTAAGCCTTTATTCGAGGTAAGTAAAAAATAGATGAGCTTTTTTAAAAGGATGCTAACTTAATGATAAAGTTAAATAAGAGATATATAATAATCTATTTTACATTTCAGTTTCTATTCACTAATTTGGATCAATCAATTAAGAATTATTCCATTTTTATTCTAAGTTTTTAATTATCAACTGATGATTTTATTGAATACTTACTAGGTTTAACAAAGACTTCTATTTTAGGAAGTTCCCATTTTTATTTTTAATTTTTTCTTTATTCCTCTTCTTTTATTCTTTTCTCCAATATAATTCTATATTCCTCAACTGTCAATATTTTCAAAGGTAATGATGGATATTCTAATTTAGGAACTTCATAAATAAATTTTTTTCTTGTCTTTTCTATTTCTGGCAGTTTTTCAAAAGAGTTTTATAAACTCAAATTATGCCTTTTCTTTTTAATCTGTATTTCTTAAGGCAATAATTATTTAAGTGATTAATGTCCTACTTATCTAAAAATACTATATTGTTTTTCTCTATACAAAGAAGATGGGTTATATTTCCAAATACTTTAATCATTTTTCATTAAAAAATATTATATGTTAAATATTATCAATATTTTATTTACAACAAATAAATGAATGAATACCACTTGAATTAAGATAAAATTAATTTTGTTTAAAATTATAATCATTTTATATAAATAACTCCTATTATCCTTGAAATCATAGTCTTAAATTTTAATTAAATCCTTTTACAGTAAATTTTATTCTTGAATGATCCAATGTTTTAAATGACAAAAAACTTTATTTTACAAGGAAAAAATTTGTCAAATTTTAGATTATATTTTAATCTAACTACATTTTTCATAAATTTTATTGATTTAGTATTTATAACCAAAGTGTTAATTGTTTTTGTTTACTAAACATAAAAATTATAATATGTATTAAAGAAATGATTAATTTAAAAATGGAGATAAATTAAACATAAATAAGATAAAATAAAATTTAGTATAATGTTTATCATTTCTTTCCTGCTTTTTTTTAATTAGCTTATACTTTTTTAGGATCCTATGCTTATTATTTTTCTAAATTTTCAAAAAATTTATCAGGATCTTAATAATTTGGATTTGATGGTTTTAATGTAGTTTCAATCCATGTATCTAAATCCTATAATAATTGTTTATTTTTTACTTCGATATCTTATTTTTTTTCTGCATCTTGATCCATTTTTACCTTATCAGTCCATAAAGTTCCTTTTTTAATTTTAGATTAAATCAATTAAACTTTTTTTTCCATTTCTTTTTCATGCAATTAATTAATATTAACTTTTCTTTGAATATTACTAGATCCTGTAATTAGGCCTCCTTCTTTAAAAAAATCAGGAGCATACTCTGGATTTTTATAAATTTTATCTCCTAAAGATGCCACTGGTAATCTAAATTGATAAAATGAAATTACCCATTTCTCATTTAATAGAGATATTCTAACCTTTACTTTTTTCCCATCATTTCTTCTACCTCATGTCTTTTTTCACAATGAATTGGTGGAAATGTTTTTATACCATATGGAACATCTTCTATGTGTCCTGATTATCCTTCTTTAAGATGAAGTCTTTAAGCTCGAGGTTTCTTATCTTATGGATGATGTTCAATAAATTATTTTCCTAATATGATAACTGCTATCTTATACCAGGAGGAAATTCTTATGATTTACCATCACCAGGTCTTGGTATATTTGTTTTGAGATGAGGTACCCATGTATATGGATCTCCATATTATGGATCAAAATGTACTCTTCCTAATGGATGTTGAATCTCTCCTCCTGCAAAATCTGTTATACAATCTTAAGGTTTTATATGAATTTTCTATATTCTACTTTAAGATTTACTTCAGAATAGTTAAATTTACAAGATTTCAAACCATGCCAAGCTTATTCTGATTACATTTCTTTTCCAATTATTTTCAGTTTATAATAAATAAATAATAATTCAATCTTCAAAAAAAAATTCTTATTGTAAAATAATTTGTTTCAATACTACATAATTTATTATTATACTATTTAGATTTTAAACTAAATACTAAATTGAATTGAAATTTTTATAATTTTTTATTTTTACTTTATTTTTAATTTTAATTTAGAAAGAGAAAAATAATTATCAAATGATAATAAAGTCAGAACCTTTTAATATAATTAATATTTCCGCGGCCTTGCTTATGTTATAGCACTTTATAAGATCTATGAATTACATTAGTTTTCAGATGAAACTGAAATTCATGTATTTAGCTTACATCATTTTGTGACATTTTTAATAACTATCTTTTGTGTGATAAATTTGTTATATCAAAAAATTAAGGATTAAATACTCCTCTCTTTACTTCTCCAATAAACTACAACTAATCTTGATTATGATTATATTATTTCTTTTTCAAAATTCTAATTAAAATCAGTTCATTTTTTTTAACCTTATATTTTTCGAATTCTTATCCTTGTTTAAATTAATTCAAAATAAATATAATGTAATTTTTTCAAGCTTCAGCAAAAAATTTTCTTTTATCAATACTTTAAATAAATATTTCTACTTCGAAATTTTCATTAAAGAAATATATACATAAGTATTTGGGATTTATTAAATTTTTGCTTTTTATATTTCAAATATGTA